ATCTAAATAATTATAAAATAAGGTAAGAAGGTAAAAAATAAAAAAGAGAAAAGCCTATACTTAATTATATAAATAAGAGATAAAGAGATCACCTCTTAAAGAGTATTAAAAGATATTAAGAAGAAATTTATTATAAAGTTTACTAAAAGAAAAGAGACTAACTATAAAGAGCTAATAATAATACCTTAAGATATAGATATTAATTATTTCTTATAATAATACTTTTTTATATATAGAATATACTCCTCCTATAGATTCTCCTCTTTCTTTTCCTTTATAGTAGTAGTAGTAATAACTAATATACTCTTATAAGCCTTAAGGGTAGCTATTTATTAATATATATTAATAATAGCCTAATAAATCTTTAGTAAATTATTAATATTAGTATTTAATAAGAGAAATAAAATAATAAGGAGAGTATTATTATAATTAATAAATTAAAAGAAATTATTAATTAAACCTTTTTAATAAGTATTTATAGCCTCCCTAATCTTTTAACCTATAAAGTTAAAATAATAAATTAGAAACTCCCTAAAATAACATGCTATATCCTTATAGGAAATAATTAAATACTAGAGTGACACCTTTAGGGGAGTAGAATCTAGGATAGTTTAATAAGGAATTAATTAAGCCCCCTTTATAGCTAGAATAATAAGAGTACTTAATTATAAGCTAGCTAAAGTAGCACTAATATTAGTAGTAGATAATAAATTTAATAAAACTAAAAGAATAGTAAAAAGTATAGTAGTTAATACTAGATTAGTAGTAGAAGTAGTAGAAATAATAAAAGTAATAAAAGTAGTAAATAATAAAGTCCTCTTCTTCTTAACCTTCTTTCTTTTTTACTACTTTTTATACTTATTCTTTTTCTCTTATTTTTTATTACTATTATAGTTAATATCTATAATATATTAGTAACTAGTGATAAAAAGACCTAGAAGAAATAAATATAAGTTATAATTAATATTCTTATTATAGAAAAGATAGTTTATATATACCTTAATATAATAAACCTAATACTTATCTTTATTAAGCTCCTTAATAAGAGGTATAATATAAGTAGTCTAGAGACTATTATTATAAGTATATTTTAAATAAAAGTTAGCTGCTATAGGTCCTTACTTAAAAATAATAGTAATAAAGAGCTTTAATATATAGCTTAAGACTAATATCTAGCTACCCTAAAAGAAGTCCTAATATATATAAATAATAAGGAATAAATAAATAAGCTTATAATTATTAAAGGAGGTTATATATACCTTTAAGGGAAGTTTAATTTTTATTATTATTAACTATATTTTACTCTTTAAATTAATAAATTTATAATAAGTAATAAATACTAGACTACTATAACTAGTAATCTACTTTAAATAATAAGAGCTTAATAAAGGCTAAGGGGGAGACTCCTTAATAGGTAGTAAAAAAGTCTTAAAAAGTATTAAATACTTAATCTTTAATAATTAATAAAAATAATTAGACTTATAATAGGAATACTAGATAAAGGACTTAAAGTCCTTAAATTTACTATTAGAAGCTATTAGTATAAAATAGTTATAAAAAGTAATAATAGTAAGAGGAGGAGTAAAGGAGGAATTACTAATAAATAAATAAGAAAATATATCCTTTATTATAAATAAAGAGATTATAAGGTTATTTAATAATAATAATTATAAGTATATCTTATACTCTCACCTAAGACTAGGTGACCTCTTATTAATTAGTAGGTAATTAATAAAATAATTAAAGAATAAGTCTTTATTTACTAACTATAGGCCCTTATTAGATAAGATCTATAAGTCACTTATTAATAACTAATTTATCTTAATAAGGCCCTAGAGGGAGGATTAGGACTTTATAGATAAAGTTCTAGTTAAATAAAGAAGGATATAATATTATAAATAAATAATATTATAAACTTCTATATAGCTATAAGTAGGATTATCTTAGTAGAATACTAAGGTACTTACTCACTAATAATATAAGATCTCTTAACCCTAGTAGAGTAGTTATATAGAGTTTTTACTTTATATTAGGGATTAATTAATTCTATAGAGTTCTATCGCCACTAGGTTACTCAGCTTTTAATAAGCTAAGGGGAGGTATATAGATACCTTCCCTCTAACCCATGGTAGTGATAGAATAGAGATTTTCTAGAGGATTTAGCTTTTAAATATCACACTAAAGTATAGATAAAAAGAAATTAAACCTATATTATATAATTAGCTCCTAATATTTTACTATTATTAAGAAAAAGGGGCTATATATACTAAAAGACCTTATTAGAAAGCTAAAGAATAAGAATTAAATTATATAAGATAATAATATTTATATTTTAGTACTTAATAAATATAAATTATATTTTATTTATTTAATTTTTAGAAATACCTCTCCCTTAATATATTTAACTCTTACTTATACTCTTTATTTCTTTATTAATAAACTCTTATATTTAATATTATATCTATATAGTATTTAATTAAAGTCTACTTATAAAAATAATTATTCTTTATTTATTTTTATAATAGCTTAAGGCTAAGCCTCTTAAAAGAGAGGAATAATTATAAGGCTAGCACTAATATTACCCTATAAACTATTTAACTAAGTATACTATATAACTATTAGTTAATATTAAATATTAGTTAGGTACTTATTAAGTATTTTACTTAAAATTAAGATATATATTATCCTCCCTAAATAGAATAGAACCTTAAGCACTTTATCTTATTCTCTTATTAAACCTACTATAGACTTCTTATATCTCTAGACCTTATTATTACCTAGTTATACTAATATCTCACCTATTTAACCCTAGCAGTGTAAGGTCACTGCTAATATATAGGGAGACTTATAGCCCTTCTTAATATAAGAAATATAAGTTATAATACTTATAATATAAATATTCTAGATATTAATAATATTAGTTACTATATTTAACCTAGAGATATATTAATATAATATAGTTAATATATTTATTAATAGTTTATTAAATAAGGTGATTTATATAGATATACCTCCTAGATTTATATAAGATAATAAAATTCTTTTATTAATATAAGTCTTATATAAACTATAAAGATTATTAAAGTTATAATAAAAAGATCTAGTTATAATTTTTAATATATTAAGACTAAAGCTATCTAAAGACCTCTACCTCTTTATAAATAATAAGCTTATTTTATTAATATATATTAATAACTTTATTCTTATCTACTTTAAAAAGGATAAAGTATATATAAATAAATTTAGTAAAGTACTAAATAATATTTATTAAATATATAAAATAAAACTTAAATAGTTTCTTAATATATAAATTTATAAAGACTATATTAATTAAAAGCTTTAGCTATATTAAAATATTTATATTATAATAATTATTATAAAGTATAAGCTTCTAAACTATAAATCACTATAGATGCTAATATTAGTTAATTATTTAATTAAAAATATAAAGATTATAATATAAAGTTAAATATAATACTATTAAGAATTAATAAGATTATTTATTTATATAATAATTATTATAAGAGTAGAATTAGCCTAGATTATAAATAAATTAAGAGAATTCTTATTAAATTTATTAATAAAGTATATTAAAGCTATAAAATAGATAATTTTATATCTATATAAAATAAGATTTTTAGCTATTTATTATAAATACTTAATAAAGAGCCTTATAAATAATCTATTAATTAATTAAATATTTATAAATTATCTAGTACTTATATATATAAATAATATAATATATATAAATAATAAGAATAATAAAAGTATATAAAGATATATTTATCTATTATATAGAAGACCTATAAATTAAAAGATATTAAAATAATAAATTATAATAATATTAATTATAAAGACTAAATTAATTATAATCTTATATATAAGAAAAAAGCTATTTTAATAAAAATAATTATTTATATTTATTAAATTTAATATAAAGTATTAATTAAGTATCTTATATAATAATAAATAGACTATTAACTTACTTATAAAAGAGGTGCTATTTATATATATTAAGCTTTAATATATTAATATTTAATAGTACTAGCTTTACTAGGAGACCTAGGCTAGGATAATATAGATTTAATAAATTTTAATAACTTATATACTTATAAATAGCTTTATAAAGACTTTAATAAGCCTATAATATTAAAGATTTATTAAAATACTTAATATAAAGGATATTAAGATAATAAAAATAATAATAGAGTTAAGATAATATTAAAGAGGTATATTATAAAAAAGGATAACCTTAAGACTATTAATTAAGATAATTTATATATATTTATAGTATTATTTAACTAGTTAAGCTTAATATAGTTAGTATTATACTCTAATTTTTTATTTACTTAATATATCTGGCCTAACCAATGTTAGATATGCTGGGTGATATATGAATCATATAGGAATATGATACTATTGGCCCTGAATATATATAGGATTTGTTAAACTTTCTTTAGCTTCAGGCTAGGCAGCTGCAACCTGAGTGCAAGGAAATAGAAAGCATAGACTGAGTAGAGAGCTTGGAAAGAATGGTTGTTTAGCAGTGGCAGGTGCCAGGCAGAAGTTGGCTGTGTCCCCATCACGTGTTTCTTTCGCGACTTCTCATCTTGTCGAGATGGTTACCCCTCAACAGAAATGGGACCACAGGATGATATTATCCCTACTATATTTCAATCAACTAAGCTTTTCTGTCGAAAGGCATTATTTTCCTGCAAGCCTCAATAATATGTCTATCTCTTTTAGTGTGTTTTCGGATAAATACATGCTGCATCTGCCCTGAATTTTCCTTCCAATCGGACGGCGAAACCGCGAATTATCCCTCCTATCACCTCCTCATCTTCCACGGTCCCTGGCTTCTCTGACCCGCAGTACCTATTGCAAGCTGTAGAGCTTCATCCTGTGGGACCAAAGAGCCTTGTCTATGTCTCCAGACTCCTCACGAGCTTCTCCGCAGCTGGTTCCCCCAGATTGCGGCATCCCGTGGGGACAATTAATTTCCCTCCATCTCCATGTCTCTCCACGATGGCAGGCGAGATGTGGATTCTCTCCGCAGACAGATGAGGAGCGAGTACGGAGTAAGGAAACCCTGCCTAAGTGTCGTCATTAGAGACATTGGCGTGCGGAGCAATCAATGCGTCGAAGGGAAAAAAAACATATAAGAAGAGGACCCCAGAAGATGCGCAACACAGAAAGTAGTAATGATTGCCATAGTCAATTGACGGACCTCTACTTTTGCTCTTCCTGAGGCTATTCATTTTACTGGTCGTCATGAAGTTCTCCACCTTCACCCAGGTAGTCAGCCTCTCATCACTGCTGCTTGGTGTCCAAGGTATCTCTTTGGACCGGAACGAGGCGTGCAAGCCATTTAAGCCCTTTCAGCCACTTCCTTCCAGTCACCCAAGGACCAAGACCTGCAAAGTCGAAGCCAATGGCCATGGACGCGATGACTCTAACAACATCCTCAAAGCGCTGAAGGAGTGCAACAATGGCGGCAAGGTCGTCTTTGACAAAGACTTCTACACCATCGGAACTGCCCTGGACATGACCTGGTTGAAGCATATCGATATCGGTATGTATTTTGTCCATGGAAGTTTTTAATCCGTGAGATTTCTGACTTGGGTCCAGAGATCCTCGGCCATGTCCAATTCACCAACGACACCGACTACTGGCAAGAGAACGGCTTTTTCCAAACCTACCAAAATGCGACAACCTTCTTTGAGCTGGGAGGTGAAGACGTCAATCTTTATGGTACCGGGATACTGGATGGCAACGGCCAGGCCTGGTATGACCTCTACGTGGAGAACGAGCTTATCTTACGGCCCGTTCTTGTCGGTGTCATTGGTCTGAATGGAGGTACCATTGGACCTCTGAATCTTCGCGATTCGCCTGAATGGTTCCACTTTGTGGCCAACTCCTCTGATGTTCTCTTCGACGGCATCAACATCGCTGCAAGCAGCACTAATAGTTCAGTCGAGGTTAAGAATACTGATGGATGGTGAGTTGCCCTCGGTTTCCGCGAGAAAACAAGGCCAGTCTAATCATTGCTCGTCTGCAGGGATGTTTATCGCTCCACGAACATTGTTATCCAGAACTCCATCATCCAGAACCAGGACGGCAAGTCTTCTATGCTGATTTCCCAGGCAATGAAAACCATCGCTAACACGCCAGCAGACTGCGTTTCTTTCAAGCCGAACTCGACTGATATTCTTGTTCAAAACCTTTACTGCAACGGTTCCCACGGTATTTCTGTGGGCTCTCTTGGACAGTATGTCGGAGAAGTGGACATTGTGGAGAATGTCTACGTTTACAACATCTCCATGTATAATGCAGAGGTCAGAAAGATCCATTGTATACACCCACGAACTTTGTCACTAACACCAAGGCAGAACGGTGCTCGCATCAAGGTCTGGCCTGGGATCTCCTCTGAGCTTTCTGTCGACCTTCAGGGTGGCGGTGGATCCGGTTACGTCAAAAACATCACCTACGACACATTCTACAGTTACAACGTTGATTATGCGATCGATGTCACCCAATGCTATGGCCAGGACAATCTGACTCTGTGCAATGACTATCCTGTATGTATTCCTCCATTTTCACTTCTTGGAAAAAGTACAAGGACAACACTGATAGCACCTGTTTATAGAGCAACCTTACTATCTCCGACGTCCTCTTCTACAACTTCTCCGGAGAGACCTCAACCGCCTACGAGCCTATTGTGGGAACGATCGTTTGCTCCTCTCCTGATGTACGGCTTCCATTCTATTGTAATGTTCACCTTGACACATAGCGGTTCTAACACTGATAGGTCTGCTCGGACATTAACGCCTACGACATCAATGTTGTGAGCCCGATTGGAACCAATGAGTTCCAGTGCGCATATGTAAGACTCTCACCTAAAACTTATGGCAAGACCAGATATTAACTCGCTCTGTTCAGGTGAACGAGACAACCCTGGCCGTCAACTGCACCGAGACTTAAAAGAAGAAGAAATCGCGAGCCTTTGGTCATAGTCAAAGCCGGACTAAGCCTACGCTACTATCCGAAGAATGAGTTGGGACTGTACATATCTTGATTGTAATTGAATAAATGGCAACTCCATGTACGATAGAGCAGTGATACTTTATGATAAAAATGTAAACTCTGTCTTCTAAGGCGAGGGCGTGGCTACTTTGGAGTCTTATTTATGAAATTAACTTATATGCCATTAAATCACAGGAATTATTAAACACACAGGCTCAGCCTCCCACATCGTGACTTTTTTCCATGCTGACCAACGCCGTTATCTGTATGTACACCATGCCCCCTGAAAAGATAGAATACAGCACAAGAAGAAAAATAAAGGATCGTGGAAGAAATTTTGGAAGAAGAAAATTGAACAGAGTCGAAGGGTGGGGGGAGTAATTACTCATTCTCGTCCTGGAGCAAGACCTTGAGTTTCTGTAATTTATCCTCGCATTTGACTTCCATCTGCATTATGACATCGATGCTCGCTTTCTTGGTGATGAGCAGCTGGGCGACGAGCCAGAAGTTGTAGCCATTGCGGTAGATCCCCATCGTCACCCATTTGTCATGAGGCATTTGGTTTTGTAGAGTGAACCAGATCTCACGCCAGCGGGAGAGCGCCGTCCGGATAGAGGCTAGGATGGGGTCGTCCGGATTCAATTGCGAGGATGGTCGGTGGGTAGAGGTGTAGATGTCGTATGGCTGCGATTGTGAAGAAGAGGTGGAGGCCTGGGAGCGCATAAAAGGAACAAGATGTGTCATGTGGGTATTGATGAATGCATAAAGAACTGCTTCGAAGTCAGTATGGGTGGCAGAAAGAGCAAAGAAAGGGCAAGACAAACCGTGTATCATGACGAACATGTCAAAAACAGTCAGTTGTAGCGGGTTTATGTCTGGCGCTGGCCTAGGGGACTGCGACAGGGAATACGAGAGGCCATCCGGCGGCTCTCGCTTTGGGTATTTTTCAAAGAGGTTCTGGAAGGCCTCTGAGATAGTGATATTTCGGCTGAGCTTGAACTTGCGATCTGAAAATGGGTGTGGTGAGCGGAACAGATGCTCTTCGCAAGGCAAATCGCAGTTCATCTCCGTATGGATCAGCCGGCAAGGGTAGTTTCGGAAGAGGGAGAAGGAACAGTCAACAAGCGAGATAACGTTGATGGTTCTGTGATAATCAGCCACAGGACGGCTAAAAAAATTCGATGTGGCAAGAAGAATGATGTACTCACCTGATTCGAGACTCCGTTTGGATCCAAATGTACTCGCTGACAGAATTTTGGGATGTATGTTGACAGCTTGTTAAACCAATTTTCCGAGCGACCTGAGAGTGAAACGTAAAGTGCTTAGTCTCGAAAGGATGAAAAAAAGGATGAATGGCAGTGCTAACCTTGACAACTTCGCTGAAACGGTTCTCCAAAGCCCGGTTTCGTGACACCGGATTGCCGGCCCAATATTGTAGAATGACCATCAGTACGCCGGCCTGGAGGTTCTGAAACTGGGTCCAGTCGCCAATATCGCCATCGAAGACTCGAGTCCCGGAGAAGGTCGTGCAAATTTCATTTTCGGATGAGAAAGTGTCGTTGGAAAAGATGAAGAACTCAGCAAAGTCCAAAACGCGCCTTGCAACATAAGCCTCTTTCTCATCGTTAGAATACATAGCTCCCATAAAGACAACTGCCACCAGGAGCGCCATTGGGGCGGTCTCCAGATCGAAGCTGGGGGCATGCGTGATGGGGCAACTGGTGTGCCAGTACTTGAAGTACATGGCAGCGAACTTGCGGATCCGGGTTGTCGTCAGCAAGAAGCCGAGGTTCATCGATAACTCATCCCGCGCCTTGTTGTCGAGTGGAAGGGTCCAGGCACGCGTCCGAATTGCCTGGGTCAGCGCGCTGGCGAAGGGTCGTTCCGGTTCGTACGCAGTGAGATTCGGGTCCTGAACCGGCGGGACGCCAGCTCGGTAGGCGGCAGCCCCGGTCAATGGATCATCCACAGACTTGTGTACATCGGCAAAGGGCCCACTGAAAAAGTTGATAAAATCGTCCTGGTAAAATGGGGATGAAGAGTCTGAATTTTCCTCGACAGCCTCGCGTTTGGTCTGGGGAGGATGCCGCGACGTCTGTAACGGGTCTTCCCGCGCCGTTTCATTGTGATGGTCATTGTGACGGATAAGACGTCGCTGAAGGTCACTGCGGGGAGGAAGCTGGAAGTGTTCGGTGAAGCTGTCGGTGCCTGCGTTCAGGAGGAATTTGATGGAGCCGCGGTCGGAGTTGTCCTCATCGGCAACCTGACTGCCTGACGTCATACCTGTAGAACCGACGGCGTCAGGACGTGAATTCAGAAGGTCGAAATGCGACGAGGGCGACTGACTGGCCTCCTTGACCGGGTTATTCCTGTGGTTGTTGCATTCTAGCCCTCGCTTCAGACACGAACTGCACGGACTCTCGCCGTCGCAGCGGAGTTTCATCGAGGTGCACTATCGGCGAGAGCAAAGCATTAGAACACGATGAGCATGGAAGGGTATATTATTTCCGACTGTCGCAGGAGGACTTGCCGACTGGCACGCATGTCGCCTTCTTCCCCGCTGGCCCGTCTCTGGAATCTTGCGATCGCCGCGCTTCGAGCAGTCGGCGTAGTGGTCGCGGAGGTTATCACTAGAGAGCACACAATTAATCCTGTCAACCCCAACTTCACCCACTCACTCAACAAGACAACAATAAACAGGTCCATGGCCAACCTACCAACGAGCAAATGCCTCAGCACAGAATACGCAAGAGTAAGGTTTCAGGCCGGAATCTGGTCGAGCAACACGACGGTCAGTCCGCGCAACGCTGGGGGACAACCACGACGAGTCTTCGAAAAAACAAAACAAAACAAAAACGTACGGCGAAGATGATGTCGTTTCAGATGATCAATGCGAGTAAACCCTCGCTGGCAGACGGTGCAGCGAAAATGCTTATCAGAAGCGGCCTTCATCGTGGGCGACGAGGGAGCTGCATATCGGAGAGACACGGTCGGTCTTACGGACGGAGGCAAATGAGGGAGGTTAAGGAGAGGCGAGCACGAGCACCAGGCCGTCAAGCAAGCACAACGACAAGCCCAGTTTGGCCAGAGGGACTCTGATTGCCAGGACTAGTAGGTAATAATAAGTGTGATAGAGAGATAGATAGAGAGAGACACTGAGACAGGAAAGGGAAAAAACGGTCGACCACGCTTCAAGACGAGTCTAGTCCATCTTCGTGCCTGAATCTTGAGGATCGTCTGGCGGGTGGGCGAAACCCCACCCAGCTTCTCCTCTCTTGGCTTCGTATCCCGACATCGCACAGAGGTAATTCCGGCCTTCCCCCCTCTCCCCCCCCAGTCTTGCTTGGTCGGGTTATTAGGGTCTAGCTGTTTCAAATGACACTTTAATCTTAGGCTGGGGTTTCTCCTGAGCGGCAGAGATTGCCAACGGCGAGCAGGAATGGGTTGCTACCGTCCTCCCCCACTGCCCCCCTTGTCCCCTTGTCCGCAATGAGGTAGTGCACCCAATAGTCTTCGGCCGAAGGGATTGGATTGAAGATGATTTGCTGGGCCGAGTACGCCGATATCCATGGCTGCAAGTTTGGAGCAAGAAACGGACGTCAAGCTGATCTTCCCTCGACGGTGGGTGGTCGATCGCGCCGATATCGAAGAGTAATCTGACCGAAGGATTATGGTCTATTTTCTGCATGAGATGAGTCCAAAGACGTTGACTTTTCCAGATCAGGCGAGGATCTCATGCATCCAGAGGTTCGCACCCTATAAAATGATTGCTGATCTACCCCGTACTCATCGAGCGGCACTTTTCGTTAGACACCGTCGAAAGATGACCGGGCTTTCGAAAACCAGAGGTGGGTCAATCAACGATGTCCAGGTGAGTCAAGATAGTATGTTCTGGTTCTCCGATAGCTGCTAAATTTTTTTTTTGGCTACTCGTTGCAGATTCCATGGATAGCGTTGGTTGGAAGAACCGCCGATTGCGACATGGTCCAGCGTTTCAAGATTATACTCTAAATCTGCCGATCTTCAATTAAAATAAAGGAGAGCAATGACACGGGAACCAATTTCAAGTCGCTTGGGAAAATTGTTGGGATTGAGACACGCCTGAGACATGCAATGTTGAGATAAACAGTGTACTCAAAAAGCCTCATCCTCAAAGATGACTACCCCGGGCAATCGATCTTTGCCCATTGATTTGATGATGAATATCGCATGGCTACACTAATCTATATAATCTTGAGTGCCGGACATGAAGAGGGGAAGTGCTTTGTTGTTCGAAACATACTCGAAAGAGTTGATGACCGTTTGTTGTGTCTGGGATCAGGAGATAAAACCTGCCAGCGAACCTCTTCAGCCTCGATTGACTAACAGTAGATCGACAGTCGTTTGCGGCTTGGCGAGACTAGTTGACAATGACCTCACTCATTGATAGTCTCGTTGTCCACGGTCAGGCTCATTCTTGCAATATTGGGAGCCGAAGAACAACCGAGTGGAAAATACATACCACCGTTTCAACTACATCTTATCAGCAGATCCGGATAAAGAAACATTCCGCCTATCAAGTTCTCTGCATCGAGGTCCCATCGATCTGGTGCTGAGAGCCTTAGGAGATCTTCTCATCAAGACAGGTCATTCTAGAATGGGACAAAGATGATAGCCTAGACATGTCATGCCAGCGCGATGAAGAGATATTGCGGAAATTCCAGCTAAATAACCCATTAATTGAGTTCTCAGCTTCTGTGCTCTACCTGCTGCTCGTCCTCCCTTGCGTCACTTGTTGACTGTGTTGTACTACCTACCGCTGATCCCCAGTTAAATGCAAAACGCACAGTTGTCAGTCCCTATGTGGACAACAATTGGAAGAAATTTTCAAAAAAGGGCATCTCATCTGTTTTACTCGAATTCCACACATGACAGCTGACGGCTAGGTACTGTTTAAAACTATGGCGACGGCAGACAGTTCAGAAGAACCCCATGAGAAGACCTTTCCCGACGAGACGACTAACGGGACCACCGTTGGCTGCGTGAACCACGAAATAGACTCGCCAGGACCCTCTGCGGTGGAAGAAGGACTTACAGAGAAGTCCCCGATCAGACAATGTACATCATGGCTGGAATCCATGTTAGGGCTGGAGGCTCGTGGGATCGAGCGTGTGCCGGAGTCGCTGCGCAGCCACGAGGCGAGTCTGCGCGACTACGTGCAGATCGCACTGATCTGGTTCTCGTCGAACCTGACAGCCAACAACATCATCCTGGGCTTCCTCGGCCCATTGACGTTCAACGTGGGCCTGGTGGATGGGATGGTGGTGGCCACGTTCGGCCTGCTGGTCGGGTGCAGCGCGACCAGCTACATCTCAACCTTCGGTCCTGTCAGCGGGAACCGCACGCTGGTGATGTCCCGCTACACGATGGGCTGGTGGCCGTCGCGGCTGTGCGTGCTGTTGAACCTGGTCATCCTGCTCGGGTACGGCCTCGTCGACACGCTGATCGCCGGCCAGATCCTCTCGGCTGTCAATGGCCATGGGCTGACCATCATCGTCGGAACAATCATCGCGTGTCTCATCTCGCTGTTCATCTGCCTGCTCGGCATCAACCTATTTCACAAGTACGAGCGCTACGCGTTCATCCCGCAGCTTCTCGTCTGCTTTATACTCATCGGCGTCGCGGGCCCGCACTTTGATACCTCGTCGCCCCCCACCACAGGCTCCTCCGCCAGCACTCGCGCCGCAGACCGGATGAGTTGGTTTTTTCTCTGCGTCTCGGGCCCGCTAGGCTGGGCCCCCGCCGCGGCCGACTTCTTCGTCTACTTCCCCGCGACCTGCCGCCGGTGGAAGGTCTGGGCCGCCTCCATGGCCGGCCTGGTGCTCTCCACCACCTTCACGCTATACCTGGGCGTCGGGATCGCGTCGGGGATTGCATCCCAGCCGGCCTGGGCGGCCGCATACTCCATCAGCTCTGGTGCCGTGCTCGTGCAGGTTCTCGCTCCGCTCGGCACCTTCGGCCACTTCTGCGCCGTCCTGCTCTCGCTCGGGGTGATCGCCAACAACGTCCCAGGCACGTACTCGGCCGCTCTCTGCTTCCAGATGCTGGGCAGATGGTGCATGGCTATTCCGCGGTTCGTCTGGACAATCGTCGCAGTAATTATCTACACCGCGTGCGCCTGTGCCGGCCGCAACCAGTTTTTCGAGGTGTTCCAGAACTTCCTGTCGCTGATGGGCTACTGGACTGCCATCTGGTGCGCCCTCACGCTTGAAGAGGAGCTGCTCTTCCGCGGCGGGATCAAAGGCTACGACTGGACCCTCTGGAATAGTCCTCGGAAACTCCCCGTCGGGTTGGCCGGCTTGCTCGCGTTTTGTATCGGATGGGTCGGTGCCGTGCTGGGGATGTGGCAGACATATTTCACGGGGCCGCTGGGCAAGTTGGTCGGTAGGGGGATCGACTTGGGCTTGCCGGTGGCTGTCAGCTGGGCTGCTTTGACCTTTCCACCTCTTCGCTGGCTGGAAAGGAGAGTTCTTGGCCGGTAGGCAGTTAGCTGTATGCATAGGTATCTGTTTACAAATCCATACCTATTACCTCAAACCATAGTGACAAACTCAAGATAATGGAATATCCTCTGTTTCAAGTTTAGACTGTTGAATAGAGGTTGGTAATTGGCTGCATAGTTACGATTTACCACTACATACAGTGTCCAGAAATGCAGATAACATAACTTTATTTGATTGAATGGCTACCTAGCTAGTAGGCTATGGCGAATCAGATCAGATACTAGAAATGAAGCTTAATACACAAATTGTGGACAGTGGCCTTCCTCTTGGAAGTCTGACAGAGTGTCGAGCAGCAAGTACCCTTTAATCTTCAAAGCTACTGGTTTGACCCTCATAAACAGCACTCATCGCGTCCCAACGAGGGTCGTCACTCTGGTAGCGAGGACGCCACCCGGATCTCTGCTCGTCGTAATCGGAATCAGCACTGTTCTGGGGAAGAAAAACCTTCAATTTATTAGGGTAGTCGATTTGGTCCCGGCTGAGATAGTCAATTGAGATGTCATTTCTTGTTTCGTTGAGAGTCCAGCCGTTACCAAGCCAGCTCATGCTGTCTGGGTCGATGTATTCGTAGCTGAAGTCTTCCCAGCGGGGGTTCTTCAGAGCCTCGACGGCGTGCAAGCCGGAACCTAAAACAGTGAGCACTGGGAAATGAAAGAACGAAACAAGGAGGAGGGAGATTACCGGGCCAGAGACCGATGACAGGTCCATTCTCAGTGTGGGCTTTGTACCAACTCGAGCAGCGCTCCTTGAAAATAGTGCCCTTGAAATACTGCTCGCAGTGGGTAACGAAGGACTGCACCTTGTCCGCACGAGGGGCCATGGCACGGATATCATCACGCTGCATCTTCAACGCGGCAGAGGTGAAGTAGTCGATCTGCCGTTCGAGCAAGAGAAGCTGGTTGCCTGTGGCGAGGCCAGTGTTGGGTCCGAAAGCGATGAAGTAGTTGGGGAATCCGTCAGTCATAATGCCGAGATAGGTCTCTGGGTACTTCCGCCATTTGTCCCGAAGAGTCTGATTGTTGCGGCCGACCATATAGATGTTCGGAATGAACGAGGTATCAAATCCAGTGGCGCAGACCACAAGGTCTACCTCGTGGATCACATTATCGTCGGTCACGATTCCTTTTTCGACCACCTTCTTGATTGGCTTGGTGATCACCTTCACCTTGTCTTTGGTCATAGCCTCCAGGTATCCCGGAGCAGGAGTAAGCGGACGAGTCAGAGGAGGGAATACAGGAATCAACTTGGCGAGCAACTCGGGCTTATACTGGAGGCCACGCTCCATGTGCTCCATGAAAGTCATAGGGGCAGTTCTATGCTCTGTGGTGCCGTTGACGGTGTAGGCGTGCATAGATTGCACTTCGTGCTCGATTCCTGAAAACATTCCAATTAGTAGATGGTTGCTATCCATATGAAATACCTGGGACGGTCTTCTTACCATTGCGGAACCTCTCGTAGTAACCCTGGTTGTGCTTAAAACTGCGCATGTCCGCCGAATCAAAGATGTCTATAGAGATTAATTAGTCAAGGCTGGGGCTGGTGTCGAGATAAAACAAAAAGCTCACAGTTCTGCAGGTGAGGGCCCCTATTATCAATTGTCTCTCTATACAGAGTAGGGGTAACCCAAGCTGGATCTTTGATGTAATGATCGATGTGAGTGACCTGGGGGAGGAGGGCAGGAATAATCTGCAAGCCACTAGAGCCATTTCCAATCACTGCCACCTTCTTGCCCTGCACAAAGACACACAACTTATAAGCCGCTCCATTTAATCCTGACTTTCTGGGGATTCTACATGCTTACCTGGTAGCTGTACGACTTATCCCATTCAGCAGTATGCATCACCTTCCCCTTGAAGTCACCCAGACCAGGGAAGGTAGGCCATTTGGCATCGTCAAGCATTCCAGTGGCCGAAATCAAGAGGTGGCACTCGTCGTCAAACAGAGAGTTTTTCTTGAGGTCCGCAACCTACAAAAGGAAAATGAGCTACTCTACTCCTCCTTTGAAACGGGATGACACTTACTTTCAGTAGCCACTGTCCCTTCTCCTCATTCCAGATCGCCGAGATGACTTTGGTCTCCAGTCTGCAGGATCCATCACAGCCATATTTGAAGAAAACCTTCTCCCAGTACTTCTTGATCTCATCGGCAGAGGCATAGAAATGGCTCCACTCCAGGTTCGGCTCGAAGCTGGCCTGGTAGGAGTGGGACGGATGGTCTGAAGATTTCACACGGTGAGTCAGGACGTCAAGAGAAACGCTTGAAGATGAAGGAACCGAGAGCTAATATTTCTAAATCACGTACCAGACATACAGCCAGGATACTTGTTCTTGAACCAAGTACCACCGACCCCTGAGTTCTTCTCGTACACACAAACGCTCACATTGGGGACTCGCTGTCTGAAGCGAATAGATGCCAAAATGCCCGAAATACCGGCGCCAATAACCACGATGCGGAGAGCCCTTTGATGAGCACCCATGGGAGTGCCCATGGTGTCTTGAAGCCTTCGAGCAGAGCAGTTCTCGCACATCTTGAAGATGCAGGACAACTATTTGGCTAGTTAAGGAAGCATAAGAAGGAGGGAGAGAGCGAGAAAAAAAAAAGAAAAAGAGAGAAAGACGATACAACGCGTCGCGAAGGATAACGCGTCAAGAAATGAGAGAAAGAACTGCGCACATGATGGCTGATATTTACAGTCAGTTTAATCACTAAAGGAGCTGGCAGTGACGTAGGGCTGCCGGTTCAGGCATGAATTGGCTGTTTAGAAATTCACTGGTGAAAGAAGGACTGTGGATGAGTCAAATTTAACAATTCCTGATGTTATTTGAAAGCTTTCAAGCTTGTAGGGATTGGAGACTGTCTATAATGGCATAGATCTGACTCCTTGGCTGATATTTTATCATCCCGTAAGGGCGGACTATTATGTGGTCTATATGAGTGTACAGCAGCCATTAAGCTAGAAGAGATTCTTTTGAAGATGTGCCAAACAGGCTTACTGAAGCTAGCAGTAAGTCAATTTCTACGGCTGAGTCCGATCAAATTAACATGGAAAGACTGCAGCCTTTTGAAGCTGAGTATCCGGATAGGAGAGTACCCAGCCAACCCGACTTGATAATGTATACCATCCAGTGGTCTATTTTCAACTGTTCGGGCTTAATGAGTCTTCTATAATTCATCTTCTCCACTTGTAGATAGTCATCTATAGTAATGGTAATGCTTCCAGACTAGACAGCAAGTGCAACCTTCTGTACTACCCTTGTCCTACCTACTACCTGCATATGCTTACCCAATGCTGCGAAATCACCTCTACACTCACCATGTAATATGAGAAGTCAATGGCAGGGAACTATCAATAGGAAGTTAATTGGTCGTCAGTATAGTCCTTCGTATTTGTGCAACATTGAGTCTGTCACCATATATATAGCGAGTTTCGCGTCTAGCACCCACCGTATCCGAAGCCATCTCCCTCCTAATATAATTTCCCCCTGCTTCTATATATCATTGTCTGGCTATGCCTGTATTCACCGAGTATTCGTCTTCCCCGCGAGACCTGCGCGTGCTTCCTTCGTTTGCGCCTCCACTGCCCCGTCTGTCGTCCAAGTTCGAGCCCGAGCCGGGAGATGAGAAGTACGAGGTGGTCATCGTGGGGGTAATATAAATGAATTCTCAAGGAGTATTGTATAAATAGAAAAAAATCTGATTGTGCGAATGAATATGATCGTTTTTAGGCCGGTCCCGCAGGAATGATGATGCATCTCCTTCTCACACGGTACGGACTGAGCGATGACTCGGTATTATGCGTGGATGCGAAGCCAGAGGTTCTCAAATCTGGTCAGGCGGATGGTCTGCAGTGTCGCACGCTTGAGGTGTTGAAATCGCTGGATCTGGCCGACGAGATCCTCACGCAGGGCTGTCAGCAATGGGAGGTTGCGTTTTGGGATCCCTCAACCCATCGAAACGCAGACACAGGGAAAGTTCCTCCTGGGATTGAACGGACCTCGCTTGTGTCTGAAGTACGGGTGGCGGCTCGGTTCCCGTACTGCGTCACCATCCACCAGGGGCGGATCGAGAGGATCCTCGAGACCGACCTGCTGCGGTACTCGAAACGAGGCATCCAACGAAGCACGAGACTCGTCAATGTGACTATCGACGAAGACGGAGACCCCGAGTTCCCCGTCAAGGCACAACTCGAGGACGCCAATGACGGGTCCTGTCGGCGCACGATAAGAAGCAAGTATCTCGTTGGCGCGGACGGGGCTCATTCCGTCGTCCGACGCAGCATGGGTCTCAAACTGCAGGGCGAATCCACTAATCATATCTGGGGGGTTGTCGATCTCGTTCTCGACACGGATTTTCCGGATATTCGTCGTCGGTGTGCCATTCACTCGGCCGCCGGGTCGGTGATGGTGATCCCCCGTGAGCGTATCCCGACTGGCGAGTATCTCACGCGTCTGTACGTGCAGATTCCTGGAGTCGTCAAGGCAGATAACGATCAAGAAGAAGAGGAAGAAGAAGGAAAAGGAGAGGCGGCAGATAAGAGTAAAAAAGAGGCAAAAACACGGAGGAACGAGGTCACTCTCGAAAGCATCCTGGCCCATGCAGAAGCAGCGTTCAGACCGTATACCATCAAGCCCAAAGGCAGAGATGCGGTCGACTGGTGGACAGCGTATCAGATCGGACAGCGTGTGGCGAACGAGTTCGCAGTCCATGATTCAGAGGGGGTTAACCGAGTGTTTATCGTGGGAGATGGTGAGTTCGATTTATGGCACACTACTGTTCTGCTACTGTACTAATGCTAAGATGTAGCCTGCCACACACATAGTCCAAAGGTAAGCAAATCAACCAGTCTACTCTGAACGTCTCTCTCATGGTGATATTAATTAAAAACTTCAGGCCGGCCAAGGAATGAACGTGTCGATGATGGATTCGCACAATCTAGCTTGGAAACTGGCCTACGCTGTTCACGACTTGAGCGCCAACGCCAACGCCATGCTGGACACATACCACAGCGAGAGACACAGGATTGCCCAAGACCTCATTGCCTTTGACCGATCGATTTCATCCATGTTCTCAGGCCAGATTGATCCTCTACACGGAGGAATAACGCACGAGCAGTTCCAGCAGGTGTTCAGCACTGGCAACGGCCTCACGACCGGCTGTGGAGTCGAATACGGGGGAAGTTGTCTAGTTGAGAAGCCTGACACTGAAGACGATATCACAGATAATCTCTATCCAATCCAAGGAACAGACTACCTGGCAGGCATTTTACAGCCGGGTAGACGGTTGCCCAACGTGAGATTGAAGCGGCATGCAGATGGCTGCAAATGGGACATGCAGGATGGTACGAACGATTCAGAAAGCTTCTGAGAAAAAGAAAGCGTTGAGCATATAACACGATAGAAATACTAATTTATAGATTTGCCATGCACTGGCCGCTTCCGAGTTATCTGCCTCACATCGTCAGACCTGCTAGACCCCTCTGGCAAATCGGCAACGGCCCTCCGTTCCCTCGCGTCGATGTATGAGCACTTCCCACCCGTCGTGGAACAGATCGTCGTGCATCCACGTCTCTCGAAAGATTTCATGTGGCAGGATATCCCGTCGCAGGTGAAGAAATGGTCCGAGATGCGGTTTTATAGCGGGTACGAGATGGACGGTGTCCAGGACGTCTATGCTGTTTACGGGGTTGATCCGGACCATGGGGCGCTGGTTGTCGTCAGACCGGATGGGTATATTGGTTTGATTTCCTGTTTGGATGGTACTACCCAGGTGGAAAATTATTTGAGGGGATGTCTGAAGTATACTTAGATATTCATTTGGTATAGAATGTCTTCAGACGGGGTAAATAGTCATTTTAGATTTGAATACAATATCACACGCTCTTCATTATCATAAACTTTCAAGGGATCACGTCATAACTTTTCAAGAGTAGATACTCATTGTGAAAGACGATTCTGAGCTGCTTGGATACTCATCACCGTATCAGAAATACTCTCTCTTAGAGTGCGATACTGCAATCCCAACTCCCTCACTGACCGGGACGTGTCGAAGCCGTACTTGGGCCCCCCCGGAGGGAACTGCCCGGCAGCAAGGGCATCGCCGCTGGGCAGTCCCGCGGCAAGATCCGGGAATTCCTCCGCGATGACGGCAACGACGTCTGCGTTGCACAGGTTATCTGCGGTCAGGAAGAAGCGTTTACCACCGGCCTCGGGCTTTTCAGCAGCCAGGGCATGCGCCAGCGCGACATCGCGCACATCGACCCAGAACTGGCTCCCCGTGGGCGGACACTTGTCCTTGCTTTTGCCAAGGATGAAGTCACGGATCCGCGCGTTGGAAGTGTTGATCTCATCGAGGGAGCGTAGCGAGGCTGACACCGGGCCGAAGATCAACGACGGGTTGATCATGCTAAGGGTGAAGCTGGGCTTGTGCTTTTCGACAAACTTCCAGGCCGCCTTTTCCGCCAAAGCCTTGCTGGAGCGGTATCCCGCCTGGGAGTTTTCTGCATCCAGAGCCGTTTCGGGGGTGACGGGGTTCCAGTCTTCCTCGGAGTACTTTGAGCCCGCCGGTTTGGCGTCGTTGTACATGGCTGCAAAGGAGGATGTGATGACGACGCGGCGTACGGTCGGGGCGTGCTTCACGATCGACTGCAGGATGCCTACTGTGCCGTTGACTGCGGGGTCGAGCATGTCACGCTGGAGATCGGTGATGGCGTAGTGGAAGGGGCTGGCCGTGTGGACGACGACGTCGAACGGCGGATCGGACACCACAGCGGCGTCAAACGCGTCCAGTTTCGCAATATCCTTCACTATCATAAACGAAAGTCTGTCCTGCGCGATGTCCGGTCGCGTAGCCCGCATCGCCTCTGCCTTTTCCTCCGACCGCACCGTCGTCACCACCGAGTGGCCGCGGGCCAGCAGTGTGTCCACCACGACGCCTCCAAGGAAGCCGCTTCCGCCGGTAACTAGAATTCGAGACATTTCGAGTATTGTTTGTATCTCAAATATATAGACTGTAGACTTGATGGACTGGAATGAGGAACTGGGCTTCTTATAGCAGTCATGTTGCATGGGGGCCGGAGATACCTGCCAATAGACGCAAACCCCGCTTACTATCTCCATCTAACTTCTGGCTATATCCGGATTTCTCATCATATCATGGAAGAGCTGAATAAATTGGATTCTAGATTGAAGATTCTTGACGTCAGTAGACCAGAGTATTTTTTTTTTTGGAGAGGGGAGTTACTTTAACCCCTCTAAATCCACCACCAATGATTCTTCATAGCAATGAAGGTGCAGTATCTCATTATATATGGGAGCATCTCGCTCAGAATAATGAGTACTTTAGGGAATATATTTAATCCATCCCTCTCTGAAGCCTTCTGACGACTTTATCCATTGGAACAAAGGAAAAGACTACTCAATTCAGTGATTTAATAAGTTGTATTGATCTTGGTACATAGTAATTGAAGTGAGGGCAGTGAAATAATTTTCTAAACCGAAGAGAAGTGATAGTGAAATACCGAGGAAGAAGACATAATTTTATGCAACTTACTAGATGAAATATACTGATATAAACAGTTTAAAGAGGGATCAAGAGTAGTACCTACTCCATATATTCATGTCATGGTTAAGGGGGTTAAATAATGATTTTACTAGATAACTTCTCTATCTACTGCAGTAGAATACTAACAAAACATTATCTATCTTCTACAGTAGTATCTTATATAGTAGTACTCTGTATGGCTCCTACAAGCAGACCATTAGATATTTCTACATGAATACCAGCAACCCCTTTTCCATGAGACTATTTCTTCACTATAATATAACTACTCCATATATTAATATGGAGTAGCAACAAAAAATCTCAGGCTTATCCAAACTGGGATGAAGCCATCTTCACCGCTTCCGCCTCTTTCCGGGTAAAGGAGGTCCAGCGTCTCCTGACAAACACTCCCTCTTCCTCCTCTTCAATACGCTCTTTGTCCATGATTGAGCAATCAGAAATAGCAACAGGTATCATAGCATCGATAATGGCAACGAATCAGTCTTTTTTATCTTCCAGAATAGATGGCTTTCCCGCCATTATCCCCTGTCAAAAACCCCTTCGCCGTTAGGCAACGGCCGCCATGGTGGAGCAATTTCCTTCCCCCCCCCCTAGGTTCTCGACTATTCTGGGCTATTACGGCCATAGTCGACGCCAGACAGAAGGAATCGGTCCCCTAGTGGGGTCATGGATGGTCTGTGGAATATTCACGCTGTAGGAGAAGACAATAGTACTAGGTACTAATAAGAATGGCCACCCAGCCACTCTCTTCCAATTGTTTCCCCGGCTTCGATCGGGCGATTCGCGCTGCTCCTCGTGCAGGGCTTATTGGGCGGCATTCACCACGTTTGGCGCCTCTCCAACCGCCCAGTCAGCGTCTAGAACTCCAGGAACCCTGCAGCCCTTACGACATACTCTCACTCGAACACGCTGTCTGTGCTTCCTTGGGCTTCCGGGCAGATAAAAAGCTCCTGCCAGGATCGCCCCATTGTGTCATTGCCAACTGTTTGTCCGTCTCACCGACTGATTCTGTCGGAGGCGGATGGGGAGGAGTACTAATACCTGACCCCCAGGAACTTCGTCAAACCACACATACCATGCTGGTCTGGAAGATGAAAACTGATTGAGACCAATTAACTATTCGTGGCTGGGCCCCGAGTCTGATACGCATTCACGATCCAGACCGCTTCAATCGCCACCCCTCCTCAATCTTATCAAACCCCACTACGATTGCTTAAGGGAAACGCAGGAGGAAGACGCAGAACGGTTGTACCTGCAGCTAGAGAGAGAGAGAGAGAGAGAGGAGAGAGAGTATTTCCTCTCTTTCCACCCCTCTTGCAGAAGATGTCCTCACGAATCTCCTTTGTTGCCGGTTGGCGTGGTGTCTTCACATTTCTCCTGCTCTTCTTCCTGTCGACCCCCTCCACGGCAGGCACTGCCTATGTTACTATCGACGAGGCCAATGGTGAAGAGGTCAGTGTTCCTGATGATCGTCGTCCATCCCTATACACCAAGGACTTTGGCGACTGCCAGAGCGACTCGATTATCCAGCTGTCCCGTTTCGATGGCGCCTTCTTCCGTGATAACATGACCGTCACCATCAACATGGATGGGACCACGACGGCCGAAAATGAGAATGTGATGCGTATGACTTGACCTTTTGGCAAATCTGGTGGGCGAAGCCCTCTTACTAACGGGTGCAGTCTACATTGAGGTCTACGCATACGGAGAGTTGCGTTTCCAATTGACTTTCAACCCCTGCTCGTCGAATATGGCGAGGTAGGAAACCCTTTTCGATAGAAGCTTGAAAATAAAAAGTTGTACTGACATGCCTACCTAGCCTGTGCCCACTGAAGGCTGGCGTCCCTGTGCAGATCAGTGAGGTCATTCCCGTGAGCTCCAGCGAGATCTCTACCATCCCCACCATAGCCTATACCATCCCGGACTTTGAAGGACAGGTTATCGCGCGAATCTTCTCCAACACTACTGAGTCTCAGGCCGCCTGTACGACTGCTGTTCTCACTAACGGCTCCTCCTTCCGCCATCCCAAGGTCGTTGGCGGACTGCTCGGAGGCTTCGCGGCGCTCGCCCTCGTCGCCTCTGCTGTCGCAGCCATGTACGGCAACGATCTCGCCACAACTCGCAGCCATTATGCGCACTCCCTGTCCACCATGGTTGTCTTCTCTGTTCTCCAACACATTTTCTTCTCGGGCATACTCTCCATGAACTGGCCCAGCGTCGTGGTCGCGTTCTGGTCCAACTACGCTTGGTCAGCAGGGATGATCTACAGCAGCAAGATGCAGCATACTATCAGTGCCTTTCTGGGGGGTGACTACGGCAACATCGGCATGCTCGGTGCTGCTGCTGCGTACACCACTGTCTCAGATCTTGGGGGCGGCTATGATATCGACAGGCTGTACCCGGGTGCCATCGCTTCTCTCAGGAAACGGAGTAGCAGCAGCAGCAGTAACAGCTCTACATCCGACAGTACCTCGTGGTATGGTGGCCCCGTGAAAGCAGGCCTGCCGTTGCCGGGCAATTACTCGGGCTTTGCTGGCACCCTCGCACAGGAGGGCATCCCCGCATCCAACGCGTTTATGACCGGATTTCTCTGGCTGCTAGTATTGATCGCGCTGGTCCCGGTGTCCGTTGCGCTGTTCCGATTGATGATTGCAGGCCTCGGTCGAATCAAGCTGGTGAATAAGGAAAACTGGATTCATTTTCGGACGCACTGGCTGAGGTTCGCGGTCTTCGCCATGCTCCGAACCACGCTTATTGCTTTCTTTATGACCATGGTCCTGACCATGTTCCAGTTCGCATTCAATGGCCCGGCTGGAGTCCTGGCTATTGCAGCCATTGTCTTTATAATCTTTCTGCTTGGGCTGGCAGGGATCTCAGCCTACGCACTGTACTGTCGGATGCGTGGCGGCCGTTTTGTCTCCGAAGCGGATAGACTGCTCTTTCGTGGAGAGAAAGTGCTTTTCTGCGTGCCGTGGATGAGTGTCTGGCGGGCCAGCCGCGTCCCAGACATGGAGGCCTTCACCCACGTTTTGGCCAGCCTCCCCTGGTGGCGGCTGAGCTATGATGCAGACCCGAAGTTGGAACCCGTCCACGACGACATCGACTACCTGATGAAGTTTGGGTGGCTGTATGCACGCTTCCGACGGTCGAAATGGTTCACATTCACCATTTGGCTTGCTTACGAGTTCGTGCGCGCGTGCTTTTTCGGCGGCGCCGTGGCTCACCCCCTGATCCAGGTGTTTGGACTGCTTGCTGTTGAAATTATCTCCTTTGTTGGCGTCGTCTGGCTGCGGCCCTTCCAGGCTACCCGTCTGAACGCCCTGATGGTCTACCTGCTTGGGTTCAGCAAGGTGGCGACGCTCGCGCTATCTGCGGCCTTTCACCCTCGCTTTGGTCTCAGTCGTATTCTAACCGCTGTTATTGGTATCGCTATTATCATCATCCAGGGCATTCTGACCATCCTCCTCATTGTCTCCATCCTTCTTGGCGCCGTCTCGACGTACATGTCCCTCACGCGCGACCGTGATATTGAACAGTTCAAACCACGCTCCTGGAGACCTATGCGAATGCGATACCTGGCGCACGTCGAAAAAAGCGCTCTTGACCTGCCCCCCGCCCCGCGGCCACCCACACCACCACCGCCCCCAACACCCGAGGAGCCTAAAGGGCCCTCTTTCGCGATCCTTTCTGTGAAACGATACCCGAAAATCGAAGATGAAGACACCGATAACTGGACATACACTCAATCCAGTCAGCACCCCTCCAACCTCTCTCTCGACCGATCCATTACCCCGTCACCCACCCCGAGCCCAATAACGGTCGACAAGAACCCACGCCGCTCGACCTCCGTACAGTCCCGGCGCGGCAACCCGAATCTCCCCTTTGGAGCCCGCCCCTACCGCTCCAGTTGGACCAGCCATGACTTTGAGAGATGGCGCAAGGACCACGATGGACCATTCGAAAACACAGAAGGAGAAGAAATGAATGAAACCGCCTCTCTCTCCTCGGAGGACCACTCCACTCTAGCTCCCTCCCGTCTCTCGCGGGACAGCACGGCGAGTCTCCGTCGCGCCCGGAACCTCAAACGTGCCTCGTCGACTCTATCGCGCAGCGACAGCCCCGGGGCAGAGGCGTCCCTGTCCACCTTCTTACGGACGCGGAATAGCGCCGTGCTGGACGATGTGAATGAGGATGCGAGGGAGCACCGAGAAAACGAAGAAATTGCTACTCCACCCCCTGCACATGAAGCTAGCTCATGAAATATAGCAGCTTTGCACATAGACTTGTTATTAAAAAGAAATAGAATCGTTCCATTCCACCCGTTCTTAGATTTAGACCATACGATCATTAGCATGGAACATGTTGACAATGGAAATCGACGAATTAGAGTCCTGTTGAATTTGGTTCTACCTTTCCCACTTGATATGCGGACTCTCTTCCTTCTGTTTAGAAGGGCCAGTTCTCCAAGATTATATCTTACTTCTCCTCTATTCTGTATGAATGTTGGATAATACTGCATTAAGCAAGTGACAGGGCATGCTATTTGCCATTATAATACTAATCTAGTACATACATGAAGTGTGCAACCCGTTAAAAACCCTTGACATCCATTTAAAAACCCCTTAGACAGAAGGGGGAAAAAGGCCAGGAGCAAGGGAAAAGAGTATGAACACAGGTTTTTTTTTTCTCAAAAAAATACAATCGAAAACAATTTAAACAAGTCCCCATTCAATCCAAGTTGGAAGGGGAGGAACGAGCCCGCCGGGAATTATAATCCCAAATTAACCGGTCCAAGGGCCGGAACAATCCTCGCTGGACATACACCATATAATCCTCCCAGTATAGCTGGACTAGATCCCTCCGTAAGGGATCGATCCCCCGCGGATAATGGCAGTCCCACTCCGCACTATCCCAGACGCGGCAGGGGAAAGTCCTCCCATGTCCGAATTCGACGTGGTACGTTGCGACGAGCTGGATGTGTCGCTTGCGCAGGTCGGCGAGGAACGGATCATGGTAGCGGACGATATCCGGGTACCGGTGGAGGAGGTGTCTAATTTGGCGCTGGTACGGGGAGAGGCCCGTTCGACCGTTGCGGAACCATCGGCTGAACCGGTCTAGACGTAGCATGTTGGCGGTGTGGCCGTCCATGTCGTCTAGTTTCAGGTCGAGCATGAAGGAGAGCTCCGCCACCAGGTGGGAGATGTCACGAAACTCATCCAGGATGGGGAGGTAGTTGTCGCTGTTGCCGTTGTTGCCGTCGTTGTTGCCGTCTTGGGATGGGAGGACGCCCTTGAGGATGAACTCTCGGCTGGAGTTGATCAGGCTCCAGTCGATGGCATCGAAGAACTCTTGGCAATCCGCGCTGATCTGGAATTCCTGGATGCTTTTGAGGCTACAGAGCGGGATCAGGGCCATGAAATAGTCTGGGATGTCGAGGTCGCCGCAGCGAATGCTCGAGCTTGCCTGACCGTCTCTGATACTGCCCTGCCAGTCTTGTTTTCCCTCGCCTCTCTGGAAGCACAGTTTAAGGCTCTTAATTTTGGATGCCCGCTGTAGGATTCGGCTCAGCGCCTTCATGCGCTTCCACAGCGTGATCATCTGGCCGGGATCTCTCGGGTTCGGGGCGTGGATGTTGATGGTGAGGTCGACCTTGTGGTATGGTAGGGACTGGAAGCCGCGGCGGCGGGCGTAGCTCTGGGTGGGAAGGAACCAGTGTTTGTTCCATTTGCGTGAATAGATTTCGAGAAACTGGAGGCGCTCGAACTTCGGGCTGACATTCACGTCAAGAGAGATTCGAGAGTAGAAATGATGTGATATTTCCTCGTGGAGACATTTACTTGCGCGAAGGATTGATAGGTCGGTCTGGGTCGAGTCGTGGGGGCACAGATGGTCCCAGATACAAGAACGCATTTCAGGGGGCAGGTTGCCAAAATCGCCCAGGCCACAGTCTTGGATCTCCATGATATTAGTGGTCAAGAGGGTCTTGTTGATGAAAAAGTGTGACTGGAAGAGTGCTTGGATAGGCTTTTGGAGAGAAAAATGATTGGAGAAAGAAAGATGAGAGGAGGAATCCAGGCAAACAGCGTCGTCCTTTGGGGATAGGCAGACACTGTATGTAAATTGTTGCCTCGATGGTGAGGGAGGATCCATGGTTCTAGCGAAGTTGCCTGTGCAAAGAGAGGTACCCCAAAAAAATGTATATATCATTAGAGTGAAGAAAATCTATTCTATCCCCCCCCCCCAATGGCAGTGCCTGGTTAGCCAGCAGCAAATGTACTGACCTTCCTCAAGCGCTCGCCATGGTACCAAAGAAATATTGGCGCCGGCACACCGATAGCAATACATAAGAACGCTAGCAAGCTACTCCCCCATCCGTAATCCAGGGCTTGATACATGTAAGGAGCAAAGAGAGGGAACCCGAAGCCAGCGAGAGATCTTGTCATGCCGCTGGCTGCTAGTGCACTCGCGGCAAATCGAGTATATGCATCGACCAGGTATGTCTGGATACATTGGAATGTTATAATCGTCCCCATGGCAAAGATACAAGCACCGATGTTGGGGGCAATCCAGTGCTGGTTCGTCTGTGCCGTCCATCCGTAGATGAAGATTCCCACGGGAGTAAAGAAGCAACCGGCATATAACAAGGGCACGCGGAACTCTGGCCTGCCAACATCGTTGTTCTTCTTCTTCAAGTTGCGGTAGATCCGGTCATTCAAGGGAGCAGCAATCTGGCTAGCGAGCCAAAAGCCTGCCCCCAGAGAGATGTAATTGAGACCACCGATACCGATAGACTCGTTGTAGTGCTTCGGAGAAGTCCACAGCTGCGGGAAGACCGAGAGCACTAGATACATGATCCCATAGGTGTAGGCCATGTAAAGGGCCAGGACTTGGACAATGGGTTGCGTGAAGAGCATCCGAAACGGACGCACCAGGGCAGTCCGTATGACTTCTCCGAATTTCCTGTTCAGGCGCTCAAATTCGGTCTGGTAGGAGGGATCGCCCGTCTCCTTGCGGAGCCTCTTCGCGCGGTCCAAAAGCAGTTTTGGAGCGTAAGTCTCGCGAAGGAAAACCAAACCCGCAATCTGGATGACTGCGTCGGCAATTGAGACGGAGTAGAAGACCCAAGACCACGAGGTATTTTGGGTGATGAACCCGCCGACGATAGGACCGACGGCAGGGCCAAGCAATGGAGCAAGGGAGTAGACGGCGACAGACTTCCCACGCTGCTCCGGTTTGAAACAGTCGCCGAGGACACCGCCACCGATCTGTGAAGAAGGAGAAGTCAGAGTTAAGTTCTCAGAGAAGAGGAGGGGAAAAGGGAAAGGAGGGCTACTGACAGCAAGTGGAGCACTGCCACCTAGTCCAGCTAGAAATCGAAAGGCGATCATTTGCCCTTTGGTGTTTGCTGCACCGCAGGCGGTATTGAAAACTAGAAACCACAAGTTTGCAAGTTGCAAGACTATCACACGGCCATAGATTTCAGACATGGGGCCGAGGAAGAGGGGCCCGATCGCGTACGCCAGAACGAAAATGGACAAGGTCAACTGCGATTCGACTTCATTGGTTATATGGAATGCTTCAGCAATGGTTGTCAAAGCCGGTGCAATCATGGATGATGAGACTGGAGAGATGAAAGTAAAGCACGAGACGATGATGACGGCAGACCATTTCTTCCCCATCGGCCAGTTCTTCGGGTTCTCGGGATCATCGGGTCCATTCCACGTAACCTGTACGCAGCGTCCATATCAGCAACGGCAATTCTTTTCTTAGGGATGAAGTCTTACTAAAGTAGGATCAGGTTGCGATCCATGATTTTGTGCTGACAAACTCTGTGGTTTTTCGATGTTGGAGCGAGTGCGCCGAGCAGAGAGAACATCGTCTCTATCCAGACTTTGAAGGTCGAAATCCGACTCCAGACCCGATTCAGATTCCAGGTCTTGATCTCTCTCGGTCAAGATCCCCCCCCGGACCTCGAGAACCGGTTCATCGTCGTGTCGTCGTTGCTTTTCGATATCTGCACTGTCTGGTGTATAATCTGCTCGTTCCATCGTGCTCGAACGCCGCGACGAAGGCTCTGCCTTTTCGAGGTCGCTCATTGCCCGATCTATCAGTAGTAGTAGTAGTAGTAGAGAAACGTGTGAAGAGTGCTAAAGATAGGCCAAGCTATGGTGGAGACTAGTTGTGGTCACTCTTGAGCTATCTATGTCCAGACAAGTTGAGTCAGAACAGCGGATACGCAGGCAATTTATAGTCAGTTAAAATTCAAGACTGACGGTTCGTATCCAGCCAGTTTCTTATCACTTCCTGCAGCTCAACATTAGGTACGATTGTGCACGTCCGGAGTTTGGCTTCTCCGATATGATAGATGTCATTCTTCTCGCTATGGTCAGCCTCTTCAGTTCTCCACATCGGAGATTCAGTTACCTGACAGCTAGTAACGCCGTTCCTATTTATACTAGCCGACATGGCAACAGAGCAATCGCTGTGGCTCTTCGGGGATACGCCGAGCCTGCTGCTAAACGCCGTCGACACGGACAGACAGCAGGGGCAGTGACGGGTCATAGTGGCCAATAAGACCCTGTAACCCTGTCAGTCAGGGCAAAATGGCTTTATTGTCATTCGTGGATCACTCCATTTATGCTGGCTAGAACGGTAAATCTTTTGCCGACGCCGTCATAGCAGGGCCTATGAGGAAGATGAAGGCGTTCGGGGTACGAAGTCCCTACGGAGTGGCACTCCGTACCAGGGACTTGGGACTTGGAGATTCGGCAATTCGGCACAGTGTTGGTCACGTGAGGTTGACTATGTTCCTTCCTGTTTTGGCCATAGTTTGGAGGCAGGCACGTGTTTAGCACGTGACCTATGGATATAGCTTAATCTTATACTGTAGTTATAGGTATCATAGCACTTTAGTATAGATAGGAGGGCGCCAATCTAAGCTACCGGTAGCTACCTGGTACATACCTAGGTACGTATGTAGTAAGCTTATATCGCTGGGTTTCATTGGCAACGTGTGCACCGCTGCACTCTCCCCTCGGATTGGAGGTGTCGACCTTGGTAAAGACACCATGCAACTTCAACCGACTGTTCTCGAATAGATGAAAGTTGTGGGCATTTAGGCTTCTATCCAGTTGTTGCGTAAATATCGCCTAATCTTGAGATGTAGAGACATATGAAAAAACGGTCGAAATATAATACTATTCGATTTATCTACGGATTTAGGCGGATTTAACGACACCTCTTTGATAGAGGGTTAGCCTGGTTAGGTAATTTTCTGCCATATAATCCAGGCATCAGCAAGAAGGTAGAGTCATATTTGAATTCTTATATTAATTCCACTAATGCCTGTTAATCCCTATATTAATTCCTGGGTTGATGGGCTCTAAGGCTGCAAATGACTAAATTTACAATGACTTGAATTCTACTACACGATGGTCTCTTCCGCTGCTTCTGACCACATCTCCCATCCGCGTGGCAGAGACGGCCTTTTCAATGTTTTCTTGACGTATCTGAAGGTCCTCGCGGTGATTGAGGACTCCTTGCCAGGGCGAGCAGAGTCAAGGGAGATAGAAGAGCCTTTAGGAGGGTGGGGAGGGGTGCGCAGTGGACGTAGCGGAGATCCTTTCTGTGGTGATGGCAGCGCGGCCGTCATTTACAGCCCTGTCAGAGGTGCTTGGCCGGGGGTGCTTGGACGTGCTCCCAAAACCAGACGAGGGCGCGACACTGCAAACATTTGCAGCCAAGCAGAGGCTACAAGGCCCACCTAATAATCGCTCTCAGCTTCATATTTCCCAAACAAGGAGCTTATTGTCTGCATCTCTACTTATCACACCCGGAGAACTACTCCAGCCCAAGGGGCGACCAGAGAAACGAGCAGAGCACAAAGGTCATAAAACCCCAAAACGCTGCAGGGCCTGTATGTAACAGTGATTGGCCTAGTGGCTGGAGAAGCGAGTGCCGCAGACAGATTAATCTTATTCAAGTTCAATTGAGAGAAGTGAGATGGCCGACGGCTCAAATAACTTGAGTCTGCTTAGCTGTCTTTTTCTCCATCATGAGACACCCCTCCAAACTCCCACCCTTCCTGAGGCTTCTGAGGGGAAGCGCTTGTTAGTCCTAAGTCTTTGCAGAGCAAAGCAGGTGGCCTTGCCTTGATCGGGAAACCATATTCCAAATCAAATGATGGACGAGATGCTTTGGATGCAGAAGAGATGGGTGATACGCTAGATGGATGGTGATGATGAAGCTGTCTAGGATGGCGAGACGAAGCTGAACAGTGAAGAGGAGGCGCGGTCACGTGGCACTAAGGAGAGCCCCCCAACTTTCAATATTTCATCAAACTCTCAATTCGATGCTCAATTAGATAGCCTAATCTACTGGCAGTTACTACCGACCTACAGCTCCCCGCTCGGAGGATGTGAGGAATCATCACAGAATGATAAAGGGACTCGACTGTGCTCAATAGGACGCATCATTGTATACTCAATTTCTTTTAGATAAACAGTACTAGAAGGCATGGTATAACTTCCTGGACGAGATGATATTCCTGGCTATGGGTGGTTGCCCTAATCATTAGCCCTCATTCCCTCCTTAAGCTAAGTATGTGATGCGTACTGGTACTGAAGAATTCAGAGATGGTTTAAGGAGGAAGCGAACTTACCATTATACTAGTATTCAGAAGCAAATAACTGTGTTGGTCTTCCAAGGTTGGAGAGCTGCACCTTTCAAAGCTAACGCGGTATTTACACAACGCCTGCCTTCCCTCAACCCCTATCTCTTCAACAATTCTTCAATACTATCTACACATCATGGTGTCCTTGCTTTTTATTCTACCGATGTTCATCATCTATCGCCTTTTGAGACCGACTTTCCCTACCCTCGATGCGGTCTTTAAAACCATTGAAAGTCGACTTGAAAGGAGGGATCCCTGGGCGACAGCAACCCGCACGATAGCCAAGTTCATGACATCGAATGATGACCGGGATGCCCAGCTCAAGTTCCTTCAAACAGCAGATCGGCTGCTAGAATGCGAGTAATTTCTCCTCCAAAAAGCGATCTACCTTGACGAACGACACGAGGTGTTTGAGCAACGAAAGGAAAAGCAAGCTCTCACGGACGATGAAAATAATAGACTGGAGGATATCTATCAGTTATATGAAGATAACTCTAAATATATATGATGAAAAGGTGGAAAGACTACTTGGTCTCCTCTGGAACCCATCTTCTGGAGCCTGAATTCGGGAGAACCTTGCCTGGATAAAGAGAGGATATTTGGATATTGGGAAACCAGAATCTAAGGACCGGGGTGGCTGCTGTTCTCGAGGGGGTGGTTGTTGTAGCCAGCCCCGAAGAAGTCATGGATGGCTCATTCCAGTAGAGCCTCAGAAATTGTCACACTGTACGCATGGCTGTGGGTGTTATAGCCGCTGGCAGGGCTTCTATATGGGCTATGAAAAGCTAAAGCGAAAGGAGAAGTGGGGAATGATTTGTCCTATATCTAATGAATCCGGCCTGGTGGCGAGTTACTCTTCCGCCGAATATGAATGCTCGGATGGCCAGGTACGGTAAGATTGGTACTCGGAGTATGTCTCGCTTTCTTCAAAGAAGTTTTGTTGGAAGGCATTAACAGGGATATTCAACACATGTTCCTCTGAGTGCATGTCACCGAGAACTTACAGGATCTGGGAGATACCGAGCCAGGGAAAAGTTTCATAGCTAGTTCCTCTGTTGAGAATGATCATTCATAGCCAGAAAAACATCATCTCAACGACGCATATTTTGTCTAGACTATATTTGACTCCTGCTATTGTTCTGTGATAGAGCTCTAGACAATGCTAATGGCAGCTGCGCCGGTTGAAGCGACGTGAGTCCCATTGACCAGTCTGAGGTCTTTTGCACCTGGTCTGCAATGACATCCAGAGCCGAAGAACTCGACCCTGACCACAAGTTCCCCCTGTGTGACATCTTTGTGGTGGAATATAGATACAATCGCGGTCATCGAGCGATGATCCAAGTTGATAATCGCTAATACCCGATCGCCAGAAGACCTTAGCTTTCCATCCCTGTTTGTAGCCTTCTACCTCAAGCTGCTCCACTCAAGACTGTAGGACCTCGATTAACTTGACAACCTGTTGACGGTGAGCTTCTCATGGTTATGGATAGTCGATAGAGAACCAAGAGCGCTCTTTCATGTCTTGTCAGCTGAAGTCGATGACTTGATGGTATGAGAGTAACCCACCAAGACTCACCGCCGTATATGCAACCACAAGGCAAAGATTTGTATCACTCTGAGAAATTAAGACACTTTTAGTTTTATCCATGAGAACTCATCACCGAGGGATCAGGCAAACGGTTCGCTCCATCACAGAAGATGGCGGAGTCCGGAGGATTCCCTTCGTCCCTAAACGGCTTATCAGGATGCCCCCCCCTCAGACCGACGAGGGAACTGATAAGAGCCCAGCCGAGGCGGACATCGCCGTGAGGGGAGTGCATCACTTTAGGTGAAGAAATATCATGACAGTGGATGTGTGGTGACTGATTTGGAGGACGAAAGATCAGGCAAAGACTTGAGGTGGAATATCTTGCCCAGCGAAGTGATTGTTTCTTGAAACAACGCCAACACCGACGACGACGACGACAACGACGACAACGACAATATACGACTACAGCCTCGTCATGTCTTCGCAGACACAATACGTTGACCGTCCAATTCCTCAAATCTCACTACGCGACTTCGATAGCCGGATCGATGAGATCACGAGAGAACTGATCGACGCTGCTGAGAATGTCGGTTTCTTCACGATTGTCGACCACGGGATCTCAAAAGACGACATCGAGCATATGTTCGCCACATCGAAAGCCTTCTTCGATCTCCCCGACGAGACTAAAGCGACGGTCCCATGGAACACGAACAATGTAGGCTGGGAGAAGAACTCGCAGATCCGGCCGTCGACGGGGCAGCCAGATAGCAAGGAATCCTACCAGTTGCAGTTCGGAGAAAACATGGCCAATCTGTGGATGAGCGATGAGCACTTACCTGGATTCCAGGAGACATCGCTAGCGTTCATGTACCGCGTCCAGGATATCTCGGAGCGTCTGATGCGCTGCTTCGCGCGGGGGCTGGACCGCCCAGACGATTTCTTCCTCAAGTGGCACGATGTCTCGCAGCCCAACTCGCAGACCACCATGCGCCTTTTACATTATTTCGCACTCCCCGAAAAGCCGGACGGCAAGACATATCACCGCGCGGGAGCCCATGCCGACTGGGACCTTCTCACCCTTCTGTTTCAGAAGGAGGGCCAGAGCGGGCTCGAGATCTGTCCGGGGAGGGAGAGCGTGACCGAGTTTGGGATCGGCGACAGGTGGACCAAGGTCGAGGCCTGCACGGGAGAGATCGTATGTAACATCGGGGATCTGTTGATGTCCTGGTCGGATGATCGGTTCAAGTCGACTTTCCATCGCGTCAAGGCGCCGTGCGAGACTGGCGACTACTTCGGGGACCGGTACAGCATTGCGTATTTCAACCAGCCCTGCAAGAATGCTGTTATCCAAGGCCCGTTGAAGAAGTTTCCCATGGTCACAGGCGAAGACTTCACGGCCAATGCGATGAAAAGGAATTTTTCTGCGCTGCAGGAGAAGTTGAAGGCCATTGCAGCTGCTGTCTGAGACATTACCATATCAACTGTTCTATTTATTTACTTTTTATCATGATTCAAAGATCGAATACAAGCTTTGCCTTTCTTGAGCTAATCTTATATCTAAAGTTAACCTTTTATCTTAATACTAGCCTACTGTTCCAATTTTGACTTTGGCTTTATTTTATCCTTGTATATTCAACGAGGCCGTATTTCATTTTTCCCTCACAATCTCGATGGAATGAATATATGGCCCCAATCTCCCTCTCCTCTTGTAGCACAACATTTAGCAAGGCACCAGTCACCATAGTAAACCAAATAGAGCCTGGGTCAACCCTCTATCTCACCGCCATCTTGCATGGGCATCCCCCACGACGCCACGTTCGCCCTAGCCTAGACCGCCTCAAAGATCGCCACGATCAATGGCGCCCAGGGCCCTGGGACTGGGAAAAGAACGGGTTGCTATAGCCGAGGAGATCTTAGGGCTGTCCTCCGGAACCGGGCTGACGGTGGTAACTGGGGCCCTTGGGTATCCCACCCCTGATATTCACTGACGTGGCAAACCGACTCCTCCTCCAGTAGAACAAGAGGATAGAATCCTGCCTCACGCCCAGCAGCCCGTCAGAGGAATCTTTTGGCGATGCAACGTGAGACGAGATGGCGATAAGAGAGTGTGGGGAATTTGACTCCAGTCTGGAGGTATCTTTAGGTAGCTACTAAATAACTACTAACTATATTGCGGAGTTAGCGGTCTGGCTCTCAATAAGATCGACAAGGAGCTCTTAGTAACCCTTAGTACTCCGTAAATCCCTGTCAGGTCGATTGGCAAGAACCAGGAGCTGTCCTGGTAGTGACGTGTAGCGACTGGGAGGAGGAGGAAAAGAAAGAAGAAGAAGAGAGCGAGGAAGACTGACCCCGCCTGATTCTGGTTGTGATCACTGATCAGCACACCGCAACTGCACTATGCCATAGTTACCGCCTCACGTAGTGCTGTTGTTTTGTTTGATAGTTCTTTTTTCTCTCTCACACATCTCTCTCTGCTGGCCCATCAGACTGCAGAGATGAGTACTGCGACCATGGCTGCATCACTGCTTGGTCTGCCACGCGAAATTCGCGATGAGATCCTCACGCTTGCTATTTCCCATCAGCGGCCTATGCCTGGCAGTCCTTATCTCAACGGCGAGTCAAGAAATCGAAGAAAGCTAGAGGATATCAATTACAAATCGTGGTGTTTCGGTCCGAGCAACGTCAAATACGACAAGCGGGAGATCAAGAACAATCTCTTCGGCACACTTCACTCGCTGCTGCTTGTCAACCACCAGATCGCTGCAGAGACAAGGGCGGTGCTCACTCGCAGCCGCAAGGAATACACACTCGACTTGAGGGTCGTCAATGAGAAGGAGGTCTGGCCGACGTGGACGATGATTCCTGCGCCGTACCGACACCTCGACAAAGTGACGGCTACCGTTCGCCTCTTCGACTCTGGGAACAGTCAACAGACACGTGCCATCGATAGATATTTCCACACGGGCGATAGAACACCACCAAAGATCACCTGGTGCTTTTATACGGTACTCGAGCGGTTTCTTCGGTGCGGGCCTCTGGCTCCCTCTTTGCCATTCATCTCGCGATTTCTGGCGAGGCCCATCGGCTTCGACCAAGGCTTTACCATCAAGACCCTGGTTCTCGACTTTCTGTCTCCTCCGCCGCCGCCTCCCAAGAATCCCAAGGAAACAGTGAAAGATGGAGCATCGGATCTCGCGACGTCTAACGAGCAGGAAAGTGTTGACTCGATGGTGCTGTACAAGGCCGACTGGCTCGCCAACTTTGTCCAGATGTATATGAACGCGCTGCTCATGATGTCGTACCACACCGCTGCATACGGAGGGATTTTATACGAAAGAATCGGGAATATCGAGCTTCGAGTGGATGGGGAGCTTCTTAAAGCAGTCCCTCTCGACAAAACTCTGGCCGAACTGTGGTACAACGATCCCCTGGAGACGTTTGGTGAGGTTTGGCCGAGCGAATATCGCATCCCTGTCTTTCGAGCCTGGAAGAAGAAAGCCCTGTTAATGAGAAAGGCAGCGAATTTGCCAGTCATATGGCCAAACGAGGATGAACTTGCAGAGTTGGACCTGAGAGACTGCGACAAAAATTAGAGTGGGTTGCTATCAAATCTTGCCTGGGGGGTTAGAGTAGTGTCTATACTCTCCATACTGCTAATACCACTTATGAGACATCATTTAATACTTACCTGTTTCTTTATAATGGCCACTTGAGACTCTAAAGACATAGTCTCCTTGTTCTTCACCCTCCACAAAGAAGTAACTTGTGTTGTGGTTGGGATCTCCTTCACTCAACTGAGGGATGCCCACCTCACCGGCGCCAACTAAACAACAGTATCGACACAGAACAATCACACAAATAATTATAAATTCTGCAGATTTTTTTTTCTCTTTCTCTCTTTTCTTCTCTCCTACACCTCTCTCCTCATCTCCCTCCCATCTTTCCTTCGGTTTCTTGGATCACCACCGTTTTTCATAAGGTCAAGTCCTTTGCTACGTGACAAAAGCTCGCTCGTCACCATGTCTTTTGACTTCATAGACCTGAATGATATTGGTATGGACTACCAGGACCAGGGTCCCCAGACCTTCGTTGGAAGAGTTTGCCACGCAGGTAAGAGCCAACCTTTCTTCCTCTCTCATGGGTGATGGCTAGTTACTGAGACTCCCCATCAGCATCCAGTATGTTCTACGGAACCAAGGCCCTGGCTTACACCTTGTGGCTGTATACCTTCGACTGTTTCTACACCTTTATCCTGCCAGTGACTTTCTTCGCTCTTGTGGGCGCTCTCACCGGACGTCCCTTCACCTCGTCCCGCGTTGAGTCCGTCCAGATCGTACTGCAGCATGTTCCCGGCATGTTCATGTGGGTGTGGCTCAACGCCTTGCTGTTCAACGTCTATTCTCAACGCACCGACTTTGGCATTATCCGCGACCGTTGCGATAAGCCCTGGCGGCCTCTGGTCTCCTGGCGCGTCAAGACCCGTGCCGACTCGAACGATCTCTACATCGCGCTCATCCATCTCTGCTGCGCGTTGGGCTGGTACCTGGAAACCCTGACGACCACCATCCTGGTGATGTGTCAGGGATGGCTGTTCATCCGGCTCCGGTTGGGCGAATGGAACTGGATCTTCCGCTCACTGTCCAAGACACTGGTCATGCTCGGGTATACCGCTGTCGCAACGCAGATCGCCGCCGGTGGATCCCCCCTCGGCCCCTCGGGAACCAGCTGGATGGTCGACTTCGGCCTCGTCCTCTTCTCGACCATCTCCATCCTCGACCTGCCTGACCAGCACGGCGACGCAGTCACAGGCCGGCGTACCCTCCCCCTCGTCCTGGGTCAGATCTGGGGCGGCTTCATTCTCACCATCCCGCTTGGCTTCTGGGCTTTCTTCTTCCCCTCCCTCGTCGCTCCGCGCTTCTCAGATGTCTTCATCCCGCAGGCCGTCGTCGCCTTGCCTATCATCTGGAAGTTGTGGACTGCTGACCATTTTCTCGAACACAAAACCACCGCGTACTTGTGGGCAGTCTGGATCTGCATGTATTACCCGACCTACTTCGGCTTCTACTACTTGCACTAGATCGGACCCCTTGCCGGTTTGGACTTTCCTTCTCGTTTTGCTTCTGGAACTCGGGTCTCTCTCTCTCTCTATCTCTCTGTCTGTCTGTCTCTTTTGTTTAGCTCTGTTTATCGGACCAGAACAAAGGCGTCGAGAGGGGACTTACAGCGATAGAACTTAACGATGATGGAACCTTCGGTAAATGGAAAACACGGTTATGGAACTTGCTTTACGGAACACGGTTATGGAACATTCTTGCGATGATTTACTGGGGTGATTTGGATCTGTCTAACTAACTCGCCTCCCTGTCTGCCCGCCTGCATCTTTTCGGTATCCATGGATCACTCACTCGACACGGCAGTCAACCAGGTTGGCATGTATGTAGCAGCCAATATCAAACCCACTCACTACGAGAAAGAAAAACAGAAAAAAAAAGGCGAAAAAAGGGAAAAAAAAAGCACCCATTCATTGGCTGAATTGTACCTAGAGCTGTCTAGTCGACCACAATCTTACAACCATTCCAAGACGGAGTCCAAGTCCGTCCTTTTTGATTCCAGTCCAGGCTTTGATCCGGGACTCGATGTGAGCTGCATTCACATCGAATCCCGGGTCAAAGTACCTGGTCTGGTCTCAAAAAGGGTTCGTTCTTGGTCTCCAGGTCTACAGATTGGTTGGGGATGGATGGTCGGTTTTTTCTCAAAGACAAATTCGGGGAGTCAGGCAAGGGGGCGTTGGAAGAGGGAGAGTTATTTGCCGGTGGTTTTCTCGGACTGAGTCTGTGCGTGCTTGCGACAGATCTCCATGACATCGGCAACGATGGGACCTCCCTGCTCGAGGAGTCTCTTGAAAGCCGGGTCTGCGAGAGTTTGTTCGATGGGGACTCGCTCAAACTTGACCATCATGCACACCTTGCGAAGGGGGTCATTGGCACGAAATGTATTCTGATACGCGTATCGAATGTGCTTGGTTGTCAAAGTTGCGGGGTCGCAGAAGTCGGCGTGGTAGTTGATCTCACTGAGGACCTTGTCAAGAAATCCAGGCGCTTGGATCTTGTCCGCAAAGACGTAACAAGCAAATTCGATAGAGAAATCGTAGTAATCATTTGTGATCTTCCGGGCCAGCGCGGCGTTTCTTTCTTCAACCTCTTCACAATCGTCAGAATCTCCCTCCTCGTCGTCGCTCATTTCTTCTTCGCTCTCAGTTTCGCCCTCAGCGTCTTCTTCACTGTCCGTATCTTCCTCAGTTTCATCATCTTCGGTCAGATCATCTTCAGTCTCATCATCTTCAGTTTCATCATCTTCGGTCAGATCATCTTCAGTCTCATCATCTTCAGTCTCAGCATCTTCAGTCTCGTCAACTTCCTCAGCTTCCTCGATCTTCGCTTTCTTCTTGACCTGGGTCTTTGAGCTTGCAACGGAAGAAACAGGACGCTTCCTTGCGATGCCAACCGCGGCTTTTTCAACACCGCCGATGTAGTTCTCATCTTGCTCGCCAACACCGTGTTTCCAGAGACTCCTGTATGTATCCTGCGGACTGTACATTTCCCCGTGATAAAGCCATTCCGCGAAGATGGCGAAAGCCTTGACACTGTCCTCGGGAAATCTCACTATGTTGGTTTTGTTCTCGGGGAATCCAGTGTTCCGCAACATGGAACGAAAGAAGAGCGAGTGGCGACGAAGCAAACCACGGTGAATATGGAAGGGCCATTCAGTTGGACCCACCAAAATGGTGATGATGGGGGTACTCAAGTGTCTGAAACAATGAAAAAGAGGATATCAGTGATGGTTTCACGAGATGGGATAATGAAGATTGCAACACGTACCTCCACAAGCTGCTGTCGCCTGGGATATTTCCAATGTCAATTTCAGGGTCCCTGACAGGCCCCTTGTCGTGTTTTGCGAGATGACGAGCCAACACAACGAAGCAGTCCTCCTCTTGTTCGACATTAGGTTCAGGAGCCGTGCTAGTGGGCATCTCGGTAACATGGCCAAGAATCGGCGCGGTCTGTGTGGCTGCGGCCGTGGTCTGAGAAGATGAGGCTTCTTCGATTTGAGCATAATTCATAAGAAAGGTATCCATAACTTCTTGGTACTCGGGAGCCGTAAGGAAAGAGGGAGGGGGGGATTGCTGTGGGACAGCCGCTGGATCTTCATGTCCATAAAGTTCGAAGTTCGTACTAGACATGTCCATTTCATCAGTTGGAAGAATAATCAGGTCATCGAATGCTGCCTGTTCCGCGGAAGGGCTTTGCATGGATCTTGACAATGTGTAAAAAGCCGCCTGAAATTCTTCAGCTGTGAGGCCTCCAAAAGCTGGCTGCACCATAGTTGGGACGCTCATAGCAACTTCGGGGATGTAAGGAGCTATATGAGAGATCACAGTTGAGGATGAGGCCACTGAAAAGGGTGACTCTTGGATGAGGGCTCCGGCACCTGCAGCATGCTGAGGCACAGACGAGATGGTGGTTTCTCCTTCAGCTACTTCTTCAATAATGGATGTAGCAGAGACAGCAGTAGGCGATGAAGTGGTAGGCTGGGCTGGCTGCTCAATCAGGGAAGCAATGCTCATAGGCCCGAGGGCCGAAGTCGAAGCTGGTCCCTGCATGGAGCCGCGCTCTTCAGGTCTAGTCATTTGGCCAGCAGACGGACAGATGTCGTCGCAAGCAAGGATTAAAGACTCGATATTGCCTTCTGCAGGTTCCAGATTAACGCGATTGGAACGCGCGACGACGGCAAGAACGCGAGACAGGCGAGAACGAGGAGTTCCAGGAGAGGCGATGCGACGGTTACGAAGCCGGTTGCGAGCAGATGAATCGAATTTGGAACGGGCCATACGTCGGAAGAACTGCGAGAAGAATCCCAACAGCAAAAGCTTGATGCCTCGAAAGGCGAAAGACACGTAGACGTAGCAACAGAGGAGGAAAGAAACAAGATCAGACAACAGATGCCAACAGAAACAGCTATCCTTGTTGGAGAAGGGGAGGAAGAGGGTGGTAAGAGAGAAGAGAGAGGTGGGAGGAGAGAAAAAAACACGCCTCTTTATAGAGGCGTCGTGAATGTGTTTGCTCTGGTGAATATCCATCAGTCTTCGCTCAATATCATGAAGATGACGTAGGTGGGAATAGTTTGCTCAGCCTGTACCGGCCTCAATTTGCTTACCATCATTCACGTGGCCCATATTGGCTCTCACATCTCTTCTTTCACTTGTAGTACCTATCTGCACGCTAGAACTGAGTGGAACTCTGAGATATGGCCAGGCTGTTGAGGATTCGCAGGGTCCCCGGATCAACGTCCAGTCGAATGACTCCGTTGGAGGCCGGAGAAGGGAGGGAGGATTCGCGACATCCAGGATCACCTGTCGTTGGATGAGTTGTTTGGTGTGTTTGTTTCACCATAAAACATCCTTCAAGGTGAGAGTCAGAAAATCGTTTCTCTGAAGAAATCACAGGCCAAGTCCACAAGACTAGGATTATTATCTGTTAGATTGCTATCACTTGCTTGAGTCTTCGATAAATGTTTCTTCAACGGAAGTTTGGGCTCTCTATGGTCAGGTTAGAGATTCAACTTTCGAATTATCTATTCGTCCTATTTCCTTCTTTGTGCCAGTTCTTGTATTTTGCTAAATGATCAACACGTAAAGATAGTCTTCTTAATATACCTATGCCTTCTATATATATATGCCCTGAGTAATTATCGTGGTAGTTTCCTTCTGGGCTCCTGGGCAACACACTCCTTCCCTTTTCAGCCAGATCCCGGATGTCAAGTGTGCAAGCTTCTGATTGGATGAGATGCTTAGTCATGATAATGATTCTTTCAAATAATTGGAGGGATTGTGAAAATGAAATTAAGCTTATATTTCAACCAATCATATCATGTTAAGAAATCAACGTCAAGACACGCCATACCCCTTGGCAACCAGATAAATATATATATATAAATAGAAGAGAGATGTGATGCGGGCTACAATATGGGAATATTCATTGCTGTAAATCAATAGTTGTCTGCCAATTAAGTTTCAACTAACCAGCTAGAGTAAAAGAGAATATTATCTACGAAGACAGGATTTGCATGTAGTACACGGAAAAGGCAGTGACAGAGCTAGTTATAGATAGTCATGTATGAAGGCAATAGATATATGTATGTTATAATTAATCTATAGTAAGATTACTGCTCAATCAATATGAAAATCAGTGAGATTGGACAGTGAGTCAGGGTAAAAGAGGCGTTATGCCGCTCTATGCGACCAACTGGCATGGAGATTAATATGGAAACAAGATATTTATACTCAAGGTTGAATTTACCAGGTGGTGCCTTAATTTGGTGCCTGGATTATGTGGCAGATAATTTTCTTTTTATGTGGCCTAGCAGAAAGACTGTGGTGAATCAGCAGGGTTTATAGTAACTCATCTTAAGTATTCACTTAATTAGTCTTTCTTTATTCATTTACTTTATAATAATATATTCAACTTTCATATAAACCCTTACTCCTTCTCCTATTAGGTGGTAGTGACTATGGATCATGGATTTCATGGCTATCCGACTCGCTTTGAGAATACTCAACTTGGTGAAGCGAAGATATTCACGGTGCGTCCTTCGAATCTGGCTGAAATCTTTTTTACCATATTGAAGCCTTGTCATTGTCTGACCTTTCATCATTACCAGGAATAAAAATCTCCAATATCTGATTGTCCAGCGAAATTTGATCCATCACAACGACTACAGCTGCCCATCACAGATCCTTCCTATCTCGGTTCATCTCTTTCTACAAGTGAGTGGTACAACAGGCCTTCGGACAGAGTAAAAATTTTCCTCGCCATTTGAGCGCCTACACAGATTCATAAGCGGTAGTAAACGACTCTCTCGAGGAAAGGATTTCAGACTCGGAACACACTCTTACAGATGGACATCAGACCGGAGCCAAGGCCCTCTTTAAAGCCTCCTGCTCATCTGAAAAGGCTATTTGAGACAAGAAGATCCATCATCTGATCTTGATCCAGTTGGGGGATGAGACGGTTTCTTTTCTCCATTTGAATCAGATATCAGTGGTAGTCTTCATCCTAATACACTCCTCGCGGTACTCCTATAACATTTTATTGTAGCCTAGGAACGAGGGAGGATTTCGAGGGCGGAGCCATGGCTCTACAATAATAATTGTAAGGCATAAAAAGATAAGTGCTGTTTTCCAGAAGTATCACATGACAGTACTCTATCTATAGGGTACTACTTAACATCCATCTATTTCTCACCCAAGAAGGCTTCCACTTCAATTTCCACATTCTGGCCCGGAAAAGGCAGCGAGCTCACACCAACCATCGTCCAGATCGGCTGGTGATCCGGACACCACTTCTTGACTTGCGCAACCATGGCTTGGATGGTCTGTTCATGGATCTCCTCCTGATCAAGATTGGTATGGTACGTGCGGACTTTGAAGACACGATCCCAGCCCGACTTTCCCGACGAAGATGTCGGATGGTTTGCTTGTTCCAGTGCATGGAGAATGACTCCGTTGATATTGTCGAATGCTTGGCTAATTTCTTCCTCGAGATTTTCAGAGATCTCCATCGAGTCCAGCATACCGGCTTCACCACAACTTCGAATTAGCCCCCAGTCGATCCTTTTCCTCCCCTTCCAAACAGACCATCACGACTGCAAAACGGCTTACCTTGTCCTGCAAGTTCCAGTTTGTCGCCAATGATACAGCATTCGCTGAAGCCAAACTTATTCCGGAACTCCTCCCCGCGGCCAGGTCTCGAGTAGAAGGTGAGGTTTGACATGTTCCGTGACAGGATGTGGGATTCGTCTGCACTCGTTGATCTGATGATATTTGTTCCTTGGGAGTTCTCTATGTTCAAACAACAAAAAGAGAGAGAAGCTGTTATATACTGTTTAATAAAATGGGGGCCATTCATACAGAGTAGTTGTAGAGGGAAGGCCCCCCACCCTGTTGCTAAACGATCTCTCTAATTGAACAAGGAATCATAGACTGAATAACCTATTTCTATTTTTCTATAAATGAATTAGCTATATTAGCCATGACGTATCAACCCTGCTAACATGAATATGGTCGAACTGACCAGCCCCCAACTGGAACTTTCCAGTCATCCTGCGCGGGGTTTGGTGGAGGATCGAAGGATTCAAAATGCAACGTGAGATCTTATTCTTGAGTCGCAAGTCAGCAGAGAACCCCCTGGTATTTACTATTTATGCTAAAAACAGCCTAAAACGCAATGTCAGCTGCAAAAGATCGTCCGTCGGGGGGGGCATTCGTAACCAATTAATGGACGCCCAGTGACGCAGATAGGGAGCCTTGACAGGAAGACTTCTGTATGGAAGGAAATTAGATCTCTGCCGATTCAAAACGGACTGTATCTCCGGCTTGATGAGAGATAGGCTGATGGTTTATTTCAATCCCAGAAAAGTGTGCCATCGCAAAAGGACAATATCCTCTCAGCAATAGGAGAGCCCTCCAGAGCCAACTCCAGCTAACGTGAATCCATAAGAAAAGCTCTGTGAGACGGATTTCAGTCGATTATAAAGCTTTTATACTCGTATCTAGTCATTTTTCCGGGTTATTTTTTCGTCCGAGCAGGCAGGCTTCGACACGCCCTCTCCCACGACGGTGAGGTTGCTTCGATCGTATGAACTCATTCAACATTGATATCCGGGTATTAAACCGCCATGAAGTTTGCCTCAATGATATATGTGGTTTTGATCTCGTCTCAGGGGTTCGAAATGAAATGGCGTTGGGGGATTTTATCTCCGAGACATGGGTGTGGCCTGTTCATACTCGGCTCAGTGAACAACGAAGGACTGCGGGTGAAAAGGATACTGTGACCTCTTCCCAAAAATTATTTCTAATCCATCCCCAAGTATCCGTGAATATTTGGCCCCTAAAGGCTACTCCGTCGATGTGTGTTGATCGACGTTGTGTTGTCTGTTGGTGGTGGTTGTCCTCCCGATGCCAAAGAAGCAAAAACCTCGTCCCGCGATAGACACGTATCAGAACTGGCACTTTCATTCTCTCTCTTCTACCCTTCACTTGCTCACAGGCCAAATATTGCTTCAATTGCTAGCGTGTAAGAATTTAAAATTGCATATATTACAATCTTCTATAGCATCTCGCCCTTCAAAGAGTCGGAATACTGTCCAAATCGTCCGAAAATGAGTGCGTCGCCTCGCCCACGCGCAACGCCGGGCCTGGCGCGTCACGCTTCACGTCCGTACCACACCCCCAGCACTGGAGTTTTCGCCCTTTTGCCTCAATTTCTGGTTCCGTGGGCTGAATTGATGCACCTGAATCAGCCAGAGGGCTATCTTGCTTTTTATTGGCACTACGCCATCGGCCTGGCTTTTGCAGCCTGCATTGCGGCACCACACCCACCACCCCTTTCCGCATTCATCACAATCGCTGGCTATCTTTCTGTCTGGGTTTTCATCTTCCGCGGCGCAGTCTGCACTTGGAATGATATTCTCGATGAAGTGTTTGACTGGAAAGCGACTCGGACGCAGCTCCGCCCGTTATCGCGCGGGGCACTTTCCATGGCCCAAGCCCAGATTTTCCTCCTCCTGCAGGTGATTCTGCTTGGGATCCTTCTCATACCGCTTTCAACTGCTTGTCTTATATATGCAGACATTATGGCTATGGTTTTCGCTATAAACCCTCTGGTAAAGCGGATGACGCATTTCTCACCGTTCGTCCTGGGGGCCGGATTCGCCGTCCCAATCCTCATGTCTTGTGCGGCGTTTCGTGCAGACCCTCTACTGCAAGCTTTGCTAGGCATGGATCTAGATGAGGATGAAAATGAGGGCTCACGGGCATCTTCTGCCTACTTGGTCGGCGCTGCCTGCTTATACCTGGCAAGTTTGCTGACTACCGTCATTTTCGAGTCCATCTTCGCCCATCAAAATATCAAAGATGATCTGAAAACCGGTGTGAGGTCTTTAGCGTTGTATCTCGGACCACGAGCAAAACAGTGGCTCTCCTTCCTAGCATCGATACAGGTTTGCCTCACCCTCGCGGTAGGCTTTAGTTGCGGATTTTCCCTTCTCTATTACACGATCAGCTGTGGGGGGTTGGCAATCTCACTAGCATCTTTATTATACTTTGTGGATCTGACGAGCCCAGCGAGCTGCGCTCTTGTCTTCCGGCAAGGGTCAATAGCTGTGGGATTGACTCTCACCATCGGCCTTCTGGCTGAATACATGTATAGGTCATTACTGTCCATAGCAGGAGAATGACGGAACAACTAGTTGTTTCCACTTTCTTCATGGGTCTTTGATTACTTACCCCAAAATTACCAAGACAGCGACAGGAGAGAAATATCTTGCCAGTCTATTCCCTCCGAAAAAGGAGCAGCTGGTCTGCCTTCACAATGATTGGTTGCGTCATTTACACCATTTCGGATTATCTATATGAAGTACAATTTTCTATATTCTTGGCCCTAGGTTTTCAATCAGCCTTAAAAGACACGTCCATCCGTATACTCCATCTTGAATGCTGGCTTTAACCTATTTCCATGGGTAGTGGAATCGAATTCCAGAGAATTTCGCTGATATCATCCACGGATCATCAAAGCAGTGACGCGGGACTGAGGTACGCGCGGACGACGTCGTACGAAGGACACTGTTGATCTTTCTTTTCTTTCATCCGCCTCGCATCTCTACTATATCTCTCCATCATCTATTTCCAATCTGAAAATAGTGGTAATTATTATTATCCCTTCTGTTCATAGACAATGCCCAACAGCCGGACCGAAGCTGCGAAGCACAGCCTACTCCCGACAATTATCGACGACCTTGCCTGCCAGGAACCAGGCAGTATATGGGGGGAATATCCAAGGTCTGAGGCCTCTCTGAAATACGGCTATGAGAAGATTTCGTATGCACAGTTTGCCAATGCGGTCAATGGAGTTGCACACCAGTTGGAGAGCACACTCGGTAGGAAAGACACAGGAGAGCCATTGGCATTCCTGGGCTCCAATGATCCTCGCTGTCCTATTGCCTTGATTGCAGCCATCAAGGCCGGCTTCAAGGTTGGTCGTTCACGATTTCTTCCCTTGACGGCAGATTTTTCTCATCTTGCATGTCTAGCTTTTTCTCATCTCGGAAGGAAACAATCTCACGACCAATATCAAACTGCTTGACGATGTCCAGTGCTCAACTCTGGTTACTACAAGCAAACTCCTGCCACCTGTTCAGTCCCTTCTGGCTGAGAGAACCATGACTAGCGTGGAACTATTCCCTCTTGAACTTCTCTTGAATAACCCGCACTCTCCATATCCCTTCACGAAGACCCTTGACGAAGCGGAGCGAGATACAGCCTTCATGACTCACACGTCTGGGTCTGCAGGTGACAAATTTGGATGCTTATTGTTAAAATGGGTGTACTGACTTGGCTTTAAATAGGCTTTCCCAAGTCTATGTCTGTAAGTCATAGCTATGTCGCTCGTGTGGCACAAAATATCGGGCTAGATGCCCCTGAAGGTTACGAAATGCTGAGCTCGATGATTGGAAACAATCGAAGTGTTGTATTGACCCCTCTGGGCCATGTAGGTGTTGGACCTCCTTGAATAACGTGCCATACGAGATCTCTAATTTTTAACGTTGTTCCTAAAAGCCTGCAGGTGTACACTTCGGGATTCTGAATCCCTTCTTCAACAACACAACTGTCATACTACCTTTGCCCACAGTGTCACCGACTGGCGAAGCTCTTCTTGATATCTTGAAGAACTGTCACGCGGACTGGGTAGTCGCGGTGCCGCTGACTCTGGAGACCATCTCCAAAGGCACAGCCCTCCTAAATGATATCGCGCGTCATGTGAAGCTGCTCCTCTTCTCTAGCGGTAGCCTTTCCAGTAACTCTGGGGATACCATCGCGTCCAAAATCAAGCTCGTGTCTTTAGTAGCCTCCCCTGAGACGGGGCCGCTGCCGACAATGTATCGATATGGATATAACTCTCAAAAAGACTGGAATTATGTCCGGCTCCATCCGGCCCTGGGGGCAAGGTTCGACCCACTACCCGGGGATGTGTTTGAACTTGTCTTTGAGAGGTCACCTAAGTGCGAGTCTCATCAGACAGTCTTCACTCTCTATCCGGATTTAGAAGTATATCGAACCAAGGATCTGTTCACCCCTCATCCCTCTCTTCCAGACACTTGGACTCACGCTTCACACTCGGATGACATTATTGTCTTTCTCAGCGGCGAGAAGGCCAATCCCATTGTTTTTGAAAGTTATGTAGCCAGGAATCCAGAGGTTTCTGCGGCCTTGATGTTTGGCCACCAGCGCTTCGAGGCCGGGTTACTGATTGAACTTAATTATCAAGACACGCTTACCACGCTGGAGAAGGCGCATATCATGCAAAGAATTTGGCCGACTATTGAAGAGGCAAACGAGCTGTTACCAGCCTACACCCGAGTCTCAGAGTCGCATGTTTGCTTCACAGATCCTGGAGTTCCATTCATCCGGACACTGAAGGGATCAATTCATCGACAGGCGACCCTTCAGCAGTGCTCTGATAAAGTCAATCAACTTTATATAGATGTCGAAGCAATTTGGACTCCAGTATCCAGACGGCCTAACATAGGCGCGATCGAGAAGGTCAAGGAGCTTGTGTCGATGTCTGTAAGGGAGGCTACTGGATGGGAAGATATCCAGGAAAAAGACGATTTTTTTATCCGTGGGATGGACTCACTACAGGTTCTACATTTGGTGAGACTGTTACGACAGAAAGTATCCATTCGATCCATCCAGCCAAGCACAATCTATCTGACCCAGACCGTTTCTGCTCTTGCAACTACCTTGAAAACAATGGCCCGTGACATGGAGTTCGCCGCAGCGCGAAAGAAGGAGCAGCAACTTCGAGATAGAATAGGCATGCTAAAGAAACACATGCATGAGATCGATCTTGTGGCAGACAACATCCTTTCTCAGGGAGTGCGTCGCGGCTACACGAGTGCAGCCAGGGAGGATAAAAGACATACGGTTCTCCTGACCGGTTCAACCGGTTCCATTGGGTCGTTTATCTTGAACACCTTGATCAGCGAGCCTCGCATTCGACACATCTACTGCTTGAACAGATCAGCTAACCCGGGCACTTTGCAAAAGGAACGCAATGCCCTGTTGGATTCCACTCTCCCAACCGCCTTTGCAGTCGAGAAAGTCACTTTCTTGACTGCGAATCTGTCTGAGCCACTGACCTTGGGTCTCCCTGCCATGATCTATAAAAGCATCAGTGATCAAGTGACACTCGTGATTTACAACTCCTGGAATGTGGACTCCCATCTTCCTCTCACTGCGTTCGAGTCCCCGCTTTCTGGGGTTGTGAATCTGTCCGCACTATGTGTCCACTCTACTCTCCAAGCCGCCTTCGTCTTGATCTCATCCATCAGCGCAGTCTCGCAATTCGACGTCACCAAGTCTACCAACTGCAGCGTCCCCGAGACCATCATTGAAAACATCGAGGCCCCCGCGGCGAATGGTTACGCGGAAAGCAAGTATATATCGGAGCGCCTTCTCGCCCATGCCACAGCGAAACTTGGCCTGCGCAGAGCTGTGGTCCTACGTCTCAGCCAGATCGCCGGGCCTGCCCGTTCTGATGGACGCTGGGACTTTGACGACTGGATTCCAGCGATGATCATGGGATCCAAGTATCTCGGAGTGCTGCCCAGCTCGCTTGATGGCGACGAGCAAGATAGCCACACCCACCAGGCAATTGACTGGCTCCCTATCGACGAACTAGCTGACGTGGTAGTTGAGATCGGCCTACAAGCCGCAGATCAGTCGTTGAGCCTTTCTTCTTCTTCTTCTTCTTCTTCCTCTTCTTCAAACGATGAGCACATTCGTGTCCTTCACCCTTTGAACCCATACCGAACAACATGGAAAGCATTACTACCCTGTGTGAAGGCTACGCTGGAAGAAACTGCCTCGCTGCAAACTACCATTGAAGTTGTACCCCCAGGCGTCTGGATCACCAGACTACGCGCCAACGCGGCAGCCCTGCTGGACGGGAGTGCGTCGGACGAGACGCGCGAGGCTATTTTGCACGCTAACCCGGCTCTTCAATTACTGGATTTCTTCGACGCCCGATTCGGCGCCCCGGGAGGCGACAAAGCGATGCGCGGAGATCTGCAGTGGGAAACCGTCAATGCAGAAGAGGCAAGTGCTAAACTGCGGTCTGCGGCTGTGATCGACGGAGCGATGATGGCGAGATGGGTTCGGCAGTGGTGCGGTTGAGCCTTTTTTTCTCTTTTCTTTTCTTCTAGACCTATAGATTCTGCATCGGAGAACTCACAGATTGGGAGTTAACTCATTCTAGTTGGAGAGCCTCTATTTTCATTATTAACGCGTTTTTACTCGTAATCAATCTCAAATGTTATGCTAGATCTTATAAATGCCATACTTTCCAGAGGCTGAGACGAGAGGGCTTGATTAAAATCATACGAAGCAGCAGCCAACCATGTCTAAAACACTATATTCAAGACTTCCCCTTGTCATCTTTCAGCGTGACGATGCGGTTCAGCACGATCTGGTCGTCTGTCGAGTCCTTGTCAACGGTGAAATACGCGACCCGCATGCCCTGGAATCGGACGGTCCACGGCTTCGGAGAGCCGTCAGTATTGCTTTCTTCGACGTCCTTGGGCCAGGGCGCGGATTTCTGGATGTCCCGGAAGCCCGTCTCCATAAACGCGTTCTTGTAGATATTTTCCGAGTCCGCGTTCAGATCCGCAAGGTATCCGTCGGGGTGGGCGCTGGGGTCCTCGGATTTGAACAGAGGGTTGAAGGCACGGACCTCAGCCTTGATCGGGCTGTTGTAGGCGGCGGACTCACCAACCCAGTGAATGTAACTGGACAATCGATTAGAGATATACTTACTTGGAGATTAGGACAGAGTTTGACTTGGTCTTCTTACCTCTTGGGCTTCTTGAAGGTAGCACCTTCCTCTGGTTTCTCGTACTTGGCGTAGACACAGCTGACCAAACCAGTCTCGGGATCTTTGTCGAAGGAGGTGGCGGTGATAGGGAAGGGAACCTTGAGGAGACCGACAGACTTTCCGGGGGCGAGACGGAAGAAGTCAGATGAGTCGACCTCGCGGAAGTCGGAGCGCTCAATATAAACGGTCTTGGTGAACGGAACTTTGTGTGTCTAGAGAGAAAGCGTCAGATATTTTGCTGCATCAGGGAAATACAATAAAGGCACCTACTCCAAAAGCAGGATCTTTCGAGAACGGAACTTCCACTTCTTCCAGGTAATCATCGGGGAGGTTGTCAATAACCACCTTCAGTGGTTCGAGGACCAACATCAGACGGGGCACTGTCGCTTCAAGGTACTGGCGGATGGCCTGGTCGAACTTGGCAACTTGGACGTTGGAGTTGTTCTTTGTGACACCGAGGCCGTTTACAAAGGAAAGAATGGCGCCTGGAGGCACACCACGTCTACGAAGAGCGATCAGGGTATAGAGTCTGGGATCGTCCCAGCCGCGAACATGACCTCGGTTGACCAACTCGATGATCTTGCGCTTAGAGAGAATTGTGCCTGTAATGTTCAGACGACCGTATCTAAAACAGTATCAGTAATCCGAATAAGAAAGTAGTATAAGGCGAGAACAGACTCTCTCTGCATAGGCTGGTAAACGCCCAGCTTGTTGACCAGCCAGTCGTACGACACACGGGACTGTTCGAATTCTGAAGATTGTCAGTTGAGAATAAATGAAAGAATTCAATCTTTCCTACCTGTGGTACACAGAGAATGGGTGATGTTCTCAATGCTGTCACACAGAGGGTGTGCAAAATCCTAAATCTTGTCAGTAACAAGTCGGCGTCGAGTCTCAGAAAGGAAAAGCAACATACATAGGTCGGGTACATCTTCCATTCCGCTCCAGTCTTGTGGTGCTGCTTCTCTTCAGTATCCAGAATGCGCCAGGCAAAAAGATCCCACATCTGAGGGTTCGGATTGGTGATATCCTGCTTCATGCGAAGTGCCGCCTCTCCGGCCTTGTATTTACCCTCCTTCATGGCTTGGAACTCCTTCAGAGATTCTTCAATCGGGCGATCACGGTGGCTGCAGGCAAAACGTTCCTTGCCAGTGCCCTCTCCTCGCTGGACCTTGATCTCAGCCTCTGTAAGACCTTGTCAGCTCTTGTAACAGCGTTCCGGGCAACCTGCCAACAACGTACTAGAGCAGTGGCAGACGTAAGCTCCATCTTTCTTGATCAGATCCACCGCATACTCATACAGCTGCTGGAAATTTTCGCTAGCGCTGGTGCTCCGAACCGGCTTGAACCCCAGCCAAGAAACCATCTCCTCGATCGCCTTGTAGTAAACTTCATCTTCTCCCGCTGGGTTTGTATCATCGTACCGCAGAATGCACTCGCCACCACGATATCTCGCAAAGCCGAAGTTGATGGCAATGGCCTTGCTGTGTCCGAAATGAAGGAATCCGTTCGGTTCGGGAGGGAATCGAGTGATGATTTTCGGGTGCTTCTCGGAGATAGGGCGTTCCTCGTACACGTCCGCCAGAAACCCGACCTTGAACATATAATCGGGATCCTGGGGCAGATCGACGGTCTCCGGCTTCGCGGCCTTGGGCTTCGCACCTCCGTTCTTGGGAGGAGCCTTTTCCTTTGGCTGCTTGGGAGCCTTGGCCTTCTTCGGAGGCTTTGCATCCTTGGGCTTCTCCGACGGCGCTGCGCTCCCAGCCTGGGGATCAGCCTTGGGGACTTCGGCCTCCTTGGGCCGCTCGGGCAGCTCTGTAGTGTTAGCAGGAGCACTCATGGCTGCGAGAACGTTTGCTGTGCTTGAGAACTCGAAACAAGAGCGTCGTGAGGGGCGTTCGTGATTTTCGGCGGGCAAGACTCGCTTTGGTGGGGTCTGGTGGGCGATAAGAGAAAACTGGTCACGTGGCTCTGCTCCTGCCCGATCGAGTCATTCGAGGCAGCAGGAGAACTTCGCGTCGCTCCGTGACTCACTCGACGATACCTGGATACGATCTAGAAGAGCGGTTTCTGTTCTGAATGAGTCAAAAAACTGTTCTATTAACATCAAAGGAAGTCGAGGCAATGATAGTATGAATGATAAGGGCTTCCAATCGGTGAGACTAGACATATTTTGACCGAGCTATGACTCAGATAGTCCCCTATGCTAATAGAATGGACAAAATAGAAAAGGCCCAGTGCATTTTACGGGGCAGAGAGACGCTGATAGGTTTCTCCAAATGCTTTATACCATCGATCGACGACATTCTCGCTCATTCCTGGCGCAATGACCTCGTCACCCCTCTCTAAGCGGGGACAGACGATATCCATGAACTCCTCGATAGATAATGCATTGGGATTTTTGTGCTTTTTGCTGTCATCTGGATCTTCTCGATCTCTGTGAAGATCAGTTCCGACCGCTGGCGGGATGATTTCAATGACTTTGATGCTATCGTATCCGCCTTTGGCGAGTTGCGAGCGAAGGTTCATCGTCCAAAAATGTAACCACGCCTTTGTCCCATAATAAACCGGGTTGATGACCGAAAAAGGGACAAAGCCTAACAGGGAAGAGACGTTCATGATTGTCGCTCCGCCTGGCCGGTTCTTGAAGTGTTCCAGTAGGCCTAGCGTTAAATGCATCGGGCCACGGATATTGATATTGATCTCTTCATCGGCTTTCTCAAGGAAGGTCTCAGGTTGGTCCTTGAGAACTTGCAGAGGACGTTGAACTCCTGCATTGTTGATGAGACAGTCAAGGTCTGGGTGTTTCTTCGTGACTTCAGCGATGAAGGAAGGAATTTGATCGACTCGGCCCGTGTCTAAGACAAAGTAATCGGTCGCGCCTATTTCCTCCATAGTTTCTCGGAGATTGGACTCAGTTCTACCGGCCAGAATGACCCTTTTGCCCTTGGATATGAGGTAGGATGACAACGCTTTTCCAAGACCGCCGCCTCCACCCGTCACTACAGCGCAGGAAAAGGGAAGCACTTCTGAGGTCATTTCAAGCTTTTAAGTGATCGTTTAGTAATTAGAAAGAGTGAGTGCGAATTTGGAAAAAACCTTTCTGATTTCTCGACTGGTTAAATTATAGGGGACTTACTCATATATGCTTACTGGGTTCACCTCATGCAGCTTATGAGTTGACGTCATCCATCCTTGTCTTCTATTTCCCCTCTTCCAATATCAGATGATACTTGGCCAATCGTCTCCCAAGGGTTCCTAACTAGATGTGTTGTACCAGAAACTTACGTTATACTTTATCTCGAGTTGAGTGCTACCAAGGTCGTGCTAATCAGAACCGCCATCTTTATGCGAAGACTCACTCGACTCAGACAAATTTCCCATTGGCAATTTTACATACAGTATGTCATTCAGCTATAATTCTATTTCGACCATGATGTCACAGGAGCAGGATAACCTTGCGGGCTTGATGTTTTTCAAAGACCTCATAGCCCTTTGGAGCCTCTGATAGCGGAATCCTATGCGTGATGAAGCTCGAAAATTTATCCAGGTTGTCTGCAAACACCTTCAACGATTCACCGAAGACTGGGCGAACAGCTGCGCGTCCCATATTGATGCTGTTACAGTTAGCCCTTGCCAATGTGTAGAAATACATATTCAAGAACATGCTTACTCGAGATTCTTGGAGTACGCCTCAAGACCAGTGTACGGAAGGTCTGACTGGTGGAAGCCAATCGAGGATATCACACCGCATGGTCGAACAAGATCAACTGCGAGTCTCATACCGGATTTATTTCCAACACTCTCCACAATGGCATCAGCACCGCGGCCGTCCGTGACGGATTTGATGATCGCAGGGATATCATCTGTCCCCAGCTTCAGGGTCTTCGCACCCATCTCGCGGGCTGCTTCCAAACGGTCCTCCACTGAGTCGACGGCGTACACAGTGCCTACTCCAAGCACTACTGCTGTCATAACCGCACAGAGACCGACGGGCCCACATCCCAGACAGACGATCACCGATTCCTCCAGCGTCTGGCGTATGAATTTTGGTTGCAGGGCAGAGGGTGCATGGAGGCTACCACCGATGATACCTTCTGCGGTTTCAGTGTTGCGAATCAACTTTGTAACGGCCTTCATAGCACCATAATACCCAGTGGGAAAGATATCACACATGATGATCATCATTTCGTCCGGCACCTCGGGGGGTATAAACTCGAGCGTGCTATCTGCATATGGTACTCGAACGTATTCCGATTGTCCTCCGTCCAATAACTTGGTTCCGAATGGAATGCCATTGACGCATCGATTCGTGTACCCGTGTTGACAAAACCAACACTGCATGCTTTGCTACTGTCAGCAGGACCAAACTCCTGTCTATTTCTTGGTGATTCAGGGAGCTTCGCTTACCACATCGGCGAGAAGATTGACATGACTTTTTGACCCACTTTGAAGCGCTGGACTCCAGAGCCAACACTCTCAATAACGCCGACAAATTCGTGGCCCATTATGTGTCCAGTGGTGGTCTCCTGGTGACCGCGATACATGTGCAGCTCGCTGCCACAGATACCTGCAATCTCAACCTTGAGAATGGCATCTGTCGGGTCAATAATCACTGGCTTTGGTCTCTCTTTCACAACTATGTTGAAAGGGCCGTCAAAGACCACTGCCTGCATTTTTGGTTCGCTCATAATCAGATAATATTGAAGTGTGTGATTCAGAAAGGCTGATTGAAGCCGGTTTCTGAGCCGCTATTTTCAACTCCTCTGTGCATCGACGCCATGATTTATACTCCGGCAACCCCGAGTGTCAGCCTCGTACAACTATTGCATACAATGAACCTTTGGCGTCGGGAATACATCCGGAGAACCCTTCACCTGATGTTGAAGCGGGGATCGGACGTAATGAGGGGTAGTGACTCGTTTGTGTATGCTATCGCTGCCTATCTAGCCCACCAGAAAAAGAGTGGTTTCCAGTCCATGATATTCAACCATGAGAAATCGCCAGGATCCTTTTTACTGAAAGAAAGATTGGCTATTATTAATAACTACTACTAGTTGTCACTACTACATACTAGTCATCTGTGCGGGTTGCAACATGGGTGATGCCAAGGTCAACTCCACTTGTCCGGTGGAAATACCGCAATAATTTCACGTGCAGGATGCAAGAGTCCCTGCTGCCAATAAATATAAGAGTGGTTGGTGCCTATAATATTATTTTAGCCTGTGTAAGTGACAGGGTGTCGCTCTTTCGTCCTCCAGGCTGTCGCATATTGAACAAACCATGACTTCCTTCACAGCTGTGCCACCAGTCTCTGAACTGACTAAGCTCTACATTAATGGAGAATATGTCGAGGCCAAGTCTGATAAAAAGCTCACTGTTTATAACCCCAAGGATGACTCGATAGTGTCCGATCAGGTTCCTATTGCCGGCGTTGAGGATATCGATGCCGCCGTGGATGCCGCCGAGAAGGCATTTCACGGGCCTTGGAGCCAGTTCAGCGCTGCTCAGCGATCCGCCTGTCTTCGGAAGCTGGCCGATTTGCTTAATGAGCATTTGATCGAAATTCTGACGCTCGATACCCATACGACCGGCAATCCGGTCTCACTCATGCCAACTAGAGAGAAGACGTACATCATGAGCCACCTCTTATACTATGGTATGTCTCCATATACCATCTTCATGTTTTTCCTCTCTGTCTACCTTCTCGACCAAATTCGGTTCTAATCGTTTGATTATAGCTGGGTGGACCGATAAACTACGAGGCGATTACTTCCCCGCGGATGACGGGTTTGTAAAACTGGTTCGCCATGAACCTCTTGGGTGCGGTTGATACATGTTTCCTTTAGTCTTCCTTTCTCCCCCGAAACTGGCAGATTATATGGATGATATGAAGCTGATTCCAGATAAGAGTTTGTGCAGGCATCAACCCCTTCAACGCTCCCGTTGCGACCTTGATCATGAAAGCCGCCCCCTGTTTAGCCACCGGAAACGTGCTGATTATCAAACCGTCCGAGAAGAGCCCTCTGGGTTCCCTTGCCGTGGCACCTCTTTTTGAGGCTGCGGGATTCCCGAAAGGTGTTTTCCAAGTAGTCACCGGCGCAGGGGAGACGGGCGCATTACTTGCCAGTCATATGCGTATTCGAAAGGTACGCGATTGCCATGCTAGACAGCAGTGTCGGGCCGATAAACTGATTCCTTTCCCCCTTCCACCATTCTAGATCAGCTTCACTGGGAGTGTGCCGACCGGGAAGAAGATCCAGATTGCAGCAGCACAGAGCAATCTGAAGCGTGTCACTCTGGAGCTGGGCGGCAAGAGTCCTGCTCTGGTCTTCGAAGATGCAAATCTGGATAATGCGTTGACATGGTTAGTTTTCTTCAAGGGAGCAGAAAATAATTTGAACCATCAGCTAAGACCAATCGGGATTCCGCTAGGACGGTGAATGCCATCCTCAACCGCTCCGGACAAGTCTGCGTCGCCGCCTCGCGCGTGTACGTGCAAAAATCTATCGCCGACAAGTTCATCGCCGAGTATAAGGCCCGGATGAAGGCTGCTGTTGATGGGATCGGAGATCCTCTTGAAAAGGCGACTCTGATGGGGCCTTTAGTTGACAAGGGAGCTTTGGAGCGAGTCACCGCGATGATCGAGCGCGGCAAGACAGAGGCCGAGCTGGTGATCGGTGGCGTGCGTCACGGCGAGCAAGGATGTTTCGTTGAGCCAACTGTCTTTCTCAACCCGAAGCAAGACGCGCAGATCTATACGGATGAGATCTTTGGACCTGTTGCCATCGTCAAGACCTTTGAAACCGAAGAAGAGGCGCTCCAAATGGCAAATAACACCGAGTTCGGCCTCATGTCCGGTGTCTTCACTCGAGACATCAACCGGGCGATGAGACTGTCGGCTAAGCTGGACTCGGGTGTCGTGGGTGTCAACTGCGTCAGCTACGTATGTACCGACTATATTGTTAACTTCCAATTCTCTCACTTGTGAAATTGATTGTATGCTGACCATCCTTCCAGATGAATGTTCAAGCCCCATTTGGCGGAAGAAAGCAGTCTGGCATCGGTCGTGAGTTTGGAGAATACGTATGTTAATTCCCGAGCCATCCTCTGATCCTTTGGTTTTGCTTTGAGTTGTTGACGAATCTATTAGGCTCTGCGAGGGTTTACCGAACCGAAGACTATCCTAATCAAGTGAGAAAAGCCCCCATTGAACTGTTGGTACATTAGCTTACAGTATGTGCAGCATGAATTCATAGTTGTGTTTTGATGGAGAATTGGTCATTTTGAGTATACTTTAGGTAAACATTTTGATCAAATAGCAATCCTATTCCTTTTGAAATACAGTATTTCTCTCAAGTACATCCCAACCAAACAAACCAGAGTAATTCATTAATAGTATTTTACATTTCCATTGAACCTCGCTGGATCCTACCCGGGCAAAGTGTTTTCCCCCCCCGCGCCGCCCCCACGGCGCCCCCCGCATTACCCCACCCCCTCCGCCAGGCTATCAGCGGGAGATAGCGGAGATAGCAAGCCAGTTCTATATTACCTTTAGCTATCTTATGGTTCATAACCTTCTAGATTTTATAAATAGCTGTATATTTATTGATTATTTATTAGTTTAATAGTCTCTTATAGTGACCTAACTTGTGTGATTCAACCACCTGATAGTCAGATTAGTATAGTATCACTAAGACTAAGTAAAATATGTAAGTCATGTACAGAGTACTCTATACCTTATTATTTTACAACTAGCTAGTCAACTGTTCATTGACTAGGTAGGTAGCTTAAATTGACTTTATTAGTTCTTTTTATCCTTAGCTAGTGATATATGTATGTCTGATTCCTATAAATTACCATATACGACGACAGCTCTACTACAAGCATTAAAAGTACAAGGAACACAACAGATGGAGTGATCAAGAATCGTAATGATATATCTTTGTAATGCCCCTCATAGGCCGGAGTTGCTACTTTCGGCGTTCACCAGTCCAGTAGCAACGCGCCTTGTGTATGGGAGCATCTACGTGGATTTCGAGGAGACCGCTGTCTAATCTACCGGGCTTACATATCAACTTGGGTGGGAAGGGAAGATGGGAAGACCCTTCATGTCCTGAAGAAATATGGGCTAGGCTATCTCCAAAATGATTACTGTGTGTATGTGTGAGAGTAATTGGTTATTTCTAGTATATCCTAGATATAAGCATTGATTACTACGCTGGAGTCATTTATGTAGTATGCTCACAGCGACGGAGTATCAGTGGAAAACTCCATCCTAGATGGAAGAGTCAGTATTTTTGCAGTTATATGAGACAGATACAATGGCCGACTCACCCGTGGGGATAACGATCACCGGCGAATTCGCTCTCCTCAATACGCTTCCGGATCTCCTTGATCTCTTCATCGGTGAGCTTCACGTTCACTGCGGCCGCGTTCTGCTCTAGATACTTGATCGTTCGAGTGCCAGGGATGGGAATGATGTCTGGTCCCTGAGCAAGTAGCCATGCCAGAGCTACCTGAGAGGGAGTGCAGCCGTGAGCCTCGCCGATTATCTTCATCGTCTCGACGACTTGTAGGATGCGGTCAAATCCGGCTTCATAGCGTGGAATCATGAGACGGAAGTCCTTGTCACCGAAGGTCTTCTTCGGCTGAAATTGACCAGTCAGCAGGCCTCGGCCCATCGGGCTGTATGCGACCACAGTGATGCCCAGTTCGCGGCAGGTCTGGAGCACATCGGACTGCGGGGGCTCGATATCTAGGCAGAACGGACTGTACTCCATCTGCACAGCGGAGATCGGGTGGACAGCATACGCACGGCGTATCGTAGCTGCAGAGACCTCGGATAGCCCCAAGTAGCGAATCTTTCCCCCCTATCCCAAGTTCTTTTGTAAGCCTCACACTCACACTGTTCAGCCATGAAAAAGAAAATTGGATACGCACTTCTTCAATTCCATCATGGCCTCGATAGTCTTCTCAATGGGAGTCACTCCGTCAACCCGATGGCAGTAATACAGATCAACCGTGTCCGCTTCAAGACGCACCAGGCTCTTCTCACACGCCATCCGCACATACTCCGGGTCGGACTGAATTGTCTGCTTCCAGTCCGTGTAGTCTAACCCGAACTTGGTCGCGAGGAAGATCTCGTCACGTTTCCCGGATCGCTTAAACCACTTGCCAATGACTGGTTCACTGTCAAAGTAAATGTCCGCTGTATCCCAGAAGCGTTGACCGATGGCATATGCATGGTCGAGAAAGGCCAACTTCTCTTCTTCCGAGTCCTGCTGGCCGTAGGCGCCTCCAAGACTCATCGTACCGAGCCCGATGGCACTCACAAGGGGGCCGTTGCGGCCAAGAGAGCGGGTATCCGACATCTCTATGATAAAGAAATCCGAGCCTGGTGAGCAGTTTCCTGGAATTGGGGATAGTTCTTGGGAAGTTCTTGGGGTTCGTCTTGCAGTCTTTGGCGGGTTCTCTGGATCTTTATATCCTTTCCAGGCGGTTGACCATTTCTAATCATTGGAAAATGCCTCATTTCGCTCAAACCTTCCGTGGTTACCCATGAAGCCAAACCCCAATCGCTGCTTGGCTGGAGGAAGGTTGTCTGTTCGTCGGGAGGCTTGACGTGCCCCAGCTTTGTGGCCTCAGGTGTCAGCATCCGGCAAGAAACCAATCACGCTGTTGGAATTGCGAGCCGACCAATGAGAGGGCGGCGATCACATGCCCAATCAGCGGTCTCCTTTACCGAACGGGCAAACCGGGTTCCTTCCCAGTTCGGGACATTTAAAGAGCCCGAACTCGGGAAGGAAAGAACGAAGGTCAGACTCTCTCCTCTCTCGTCTCTCTCACTTCCCCCACCGTCACTCACTCCGTCCACTCTTCTAGCCTCACTCTCCATGCCTTTCACGGAGCAAGAGACCAGGGGTAAGCCTGCCCGAAGCCGAATTTGTCGAACCAAGACTGGCTGTCGGACGTGCAGGTGAGTGAACCGAACCGAGTTCGTCAGGAGGTAGTTCTGTTCGGCTGATTATCCCCCACCTGGTCTCAGGGTACGTCGAGTCAAGTGTGATGAGGCTAGGCCGGCTTGTCAGCGCTGCGTGTCGACTGGTCGGGTCTGCGATGGGTATGGCATCTGGGGTGGTGGAGGCAATGCGTACGGAGACCGCCACCGGAGGGAGGAGACTCCTTCGTTCCAGCTGGTGGAGGGTAAACTCCAAAAGTCGTTGCAGCCGACGGTGATGGCAACAGTGACCGAGCAATTTTGTGCCGACTGGCTCATCGGACGCACCTCCAAGAAGATTGGGGGAGTATTTCCCTCGGAGTTCTGGTCCAGGCTGGTAGTCCAAGCCACGGCACAAGAGCCGGCAGTGCGTCATGCTGCCCTGGCGCTGGCGTCAGCTCACCGGGGTGATACCATGTCTTGGTCCGAGACTTGCACTGCGCCGGGCTATCGAAATGGCGATGAGAAGTTTACCCTTCAACAGTACAACAAGGCGATTGCCTGTCTGCAAGGGCGGGCGGTGGATGACAAGGATATTTGTCAGATAAGAGTCGCCTTCATCGCGTGCATGGTGTTTATCACACTGGAGATCTTACGGGGACAGTTTCAGACAAGCCGCATCCATCTCCAGCATGGCAAAATGCTCCTGAAACACATCCAGAGTCACCGGCAATCTACATCATCGATTGACAACGATCTGGTCGAGGCCTTCACGTGCCTGGAGGTCCAATTCTCCTTGTTCGGGTTTGGACAAGCCTCAGAGCTGCTACTGGAAACGGCTGGTGTCGTCATTCCACCGAGTCATGTACCTCGACGATTTAATTCACCCAGCGACGCTAAACGATCCCTGAACATCATCCTCCGAAACACTCAAAGGCTTGTGGAGATGGACCGTCGGCGTGGCGAATGTGAGGAAGCTGTAAATTACCAACTGCTTCTACAGTCCCGGTGTGTTGTTGAACGAGACCTTGAACTTTGGATCGAAGCATACAAAGCGTCTTTGGCCTACTTGAAGATCATTCCGGAGTTTAACCAAATCGGCGGCTTCAGGTTGCTCATGATGTACCACACCATGGCCACGATCATGGTGATGACCTCCCTCCTTGCGAATAGTGAATCTGTCTTCGACATGCACCTCGATCGTTTCATCCACATCGTCCAGGACGCCATCCAAATCCATCACTCTATTCGCAATACCCATCCCAGCGAAATATCAGCTCAATGCAATCCGGCGTTTCGTTTCACAGCGGATATGGGCTTTATCCCCCCTCTATACTACACGGCGCTGAAGTGCCGGGTCCCTCGAATCAGACGACAAGCGTTGAAACTGCTACGGTCCACGGTCCACCGGGAAGGCGTATGGGATGGACTACTTGCAGGGCGCGTTGCAGAGCAAGTCATCGCTCTTGAGGAAAGGTCTCTTTACCGTGACTCGCCCATCGATGACAACTTCGATGAGCTAAGCCCTCCCCTTCCCGAACATTTAGTGGTGCCGCCGCCCCCGGAATCGTGCCGTATTTCAGACGTTCAAGTCACATTGCCGGATCACCCCAGGCATGATGCTCTTCTAGTGTGCTGCAAGAGGCTTCCAGATGGTCTCACAATTGTGGTCTATGAAACCAAGCTCCCGGTGGTAGAGAAGCCGTAAGCAATGTGCGTAAAACATCTTGTTTCATCTGTTTTCTCTCTCTCTTCTCCTTTCTGTAAACTGACTTGGCAGATGCTCCAGTCTGGTATTATTTCAATGGAATTAGAACGGTGGAATTGAGAAATTTCACCGTTTATATATGATTCATCTCAGTTTGCGGCATTGGCAAACTTCATCAAGGGAAACATAGAAAGCTATTCGTGTCCAACCATCGACCTCAAATCCGCCGAGCCCGTGATTTTGGAAATTAGAGTGAAAAATATTCCAATGTGATACCTGCGGTCCAGAAACCGACACACCTCAGCGATGAACGTCCGCTCCAATGATCCTGCCGGGAAAGTCTCAGATGCCAAAATGATCGGGTATAAGATCCGGTATATGAAACAGCGCGGTGTCTTGTCAAGATAGAACTGTAAGGACCGGCAAATATTACAGGCAAACACATAACGTTCTTCAGCAGTCAATGTGTATCCTGTTTTGGACAGACTCAGTCGCACGGCCCAATAAGTGCACAGCGCGGTCGGTAGCAGGAGATCGGGATAGTGAAGGAGCGGAGGAGTAAATATGGTTTGCGTCTTGGGATCGCGGCATTGAAACAATGGAAATGTATCGTCAAGTACGGTCGGAGATTCATAGCAATAGCCGTAAGGGTAGAAGTCGGCATGCTTCTCTTTCCACTCCAGCAGACTGGCGTCCAGACGAATGGCTTGAGTCCTGAAGGTTAATGAGTGTACCGGGTCTGCGACATCGTCACCGCCATCATCATCATCATCATCATCATCATCATCATCATCATCATCACCATCATGGTTGTGATTGTCATTATCGTCGCCGTGATCATCTGGATTGCTAAAGTCTTTTTTACTCGAGAGATGTTTGTCGAGATTTGCCAAATAACTCGACACTCCAATCGCTCTGTCTAACAGACAGTGAAGGATATCTTTGGGCCGGTTGTCCCAGGGGACTGTGAGCCATTCAGGTTCGGCGAGAAAGAGACGACGTCGCAGTACGATGGCCCCGGAGACCTGTGATGGCGGTCATTATCTCCAAACAACCAGAGCATCCTGCTGGCGAAACTCCCAGGGCAGCACTTACCCAGAAGATTCTCATATCCATAAAAATAGCTTGTCCGACCCCGGCCTTGTGCTGTTGTGCTGTTCGGACTTTCAGTAGCTGCATCGCGCCAAAGATATGCCTCGCCAGCGCTTCATGGTCGCCAGAGAAGACCTTTTTTCTCAGAGTTAGTTTAATCGAATGATGAAGAAACGAGCCAAACACCAAAAAAGATACCCAATAGGGAGGACATTCGACTGACCTCTTTCAAGACAAAAAGAAAATTCGCTACGAACACCTCGATGGAGGACTGGTCACGCATTTCCTGCCGCATCAACTTCATTGCACGGCCATAGTGCTCGTACCCGACAATCTCAAGCCTCTTATCTTGATGCTGCTGGGCGACGAATACAAGCGATGCGGCTCCAAATGCTGCAGCCAATAGCGGTGACGTCGATTTCATCCGATATGCGTCGCTGAGGATAAATAGCTTGGTCCCTGTTTCCCGTTTGCTGAGCGGACAGCACTCGTCGATCAGCCGGCTGGCAAAATGATCAAGGATCACATCCTCTGGAGATGGCGACTGCGGCAACGACTGCGACAACGACTGCGACGCGTCTGGCGGTCGCTTGGGCTGCTTGTGTTTAGCAGCGACCACCACGGCCGTATGAATCTGGTCGCTGTCCGTGAGCTTCTGCACGACACGCGACTTGGTCGGCCGGGCTGACTTGGCCGCCGCGAGCTGGCGTCGAAGATCGTGACAGCGCTCTTCCAGATGGTCGATGTATTCGGCCTGCTGGATATATCCGCGGTCTTCCGCAGCGCGAGAAAACTCGCACTTTGTCGGGATGCCGCGCAGACAGCAGGCTCTACATGGTTTGACGCGATCACACTGTGTAAACCCAAAGATTAGCCCCGAAAAGAAGACTGCTGACAGCGAGGCACAATCACAGCCTCCGTTGGACCTGCCTTCACCTTGCGAGAATAACAGTTGGAACAAGAGAAAGCGGGGCGCTTCTTGGCACCCCTGGCTGTAATCCGGGTTGGTGACGAGGACATGGTGCGATTTGAATCGGGCAAAAAAGGGATGAAGATGATAATAAGGGGGAGGATCCGGTCGTCAAGACCGTCCTAGGTCGACAGATCGATCGATCGCGACACGCTTACAGAGCAGGGGCCTTTGGATGCCGCCCTCGGTCGTTGGTTCGCAATAGTACGGTGTGGCAAATGGGCGCTGTGCTGTGTTTACTTCGTATGGATGCATCGCATCGCGTCCAAGGTTTCTTCATTATTATTATTGTTATTCGGGTTGCCCCATCCTTCATCCTTCCCGCCTATGGCAGCAACTTGGCCGCCGGGGCCTTCATGCGGTCAGTTACTTCCATCAATGATAATCTTCGAGGCTAATTCCTGACGGCGCCGCCGGACAATGACCCCATATTGACCGAGCAAGCTAGCCTGTCCTCTTTGTCCACTCAGGCTCAGGCTGCAAGGGGCCCTTTTCCCAATCATGACGCACGCAGTCAGATCGGCGAGATATGCTTTACTTGGCAAAGGGTGATTCCTGACAGGTCATGTCTTAAAGAAGAGAAATATTGAAACACTGACAGATACGATGAGAAAGTACAGATCTTGATTTGTCTCTTTTTCTCCTTCTCTCTATATACCCTCCCACTTTCTCTTCCTTCCTCATTAGAACCCAATCTGAAGAGACAACCCCTTGACGTTCGCAGCGTTCACATACCGTCCCAGCGCCATCATCGGGAAATAATGCGGGTAGAGGGCGTATCCCAGGTAAAAATGCTTGGGGAACCCCGTGCCTGTATAATAGGTCTCGTGCCAGGTGGCCTGTCCCTTACATTCCTGGTCGCACGCTTGCATCCGCACCAGGTATCGGATGCCTCGTCGAATGCTTGTGTCGCTGACCGGACGGTGCGCCAGCAAGCCCATAAGGGCCCATGCCGTCTGTGACGCGCAGGATGGTCCCCTACCGGCCATCTGAGGTTCCCGGTATGACAGCAGGGTCTCCCCCCAGCCGCCGTCCGCATTCTGGATGGAAGTGAGCCAATCCACCGCTGACTGAATGGCGTCCTGGACACCCACGTCGACCTGCCCGGGGTCGTTATCCCGCACAGCGAAGTACGCGAGCCCACCGAGCACATTGCTGGTGCCATAGATGTAGTTGGCACCCCAGCGGCCGTACCAGGCTCCCGTCGTCTCCTGGATCCGAGCGAGATAGAGTAGCGCCCGCTCACAGGCAGCAGTCACGCGGTCGATCACATCCATGGGAACCGGCGGTACTGACGAGGCCTGCATCTTCAGGAACAGCCCGAACGCTTCCACGATGCGGCCCGTCACGTCGGCGGTGGATGGGTCGCTGAGACTGTCCATGTCGCTGAATGGGATCTTGTTTAAGTAGAGCCGATCGTTCTCCACATCAAAGGCTCCCCAACCGCCATCGCCATTTTGCATGCCAAGGATCCATTCCACCGCGCGGAGGACAGAGAACGAACGGCAGGCTCGCGGGTCATGCTTGATTAGCGCCAGCACCGCGGCTGCCGTGTCATCAACGTCGGGGTACCAGGTATTGGAATATTCGAAGCTCCACCCACCAGGGGCCAGGCTGGGTCGGTAGATGCGCCAGTCGCCGTGAGGGTCGAGGAGCTGACGAGCCTGGATCCACTCGATCGACCGGTCCACCAGGCCGGTCGGGACGCCCGCATCACAGAGTCCGATCACTGTCAGAATCGTGTCCCAGACCGGCGAGACGCAGGCCTGGATACGCTTCCCCCCACGCTGATCCTGCCAGGCGAACCGCTCCATTGCGTCCAGGAATTTGCGAATCGGGGCTTCGTCGAGCTCAAACCCTTCGAGAAATAGAGCCAGCAGCCCGTGATGCATCGGGGGAAAGATGCCACCCAGGTCACCGTCGACCTCTTGATGCTCCAGTATCCATTGCACGCAGCACCGTCGCGCGTATCCCCGGGTTGGAGAGGCTCGCAGCCCGCCGAGCCAGCGCAGGACGCTATCGGCTGCCGCATACGCACTAGCCACCAGATCTGTACGCAGCAAGGTCAGCAGTGGTGGCGCATATGGCACTGCTTTTTCAGCGGCATTGCACCACAGCTCGTCCAGATAGTCATTGGTCTCGGACCGTCCGTTGGGCAGCGAGAAGATCGGCTGATGGTGGCGGATCAGCAGTAAAGGAACGATGGTGCCACGAGCCCACGACGAGAATCGATATATACTCATCGGTGCAGAGTTGGGCAGGAGGATGAGCTCTGCTGGCAGCTCTGGCACCGCCTTCCACGGAAACAGCCCAAAAGTCGCCAGAAAAAGGCGCGTGAAGATCCGGACGGCCGCTACACCGCCAGCGGAGATGATAAACGCTCGGGCACGCCGCATCTCGGCTCTATCTGGCCGCAGCCCTAGCAGTTTGAGGGCAAAATAGGCCTCGGTGCTGGTCGAAACGTCACCGGGGTAGTGAGGGGCAATGCCCCAGGAGCCGTCCGCATTTTGATCGGTGAGAAAGTACGTTATAAAGGCAGCACGGTCTGCAGACAGGTCCAGCTGGAGGATATATCGCAACATGACATACTCCGCCGTGATGGTGGCATTGGATTTGAGCTCGCCGTACCAGTGCCCGTCGTCGTGACGGTGGTGGAACGAATAAGCCGTTGCGCGCTCAAGTGCCTGCTGTGCATCTTGGACAAGATCGTCATTGCTAACCTTGGACATCGAAGCATAAGTGCTGGTCGCTGTCGCCGTTGCCATTTTCTCTTTTTTCTTTTCTCTTCCTTTATCCTGGAGGGGATCTTGATGATAGTGAGGATAGAAAACCCCCCGATTAATATATGTATGCTCTGCTTTCTTCAGATCATGTACTCTCTCAACATATATATGTTGTTTTGACTCTTTTTTTCGAGAAAAAAAAAAGCTAGGAAAGGCAAACAAAGGTAAAAGAAAAAGAGGGATGATGGACGTCCCAGTCAGTTACCTCCGAAATGAGAGAAGGCGACTTCTAAACTTCCATATTTTTTATCCCTCGGATATTCGGTTCCTTATGTTGGCTTCAGGATCCAATGCAGCACGAGAACGACGTGCGTCATTCAGACAGATTTAAAATCCAACGTCACGTACGTGACGTCCCCGACATGATCTGGTCAATCCAAGCAAGCGACTCCAATCATTTGTGATATACTCAGACTTTTTGTGACCTCTTATCTGATCTGGCTCCATTCTATGGCCCCTGTCACTCGCCATACAGACAGATCCCTGCTTCAACTGAGTCTCCTACCCGCCAGCGAATCAACCCAAATGAAGGGATGAGTACACTAAAAAGCACGCGTCATCCCTCCCCAGGCCGCATTTCAATTTGTTATCATGCCAGTTCGATAATAAATCTAGCTGATCCTTCCAACACAATCGGAATCCCACTCCCTCCAACCACGACGGCAGGAGATCCGATGATCTGCCTCAATACATATGTAGTATGACCATGTCGATTGCCACGCCTTCATGGATAATCTCTCATCGGATTTCAATCTTCATCTGCTGTGGCTGCGTATTTTATTCCTGGCCATGCATACGGCCTCGTTGATCAAACCATGAGATGCCGTCGACGTGATAAGAAAAGCATTGAAAAATGCAAATTGTCTCCCCCGTCTCCCCCCTCCCGGGAGTAGGAAAGAGATATCAGATCTCTTGGAAAAAAGGACCGATCTGCCTTCTCGAAGACCTCCTCTTTCTCCCACGCCCACGTTGAAGATGGAGCTTCGAAGCTTTGCTGTCAGCGTCGATCCTAGCATCCAGGCGTCCGTCGTCTTGATCCTGGGCATTGGGGTCATCCTGTGTTTTTGTCCTTCCCTAGTCCGTACCCAGAATTTTCCGTCTTCAATCATCTGGGTTGGCCGAAAGAACCAAATGTTTTCGGTGGTCAGGGCCTGTCTCCGCGAATACACAGCGGGTCTATCTACCGTGCTGGATGGTTATGAAAAGGTTCGAGCCCGTAGTCAGATCGAGTTACTTATATGGAGCATTGGGTCCAAATCAAGCTTTTCTTCCTTTTCTTGTCTGACTAACTGACTCTTGGTTTGATTACAGTATTCCAAGGCAGGGAAGCCATTCATCTTGCCTGCCATTGGATTCGATGCCCAGATAGTTCTTCCTCCTGACCATATCAAATGGCTCATCGCCCAACCCAAGGAAATCCTCTCATCTCGAGCGGTCCAATCCGAAAAGGTGGGAATCAAGTACATTGCCCCAAACTTTACCTTCAACTACGACCATGCCCTGATTGAGGCGCTCCGGGTCGATATGATCCGAAACATGGGGAGAGTGCAGAGTGAGCTGGTCGACGAGATACGCGCGGTGGTCGATGAGACATTGGGAACCGATAAGACGTCCTGGAAAGAAGTCAACGTCTTTGATGCCATGCATATGATCGTCTTTCGAGCAAGCAGCCGAGTCCTCTACGGACGAGACCTGTGCCACAATGACCATTTTATCCAAAGCTCCCTCCGCCTTGCCACTTGGTTTGGGCTCGGGATCATGGTAGTCGGCCAGGTTATGCCTTGGCCGTTGCGAAGATTCGTAGGGTCCGTCATAGCCATCCCCATCGCGTACTATCGGAGGCAATGCACCAACCACCTGTGGCCCCTTCTGGCCGAGCGGTTCGAGAAGATGAAACGCAAGAAGCTGGATCCCGGCTTTGAATACAGCCCGCCAGGTGATATGATCACATGGATGACCCGCACGGCGATCGATATGAAGGATCAAACCATCGAAAGTCCCAAGCCGGTAGCGAGCGTGTTTACCATGGTGGTACGTTTAGTTTTCTTTCACCTAACTACCCTTCTTCTTTCTCTCTCGTGAGAGATCTCTCTAAGAGCCACGAGTGAACTTTTTTTTTTTTTTTTTTTTTGCAATTAGAACGCCGGGGCCATTTCCTCCAGCGCAGTCACCGCAACCCACTTGTTTCTCGATCTCCTGGGCTACGACTCGGATCTCGAATACTACCATGCCCTCCGTCATGAGGCAGAGGCTGCGTTCGACTCTCCCGAAGCTTGGTTGCAGCCGTCCAGATTCTTCGACCTCCATCGGACAGACAGTACAGTCCGGGAGACGCTCCGACGGAGCCCGATGACCAACCGGGGCTTGGCCCGACAGGTGATGCCCCCAGACGGCGTGACGCTGCCAGATGGCCAGCATCTCCGGCAAGGAACATGGATCGGCGTGGCGGTTCCGGGCATCCACCGCGACGAGCGATTCTACCCAGACCCGGACGCGTACCAGCCGTTCCGATTCGCGCCCGAGCAGACGGAGCAGCAGGGGTCGAACAACGGGGACCACAAACGCACTCTGCTGGTGACCACCAGCGACACCTTTTTGTCTTTTGGCCATGCGCGTCGTGCTTGGTGAGTAGTGGTAGTCGTGCATACTCCGTACATTCTTTCTAGGAGATCATATCTCTAACTCCAACCAGTCCCGGTCGGTGGTTCGCCTCGCACGTCCTGCAGCTGCTCCTGGCGTACATCACCGTCCACTACGACGTGCAGCCACTTGGCAAGCGGCCAGCCAATGCGGTCTGGGGAGATCACCTTGTGCCTCCGACGGGTACGAAGATGAAGGTTCGCCGACGGGAAGTGAGACAGTGAGACGGTTCAATTAGGGGGGGTTTTTTTTTTTTTTGCATCCCATTGATGCAATAAATTCAACCATTGTGATTTTTTTTTATGTCGATGGTTGATTGGAATCCCACAGAGTACAGCAGATAGTATCACTACGGAGTACAGTCTGGTCTCTCTCATCTCCAGAAAATCCAGTCCTTTAGACACACCATGATTTGCCAATAATATTATCCCCCGTAGCAGCGAGTGCCTGTCAAACCCACTGTTGAGGCTCCACCGGCGCATTCTGTTGATTAAGCTAAAAAGCGTTGAAGGGGCTAGCGAATAATAAGGAAAATCCCCTGCCAAGCCACGATGATCTTTGTTCAACTATTACTACAGAGTAGAAAAAATTAAGAAAGTTCTTAACATACGGAGTAAAGGAGAATTCAATAAAACTCTGGCTGTGCCGGTTCCTATTCCTCGCTGTGGTATGTATGTTGTCCTGTAAGACTGGCAATAATTGGAATCCTCCATACCTAAATAAAGAGTGGACCATGGAAACGGTTTTTCTGGAACAAAGACTCCTGCGTCCGCCTGCGCCAATGATAATAGATGGATACTCAATCTCGGGCGAATCTTGACTTGTTCCAATTTTCTCCAATTTTTCCCAATTTTTTTCTCTCAGACCTTACTTGTCTATGGGCGCGGCTGGTATCCACCCTGGGGGGAGGCGAGTCGCGGAGAGTCCGCCAGGGGAAATACAATGAAGGAGTTATTAGGTTTGGAGATAAAAATATTTCTTATCGCAGGATTTTTCTCCTCTTCTTTTCCCTTGCTTTCTTCCTTGGTTTTGTGTTAGCAATCTTGCTACTACTCACTATCCTACCAACTTCAACTTCATTTGAACATCCATCATGGCTCCTCGCCGGATGTCCGTCACACAGACGGAGCCTCGAGCCAGGCGCCTGACTCTGACTGGAGTGAGTTCTTCTCTCTCTCTCTCTCTCTCTCTTCTCTTCTCTTCTCTTCGTTTGAAGTGTCAATTTAACGGATCTCTCCTAGGAACCCGAGAAGAAAGAAAAAGAGGTGCCTACGCTGAAAGCACTCAAGGATGCGATCCCCGCGGACTGCTTCGAGTCGTCGGTGGTGACCTCGATGGCGTACTGGGTGCGGGACATGATATACATGGCGGTGCTGGCGTACGCGGCGTTTCAAATCCATCTGCTGCCGTCCGTCTGGCTGCGCGGCGCGGCGTGGATGGCGTATGGCTTCCTGCAGGGCTGCGTGGGCACCGGCTTGTGGATTCTGGCGCACGAGTGCGGCCACGGGGCCTTCTCGCCCTACACGGGCTTCAACGACTTCATGGGCTGGCTGACGCACTCCTTCCTGATGGTCCCCTACTTCTCGTGGAAGTACACCCACGCCCGCCACCACCGCTACACGGGCCACATGGAGCGCGACACGGTGTTTGTGCCCTGGACGGAGCAGGAGCTGGCCACCAAGATGCGCGTCAGCATCAAGCAGCTGGCCCATCTGGCCGAGGAGACCCCCCTGGTCTCCTTTGTGCAGCTGATCGGCCACCAGCTCGTCGGCTGGCAGCTGTATCTGTTCTTGAACGTCACCGCCGGCATGCGCAGCGGTCCCGAGGGCACCACCGTCAAACGCAACGCTCGTTACAGTCACTTCGACCCGACCAGCGCCATGTGGAGTGGCTCCCAGCGTCGTGGTATCTTCTACTCCGACATTGGCCTGCTGCTCATGGCCTCCTTGCTCTACTATGCCGGTCAACAGATCGGTAGCTGGAATGTCGTCTTGCTTTATGTTGTCCCCTACTTTTGGGTCCACCACTGGCTCAGTATGTTCTCTCTCTCTCTCTCTCTCTCTCTCTCTCTCTCTAGTTCCTTCTAATAATCTAGTTGCCATCACCTACCTCCAGCACAACCACCCCGAAGTCCCGCACTACACGGCCGAATCCTGGACGTACACCAAGGGTTCCCTGGCGACGATTGACCGCACGACTGGCTTCATCGGCCGCCACTTCTTCCACGAGATCATCGACTACCACGTCGTCCACCATCTGTTCAGTCGCATTCCCTTCTACCACGCCGAACGGGCCACGCGCGCCATCCAGCCGCTGCTGGGCGAACACTACCACGAGAGCAAGGAGGAGAGTTTCCTGGGTTCGCTCGTGCGCACCTTTCGCCGCTGCATCTATGTCGCGGATCGCCAGCAAAACGGCGTCTTGCACTGGGTGTTTAAGGATGCTGCAGTAGCAGAGTAGTCTTTTTTTCTTTCTTTCTTTTTTCATGTGTAAACTCTTCTGCATTTTTTGATACATGAACTTTTGATACATGAACGCTTTTATGGATTTTCCTTCTAATGCACGAGCCATTGGATGGTTAAAAGTCAGCAGATAGAATAGATCAGCAGATAGAATATACTTATTGTCACCAGAATAGATCATCTGGTCTTGTATCATATTCTATAAATTATCGTAGATTTTTCTGTCTTTGTATCTCTCTATACTTGGGTATGTCTATACATCTATACTTCTTACTTCTATACTGTATATATCATTCTATTGCTATATCCATGTCCCTCTCAATCGAAATCCAAAATACCACCGGCGGCGTCCTCTACGCGTACGTGACAGGCACGACGACCGCCGACGCCCTCTTCCTCCTGCAATCCAACGGCACTACCGCCTACTACCCAACCTCGCCGTCGACGACCCTGTCCGCCCTGGCAGTCGACTGTGCGATCGCCGTGAGCAGCGCCGGCACAACGAGCCTGACAGTGCCTTATCTCTCTGGCGCCCGGCTGTGGTTCTCGCGCGGCAGCCAGCCGTTGACGTTTTATCTGAACCCGGGCCCTGCGCTGGTCGAACCGTCGGTGTCGAACACCAGCGACGTCAACTACGAGATCGCATGGGATTTCTGCGAGTTCACCTTCACCAGCACAGAGCTGTACGCGAATATCACCTACGTGGATTTTGTGTGTCTCCCGATCGCGCTGAGCCTGACGGATACCCAGGGCGCCACGCAGACGGTCTCCGGCATGCCTGCCGACGGGCTTCAGACGGTGTGTGACGCCCTGCAGGCTCAGAATGAAACAGACGGCGCAGGTTGGGATCAGCTGGTCATCACCTCTTCTTCGACGGGAGCGTATCTCCGAGCAGTCAGTCCCAACACGGGGATCGCGATGGACGATACTTTGTTCGACGGATACTACGATACCTACGTCACAGAGGTGTGGGACATGTACACCGATACAGAACTCACAGTCGACACCCAAATCAGCTATGGAGACGTGACGGGGAAAGTGGTGGAAGACGACGAAGACGACGACGAAGACGAAGAACAAGTGCTCACCTTCACCGACGGGGTGGCAATCTATACCACCCCCGCCAGTGCAGATATCTTCAGCTGCAGTTCTGGACCGTTTACGCCGTCGGGGACCACGGAAAAGGACGACATCACGGCCAGGTTGGCGGCGGCGTTTAATCGGTCGACCCTGCTGATCGACTCGAACCAGCCGGAGGGCGAGGTGGTCTCGACGTACTACCAGGCAGACATCACCAATCACTACGCTAGGATCTGCCATGCTACGGATCTCGATGGCGAGGGGTATGCGTTTCCCTATGATGATGTTGGGCCCACGGATGGAGCCGATATCTCGGGCAGTGTCGTGAGTTCTTCGCCGGCTTTATGGACGGTTGTCGTGGGGGGATAACATATATATCTATCTTATATTTCTATTCATGTCTTTACTATCTTATATATCTTGTATTTCTCTTGCTAGAAACAGTGAATATCAATGGTAATAGGCAGGTTTATTTTTATAATAAAGTCATTTAATACCTGAGTGACTGCAGCCAAGTGTTTGTCGTGTATGTAGTATTTGTCTTGTCGAAACACCCAAAACCTTCACTTTTCCCTCCCTCCCTTCCTCTGCCATCCCCTCTCTTCCCATCTTCCCTGCTTCTCTCTGCCTCATCTTCCACTTATCTTCGACACCTTCAAAAACCACAAAATAGAGAAATTCATCTCGGATAGGTCTCTTGTCAGATCGGCTACAGAGAAGACAGACTGGCGAAACCGCCTCAACCCATCTTTCACAGGAATATCATGTCCATGTAGAGCCCTACTAAGTGTCTGGACATTTTTTAGTGGCCTGGTTTTCCAGTTCGCACAATTCCCTCACAGAGAGAGAAAAATCAATTGACTATCTGATCAACTGATCATAGAGAGGAGTACGCTACCCTCCTGTTGAGATGCATAGCGACCGAGAAACTCTCTGATGGACTTTCACGAGCACCTTCATCCATAATCGACTATGTCACTACCTCCGCACATACAGCCCCGAGAAACATCTGGCCCCATACACATTCATCGTTGGCCCATCCGGGGTGGGCAAAAGCTTCATGGTCAAAGAACTGGCCATGAGTCATGGTCAATATCTGACCTACTTGAACCTATCCCATGAACAGTCTCAAAGCAACGTCTGGTTGCTCTCGCCTTTCGATTGCGAGCCTATCAGAATGCGGAATACGTGATTAATCACGACCATGGCGAGAAATATCTCGACTTTTAACTCTCGAGTTTTGCCAGATTTTTCGTCTGGAGTATACCATTGCAGTCTCACTTTCGAAGTGGAAGCCTGCATGGGTGTGAGACAAATCACACGATATGGGAGAAACGCCTGGTGATGGATGGATTATATACGCTGAAAGTCTTGCCTGTATATTCCGAGACAACAGGCAATTCGCAACGGTGGTTAACAATCTCCGATAATCTTGTTCTCGTCAAGTCCGGTGGTCTCGGCAGATCCCCACTGGCCAAGTATCTAGAGGATTACCTGGACATGCGCGTAACTCAACAATGGATTATGATACTAAAAGGTTCTGCTCCAACATTATAGAGTATCATTATCAGGGAGGCTGTAGGATTGCTATGACTTATATCTTGGCCACTAGACCACTGAGCTGCAAAAATGTCCAGACATCTAATAGGGTATACTACATCATATATTCCTGAGACACCACACGATGTATTCTATTGTAATATTACCTTAACTTTGGAATTGACTTCACCCGCCCCACGAGCCTTGGAAAAAGTATGTATACTCCAGAGTCCGTAGTACGGAGTATAATGACTGTGGATCTAGGTTGCACAGAACCTTGATACATTTACCTAATGTGTTTTGCTGAGTATCACCAGGCTGTCTTCCAGACCTTGACTTTACAAATCGTCAATCCTCAAAATAGACTGCCCACTACAGTGACAGTCTACTATGATCGCGTGACTTCAGCCTCGACTCAGCCACAGCTACATTACTAATTCGAATTCAATTCTAATCCTATTCTAATTCTCTCCCAAGTGCGGAGTACTCCGGAGTCCGTACTCCGTATTCTACTCCGAGTCTGTCGGCAGAGCCGAGAAAAAATCGGCCGCTATTCCGGATGCAGATTTTTCTCCGTGGGAGACCGCGAGAGACCCCGTCGAGTGCCGCGTGACAAGCCGTGTCTGGCTTTTTCATGACTGTCACCCGAGCATGTGATTGGTCAAGTAGGCGATCGGCGCCGAGATCACATGAGGATCAACAGGGCGTTCCCTGATCCGGTTAGCAATCAACACTGCCCTAAACCGTAACCAGCCTCCACGCTAAGCCCATTCTGTACTAACGCAGCCACTTCCAGCGGGTCTGGGCCGAGCGCGGCAAAAACCCGATGACAAAAAAAAAACCCAGTCCCGGTTCCGGCGCCGGCTGACCCACGGAACCGGCCACATCAGGTGCCTGCGCTAGCCCCAAACAGGCAGTTCCCGGTCTCCCTCCACCTGCCTCTTCGCCGACCTCGACGGGTTTTTTTTCTCCTCCCCCGTGGAGAGGAGAGAAAATGGGCAGTGGACACTGGACACTGGGCAGGGGGCGCATTCTGGAGAGATGGCCAGACTCGCTTCTCGTCTCCCACATGGCTGAGTTTTCTACTCCCCCTCCGCTTCTGTTCTTCCCCGGTTGCGGGCTGTGGGGTATATAATCCTCTTCTTCTCCCCTGTTTCTGCCCTTCATCTCACCTTTCTCATCAATCAATCAATCAATCAATCCATTAGTCTTCTATATATCAATCGTCTATATCTATCCATCAGGTATCTTTCTATCAATTGTCTATCTCCTTATCGGTCGTCTATCGAGTCACAAAATGCCCGGTGGTGCCGTCATGTCGTCGGTACCCGACACGGGGCGCCTGGAGGCCCCCATCACGATCAAGGCGTACCTGATGTGTGCCTTTGCTGCCTTTGGTGGTATTCTGTTTGGTTATGATTCTGGATATATCAGCGGTGTCATGGGGATGGATTATTTCATCCACCTGTTTGAGGGAGAGGTACGAATCATACTTTTTTTTGTTTTTCTCACAAAAGCTAATGAATTAGAATGCTTCTGCTCTCCCCTCGTCGAAAAAATCTCTCATCACTTCCATTCTCTCGGCTGGTACCTTCTTCGGCGCCCTGATTGCCGGTGATCTGGCAGACTGGTTCGGTCGTCGCACAACCATCATTGCCGGCTGCGGCATCTACCTGGTCGGTGTGGTGCTGCAGACTGCCGCAAGTGCGTTGCCCCTGCTGGTCGTCGGTCGGCTGGTGGCCGGCTTTGGCGTCGGCTTTGTCTCGGCCATCATCATCCTGTACATGTCCGAGATTGCCCCTCGCAAGGTGCGTGGTGCCATCGTGTCCGGCTACCAGTTCTGCGTCACCATTGGCCTGATGCTGGCCTCGTGCGTCGACTACGGTACCGAGAACTACACCAACTCGGGCGCCTACCGCATTCCCATCGGCATCCAGCTCGCCTGGGGTCTCATCCTGGGCACCGGTCTCTTCCTGCTGCCCGAATCCCCGCGCTACTATGTCCGCAAGGGCCAGCTGGACCGCGCCGCCCACGTGCTGGGCAAGGTGCGCAGCCAGCCTGTCGAGTCCGAGTACATCCAGCAGGAGCTTGCCGAGATCGTCGCCAACAACGAGTACGAGCTGCAGGTCATCCCCCAGGGCGGCTACTTTGCCTCGTGGTATAACTGCTTCCGCGGTAGCCTGTGGTCGCCCAACTCCAACCTGCGCCGCACCATCCTGGGTACCTCGCTGCAGATGATGCAGCAGTGGACGGGTGTCAACTTTGTCTTCTACTTTGGTACCACCTTCTTCGAGGCCCTGGGCACCATCCACAACCCCTTCCTCATCTCCATGATCACCACCATCGTCAACGTCTGCTCCACCCCGATCGCCTTCTGGTCCATGGAACGCATCGGCCGCCGCCCGCTCCTCCTCTGGGGCGCCCTGGGCATGGTCGTCTGCCAGTTCATCGTCGCCATCATCGGCGTCACCGACGGCCAGAGCCCCTCCGCCGTCTCCGCCATGATCGCCTTCATCTGCATCTACATCGCCTTCTTTGCTTCTACTTGGGGCCCCGGCGCCTGGGTCGTCATCGGCGAGATCTACCCGCTCCCCATCCGCTCGCGTGGTGTCGCCCTCTCCACCGCCTCGAACTGGCTGTGGAACTGCATCATCGCCGTCATCACCCCTTACATGGTCGACTCCGATAAGGGCAACCTCGGCGCCAAGGTCTTCTTCATCTGGGGCTCCCTCTGCGCCTGTGCCTTTGTCTACGCTTACTTCCTTATCCCCGAGACAAAGGGTCTCACCCTCGAACAGGTCGATAAGATGATGGAGGAGACCACCCCGCGCACCTCGGCCAAGTGGACCCCTCATTCCAGCTATGCTGCCGAGATGGGCTTCTCGGAGAAGGATGCCGCAGAGGTTGTCCATGCTGAAGATAAGGTCTAACCTTTCTTTGCCTTTTTATTTTTGTTTTCGATTATGCCTTGATACCTAGTCTTGTTCATGTTAGATGATATATGTGAGATGTTGATATATGTATAACACTACATTAATATTCATTACTTTTCTTTACTATTTACAAAGCTTAGCCCTGTAACATCTTATATACTAGACAGTAGACAGTAGACATAACAGTACTAACTGGATACTATATAATATTATACTGTTTTATATCTAGTCTGTGTCATCTTACATTAATAGCTATACTAGATATCTATCTAATAGATATAAGATTAAGATTTTATTCTCACTAGGCCTCTACTAGGTGTATCTACATTTAACACTATATCGACAGTATTCACTACACACATTACTAGATACAACATGACTAGTTATTCTGTTTGTGATCTCCCTTTACTCTCCTCTCTCTCTTCCTCATCATCTCTTCTCTTCCCTCTTAGATATCTTGAATGTAGCCGACTCGATGTCCCTCGCTATGCAGGAGACCGTCTCCGATGAAGACGACAGCATGTCTTCCATCGACATGAGCCCTTCTGATAAAATGGCCGAACCTACCCCCTCTTCCAGCGATGAGGAAGAAGAAGAAGAGACAGACATGGACACTTTATCCAACGCTTCCTCCTCCTCTGGGTCCTACCTGATGATGAACTCGATCGAAGTCGACGAAGATCCCACCGAAAACGATTTTTCCCTCCGTCTCGACGGTCCCTCGCACAGCATGGAGAAGATCCAAGACTACAAACCTGGCGGTCATCATCCCGTCCACATCAAAGACTGTCTGGGCGGCAAGGGAGAAGAAGAACGGTACTACGTCATGAACAAGCTGGCGACCGGCCACTCCTCCAACGTCTGGCTATGCAGAGACCTCGACTACGAAGTGCCTAGGGAAGGCGAGCTCGTCGATCCCACAACCCTCACAGCCGCTCCGCACAGATACGTCGCGCTCAAGATCCTGCGTGGCGACGCTTTCCACACGGGCCAGGGCGAGGCGGACATGGTGAGAGACCCGATGACTCCCTTGGCGCCTGACGACCAGCTGCTTTCAAAGTACCTCTGTTTCCCTTTTGCTGCGTTTCTCATTGAGGGGCCCAATGGGAACCATCGTTGTTTCGTTTATCCGCTGTTGGGTCCTCGTGTTTCGTCTGTCATTAGGATGCTTCCTGCGCCAGAGAGGGCCCTCAAGGTGATTTGCAACCAGGCTGTTCTAGCATTAGATACGATGCATCGCGTGGGAAAGATGTGTCATGGAGGTTCTTTCTCTCTCTCTCTCTCTCTCTCTCTCTCTATTTGTTTATTCTTTCTGACGAATGAAGAATTCAAACCAGATAATATCCTCTTGAGACTGGTCGATACCAACCCTATCCCAATGACCAAGCTGTGGGCTGATCTCGGCGAACCGCAAAGAGTCCCCATCTTGACCTGCGACGGAGTGGCCCATGACCGACCGAACGTGCCGCGATACCTCGTCCGCCCCATTGACTTCCACGGTATTGATCGAAGCTATATCCAAGGCAGCATCGCGCTGATCGATTTCGGCTGCAGTTTCAAAATCGACGGTCCCCATCGCCGACCGTGGAAATTCGACACCGCGTTTCCCTATGCGTCGCCGGAGCTGTCGCTGAAAGACCAGCTAGACGTTGCCAACGACCTCTGGGCGCTCGGGTGCACGCTTTTCGAGCTCCGGACGGGCCGCATGCTCATACAAGCAGACCACAGTGATCAGCACGGATCCCTTTCCCAGATGGTTCTCCGGCTAGGCGGGATGCCTCAGGACCTCTGGACAAGATGGAGGGTGCGATCGCGGTACTTTGAGGCTGCGCCGCCGTCGCATGGCCCGCGGAAACCGCCCCCGACTTTGCCATCGCTGCATTCTTCCTCTCTCTCTTCTTCTTCTGGGCCACGGTCTCTTCGCGATGCAGTCGCCCTCGGTCTGGAATATACTCACCCCGACCTGTTGGAGCCTATCAAACGTGACATTTCCGAGGAAGAAGTGATTTCTTTTATTTCCTGCTTGAACCAGGTTTTGAAATACGATCCTGATAAACGTTTGGCTGCGTGGAAGCTCAGAAAGCATCCGTGGTTCAGTCTTGCGGCAGACCTCCAACCTTGTGGTAAAAATTAATATTCTTGGTATTTCGGTTGTCATCTAGGAATAGACTTTGCTGTTATCTGAACGGATCATAGGAATACCATCAAGATTGAGAAATAAACGGTTTCCGCGTAGACCTAGCTCTGCTGGTAAATGTCGTATTTAGTAAGATAGTCTCTCTATTTCAAATTACCTTGGTTAATGTCGGTTCGTTAGATTCATCCTACTAGTTGATACGAAAAAGGAGAATCAAAAAATTTCAATCCGTCAATTCAACTTACTAGTCCTCCATCGCTGGGTTCTTGGATGTCAATTCAGTCTGTCAATCGAACCGACTTGTCTGCTCGCTGGGTTCTCGGTGTCCCTGCCGTCTACATCCGTGGAGCTGTAAGATGCGTATACCTGCTTGCGGTTTTCTTCAGCAACTCTCTTCATTTCTGCAGGCCTTGCCTCGTTTCGGCTCTCTTCCGTGTTGATAGATGAATGAAGTCGTCCAGCCTCGACCGTGATTGGTGAGTTTCCTCCGCTGTTCCTCTCCCAGTCAGCGCTGGCAATACAGAGTATAAGCAGGTACTTACCATCTATTGTCTGAAGCGTGAAGAAAATGCCGAGGATAATAGTAAGAAAGCATCTGCTAATCTTGGTACTGTATCAGGTGATCTCACTTAGCATATCAGCACTGGCTTGATCAAGAAGTTGCTGTCCTTTCCTCCTTCCTCCTCCCACCAACACCCCTCATAGTGACACTTTCATCGACAATGTGCAGGAGCCAGTGAAGGCGATCGATGGTACTATTCGATGAGTGTGTTGCGCTCGGCTTTCTACTGCTTGAATACGGCAGCCGAAGCAAGGCAGGCTCACTCTTATCGAATCTCAACCGAATAATCGATGGCTCAAGCTATTCAGTCCGTTCATTTTATCCTTTTTTAATACTTCATACTAACTTTCTTTCTATTTATAGGATACCTCTATATGCGATGACATGAAGAGACCTCATATCAGTTATTGCCCTGAAAATACCTATCGTGTACACTGTTCGACTGACCGTATATTTGGCCCCGTCTAGCAGATGGTGCTGGGAAAGACCTGAGCAAGATGGAGGATCTAGCGGATCCAATGCCTCAAGAGCCTTATCATGCATGGATTCGCTAGGTATTGATATCTCGGCTGTCGGTCACTCCATACTCTATACTCCGGACCTAACTCCCTATTACTAGTACCGACGAATACTCCATACTGCGGACGCGGTGCGGAGACTTGACAGCCTATAGATACTTAGCCCTGCACTGTACTTACTACTAGAAAATGGGGGCCTCTAAACAAACTATACTAAAAAGGTGTCCAAACGATACCAATTCAGAATTATTTGTCTTCCGTAGCTGCCACCAACTGTTCATCCATGTCTAACGGTTTAGATTAAGTACAAAGATCCACGTAAGCTTCTTCCACGAGGGCCGCACTGGCTCAAATCATATCAGAAGTGAGTATTTATTATTTTTTCGTCACTAAAGTGGATTAAAGGCCAGTAGATCCAAATAGGCTCGTCAAAAACACTTGACTAAAGCTTGAATGATTTCCATGATCAGGCTCGAGGACTCACGGCACCAAGGCACCAAGGCACCAACAGCATGATCACGTTTGCCTAATCAGTAAAACCCCTCCTCTCTACCTGCTTTCTCTTTGTTTTCCCGTCCACGCAGCAGAATGGCTTCCTTGCATGACTCGATGACCCCCTTTTGACCAAACAGAGTGAGCGTGAGTGGGACGTCTGCGGGTGAAACCAGCGATATGCAGCTTGCGTTGTCCGTTACGACAGGGATTCTTGACAGTCCGTCGCAAGATTGAACCGCTCGCTCAGTCAATAAATACCATTGTTTTCTCCTTGCTGGGCCCTCAGACGGTGAACTTGATTCTCTCTGTCAATTCGAACCACCATGGCCGATGAGAATAACCCAGTCCCTGTCGCTCAGGCGGAGCTCATTCCTGACGTACGTCTCTCTCTTTCTATTTCCTTTTCTTTTCTATCTTCTCTTCACTAAATGGCTTTTTTCTGATTACTTTAGGATGCCATTGTCGATGACGACCAGGTCTCGTTGAGCTCGCATGGGACTGACTATACATCGCTCAAATCGAGTGTGTTGAATTACGAGTATGCTTGCACGATAAATCCATACAAAATAAATAAGATCTAATCATTCTAGATACGATGTGTGATTTTCTGTCTACTACAATCATCTTAAGCTCTCTACTGACTGCTTAGAATGGTCGCCGATACCAAAGCTACCGCAGGGGTGAATACTTGTTTCCCAATGATGAAGTTGAGCAGGACCGCATGGACCTGCTCCACCATATCTATGGCATGATCTTCGGAGGAAGCCTGCATCTGGCGCCTCTCAAAAATGTCACTGGTCGCGTTCTCGACCTGGGAACTGGAACTGGTATCTGGGCCATTGATTTCGCAGAGTACGTCAGACCTGCACTGCATCCGTTTTTCTAATTCATCAGTAACATGAGGGTAATGATTATATAGTGAGTACCCGGCTTCAGAGGTGATCGGCAACGACCTCAGCCCAATTCAGCCTGGATGGTGAGCAAGTTCGGTCTCCTGTGCAATTCAACCACAGCTCACTTTATACAAGGGTCCCCTCCAACTGTGTTTTTGAAGTCGATGACTTCACTGCCGAATGGGAGTTCAGCCAGCCGTTTGAGTTTATCCATGGCCGTGAGCTTACAGGAGCGGTCAAGGATATGGACCATCTCGCAAAGCAGGCCTTTGAAAACCTGAAGCCAGGGGGCTTTTTTGAGGTGAAGAGTATTGGTCTTGATGTCTTCTCTGATGATAATACCTACGAAGAAAAGGCCCAATTTACAAAGCAGATGTGTGGATTAGTCCATGAGGCGAGCACGAAATTCGGAAAGCCTTTACAGGACCTGAGTAAATGGGAGGATGACCTCAAGGCCGCCGGGTTTGTCGATATTGTCAATAAAGTGGTTAAAATCCCAATGAGCCCATGGCCCAAGGATCGAAAGCAGAAGGAGATTGGCCGGTATTTCCAGGCCATGCATGTCCAGGGCATGAACTCATATCTGCCCAAGTTATTCTGTGATGTCCTAGGCTGGTCTAATCTTGAAGTCACGGTGCTGATCGCCAAGTCAAAGCAGGAGCTTTTTGATCTTTCTATCCACCAGTACTGCAAGCTCTACACTTTTTATGGCCGGAAGCCATAGTCATTGGCTTTTATGCAGTCCTAGGTAGCTAGTACTAAGACAATTTCTCACTTCCATTAGACATGGTAGATAGATACAGTAGTATTAGAGTTTGATCTCTTCTTGCAGAATCAGTAATCTGCTCAACAGGTAGAGGAGATACCTTAAAGTGTACAGTAGATGATCAATTGCTTCATATTTTGATGGTTATCTTGGTAGTTACCTACCTAGCTATAAATATATGGAGAGTAACCATAGTCTTTCTTTTTTCATACCAAGGCGGGAGTAAAGGGGGCTCCTTCCATTTACAACTTTTCCTTCTCCCTTCTTCTTGTTTCTCTCCTCGGGTTTTTCTCTCTCTTTCAAAAATCTCTGCTCTCTTCTTTCCCTTCTTCTTCCTCGTCAGTCAGAGTTACCTTAAAATTGTTCAAGATAACTAACAAATTGATTCGCCATGGAGTCGTCTCTTCCCTGTCCCTCCTGGGTTTTTTCCACTGCTTCCAACACCCAGTGAGTATTCTCTCTCTTCGGACTTACCCTCTCAATATACTGAAAATCAGTCAGTGTCGCGAAAGATCGCTCCTGGTTCAGTGATGATTACATCCCCTTTGCATCCTTTTTCAAGGACATGATGGGCAACATGATGGAAGTCGTTGGAATCGGAACTGTCGAGCTCCCCACAAAGACTTTGCCGAACCTGACTGGCCCGGATTCGCACGGCACCCTTCGGCTGAAGATGGTTCTCCATTGCCCCAGCGCCAGATGTAACATCGTCGGGGTTCCTATCACGGGTGATTACGGGGTTATCGTGTCCGGCTATGTCGGCGCCTCCGGTCACGCCGGTACGGTCACTGGCCTTTCTGACCGTCGCCCCGTGGCCTACTTCATGCCCAGTGTTGGAAGTTTCCCATTGCTAGAAGTGCAGCTCAGTGAGCCTCCGGTTGGCCCTGTGGTTGGGCCTTCTCCTTTCAATCCCTCCCAGGCATACATAAATTAACGCGAACTGGCCAGAGAGCGAGTGGCAGAGATTCGCAGCATTACCAACTTCCAATCCCCATGAGCCTCCCCTCTCACCGGAAGAAAAAGCATGGCTCAAGAAACATTATGGAAATGAGTTCAAGTTTCTCCATGACCACGGATTAAGCATCTACAAGGACGACGATCGAGAGGAAGGGCGGGCCATTATCCGAGCCCTGATATCCAAGGAATAAGGCGCCATCACTTGGAAGAGTAAAACAGAGTCTGAAACAAGTGGCCAGTGACCAAAGATTTTCTTTGCAAGTCTTTAATGCATTTTTCATTACTTAATGAGCAGATCTCATACCAGTTATATGAACTACTAGTATAAGCATAATGAGATAGAAACTACAATGCAAACCAGCTGCCTCCTTTTTTTAAATTAATCAACTTGTTAATTAGTATCTGCCCCGAAGACCTCGTGGGGTTGATACGATCTATAAAGTTTGCATTTCCCTATATAACACAGGAAAGGACTGAGCCAACATTGCAGTGCATTAGCTAGCGAATCATTAGAAAAGATAGTTCTATTGGGAAATTATGAGACACGGCGCTAAGAATTGAGCAAATTATCAATAAGCAAGAAAGTTGTTAGATAAAAGAGATGGTTTCAAGAGGCGCTTGACGAGTCATGGACATTTGATTCATTAAAACCCCAGCTTCGGCCTTCCTCTTTTCTCCCCAAGCACCCCCTTCTCTTTCCCCTCTTTTACTGTGTCCTCTCAATCTTTTCTTTCATCATTTTCTAGTTGAAATCCTTCTTCTTTATCCTACATACTACATATATTTTCTCCTCTCATCTCTCTCCGTTACCGTCATGGGAGAGGCTGGGGACGACGCTTTGCAGCAGCTGCAGTCCCAGCAGTCGGAGCTGCTGGACGTGATCGATGAACTGCGGACCATCGGGCTTGGTCGTATCCTCGAGCTGCCGCAACTGATTGTGTGTGGTAACCAGTCGAGCGGCAAGAGTTCAGTGCTCGAAGCCATCTCACGCGTCCGCTTTCCCGCCAAAAGCAACGTGTGTACGCGGTTCGCAACAGAGGTGATTCTACGCAGAAGCCCCTCACCACGCGTCAAAGTGAGCATCGAGCCTGGTCCATCGCGGAAAGATGAGCAGGAGCGACAGAGATTGCGGAACTTTGCATCAGAGACCTTTGAAGATGGCGACGATTTGCCCTCGCTGATCGAAAAGGCCAAGGAATGGATGGGGATCAGCGATACGACCAACGCGGGTTTTAGCGACGATGTTCTCAAGGTTGAGATTTCGGGCCCGGATAAGCCAGAACTGTCGCTGGTGGATCTCCCAGGTCTATATTATTCCACGAGCAAGGACCAGGGGTCTGCAGGCATTCACATCGTCCGCAACCTGGTCGAGCGGTATATGAAGAATACCAGGAGCATCATCCTTGCCGTAATTACGGCTAAGAGTGACTATCATCTGCAGGAGGTATTGAACATTGCTGAACGCTTCGATCCTCAGAGGGAGCGAACCTTGGGTATTATCACTCAACCTGACATTCTGGAACCAAACTCCGAGGAAGAAGACACCTATCTGCAGTTCATCCGCAATGAGAAGATTCGTCTTCAGCTAGGTTGGCACGCGTTGAGAAACAGGTCTTTTGAAAGCAAGGATGCGTCTGACGATGCTCGTGACGAGAAGGAGAAGGAATTTTTCAACTCGGGCCGATGGGAAACCGTCTCTCGTGAATTTGTTGGCATTGATAGTCTCCGACGACGCCTCAGCAGTGTCTTGTTGAATCACATCAAGCACAATCTTCCAAGTCTGATCACGGAGATTAATGAGAAAATCACGATCCGACAGGCGAAGCTCGCTAAACTCGGTAATCCGCGCTCGACCTTGCACGAACAGAGAGCTTATCTCCTTAAGATCAGCGGTAGCTTTGAGAGACTTCTCAGCCACTCGCTGGATGGGATATACCGCGATGAGTTTTTTGGTGGATTAGATTCTTCACTGGACGTGGCAGATCCCAGACGACTCCGTGCCGTCATCAGGGAGCTCAACGAGGAGTTCTCCGAAGCCATGTACCAGCGAGGCTGTCGCCGCCAGATCGTCAACTCAGGAACTGAAACAGGGTACTCTGCTTCTAATGACTCCAGAGCGGATTCCAACCGCTACCTCCAGGACTGGACCCCTGTCAAGATCGACAGGGGTGATCTCGAGGAGGAAATGGCTGAACAAGCCCGGCTGAATCGTGGCATTGAGCTTCCCGGTAATGCAAACCAGTTCCTGATTGGCAACCTTTTCCGTGATCAGTCACAGCCCTGGGAAGATATCGCCAGAACGCATCTTCTCACGGCCTGGGAGTCTGTGCGGGACTTTATCGACCTTCTTCTCCAGCATCTTGCAGACGATCATTCATACCCACTCCTGATGAGCCATCTTCTCGACCCAGCCTTGGAAGAGATTAAAGAAAATTTGTTGGACAAACTTCGGGAAGTTAATTCTTACAACAAGAGGGGACATCCTCTGCCGTTTGGCCGCAAGTTTATCGCTGCCATCCGACAGGTGCGCAAGGAAAAAGAACCGTTCTTAAAGACGAGGAATAATGATACAGCAGACAGCATCAGTCAGCCCTCTACTGATTTAGATGATTTGGATGAATCTTTAGGGGATCAATTTGCTGCTTTTGCAATCATTGATATGATGCAGGCATATTACAACGTGGGTTGTCGTGCCATAATTTTATCTTCCAAGTTTTTCATTGACATCAAAGCAGATTACCATCACCACCTTTATTGACAATGTCGCTATTTTGGCAATTGAGAACTGTCTCCTTCTTCCTCTCGAAGCCATTTTTACCAGCCTCACGATTAATAATATGGAACGTGAACAGATTGAGCTCCTCGCCTCTGAACCTGCCTATATCAAACAGGATAGAAACACTCTGCAGAACGAACTTGAGAAGCTACAGGCTGGCCTGCGCGCCTGCAGTCGTCACAAAACCCTTGTCCGACGGCCCAATACGTCGCGCAAGCCGGCCAAGGCATCTGATAAGGGTCAGGAGAACGGAAAAAAGGATGACCCTGGCCAGAAAGAAGGCAGCACTGTGCAAAAGAGTGCGAGTCAAACAAGTGATACGGGTCACAAATCCCTTTTCTCGAGTATGTCCCCATAATCCTTGGTGACAAGAGGTATTCTTACATTCTACAGACCTTGAAGCAGGGATAAAAAACTCAGATTCGACCAAGAGCTGTTCAACTACCACCCCTTCAAAACCTGGTCTTTTTGTGTTCCCTGACAAAACAGCGGACACAAGATCGATCTCCCCATCTCCTATTCGAGGGACAAGCCCTCTCCCTCATCATGCAGCGAAAAATAGCCTATTTCAAAGCGCTGCAGCTCGTGATGCAAACCTCGTGACGCAGCCCCTTGTTGCATCAACCGGCCTTTTTGGTGGTCTAAAATCTGCTGACACGAAGGATCCGGTACAAAGCACACTTTCCAGTGCCTCAACTGGAAACAGCGTCTTTGGTCATAAGCCTACTGAACAAACTGGGCTATTTGGTGGCTTTGGCTCCTCCAATACTAGTACCGTCAAACCCACTGGACAACCCGGACCATTCAGTGGCTTTGGCTCTTCCACTAGCAACACATTCGGAGCCTCATCGTTCAACCCAAGTACCCCTAGCACGAAAGGAAATTTTCGGTAGGACATTTGACCATCTATCACTCCTCGCTGTCCATCCCTGTCAGCCCTCCCCTATGGGCAATGATCTTCTGCCGTTCGTCTCCCCTCCTTGTTTTATTGGACATACTAGACGTCTTCAAAGACTACCATTGATGCTAATTTAATGCTTCGATATCTCTAGGTTATTCTTCAAGCGTGATGGCCTTGCTACTCCATGTTATTATTATCAAGCCATCACAACGGTAGATCCGTTTTCAAAGTATTCATTCGAGGTGACTTGCCCCTGGTTCTGATAGTATAACCCAACTAACTCGATCTTTCAGGAATTAAGATTGGGTGACTACATGAGAGACAAGATTGAGGATGCGACTGTCTCGAAGCGTTGAAGGAGGCCTTGCAGTTGTCATGTTGTGGATATTGAGCGACAGCTTATACTGGAGAACAGTGTACGCTACACCGGGCACTTTTGAATGAATATTTCTTTTTCGGTTTCCATTCTTGGCCATTATTTCAAATATCGTTTCCCTTCTTTTTGGAAGCTTATGCAACAATGCAATAAGAAGTATCTCTTCGACTAAGCAGACCGCATGGATAGATGTCCCCGAGATGGCGGGGACTCGGGGATCTCTCCATCGGGGACTTAGCGACAGCACGGAGCACAATAATATACGAAGTCATGGAGACAAATGCAATCCATCATGCGGAGAAACCGCTTGAGCCGATTGGCTTCAGAGACCCAGCTACGTGTCATCTGCGGTGTGCTGACTATGGCCGTATGGTATCCACAGATGCTCCTTTATTGCCAGAAAATGATGCCACTCTCTGTCGCATTGTTCTGTGCGAGACGACCGACTAGCTGACCAAACGACATCGTTCCGTACGCCGAATTCCGGTCGAACGGAGTCCAAGCCGTACTCCGTACTCCATACTAGGGCAAGAGAAACCCCACGATTCAGCGTCTGACGGGGCTGACAGTTGTACAGCAGATCAGTGTGCTGCAGATCAATGCGCATCAAGCTCAGCGAATAAAAGCGGGCTGATCTACGTCTCCTCTTTGTGTCATATGCGCTTTTACCTCGAGCAAAGATGGTGATGGCAGTGGTTGATCCTTGATCCACACCCTCATACCTCCCGAGGAAACTGTTTGTGCCTTGGAAATTTCGAGGTCTAGCGCTAATGGCCTATGGAAATTCTCGGAGAATTTCGTCTCCCTCCACACGGACCGGGACGCTTGGAAATTCTAGCCGCGGATCATCCTGCTTTGATTGGTATCTCGGGGGGGTTGAAATTCCAAATCCTGAATCTTGATTCTCCACATGGTGGTGGTCGCCGACCTCGTCGGGGACCTGAGGCGAGAACGAAAACCCCGCTTAAGGCGTGACAAGTGTCCTTGGGTGGTTCATTATTGCTTACTGCTTGCTGTTGCTTGGTACATTAGCCGATAGCTGATGATCCTTTTGTTTTTTCCCCTGTCGTGAGCGCAACTCAGTGGACGCGATGGGCTCGAGTTCGGTGTACGAAAGGGATGGGTCTTCTCGAGCCTTGGAGAGGTTCCTCAAGTCAACAGTAGCACAGATCATGCGCTTGTCAGGCTTGCTGAATCAGTAATTATCAGCCTAGGCTTGGTGGGTGGGATGCTCACTGGTAAAGTCTAGATGTTTCGGTGGCCATACCGTCAGACCATCAGTACAGTTAGTACACAGATATGATTAAACCATCATATTAGTTGCCTCTTGAACTGAGAGGTAGTTGCTAGCTCTTTGTCCTTTTTCAGATGGAGAGACAGCAGATCACACTCTCCATGGCGACTGGCAACTACAGTCACCATGACCTTGCCATCGACCCCCTGATCCAACTCTACTATCAGAACTTCCATCCTTCACATCCCTTCCTGCTGCCTCGGAAAGCCCTGCTAAGTCTGCTCAACACGCATGTCCCGCCATATCTTCTCGCAATAATACGGTACGTCGGCGCTCACCACCAGCATGACAGCGGTCTGCACCCGATCCTCCCTGAAGCAGCAGATACGGCGTTACATGCCTGCTCGCTCGCGACAGGGTTCACAGTGCAGGGTATGCTCCTTCTGGCGATCACAGAGCACGCCCACGGGTACGAGACCCGGGCGCACGAGACTCTCCAGCGGGCAATTGCCCTCGCTCTCCAGTTGGGGATGGATCGTCCGGAGTTCGCCCTGAAAAACAGCTTCGGCAGCGCCACTATGGCAGAAAGCTGGCGCAGGACATACTGGGAACTCTACGTGGTCGAAGGGTTGCTTGCTGCCGTGAGCAAGAACAATCGGACATGCAGTAACTTGTATACAAGGGGAGTTGGATTGAACTTCCCCTGTAACGAAACAATTTACTCTGCTGGGACTGTAAGTGTAACGCATCCGAATAATTATATTGCAGCCTATAACTAATTCGTGGCTAATTGAGTATATCTCTATCGAACCTACACCGACCCAGACGGCAGAAGCATACGAGATATCCTCCTTTGCCCATCGAATTGAAGCAATTAGGAGTCTGGACCGGGTCTTTGAAATAAGCCGTGCAAATCAATACAATTATGACGAGGTACAAGCCATCGACACCCATCTGACTTCCTCGCTGCTGCGTCTGCCTGTTCCTAGGGAAGACCTGGACGAGATGGTTGTCCAGGCACAGATGGTGATATATTTGTATGACTGCCTTTATTCCTTCTTTTTTCCCCGGGGTAATGATGTGTATACTAACTATGCTAGGGCAATGATACACCTCTACCAACCACTGTCTAGTATCCGTCTAGTATCAAACACACAAAACGGGCGGAGCGAACCTTCTCTTCCTCATAAAGATACGACGCTATTCTCTGAAAGCAAAGCCGAAACAACCAGACCAGAGATGTACGCGGTAAAATTGAACCGCGCGGCCGACATGCTCGCCCAGCTCGCGACCTTGCCCAGCCCGATCCGGCGGCGGACCCCGTTCCTGATCGACGCGCTGGCGACGAGCACGACGGTCCACACCGCGGTGGCGGTCGTGGTTGCAGGCTCGCACAAGGAAGAGCAGGTCAAGGCGAGGATCCAGCTGGAAATTGGAGCCTTGAATGCCTTGGGCGAGGTGTGGCCTGTTGCCAGGATGGTGAACAAACATCTTCTCGAAATGTATCAGGAGATGAGGAGAAAGCGTAATTAGTATCACCATTATTATAAAAGATGTAAGATCTGGCTAGACCAGTCACTGATTACTTGATGAGTATCTACTCCTCCACTCCCCCTCTAGCATAGAGTAGAGAATGAAATCCTCCCATTTCCCATCCCGGAACATACACTCCCTCAGGGCACCCTCCTTGATAAACCCCAGCGCCTCATACGCTTTCATCGCGTGGGTATTGAAGCCAAAGGCCTCCAGATCGACGCGATGGGCTCCCGCGCTCAGAAATGCAAAGCGTAATCCCCACTGCAGCGCTTCGATGCCGTACCCCTTGCCCTGGTACGGGGCTGCGAGGGCGATGGCAACTCTCGTCCTGCGATGGGGTAGTTTCATTTCAGAGAAATGTAGGAATCCGACGGGAATTGTACTAGTGTTGTTTTGTTTCTCTTCTGCTTCGGGAGGAATGCATATCATGACTGATAAGAGAGCAGGTTCCATCAAGTGCTTGCGCATCTCCGTCGAGGAAGACAGAGAGACGGGTTTCACCGGACTCATAGAGATGAGCGCGGCAATATAAGGGTCTGAGCAGATGGAGTGGATGAAGGCGTCGTCTGTTTCTTCGACGGCGCGGTAGATCAGCCGGGCGGAGCGGAAGGGTGATTCATCGGACATTTTGATTGTAAGAACGGGAGAATTATTCAATGGATACTTTGAGTAGATGGAGGTTGGAGGCTGACTACATATCTAGAAGTCCATGGATGTCTTAAATGAAGTTGTATCGGACTCCGATTCCATCTCCGAAGGATTCGTTGATACAGGCAGCAATCTATGCCTTGATAAATGGGAGATATTACCAGCCACGCTAGGTTGCAGAATTATTTCATTGGAAGACCCGATTTCATTCAATAAGATAATTAACTAATTCTAGCGCGTCGTATATCCCCCGTTGGCGAAGAGCGTCTGCCCCGTAATCCATGCCCCGTCCGTGCACAGAAACTTGACAATGGGCGCGATATCCCGAACGTCTGTCAGGCGGCCGCCCATCCCGTTGCTCTTGTGGAAGGCGACGGCCTCGGGGGATTCTTGCGGGTAGAAGAAGGCTGGTCGATTGTCAGTTGGGGGCTGGTGAGAATTAAGGGTTTCTTCACTTACGAGTATCCATGGGTCCAGGCGCAATACAGTTGACGCTGACCTGTCGAGACTGCAATTCTTTACACACGCCACTGAGAAAGTTAGCTCGAGTTCACAAAGAGAGGAGGAGAAAAACAAGACATACCGAGTGAAATGTTCGACGGGGGCCTTGCTGCCCGCGTACGAAGTATAGAAGCCTGTAAAGGCGCCCAGAAGAGCCGTGACGATGGTGATGATCTTGCCTCCGTCGGTGACATGCTGGGCAGCCTCTTTGAGGATGAAAAATGCAGCCTTGGAGTTGATTCTAGCACAACCATTAATATATAAAAAGCCGGACGTATATACATGGCATGAATTCAACTTACGCAAACATCGAATCGTACTCCTCCTCGCTGATCTCCGCAATGGGCTTCTTGAGAACCTTGCCAACCGTGTTGACGACGATGTCGATCTTGCCGAAGCTCTGCAGCGTCTCGTCGAACAATTTCGTGACCGCTGCCGCTGTGGTCAGGTCGGCCTGGTGGAAAGCGACCTTAACCAAAGGGTACTTCTGCTTCAACTCTGCCTCCAGTTTGACAGCATCCTCCTTGCTGCTGGCCGAGTTGTAATGAAGAGACAGGTTGGCGCCCGCCGCCGCCAGATCGCGGGCAATCTCTGCGCCGAGATTCTTCACGCCGCCGGTAATGAGGGCAACTTTTCCGGAGAGAGCCATGGCCGCTATTTGTTATAGATTGAAGACCGATGCAGTAGGGTCTTTCTAAGATCAATCTTCCCTCCTTTATATCTCAAACGGAGGACATCCTTGACGTAACCATTTTGCGGGCTGTGCTGTGATTGGCCAGACATAGGCTTCCGATGCGTTATCCGAAAACGGCATAGCGGCTTCATCAGACCCCGCCTGTCACAGAACATGCCAGATTCAGCTTGAGAGGATTAAAGCATCAGGAAAAGCCCAGGAAGTGGCTGGGGCTCGGTTCCAGCAGCGGCCGGCCGGATGCGAAGTCCAGGCCCGGAAAATACAGCGGTAGCTGATGGAGGTGGGCGGCGTTGCGGTCGATCCAGATGACAATCCGACGGAGCAGGCCGTCGAGGCCCAGAGCGCCGAAGCCGCCACGTAGGCGGATGAGCTGGATGAGACCCTGCATGTGGATGTTGTAGTGGTCTGTGGTGCCGAACATGGCCTCGTAGCTAGCCATCTTGGCCACGGCGCCTATCAGGGCATCGCCCAGCGCCGCCGGCCGGGCCGCCAGGGCGTCGTTGATGGACTGCACGGCGGCGTGTCGCAGCTGTAGCAGGTTCAGCCTGAGGCTGTCCGGGCTGCCATGCACGCTGGCGTGGTGCGAGGCTGCGATAAGCAGAATCACATGGAACAATGCGGGTTCGCTTATCACCAGAGGAAACCAGCGGGTACGCAGCAGGCCCTGGTTGCCGGGTTGATCGAGCTCGGGGATATCAACTGCCATATGCACCAGATCTGCATTCAAATCAGCCACAATCTCCCACCCACTTCGTTGTAATTGTCTAACCGCCGCCAATGCTCACATACAGTGATCTACCAATGACGGGAAAAAGGGTTTCCATGATACAGGGTAGGAGCGAAACGGGTCAACGCGATGCCCACCCACCAGGCGGGGGATAGGCAGAACTCGTACCGGCTCGTTGGTATCCGAGTCCAGTTCCCGGTCCCCCTGGCCTGGTGTCACGTCGTCTGCACTGTTACCGCGACGCAGGCCCGTCAAGGCGGTGCAGTCCAGCTCCATGCGAAGGGGGAGAAACTCCCCGGTTCGTCTCTTCATTCTACCGGACGAGATGGCTTCACGCCGTCGTTGCTCGTTGTGTTTTCGCCATTGGTAGCGGGTGACGTGCGACCGCACCGTGCGGTCTCCACTCGCTTTCAGTCCATCGCGTGAGTGCTGGACCGTGATAAACGTGAGGTCTATGCTTGCCGGTCCCTTCGACATCGTATCGGATCAGGAACTGATGTGCCTGGTCGACGGTGAGATGCGTTGACAGGAGGATTGAGGCTTTCCTCCGCCAAAAAGAAAAGAGGCGGTATCTGTTGCGGCCTCAGGCAGAATCGCCCCTACATAGAACTATAGGTACGGAGTATATATTAATACCAGGAAAATAATCAAACCAGGCACTTTGACTGTAGCTATTCTAGGGTTTTATTAAACAGCCAGGGGGAAAGAAATCCCATGAGGTGATATACCCCTTGAAGTACTTGTGAAACCAAACTAATGAGGAACACGGAATAAGGCATCAAGGCATCGAGACATCGACGCATCCGGCGAGGACAAATTCCTGTCATGATTATTTATAACTTCTTCTCCTGTTAGATACTTATACAGAGCAATAGACACCATGGAGAATAGACGCACTGACAGAGTCGACGATGTGGTCTCCCGTCTGCTTGGACTGGCTGGGAGTAGTAGCCGCAAACCCATCGAGAGCCTGCTATCGTACTTTGACAGAGAAATCAGACGCATTGCAGAAGCCATCCTAGACACATCCGAGGAACATGGAAAGGACGGCGAAAGTGTGTTGCTGTTGATGGCACGGAAATGTCTTCAGCAGGCCACCCAGAACGACGGTGTGTTGCAATATCACCAATATGTGGCCGAGAAGGAAACGCATGAAAATGGAAATCAAAGCATTGGGTCGACCGGTGAACTGGAATGGACCACATTCTGGAAAGAAACAGTCAAAAACTGCCCTGGACCGATCTTGTTCCATCCGCCCGCCAGCCCAACCTTCCATTCCTTTGACTTCCACTTGGATCAGACGCCGCGATATCTGTTCCGCACCTTCGACCCCAAGAGCTCAGGCCACAGCGACGATGAGGTGGTTTCCTCACCTGCCAGTGAGAATCGGTTAGTAAGCAGCAAGATGGACATCCTCTCGCTCGATGACGACCACGCATTCGCCCTCGTCAATCTGCATATGAACCCGTGGCGGTGCAAGACCAAGCCGCACCCGAACCCGGACAACTTGATGTCCTGGACCTCATCACTGCTCTACGCAGTCCAGTACGCCCTCTATCGACGGTACCATTATGGCTGCTCCTCAGAGGAGATCAAGATCTGCGTCATCGACACGGGAGACTTCCCGCGTGGCCAGTTCGTGCACGCCAAACGCCTACTGCAGGCGTACTACCACTTCCTGCACCGAAAGGACATGCGAGACAACTTCGACACCCGCCTACTGGTCTACATCTACCAGAACGGCGAGTACCTGTCTCAAGGCCGGGTCCGGCACGGTGGGCGTTCCTGTGTGGTCTCGCTGGCTCGCCTCGAGGCTGCAGGGCTGTACTCCCTGTATCCTGAGCTGGCAGATCCGTGCGGCCACGTCCAGTGGGGGGTGAGAACCGCCAATTTGCGCAGTATGTGGGCTAATCAGGAGTTTTCCACGTACAAGGAGCTGCACACGGCCCTAACGATGGCCCGGAGCTGCTTTCATTCCTTCCAACAGTTGGATCTGGCTGCTATCCTGCTCTCGTTCAAACGGCGGGAACTGCAAATGAGGAAAGACGAATCGGACGAATCAGAGGAGGAATTGGAGAGAGAGGAAGAGCAGTTCTCTTCAGTCTTGGACATGAACAAGCTGCCGGAATGGGGTCGTCAGCCACCGGAGGTCCGTCAATACCTGCTCGCGCTCCAAACTCTGCAGACTGGTCCAGTGACGGAATGGAATCAGCGGTCGAAGAATCGTTTGCCTGATGAAGAGATGGTCCAGGCACTTCAGGCTTGTTTTGCAACTCGCTCGTTATAATCTAGTAGAACATGGCAATGAGAATCTTTAGTTATGGTCACATATAACGTTCAAACCTATGGCAATGCTTTAATGTCTGGCGACCGAGAAGTCGCTGGGAATTAGGCTGTATTGATACTGATGGATTCGGCGTGTCCAGTGAGGGCAATCGTTTTCAAGAGTGAGCTGATATTATCTATAATAGCTGGTCAATGGAACAACTATTCTGCTGGCGTTTGATCACTGACAACGTTTCTTTATCCTCGTCTCTGCTGGTCAGAGTCCGATGCCGTGTTCCCCGCGTCCTCAAACTTGAGCGTGTCCTCGTTGTGTCGTATTGATGGTTCTCGACAAAGATTATGGCCCAACAAAAGTTTTGAGAAGAAAAAGCGAAAGGAGGAGAAAAAGCCGTCACGAGACATGGTATCACCTGATATTCCTTTGCCTGGGGCGCCAACATATTAAAGCAGCCATGCCGGTTTGATTCTCCTTCGTTCAATTGCTTCAGCATTCTGATTTGCTTTTGCAATTCTCTAGTCCTGATATTGAGGATATATTGAAGAAGTAATAGGTTCTGACCTGGAACCCACAGAAGATACACATTGCCTATTCTTATTTTCTTGGTTTAGCACCGCCATCAAGTCGAGATACTGCAATTCCACACGATAAGAGCAGTTATCCTTGTTCAACGCGTATCAATCTTTCAGCAATGCAATACGAGTATGATATCAACTTGAAATTAACTCATTAGGCTGAAGTATAATGACTCATCAACGGTGGTATTCTAGGCTACAATGAGTACCTATAGTACACAACACTCCTGGGAACATGACTAGTACAGAACCAAACAGAAGAAAAACATGGCTGCTACGCAAGAAATCCCCGAGATCCTCCTCCTCTGCATGGACAAGGCGTTCATCAGCGCCTTCAACGACGCGCTGGCCACGCACTGGCCCCGCCCGGCGATAAGCATCACCGCGATCAACGACCGGCTCAACTCGCTTGACCCCGCCACGACCTTCGACCTGATCGTCTCCCCCGCCAACTCGTACGGCCGACTGGACGGTGCCTTCGACCATGCGATCAGCATGGCTTTTTCCCCGCGAGAGGATTACCACGCCCTCACGCGCGCCGTGCAGCGAGTCCTCTACGAGAGATGGCGCGGGTTCGCCCCGCCAGGCACCTGTACACTTGTCCCGTTTCCGGCGGAACTGACGGTTCAAAATAACGTCAAGAACACCCGCGCCTGTAACTGGGTGGCGATCTGTCCGACGATGCGGGAACCGCATAGTGTCGTCTGGGACCGGGAGGTGGTGTACGAGTGTGTGTGGAGTCTGCTGTGTGAGGTTGAGGGCTGGAACAGACGGAATGAAAGTACGAAGAAGATCCGGCGGATCCTTATGACACCCCTGGCGACTGGGATCGGAAAGGTGAGCAAGGAGAGATGGGCGGCACAGGTGGTTCTGGCTATGAAGCATTTTGTTGACGCGTTGGAGAAGCCGGAGAGATGGGGGAATCTCCAGTGGGATGATATCGAGAGCGACGCTAAAGAGGTTGAGTCGACGTGGGAGTTAGTCTAAAGGGAAAAAAAAAATTTTATTAATTAAATGAAAGAACGATGAATTGTATTTTGATGGTTGTGTCCTATAGTAAGTCTCTCTATATCTCACTACTCATTTACAGGAGCAAATTTGGACATCCTGCGCAGTCGCAGCGAATATTTCATAAACAGAAAGGGAACAGGTAGAGCCAGGCAAGAGATCCCCCCCAGCACACTCGCTGCCGGGCCAACGCCCATGTTAAGGAACATCGGTCTGGCAGCCAGAGGCAGTCCGAAGGCAAGCAAAGAGCGTAGGAAGTTGTTCCCGGAGACCGCACTGGCCGCGTATGGTCCGTAAGTGTCGACAAGAAAGTTGATACATTGCTGGAAGACGATATTGAACCCGGCGCCGATGAATCCTGCCATACGTGTCAGCGGGACTCTAGAAATCTTACATGAAAAACATACCTCCTGCGGTCACTGGAAGAATCCAGTGATATTTAGGAGCCGCCGTCCAGCCAAACCAGAAGATACCGGTTGAGAACAAGGCGCCTCCCAGGATCATGGGAGGGAGACGGGCCTCGGGGACCGCACGACCTTTGTTCGCAGCCACGGCCTTTGCATACCGAGGCTGGTTGGCGATGTTGACAAACAGGGCGAATATGACACCGACGAAGATGCCGAGAAATGGAAGAGTGGACACAACCGTGCTCCATCCCCGGTGATCCTCGAAGACGATTGGGAATACCTCAAGCGTTAGGAAGAGAAGGCCGTACACAAACGAGGCGTAGAACGCAATACAGGTCACCATGGGCTCCGTGAAGAACATTCTATATATCAGTTAGACAGACCCACACACCCCTCATGTATATTTATACACATAAGAATCCTACTCACAGCAAAGGTCGACTTAGATGTTTGGTCACAATGTTGTTCAGAGTCACTCTGTCCTTCTCGCTCGGGTGCCAATATCTCTGATCGCCAGTACTCTCGCGCAGGCGCCGGGCTTTGCGTTTCAACAGGACCGGAGCGTACGTCTCGGGCAGGAAAAAGAAGGAGATGACGAGAACGATAAATGCCATGATAGCCTCTATATACTCTGTCCCTATAAAGTTATAGACCGTTAGTCAGTCGGTCTGGTGATCTGTGAGGTCAACATACAACGCCATCCTAGATGCGGGTTGACTGTCAACGCCGCCCCGATGAGAGGAGCAATTGTCGGACCGCCCACGATACACATCGCCATAAAAGCCATGGGTACGCCTCTCGTTTGGGGCGGGTAGATGTCCCCCAGAGCGGCTGAGACGTTGCTCATGGGTGCCGCCCCGAAAACACCACCGAGAAAACGAGTAACGAACACGCTCGCTGCGTTCTTGCTGACGGCGGTTGCAATACTGAGAACTCCAAGACCAAACACTGCCGGCAGCATCGACCATTTGCGTCCATATACCTCGCTGATCGGGGCAAACACTAACGGACCGAACGAGAATCCTTTTCAAGTCAGTACGAGCTATCGAGAGAAAAGGGGAGAGAGGAAGAGAGCAAGGTATCACTGAAAGTACAAACCTAGAACGAAAAGCGACAGTACAAGAACTGAAGTCTCTCGGTCCACACCCAAGTATACTGATAGAACTGGCTCTGCGGGCGTGATGATTGACGAGCCCACTGAGCCCAGCAGGGCCAGCATCCCCATCTCCACCGCCAGCCATGCCCGGTAGTATGGATGCCAGTTCTTGGGATCTTCCGGATCGTCCTTTTCGAACCGGACTAGGAAGGCTTCCTTGTCGTCTTTGACTCCCTCTGTGGATGGCGGCACCACTGGGGAGGGATGATTGATTTCCCCCTTCTCCAAGTCGACTGCTGGAGACAGCATCTCAGCCTGCGTGTCGGATGCCATCCTGTGTGTTGGTTAGCTGTTTCTCAGGGGTAGAGGTGTAGACTTCCACTCTGTGAGGATGCATCTTTCTGTATTTTCAGGGGCCACAGGATGGTTTTATAACTTTAACACATCCTATCCGTAATCAGGGCCAATAGTCTCATATTCCTATATGATTCGTACGTTGCGCAGCATATCCAACGTCCAGATATGTTGAGGGAATAAAAATCGTAGTACAAAGCTAATTACACTAGGCTTAGCTAGTCAGGTGACGCTGGAAATCCATGAATCATCCTGACTCTCAGCCTACAGATCATCCTTTCATCTTCTCTCTCTCTCTCTTGGTAGAGCCAGCATGGCTAGCCGGAAACAGACTAGTGGCGGCCGCCAGATGGGTCTATACAGGGTCCATAACTAGATACCTGAGGTATGTAGTAGGTTTCTACCTGGTAGATGGAGACTTTCAATCCGCAGTAGTTATTCTACTGGGTAGGAGTCAGATAATCACTATCTATAGAATATATGCATGTACATTCGTGTATACCTACTGCATTCTGTATTAGATACAGTCCGAAATTCTACGTAATGTACTACAGTGGAAATACCAGGGCTAGCCCTACCACGTGAACGCCAAGGCACCTGACCCACAAATCTTTTGGATCGTCTTGGATGGTCTCTCTTATTCTCCACATCGCTCGAGGCTTTCTTTCTTGTATCCAGTGGAATAACATCATTCGTCAGAATCGATATTGATTTAATACGAGTCTTTGATTTCTATCTCCTTGAGACCCCTGTTTCCAGGTCCTCATATCTGTGCCTAAGGAACCACGGTAGTTTCTCAGTCTAGTATTAAAACTTGTCACTACTTTGTACTGATATTAATTAGTGTTACAGTTTACTGCAGAAAAGCTCGTGATACCATGGCTTGGTGGATAGCCCTTCCCGTTGTCAAACTGACGCTTTTGGTCCTGGGATTTGGGCCACAGGGGATCATTGGCGGTATAGCTCCGACTATCTGATACAAGGGCTCATTCGGTGCTCAACAAATCAGTAACTTGGTCTTGATCTAGGCTCGCTGGCGGCTGTTTTTCAGTCTGTGATGTACGGGGGGCTCACGCCAGCCGGTGGAATCTTCGCCAGCTTGACGAGTATCGCGATGTCTGCGCCTCTCCTATGGCCATTTTAGTTCATTGCTCTCGTCGCTTCGGTATCTGTTTTGGCCTGGGGACTTCGCGTGTGGCCTTTCTGGTCGGTCGAGAACCTTAAGAGAACACTCAGTCAGGTTTGTGTAACTCTGATAAGCCGAGAATAAGAATCAGCCTGTCTCTTGCAAGTAATAAGAAAGTCTTACGGAATTGCTCTTGCTATCCATGGTTCAACCCATAAATGACACTTTAAAGCTAGTGGCGGCCGCCGCTGGTAATTGACAAATCCCAGTTTTTAAATACCCCACATATAGTAAGCGACAGCTGAAATCCCTATAATTCACGTATTTGCATTTCAGAGCCTCTGCAATACGATAACGTCATATGATTTACTAAGCTGGCTAGCGTCGGCCGCCGACTAAATGTCCCTGACTGACTTCCTCCTTCCTTCCTCCCTCTGTTAATAAGAAGCAACGAGGGAAACAAATGGCCTCGGAAAAGAACCAGCTGGCGCCTCATGTCTGCAATACGTGCAGGACGCGAAAGAAAGGCTGTGATAAGCAGTTGCCCCGCTGCGGATACTGTGTCCAGCGAGACCTGGTCTGTACCTACGACGTCACGCCGGGGGGGTTAGTAGGGGGTACGTTGCTTCCACACCCGTTTCAGGTGGGTATCGGAGCGTCAAACTGCTAGATTGATGGTGATTCTTTATGAAAAGAAAGAAAGAAAGAAAGAACTAAAATTGTGATCAGATAGGTTTGCTGACGGATGGGGCGACGAGTCTCGACGGCATGGTCAATCGTCAAGTTGTGGGTATCATCAAACAGACCCAGCTTTCTATCGGCGATATCAACGCGCGGTTCTTCAGGCATTTTCACTGCTGGTTACCGGTGATATCGCCCCGGCTGTTTCGTGAGGAGTATGAGTGCGATAGTAGAGAGCCGTCGGCGGACTTTTCGATACTCCTGCTAGCTATGTGTTTGTTGACGGCGTGCCCGGCCAGGACAACGACCCTAAGCCCGCCCATGACCCTGGATGCGCTGTATCTCACGACACGTATGCTGTTTGCTCAGGTCCAGGCGTTAATCCCTGCCTCGACGCGGCTAGTTCAGGCTGGCCTGCTCATCGCGGCGTACGAGTACGCCTGCGGCAGGCCGCAGGCTGCATTCATATCCATGGGCACTTGTGCCCGGATGGCGCACAGCATGAACCTTGACAGGAATACCAATCTAGATAAAGGTCTGCTCCTTGGAACGGCGTCCAGACTCAAGGCTGTCGAAGAGTGGAATGTCTGGTGGGGGACTGTCATTTTGGAAAGGTAACTTTACGCCTCTTTTTTGTTTAAAGCGCTTGATGAAGACACTTTTAATCAGTTATAGGGTTATCTTACTCGAATTAACTCATCAAGGTCGATCCCCCATGACTAAACACCCTAGCCTTCACTCATATCTACCCTCCGACTTGGACTATGACCGCTGTCTTCGGGCACTACCGTCAGATGTAGAGCCGTTCGAGGATCCGCCGCGGCTTTCTGGAGTTCATTCTAAAAACGTGACGAGGTTCGGTCGTCAGGCACAAGCCACGAACCTACTCGATCAGGTTCTGAGCGTGCTCCGCATGGACATGGAAATTGATCAGACGATTTCAGAGCTTAGAAGACTGGACGCTGAGCTTCAGGCATTTCTCGCCATAATGACAATCGAGTGCGGTGCTCAGCTGGGGCACTACTGTGGCGCAATGGCTACTGCCATCCGGTAAATTCTTCGCCATTTTTTTTGAACTTCCTTTTATTAATCATTGAATCAGAGCCCTTGTTCTTGTACATCAAAATATTCTGGCGAACACAGAAACTACAGACACGCTACTACATCAGAATTCCCGCGCTGCGCTGGAAACCGCGACGAAAATCATGGTTGATGTTGCCTATCACCATATAACACACCTCACACCTCACAATGTGGATGCCCTCCCGCTCTGCTGCTCATATAACCTTCGAGTCGCCATGGACCACATCGAGAATCAGTCCCGCCATTTCCCTGGCACACAAGCATCCAAGGATCTAGCATGTCTAATGGCCTTGGATAGAGCGTTTTGTATGAGATGGCGAACGTCATAGCCTGAGGTATAAGTCCTAGTGTTTATCAGTTGACTAGCTACAGTCAATCAAGATTTAACTCCCCTTAACCTAAGCCTTACGTACTGAATACCATAGATTAGCGATCTTCATCCAAAGCTGCTCTATGTCGGTAAGTTATAAAGTATACTAACATAGTCAGGTCCATTCTATAATAATACATACTCTATACTTATATTCAGCTAAATTGGACCTGAAGATCGTTTGGTTATAACTAAGATATTCAAGAGACAGGATAGTGCTTGAGCAGTCTCTCAATATGGCTTGACTGACACAGACAAATTCCAGCTCGAGGATTCATATCGGGTCCGCAATAGGCGTTAGACATCTATCTACTAAGAAGTCACATTCTCCAAAGGTTAACTCGGAGGAGGTAACACTAATTTTCATATTTCCTTCCATCCGGATACCCCATCAGATCCTCCAACTCCTTGAGATCCGGCATCCCCCCAGGACCAGGAATATACTGCAGGTTCTCCCTTATCGAGCTGGCATTCAGCCACAGCTCATTCTTGAACATGCCGTCGATGATCCGCGGTGCGTCAATGTACGTCCGACACTCGACGATCTGGTGTCGTTTGTCCCATTTCGTGACCCAGACATTCACCACATCGAAGTCGTCTCCTAAATAAGATGTAAGAAAAAAAAAATTGAACGACGGGGTGAAAGAAAAAAGTCGGCTATTCATACCTGAGTTCATCTTCCCCTTGAAGTTAATCTCCTGGACAGACCACTGACTGTTACAACCTCCATGGATGGCACGCGGGTGGATCTCGAACAACTCCGCATGATCGAGAAACATATTGCTTACGCGGCGGAGAGCGTTGACATAGAAATGGAGGAGATCATGGTAATGCCCCGCGACAGGATGGTGGCCCATGACGGTGAAGTCGACTTCCCTGTGCACGCGGGTGAACAGCTTGGTCATATCCTTCTCGAGCACTTTGAACGAGTCCCAGATCTCCGGCTGGGAGACAAACGCACAGTCCGTGGACGGGTTATCGAACACGAACCCTTCGCGGTCCTTCCATCTCCCATCTGGGGGATAAGGGTAGGGGTATGGGTTCTCTGGATGCTCGATGATGCCGTCCCCGTTGCATCGGCCGTGGGGGTCTACAATCCCCGACCCGTCACATCCGGGGGCTTCGAGACGGGTTTGGAGAGGGAGGATCCACGCGGTCATCAGCGGGGCAAGAAGCAGGAATAGAATGCTAATCATGTTGAAAAAGTATTTGTATACCGGTTGGTGGTTTTACTTGACATATCCTCCTCCTTGGTTCAACCTTCGGACATGTATTTATTCATACCACCTACTAAGTGTGCAACGTAAAAGTCCCCGGGGGTGGCACGAACAAATAACCCGACACTGCATATTCTACACGGAATGAATAATTTCCACCATTTCGGAGAGTGCTTAACCGATATTCCTGGTATTCGTGGTATAGACACTTCAGGAGCCAAGATCAGCGTAGCCATCAGCATCCCGTATCGTCTGTCCGATATATAGATCGATATGTCCGGATCCGGAAATACCGGGTATCTGTCTCAGACAGTTTGAAAATAAAAGGTTGATTTCAGATCAGAAATAGAAAGAAGGAAAGAAAGAAAGAAAGAAAGAAAAGTATATATAATGTGAGGATCTCATATAACAACCACAACGCCATTAGACCTCCATCCAGACCCGTCGCTCACAGTACGCATTGAGCGCGGCCTCGCCCATCGAGAAGATCATCGCCGTCGCCGTCCAGCATGTCCCGTCCTCGTTCAACACCCAGACCCCACGCGCCGTTCTCCTGCTCTGGGACATTGCTCATGAGGTGCTCAGCAATATGGGTCGCGGCGGGCCACATCCCTGCTGACATTTGGGAGAAGAAGACTAGGGCTAAGCTTGAGGGGTTCCATAGGGCATACGGGACGGTACATCTCTCTCTTTATCGATGTATAAGTTGATGTTTAAGTTGATGTTGACCACTGAACCAAAAGGTCATGTTCATTGTGGACCTGGAGTCTCTCGCACCACTCAAGGAACAATCCAAGGCTTTTTGCGGACAGATTCGATCCCTGGGCTTTTCAGTTTGGACAGCTCTTCAGGGAGAAGAGCTCAGGGCAAATCTCCAGCATTGTAACCCGCTCATTCACGGGGCGGTGCAGAAGCAGAGGACAAACCTTGTGAAAAGACCTTTTCTGCCGGTGGAGTGTTTGGGCAAATAAAATAGACACGATGGAATAGATAGAAACGTTTCTATTTCACAGTCTAGTTTCTCCCCGTTGGATGCTCTCCCAATCCTCTTGCGAAAAATCGACGTATCCCTCTTCTGCGGGCTTGAGCCAGAGAATCCGGTCTTTCTGTCCGCTCGTCACTTTCGAGCCTAGCAGGGCCGGGTCGACCCCTTCGTCGCGGAGGGCCGTCTTGTTCTGCTTGTGGTTATGACTGTGCGCGGGCGTCTCCGTCAGCCGTAGGAACACGGGGACAGCGTAATTCGGCAGCTTGGAGCGGGCATGCCGGGCCAGCGCGGCGAAATCAAAGGTTTTGCTTAGCAGTAGTTCTGGACGGATGTGGAGCGCCGCGCAGCCCGCACGCCCTTCGTAGTGCGGTAGCCGGACACCATATACGTTCGCCTCGATCACGCCTGGATAGTGGCCGAGCACTGCTGACACTTCAGCAGTGGAGACGTTTTCGCTCTTCCAGCGAAAGGTGTCGCCGAGCCGGTCGAGAAAAAACCAGCGGCCGTCTGGAGCGCGGCGCAGGGCGTCGCCCGTGCGATAGTAGACGTCGCCATGGCGGAAGACGTCGCGCAGGAGTTTGCGCTCCGTGGCGACGGCGTTGCCCCAGTAGCCTTGGAAGGCTGTTTCGTGCGGGAGGGCAACGAGGATCTCGCCGCCGGTCGCATAAGGGACGCGGGTGGCGAAGCCCGTCACCGCGTCGCGCTGGACGTCCCCTGTGGCCGGGTCGATGGCGACAGGCACGTAGGTCTTGTGCAGTAGGGTGCGCAGAAGCAAGCCGTGATGACCGACGCAGCCGGCCAGGTACGGGCCCTGATTGAAGTTGAACAGACCAAACATCCCCTCCGTGCTGTTGAAGAACTCGGCCACGGCCGCAATGCCGAACCGCTCGCGGCACTGCTCCCATACCTCTGGGCGCAGGCCGTTGCCGTACATGCAGCGGACGCGATGGTTGCGGTCGTCCGGGGACGGCGGTGCCGCAAGGAGATACCGCGCAGCCTCGCCGACGTAGATGATTATTGTCGCCTGGGAGTCGCGCACGTCGGCCCAGAAGGTCCGCACGCTGAACCGGCGGCCCAGCGCAACACCCACGCCCCCCACAAACGCCCCCATGATGGCCACAGCCCCCGTGCCGTGGTATAGCGGCATGCAGCTGTACCAGCGGTCGCCGTTGGGGCCGGCCACGTCACCTATCACGCCCTGGCGGCTGTAGACGACCCTATAGAACCGTCCCATGGTGAAAGCGCTTGCCTTGGGCAGGCCCGTCGTCCCGGACGTATACAGCAATATCGCCGGGAAGTCACCGTGCATGTTGAGAGCCAGTCTCTCCGGCAGGTCCGAGGTCGGAAATGCGGCGAGCCGGTCGTGGAATTCAGTGTCCAGAATGACAAGTTGCATCCCCAGACCCTGAGCATCCTCGAGCACGGCGCGGCTCTCCTCAATCCGTGCACTGCACTCTGCGTCCCCATCCACGAGCACGAGCTTCGCCCCGCTGACCGTGAGACAGTGCACCAGCGCATCGCCGCTGAGGTTGTAATTGATGGCCGCGGGTGCGCAGCCGATCCCGACCAGCGCAAGCCAGGCAATGAGAAACTCGGCCCGGTTATGCAGAAATAGCGCAGCGATCTCGCCGGGTTTCATCCCGCGGGACAAGAAAAATTGCGCGTACTGGCAAGCCAGGTCATAGGCCTGCCGGTAGGTATAAGAGCCCTCGCGGGACCAGATGGCGATCATGTCAGGGTACTGCTGCACGGTTTCCTGGAAGATGAACCAAATATTGGCCCGACCCTGGGCCGCTGGAAAAAGGGGGACGCATGGTCAGCGCTCCGATCGGAGCCAGCGACAGAGCAAAACGTACCCGCGCGAGCCAGCTGTCTCTCTACATATCGATTATTGCGCAGACTTTGAATATCCTTGGCGATGTGCCATTTGGCGTTGAGATACGCGGCCAGCGTTGCTGCACCAGTGACGGCGGCGGCGGCTCCTGAGTAAAAACAGTGAATATAGATGAGATAGGAAACCCAGCAGAAGAATGAAACATACCCAAGCTCATAGTCAGTATAATCAGTATACTTCAGATCGAAATACGAAGTATGATCAGCGATACCACTCACACTGGTGTCCACGCGATATTGAAATATGATGAAAAACCGAGAATCCCTCACGACTGTCGAGAGAACAACACAGCACTCCCAGTCGTGAACTTATTGTATCAGGTTACACAGCAGATACTGGGAATTGCCGATGCCAACACCAATTCCTCGGTCCAAGGCAGTCGGTCAGTCTCCCCGCACGGCGATCTGTCGCGGTTGACTGGTTCGCTTGCAGGCGATGAATGAGTCCCCCAATAATCATCGTCCTGTTGCTCAATAGACCTTGCAGAACTGTCACCATCCTGAATATGGATGGGTCACCAGATAGATTGAATCTTTGGGGGGTGAAAAATCCGGGGTATCTCTGCTAGAAGACAGCCACGGAAAAAAAGTAGCGTCCATCACCAGCCACTGTGACAAAGAAAGAATGAATATGATCGAGAATGATAGGGTGGTTTCATTATTGCACTCGGAGACAGACAGACCATCTGCACAGCCTCGAGCCATCGACGTTGTGTTGGGTAGATTGAAAGTCCATGGCTGCGTAACGCATCTTATCTCCTGTCCAGCGTCGCTGCTATTTTGAGCGCCGTCGGTGGAGAGAAATACTGTCTATACGCCGTACAGTCACGATACGATATTATAGACTGCCAAAAGGGCTCGGAAATCAAGGAAGCGTGGCATTTCGCTTATCTGGTAAATTACCAGACATCCCCTCCGACCGCGCTTGCAGCAGAGTTAGCGCTTTCGCCAGGGTTGCTAATGCTCGCACTGCCTCCAGCGGACCACAGTTTGGTGTGAACTCAAGCAGGGGAGCGAGTCATGTCCAGAGCGCGGTTGGTTGAGATGACGTTTCTGGAGGTAATCTGACGTGGGTTTAGCGCCCATAGTGCACCACGATAGGCTCTGCAATCCTTATTCTCTGCCCGTTCAGCAGTAGTCCAGTTGCCGGACTTGATGGAGAGCAAGGAAGCCACACCCTCGCCACGGTTGGTTTTGCAAGAAGGAGAGAAGGAAAGAGACTTTTGTCTATAAATGAGGCGTCAAGGCCCTGAAAGAGTAACTCTGACCTGTATACTCCGATCAGTCAATCGACCAGGTCAATCGACTCAATACTGTTCCAGACATATTTCTCCACCATGACAGACTTCGAATCAGGAGACCTCCTCTCCGTTATCATCAACGTCGATCCGTGTGAGCCCGATTGTTTTGGCTATGCCTCCTCGCAGCATCGTCGGTGCCGCTGCCGCACGCGAGCGTCGAACCGGGGCTATGCCGCCATTCTCCTGGAAGAGGGCTCGTACAGGCTTTGCAACGGCGAGTCAGTCGACGGTCTCTTAGATCAAGTGGCCCCCTTGCTTCTCTGCACACGTTTCCACCAGGGACAAGCGGCGGGGCTCGCGGCTCGGTGGAAGAGAGACGTGGAGAAATACCACGAAATGCAAGCGACGGCGCGGACGCGCCGAGCGACAAGGCTCGTCGAACAAACAGTCCGGAGGCAGACGCAGCGCGCAGAGCAAGAGCACCAACAAACAGACCATGAGAGTCTCTTTTTGAGCCTCGAAGAGCAAGTCAACAGGCTGCTTGCAGCGATGGAGGCACTGCCCAATCATTCCGATAACACAAACACCTCTGTACGACCGTCGGAGAGAAGCCCAGCTCCCGTCACGCTAAATCCGCCGATGTCTTCCACCAAACCACGCAGACGAGCAGTCAGACGGCGGGCAGTGGATGGAGATTGTGGGATTTGTCTGAATCCACTCCAGAGCAGCGAGGGCCACGAGGAAGAAGAGCTGACATGGTGCAAGGCTCAGTGCGGAGTCAACTACCACCGCAGCTGCATAGATGAGTGGAAAGAGACGTTCAGGACCCAGGTACGAGCGGCAACATGCCCGACATGTCGCGGGACGTGGAGGGATTAATTTTCACAGCATGGATTTGTTTGGCGTTGAGCGGGCCACAATGCCTCGTCTTTTTGATATTTTTTGTTGCTTTTTGATATCCAGCGGTGTCCTTATATTCTAATATACCAGATACTCTTTGTTTGTATTCATCGTCTCGGGAGCTGGGCGTCATGTAGAAGAGGCTCCTAGGCAGTCAGTACTATACAGGAGAGAAGTGCTAGGTGCCACCGTCAAGAGGCTTTGAGACTCTGGCGGGCTAAGAGGAAGCTGGCAAGTGCTAGAAAATGCCATTCACATAGTTTAATAGTAATCTGTCCTGTTGGTGGCGATAAAATGATCGAATGCTTCACCTGCTAATGTTGTGATGGAAAGGCCCGAGGGAGATGAGTCGGTGAGAGAAAGAAACGAACTCAGGTAAGAATTGTCGGAGTTGAAAGATAATGGCAAAAATCCGTCGGCCTTCAACAACAGCCGGGCTAGCTCAATCGGTAGAGCGTGAGACTCTTATATCTTGCGATCTCAAGGCTGCGGGTTCGACCCCCGCGTTCGGCTTTCTTTTTTTTTATCTTCAATATTTTCCCCCAATACTTTCTTCTGACTCTAAAAGTGTCTCATTTATGTATCGTTAATTTTTAATTTATCACATGTAGCCATAGTTATCCTGTTCTTCCCTTCAAGACCACCTTGTTGTACTGGAGTCATGTAGGGGTACCAGTTATATATAATTCCTTGGTACATTCCGAAACCTTCAAGCCGAGGTAGATAGGTACCTAGTACCTCCTATTAGCAACTACTACTAGATTAATTACATACTAACCTGTTAGTACTCGGTTAGTAGCTAATAATACCAGTTAAAGTTACTACTAAATTTTAATAATCCCCAGGTACGTAAACTACCCGATTCGCTCTTGGTCAGATACATTAGTATGAAACAATACTGGTAGGAGGTATCTTACCTACCTAAGGCAGTACTGTATTATTTATTCAATACCTGAATCCTATAATTATTCATAACTACCTTTCTACTATTCTACATAAATTGTCTCTAGTCTTCATCATATACTAAATAGTACCATTCGGTATCTCCTGTGTACGGAGTAAGTACCCCGGGGCCCGTACCTCTCCATACAAAGATCGACGGTATGTAATTGTACCAACTAATCAGAATCACAGTAATATTAAGCATAATAACCAACAAATAACAAATGCTTCGGGCCAAAGGAAGAACTCCACCTTAGTAAATATCCAGGCAGTGGTCGTATAACATATCTGTATCTCTATTCTATCCAGTACATAAGTACCTAGGTAGTACCCGGTACTCTCATACCTTATTTAGAACTGGAGGAATACATCTACTACCTAACTATTCAATAGGTAGTAACTATACAGGTATATACTACAGGTACCTATATAAACAACAGCTGTACTATTACCAGTTGCCTGCATACAGTTTGTTGAGGTCATCAGGTGATACTAAATAAGCGCTTTCTTTACCTTCACTCAACAGTCAACACTTTGACTCACCCCTCTCCCCTCTCTTTTTCTTCTCTTCTTCCTTTCAATTCCTCTCTCCAACTCCTTCAATTCTATCATGTCTCGTCTACCTCTCCGTCTCGCCCGTTCCTACGGCACTGTCGTTCAGTCCTCCCCCTCCAACCGATTGCCCCTCGTCCTACAGCAGGCTACCGAGGCCTCTGCCCCGCGCACCGACTGGACCCGCGATGAGGTCCAACAGATCTACCAGTCACCGCTGGTGCAATTGACTCACGCTGCAGTAAGTTTTATAAGAAAAATAAAAAACCGAAGATGGAAAATTGGAAAGAAAGATATATGTATATATACATACATGTATTTATTTATGTGTGAATTTTAGGGAATTGTCCACCGACGCTTCCACGACCCCGCAGCCATCCAGCTATGCACGCTGATGAACATTAAAACAGGCGGCTGCTCCGAGGACTGCTCGTACTGCGCCCAGTCGTCACGCTACCAGACCGGACTTCAAGCGACCAAGATGTCGCCGGTGGAGGAGGTGTTGACGCAGGCGCGGCGGGCGCGAGACAACGGGTCGACTCGCTTCTGCATGGGGGCGGCGTGGCGGGACATGCGCGGGCGCAAATCGGCCCTCCGCAACATCAAGGAGATGGTGAGCGGCGTGCGGGCGATGGGGATGGAGGTGTGCGTGACGTTGGGGATGATCGATAGCAACCAGGCGCAGGAGTTGAAGGCTGCGGGCCTCACGGCGTATAACCATAACCTCGACACCTCGCGCGAGTTCTACCCGAACGTGATCACCACACGCTCGTACGACGACCGTCTGCAGACGCTGAGCCATGTGCGAGACGCGGGCATCAACGTCTGCTCCGGCGGTATCCTGGGTCTCGGCGAGGCCGACTCCGACCGTATCGGGCTGGTCCATACCGTCGGCTCCTTACCCGCCCATCCAGAGTCCTTCCCCGTCAACGCTCTGGTTCCCATCCCAGGCACCCCGCTGGGAGACCGTCGCATGATTCCCTTTGCCACCCTGCTGCGCACCATTGCCACCGCCCGCATCGTCCTGCCCGCGACCATTGTCCGTCTGGCTGCCGGGCGCATCGCCCTCTCCGAGGAGCAGCAGATCCAGTGTTTCCAGGCCGGCGCCAACGCCGTCTTCACCGGCGAGAAGATGTTGACCACCGACTGTTCAGGGTGGGATGAGGATAAGGAGATGTTCGACCGGTGGGGGTACTATCCTATGAAAAGCTTCGAGAAGACAGAGTCAGTCTAGCTATTAATAATAAGATCTTGAGTGGTCAATTCACTTTCTGCCGCATTCAGCTTAATCTTATCTGAACCTCAAACACCTCACACCTTTTAATATCTTAATATCTCTATAATTTAATCTTCTTAAATATATAAATATATATATAAATATTATTCAATGTCAGAAATCGCCAATCTAGCCCCTGAACCACGCTACCTCTTCCGCCAACCTCGCGCCCTGCAATGGTTCGAGCACGGCCGGCTCGTCAAACGCTGCGAGGGCGAGCGACAAGCCAGTATCTTCTCTAGATCAAGAAAATAATGATTGAATCAAGTCTGACGGTTTAGGTCGCTTCGAGCTCTTCCTCGATCTGCTGTACGTGGCTATCCTGGCGAACTTTGCGGATAGCCTCGCAGAAGATATTTCGGGAGTGCAACTGGTAAAGTATTTGGTAAACCATCAATCTTCTTCTTTTTTCTTCTGCAAAATATTCTAACAAGGTCTAGTTAATTCTATCTCCATCCTGGCATGTATGGAGCGACCTCCGCGAGCTGATGAACTCGTTCTACAACGACGACCTGCTCCAACGACTGCTCATCCTCTTCATCATGGCCGTCCTGCTCGTGTACGGCAACAACGCCCCCCTGGTAAACGAGGATCTGGGCGCCCTGAGAGCAACAGTGGGCGCGTACATGGTGGCCAGGTGCACGGCCAACACCGCCCACCTGGTCTATTCGTTTGCAAGCTACCACCACCGCGCCCAGCAGCGGCTGTGGTTCGGTATGGCTTCGCTCTGTCTGCTCCTGTACACGCCGCTATATCTCGAAGACATCTCGATGCGGGCCAAGATCGCCGTGGCCGTCGTGGCGATTGTCGCAGAGGAATCCACCTGGATGTTCTGCTACTCGCCCCTGGCGAAACGCATGCTCCGCGCCCGCTACACCACCGCCGTCGACGTGCCGCATGAGATCGACCGGTTCGCGGCTTTTTACATCATCGCCCTCGGCGAGTTTCTCTACTGGAGTATCGTCGGTTCGCCTGCTGCCATAGGCTTCAACGCCGGCCTCCTCCGTGCCGTCTGGACCCTTGTCATCGCCTTCTGCTTCAACTGGATGTACGTCCACAACGACGGCGCCCTCTCTGGTTCCCATCCCATCCGTCACTCCGTCACTACTTCCTTCGTCTGGGTTACGCTCCATCTGCCCTTGATCGCCTCGTTGCTCGCCGGCGGCCACGTCGCCGCCAAAAGTGCCGCGGAGAAGATCGACTTTGGTGATCCCCAGCGCTGGCTTCTGTGTGGTAGTCTCGGCGTCGCCCTCTTCTGTCTGTACATCATCTCAATACTGCATCACTCGCACGATAAATCGGGGGTCTTGATTTTGGGAAAGGTATTCCTCTTTCCTTCTTCTTCTTCTCTCTCAAAAACAACTCAGAGTGGGCTTAAGAGCTAATTTTTCAGAACCTCCGTGTCATTATGCGCCCCATTGTCGCGATCGTGATCATCTGCCTCCCTCTCGCCCACCAACTAGACTTCACCTCCATCCTCTCCCTGATCATGGCCCTGGTAGTCGTCTGTCTCATCTGGGAGAATGTCACCTCCCTCCGCAAAGACTGTCACATCTGGGAGAAGTGGGTCGATACTCAGTACCCCGATGAGACAGAGACAGATCCAGAGGCTGGCCAGATGCACGATGACGGCGTCCAGGTTGATGTTGATGCGACTCAATCTGACGGTGGAGACGAGAGGAAGGAATAGCCTTACTCTTATGAGTCTGTCTGTATACTAAAAACTGTATATTTAGGTTCTTGTTGAAAAAACCGGATATCACTGCATTAATTCTATTCTTGAAGTGATCACCATTCTAATACTATTCCCCAGCACCTTCTTCTCTGCCTTCCAGACGATCATCCATGTCATCCTGCAGATTGGCCCAAACTCCCATATATGATGAAACCTCGCCTTCATTCCCATAGACATCCCCTGTTGGCCGTGGCTTCCTTCTCGCTTGTCTACGGGAAGGGTTCCCAAGCAGTGGTTCTGGTGATCCCCGGTGGCTACGCCGATTATATCCGGAACCAGACCTTGATCTTTCTAATCCCGCCTGGAGTCCTTGACTACTTTCTGTATTCTCCTGTCCCGTGTCAAGGTTCGGCGTGGACTTGCGTCGTGGCGGAGGCTTTCCAGTCCGCGCAGGCCCCCCCATCAGTGCCGTGGCCACATAGATCTTTTCAGCTGGTGATTTCTCAGGCGATGGAGGGTGTGATTTCCGTGGAGAGCTCGGCATTTCGTCTACCGAAATATATGATACTTCCGATTCTGAATTCCCTCGGATATCATGCGGAGCGATAGAAATCCTGCTGACGTTTGCTAAGGGGGGATTTGGCAGGTCTTGTTCTGGCTCTGGCTCTGCTGCTGGGGATGGCCTATTCTCTTCTGGCGGAGTCACTGGTGGAGTCACCGGCGGCGTGAGGGGTGGCAGTGACGGTGGCAGTGACGGTGGCGATGATGAGCCATTCTGCATGTTTCTCAGAAGTTCCGGCATTTCATTCTTTAGAATCCGAAGAACCTCCTTTGCGAAATCCTCCGCTGAGGGGGGATAAACCCCGCCTTGGGTTTTTTGTTTCAGCAGGTCTCGCTCCGCTTGATTTCGTTCCAGCTTCATCAATGCCAAACGCGCGTTGGCTTCGAGGAAGTACCTACAGGGATGAATTTGAGTCACATAAAAAAAACAGGGTCACGACATACAGCTGCATTTTGGAAAGTGACCCCGTCTTTGCTTGTCGAAGGGCGATCTGTATGTTGATCATGCATGTAAACCCGTTTATAGAGATCTCCAATGATTGCATTTCTGTCAAGAGTATTTGGATATTGTGCCGTTTCCGAAAGTGCCAGTCCACCCTCGCATAAAGCTGCCGGGATATCTGGGCTGGCGGATGGGTCCATAGGGGAGAGAGCACGTTGAGGATGCCTTTGATCTTCTTGATGATTCCCTTCGCTTGCTTTCTGTAATTCCTCTCCACCTTCCGGTACCTTTTCCGAATATCTTTGAGATCGCGATGTTTAGCCACCTGTTTCATCGTTTTCTCGAAGAGGTCCGCCAACTCGGACATGACCTCTGTTTTATCCATGACCTTGTGCACCTCCTCTCGGGCATACCGCAAGCCTTTATATGCTTCTTGAAGCTTCTTCAACAGATTGACAAATTCCATTCCAATCTGAAGGACTGCTGCCGCTGTTCCCAGCTCCGCCATGTCGTTATATAGACCTGAAGTGGAATACGGTCCCAGACACAAAGATAGCAAGTATCAGAGGAATTAGAGGCACGAGGCTTTGTTAGTAGGCCAAGGACAAAATGAACCAGGAAAATGGCTACCTGTATGTTTATAGCCGGCTATGCTACTAGCTAGCACCCATGTCCATATCCTCCATAGTGGAGGCATGAAAGTATACTCAAATAAGATCAACACTGACTTATGCATGCCAGTTGTCTAGCGGGGGTTGAGCCTCAGCCTCGTCTATCCAACACTTCAAAGAATGGATTGTAATTTTGATAATCATGAGAATAGGAAGGGTACCTCGAGGTAATGATGGCTAGGAGATGACTGTTTCGTCGGTCAGTTCAATCTAGTAAAGAAATCAACCCGTTAATTATGTCGCCATGTCTGGGACGCTCCTTATCAAAGAATGGCCGAGGCAAGGCTGTGGTAATCGCTCAGCCTCATTGCTTTGCAGCAGCAAAGACCAACAGTTGCCTCGGTCTTCCTTATTGGTGTGAACCGTGAGGTAGGTAATGATACGAGTCAGTGGCAAACCAATCAAAGTTGCCTGTTCACTGCAAATTAAGCAAGAGATTCTCGATCGGGCGATAGATTAAAGCAACCAAGATTTCTGGGCGTCGATGCGCAGGAATTTTTCTGCGAGGAAAGACAATCCATCTTACATAGTCTGCCGCCTCACATCTGTTCTTCCCTTTGCTGATTTCTGGTCATTTGAAAATACCTTGATCATGGAGAGTCGTCCCGAAAGAACAGTTTCCATAACACTCTGTCAAATCGTCACGGTTGTATTGTCGATGTGACACTAGATGGTCACAATATGCGACTAACATCACAGCCTGGTGATGGCCTTGCAATCATTGCCAGCGTATATAAGCCACCGCCAGGTTTTGGGATGCCTTTTATAGATGTTTATGGAAGACTCGATATCATTACAGTCTCGATTCAACCTAATGGATTGACCCAGCCGGTCTAGGAGGGGCGTTGTGAGTCTGTCAGAACTGCCCTGATATATGAGAACGCCACATACAAGGCAGTTTATAATATTTTTCTCGCCATGAAAATCTTCCTGATGAACCGAAACAGAGTACTTTCCCTTAAAGAAAACGCGAGAAACGAGATGGTCTTGAGGAAAATCGTGGAAGACGAAGACAAGAGGCAGCGGTAAGCGAAAAGGGAAGGAAGAAATAAAGCTGATCATGTGCTTATTTTGGCTGGTTTGTCTTCTTGTCAAACTAAACATACACACTGCTTAAGGCAGGTTTTATAATTGCAAGGTAAGATTGGCAGCCATTTTATATATTGGTGGCCTTATATTTCAGGTTGCTAACACGATGGAATAGACTCGTACCCCTTTTTGATCCTTTCAACTCATTTTTCCTCTTCAAATCCCTATATAAGATCTCTCAACCAAAGACCCAAGATACTGGTAATCTACTGATTCATTATAAGTATTAAATAGGCTGTATTAGGTACTGCTCGACGAGGTAACCACCTACTGAGTGCAGACTAACGAATCCCTCACCGTCTCACTCTGCCTCCTATCATAACTCCTCCTCTCCCCTCTCTCTATCGTCTACTTTCCTTTCTCCTCTTCTCTCTATTAATTCCACTAGGATTATCTTGTCGAAATATTCTTAGAATATTTTCATTTTCTAGAATATCCCCCCTCATAAAGATTCTAAGATAATAGGTACGTCGCTATGATCATTGTGATAACCTCACGCTAACAAATTCCCCAGTCAATGCCCTCGCTAGAGACTCTCCCCGTCGAGATCCTGCAGACAATCTTCTTATACAGCCTGGAGATTAATCTGCCACGGGCCTCGCTGTCCATTGCGCGCGTTCTCTCCAGCCCGCTCATTTACACCTGGCTGATCCGCCTTGCCTTCAGCAGCGACAATGAGAGTTCTCGCCACGGCATCTTCACCCCTGACTTCTTACCGCCGCCACTGGAGTTTTTCTCTCTCTCACGAAGTCAGAGGCGAGATTTACAGGCTGCTTTGCTCGAATGTCGCTGGTGCACCTTGCCGCTAATGCGTCAATGCCAGCGCGACTACATCGAACACGTCCTCCGCCGGAAGACCGGGGACCTAGCTCTGAGTCTTGATCCGGCTGCTCTCCAGTCATCACTGGATGATGGGTTTTCCCGTCTATCGGATGCCGCTCATGGCCACCGCGGCAAAGGTGACCTGGTTGTAGCCTCGCGGACTCGCGCTGACGACGGCAGCGCCTCCGCGGAGCGCAAGGTGGCTGTCTGGTTCCATTTCGGCGCAGTGCAGATACGTGAACCCTCGGATGTCTTCTATGAACGCGATCTTTTCCGGCTACCCTGCTGTAACACCGAGTTCCCTGCCCGCCTCCCCGACAAACTGCTCCGTAGCCCCTGGACCCCCACACAGCTGGAATTTCTCGACCTGCTCGCCGGGGATGCCTGGCTGGACGAGGATCCGAGCTTCCCACGCGCAAGACAGACGCTCCGAAATGTAGTCCGTCTGCGCAACCATGCAGCCTTTACCCGTCTGCTCGAGATGCACGTCCGCACCGTTCCCTATCGCTACTCAGTCCCCTGGCCGGTGCACCAGAGCACCGTGATTGCCGTGCTCAAACACGCGGACACCCATGACGACCCGTTCGTCGCGTACCTGGTTCACAAAAAGTGGAATGAACTGCCAGACATGAATTCGCGGATCAAGGAGGGATTACTTGCTAAAGCGCGACCGGCTTACTTATAGTCCATAATCATGAATATATATAAAAAAAATTCAATAAATGGTATAATACACGATCATAAGAAACGTAAACCCCCATCAAAAAAAAGGAAACCCCCCATTATATCATAATATCATGTTCAATCAAGTCGAGAGACTCGGGAAGTAAGAGGGTATTATACCCTCGCCCTTCGTCGGCGTCTCATCCCACCTCCCCGACAACTCTGACAGGTCAGGCAGGAGATAATCACATCGAAGACCGTGACGATTCCATCGATGATCGCACGGCACACGGCACCGATGGCATTGACGATGCCCATCAGGCACGCGCCGATAGCGTGGAAGATGCTTTCAATCTAAACGTACCATTAGCCAACGATTATATCTCGGTTCCTTGAAGACATATGGAATCCATACACAAGAGACGATAGCACCCATGATGGAATCAAGTGGGTAGATGGTTTTTCGGTAAAGAGTTTTATGGTTTTGGCTTTGGATATGGCTGAGAAGAAGAAGCAGGAGTATGGACAGAGGTATCACTGTAAGGCCGCATTGTGTACTTGCTCCAGGGGTACACAGTTCGTACCATTTTATATCCCTCTGCGCACGACGATCATCCCTTATACCTTGCTGTCCCTGAATGGGCTCTGCGTCATCTTGACGACTGGTTCATGGTTGTCATGCCGAGATAGGCTTTTTAGCTGGGAAGGACCCTGTTTTGAGCAGGAAGATCCATGACATCATGTGTTGCTCAGGAGGGAAGCTCTCTAAGACCGAAATAGACTAGCAGAAGGGCTAACCAGAAGGGTAAATGTGGCATGCGCTAGCTTTTTATGGCTAGTACGAATATATTCATGTGATCAGGCGGTATCGAAGGCGGTATACAATAGCCACGGCAGAATATTTCTACCATCAAGCGTGATTATCAGCAGGACTGTCCAACTTGGACGACATGCTCACTCCCATTCGAGTCCGTGGCCGCAGAAAACAACCCACTGCGACACAAAATGGGGATAAAAATACGCAGGCATCTGCAAAAGCCTCGCCAAAAGCACATGGACGACCCCTGATGTCCTCCCAGTCCAAGCTGGCCTCCTCCCAGTCCAAAAGTACCCGACGCGTGACGCTTCTAACGGCACCCCGACCGGAGAAAAAACACGGGCTCTCACAATTTGAACGCCTGCCTCTCGAGCTCATCGAACGCATATTCCTATATGCGGTGAATGTAAACCTCGCGCGGGCGTCGCCCATGCTGCAGGCCGTCCTCTCCTCGGAACGCATCTACCGCGTGCTCATCCTACTTGCGTTCTGGAATGATCGTCAGCGGGACACCGATCGGCCGAAGAAGTATACCCGAGATGTTGCGCGTATCATGCGACCCCTGGATTACAATCCGCTCCGTGATGGGGAACGTGCCGCGCTGCAGGCGACCGTGCTGCGGTGCAGGTGGTGTACCGCGAGGCGGATCATGGAGCGGATGCCGGATCTGATGCGGCTGATGGTGCTGCGGGAAGGGTTTTCCGTGGATAAAGAGCTGGACGGTTTACTAGAGGATCTCGCCATGGATAATAATAAGGGATCATCGGAGGGAAGCGAGATACAGCGAGAGATCGAAAGGAAAGACATCAAATACAGCCTCGCCATCAACCGGGTCTCGATGCGCATCACCTCCGCCGCCGAAACACAGCCAGATCCCTTGGTGGTCCCTTTTCTCAGCGTGCGCAGATTTCCCGACGCCCTCCTCCGAGGCGACCGCAGCTTTGACCAGGACGAGACTTTCCTCCTCGAGACGCTGCTTGCCGCCGCCTCCATCGAGGGTTTCGCCTCCGTGACCCTCTCCCACGACGCCCTCCACCATGGCATCCATACCGCGCTGGTCGCGAACAATGCCCGTGCCCTGGCGTCTTTGCTCGAACTTGATCAATCCTATTTTCGACGGCAATCAAGTTCTTCAGCGACATCCACCTCTTCTTCTTCCGAATACTCCCTCCCAGCCGAGCATTTCCGCACGGCCGTCCGCGTTGCCCGTTCGGATCCCACGCTCTTCCTCCTCTTGCTGCGCGCAAACGCCGAGTCTGTACCTGCCGATGATGCAGAAATCACCCAGTGGGCCATGGATATGGTGGAAGGGAGGACTGTTTCCAAGAGGAAGAGCCGTTTCGGCCGCTGGTTGCTCGATTGGATGATGCATCTACCGCGTACGGGGTCAATCTTGTTCACTTCCGGCCGAGCGAATCCCCAAGATGAGATGGGACGGCGTTATCTTGATATATTTGGTGAAAGTAGCACCTAAATCATTATAGTACAAAGCCTAGTCAACAATAATAGATGTTACATATTTTTTAATAGTCGGACAATCCCCTTCACCCTCCCGGCAAGGGTGACCTCGTACCCCGTCTCCACGACCCCCTTGCACATCTCCCAGGCTCCCGAGCCGTTATTGCGCTCCCCTTCACCCTTGTAGATCGGGTAGTCGACCCGTGGCGGGATCCGTGTTGCCATGACCGTCGGCCAGCGATCGACACAGATGGCCTTGAGGTTGCTGACGGCGCGCAGGCCCTCTTCCCCTGCAAACCGACCGTAGCCGGACCCGCGCACGCCGCCAAAGGGCAACTGCACGGCGTAGTAGGCGCCAAAGTCATTGACGGCGACCATGCCGGCGTGGATGCGCGAGACGCAGGAAGACACGTCGGGAGTGTTATAGCCGAAGACGCTCGCGCCCAGAGAGTAAGGGGTGGAGTTGGCGATGGCGATGGCGTGCGGGACGCTCTCGGCGCGCATTGCCAGGAAGACGGGCGAGAAGAGCTCCGTCTGCGCGATGCGCATGCTCGGCGTCACGTCTGCAAGCAGCGTGGGCGTGAAGTAGTGCCCGTGCGGGTGGCGTGGGTGGGCGTGCCGAGTCCCGCCGCAGAGCAGGCGGGCGCCCTGGCGGACTGCGTCGGCGATGAGCGATTCCAGCCGGTCGAACGATGCGGGCGAGATCATGGCGCCCATATCGGGGGTCACGACGTTGGGGGAGTCCGAGCCCGAATCCAGTAGCACTGAGCCCAGGCGCAGGGCCTGGATGCGGGGGGTCACGATCTCCAACAGCTTGTCGTATGCGCCTGGCAGGGCGATCACGCGCTCCACGCCAATGCAGTTCTGACCGGCAGATTGGAAGACGCCGCGCATGGCAATGGAGGCGATGGCCGGTAGCTCGCGCACGGTGCGGGCGTCATCCAGCACGACGAAAGGATCCTTGCCGCCCAGCTCGACGGTAACGGGGGTCAGGGACTTGGCCGCCGACTCACACACTTTGTGCGCCACGGGCCGCGAGCCGATAAATGTCAACTGGGCAATGTCCGGGTGGGAGGTCAGCGAGTCCGCCGCTGCAGGCAGACACACCACGCTCTGGACGAGATCGCGAGAGTGGCCGCAGCTGGCCAGCGCGCCGCGGATGATTTCCAGGAAGTAGGCGGTGCACCACGCCGTCTGCTCGGACGGCTTGACCACAATCGCGTTGCCGGCAAACAGTGCGCTGATAACGGGCGAGATGAAGTTGTGGAAGGGGTAGTTCCACGACACGCACGCCGAAACCACCCCCAGCGGCTCGTAGGTGACCCGGTTCTTCTTGTACATCATCAGCAGGTTCGTCGGCCGTGACTCGGCCGCCAAAGCCCGCTCGCCATGGTCGATGGTCCACTGCAGCTTCTCGGTTGTCACGAGAATCTCGCCAAACGAGGCGTCCACTTTCGTCTTGCCGGAATCGAGGCAGCAGGCAGTCACGATGTCATCCTGGTGGTCGAGCACGTATCTGAACATTAGAACCAAACCACAAACCAGAATGGGGCGGTGAAATACTTCAGTAGACTCTTGAGCACCTTCCTCCGTTCCACAAACGAAGTCGTCGCCCATTCAACCTGCGCCTTTTTGGCCGCCTGCACCGCACGGTCAATCCCCTCTGGTGTCTCCGGTTTGAGTCCATGGCCAAGCACTCGTCCATCGGCCGGACAGTAGCTCATAATCAACTTCTCGTCCCATTTCTGCAAAGGAACCGGATGTTAGAATATAATTATCTCCATTTCATGTTCCGGAATTCTCTTCTGGTTTCTTGGACTTACACCCCTGGCCTGCCCCTCCAGCACCCTTTTCTCCTCCCCCCGTGCATCCTCCCAGGCTGTACCCTGCCAACCTGCGCGCACCTCGGACGGGATCGGTACATTGAAAGCCACCGGAGCTTCCTGGAGGCTCAACACATAGCGGTACGTGAGGTAGAGAGCTGCGATAGAGACCAGCGTGACGGGCAGCCAGCGGACCAGCAAGCCGGAGTCGGACAGCAATTGAGCCGGGACGCGAGCTAGAACTCTCTCCATTATTGGATATGGCATTCCTCGCATGAATTACCATGCGAGAGAATGAGAGAGAAGGGGAGGTTTGCCAATCGAGGTGGAGGAAAGGGAGAGGAAGAAGAAAGAAAGCGTGAGGTCTGGCGGAGGGTTGTCGATCGTATCGCGTGGCGCGATCTTTTTTTATCGCGCTCCGCTCCGTCAAACAGTTTTTTATGTCGTACGACCGGAATTAATCTTCAATAAGTCAAGTTTCCCATATTGTACTCCTTATTATCCATCGAGCGGTCTAGCCAGGGGGTCATGGTAGTCTACAGAAATGACATGGCAATTCTAATTACCCCTTTCTCTTCCCTGTGCGCTTCACCAGATGGTCAATCACACAGCCGTCCTCCCACCCAGCTGCGGACTGGCCGGTGATGGCACGGCAGCGCGGACAGGTTTTCCCATGGCGAATGAAGAGCTGGTGCAGCGAGTACTTGAGGTGGTTCGGGATGCGCACCTCGAGGTGACTGAAGGCTGTGATCTCTGTGGCGCGATCAGTCGGCACCCAACCCAGCCATTTGCAGATGCGGAAGATGTGTGTGTCGACGGCGAAGCATGGCCGTTGTAGACAGAACAGAAGGACGCAGGCGGCCGTCTTGGGGCCAATGCCTGGGTACTTGACCAGCTCGGTCATGGCTTGCTCGTTGCTTAGATGGTAGTAGTGGTTGAGCGAGAGGACGTGTTGTTCCGCGCATGCAATATCGTAATCTTTGTCTTTTGTCCCGGAAAGTGATGTCGGCTGCTGCTCATGCTGAAGGGCGTCCTTGCGGTCCTGATTCTCACGGTATACCATGTCAAGGATAGCCTTGAGGCTCTTGCTCTTGATATCGGCCAGTCCGCCACTCTTCATCGCCTCGTACACCTCTTGGATCGGCGCCCGCCGGACTGCATCCCAGTTAACACTTCCCTTTCCGACCCCCTCGGTCAAGATCCCAAACCGCTGCACCAGGCCGTTAAAGGCCATGGCCGAGTTTTTGCCCGTGGTAGCGCCGCTGAGAAGAGTCCGGATCAACGCGTCCAAAACGGATGGCACTTCACCGCACCCCGTGACGGTCAGCGAGGGTTCCGGGATGGTGGCGGGGGGGTTGATTTCTCCGTGCACGCTGGAAAGGAGCCGGTTGACCTCCGCGCACTCCTCGGCGGTCGGATGAGACCAGTGTGGAAAGGGACTAATACCGGGAGTAAGTCCGTATGGGTTCTTTTTGGCTGTTTTGCGCTTGTTCAGAGTCGATTCATCCAGAGTCAACGTTGTTTTTGTTGTTGCTTTGTCGGCTGTATGCTGTAGTTCATCGGCCAACATGTCTATATCTATCTTCTTTTCTCTTTTGATGGCGTTAAAGCCATGCACGTCGAGCTTCGGCGGCACCTCGATCTTTCCCAAGTTATGAGGCAGTTCATCGCCCACGATGAGAGCTGCTGTGCAAGCAGCTCTTTTTCTCTTCCTATTATCAAGTGGAATGACTTCCCCCTCCCGAGAATCATCAGTCAGGGCTTGTCGTCTGCTTGTTTTCCGCCTAGTGTTCTCCGGGTTTGACGGCTCCTTGCTCGGTTCAGGCTTGACTGCTTGCACGTCAAGCAAAAGCAAGGCAGCCTGACGAGCTGCAGAGCGTGTGATACGATGTTCCGCCATCCTGGAATACCTAGTCATCAGTCATTGAACAGGCTATATCAATTGTTCACTGACAGTGCAGCTTCTCCCCTTGGATCGTCAACCGGTCAGGTTCCCTGATGCAGCTCAACGCTCTTACGTCATCGACCGCAATGTACCATGGCAGATCGAGAGTCCAAGCTCTGAAGAAGATAATCGTCCAGCTCTGACAGAGAGCTGCTTCTTGTCTATCTTTATTTTATCGTGTGCATAAAGAGGGAAGGGAAGAGGGGGTTGTCCAAATGGGAAGTGAAGTGAGTCTGTCAGTCTTTGAGTCTAACCCAGAATATCATGTGATCCACTCCCCTTTCTATTTACAATTATGAGTATCTGAAAGAACGGCACGTTCCAAGCGGTAGATCCTAGTATATTTCTATTCAAATCGAATACATGCTGCGCTGATGCAAAGGGGGTATCGTAGACCCTGTATGCCTAGCCGCGAGACTAAAAGTTATCATCACCATCATCCTCCCGCCTGAGATACTTTTGTCTATCGAACTCCAGGACTCCCCGCAAAAAAGGTGGATTGAAAAGGGAGAAAGGAAGGAAGAAAAGGACATAAGGTCATGGTTCAATCAATCATGGTCGGCAATGTTGTGAATGCTAATGTCCATCCGATCCTTGACCTTGGGGTGTTCCACGGCCGCCGATTGACGAGCAGCAGCAGGATCAACGTGAGGCACCTGGGAGTCTTGAGGGCCCGTAGCGGGCACAATCTTGCCGCTGGCATCCACTTGGACGCCGTTGGCCGCCATCTTGAAATCTGTCTCGCTAGCGAAGCCGTGGGCAACGGCTTCCTTGGCCTTATCCAGAGCCTTAAGCTTCCGGCCCTCGCCACGAATCTGTTCCAGATGCTCAAAGTATCCGTCGGAGACTGGTGTGATGTAGGAACCACAGAACACGCCAATCTCGAAATTCTGAGGCTCCGAGAGACCGTTCTCTTTCGCGATCTCGGCGCAGGCGCCCTTGAGGTCATCCAGAGTCTGGTAGATAACACTGTCGGCACCAATATGTTTGGCAATGCTTTCGGTGTCCCGGCCGTGTGCGACCAGCTCATGGGGCGATGCCAGATCGATACCGTAAATGTGAGCGTGGCTACTCAATCAGTATGACAATCACAGGGCTGTTTTCAGGGCCTTAAGGAACAGGAACTTACGTGATCTCAGGGGAGCAGCTGGCAAAGTAGACCTTCTTAGCGCCTGCCTCTCTCGCCATGTTGACGATTTCACGGCTGGTCGTGCCACGCACGATACTATCATCCACCAGAAGGACATTGCGGTCTTTGAACTCAGCCTTCATAGCGTTGAGCTTGCGACGCACGCCCTTCTGCCGAGTCTTCTGCTCCGGCATGATAAAAGTGCGGAAGACGTAGCGGTTCTTCACGAAGCCTTGGCAGTAGGGCTTATCAAGAAAGCGAGCGACACTTGCTGCCGACGTTGTGGATGTCTCGGGGATCGGGATCACAACATCGATGCTCTTGACAACTTCCGGTCCAAGAACATCGAGAATCCGGGCGCCAAGGCGATCACCCATGCGCTGACGACTCCGGTAGACGCTAATGCCGTCCATTACCGAGTCCGGACGGGCAAAGTACACGTACTCGAATATATCGGGAGCGTAGTCCTTCTTGGGAGCTACCTGACGGAAGACAGGCTCGCCGCCCTTCTCAATGATGACGGCTTCTCCAGGCTGGATGTCCCGGATGATGGTGAAACCAAGTTGGTCCAGAGCGACCGACTCCGACGCCATCATGTAGTCGGTGCCCTCCCCATCGAGCGACGGTCTAGAACCGAGGACCAGGGGACGAATGCCATAGGAATCACGGAAACCAAGAATCCCAAAACCTGCGATGCCAATAAGTCGACATCCCTTGCCAACGGTGCATACTCTGAGAAGTACTTACCAGCAAGCATGGCAGTGCAGGCCCATCCACCCTCACACCGCTCATACATTCTGCTGAGACTGGAGAAGAGATCCTCCTTGTTCACACGCGCCTTCTTGGTCTCGCTGAGCTCATCAGCAAAGACGTTCAGCATGAGCTCACTGTCACTATCGGTATTGATGTGACGGTGCGCCTCCAGGTCCAGGTATCGCTTGAGCTCAGGGGCGTTGATGAGGTTGCCATTGTGGGCGAGGCAGATGCCATACGGACTATTCACGTAGAATGGCTGCGCCTCGGCATTGGCACTGCTTCCCGCGGTGGGATACCGCAGGTGTCCGATACCCATGGAGCCCGGCAGGTCTGCCACCTTGGAGCCGTCATTGAAGACCTTGGCAGCCATCCCATTCGCCTTCAACTGATAGATCCGACCACCGGACGCGCACGTCGCGATACCGGCCGCATCTTGACCACGATCTAGAATCAACTACATCAGCATCTTTGCTTTCCGGGGCCAAACCATTAACCTCTTGTCCTTCTTTGCTTTTTCTCGGTATATGTGGGGTTGCGGGGTCGGACAGGGATCAATGGATTTTTTTGTCACTCACGTTGGAGAAGATACAAGGCTTCGTGAAGGTCGACAGCAGCAGCCCCCGACTGATTCGCCAGGATCAGAGCGATAATACCGCACATCTTCAGAAGGACCGGGTATTCTGAAGCAGGACAGTCCACCAGTTAGTCTCAGCTAAGCAAGTAACACAACAGACTGAAACTAATAAAAGATATTGCCAGTGTATATCAGGTCGGGTTTTATCCGCAAAATTGCTTAGGAAGTCTAACATCTATAAAAAAAAAACCGAAATTCATCATGAAAGAGGCTGGACGCAGAACACACAATAGAAAGAAAGACGAGATACTCACAATCACCACACACCACAGGCTGAAGACGGATGGGGAGGGAGACCAGATGTAAACTGGGTGGAAGGAGAGAGGAGATATTCACTCTAATGGCAAAACAACAATGTTCATTGCACGTCTGAGGGGGGGAAGCCCAAGAGGAGGCACGACATGACGAGGAGGGGTTGGAGGAGAAGCTCCAAATCACTGGCCAAGCCAGAATAATTTCCTCGTCTGCGCCAGAGTTTTGCCCGCCGCTAAAGCCGAGAACAGCAAGAATTTTTTTTCGGGCCGGAAAAAAGATCCTCCTGGCTGACCTGATTATGTAATTGACTGGGTTTTCACGTGCCATGTTTGCACTATTTGCAGGTGTACTAAAAGGGTAGTCAGTGATTGTTGAGGCTGACCTTTGAGGCACTCTTCTTTATGATGTTTTCACGCCTCTTTCTACTCTTAATATCTTTGCTCTGGATAGATGCAGGTTATTCTTATATAATAAGAGTATATTTAAAAAGATTTTCTAAGTCAATTGCTACTAATATACCTAAAGTAATACCTCCTTTTAGTACAGTATTCACTAACCAAGAGTGAGTGTTCAACATGGTGAATACCACAGCTGATAAAGGCCCCTTTTCCTCTTGTCGGTCAGTCATATATCCCAGGGATCCCTCTCAACTCCTCCTCTCTTTGATCTGATCCAGCTTACACTTCAATATCATCTCTTCTTCATCTCAGCCAGTGTCTTCTCTACGAAAATGAACTCGGATTTCTGGATTGTCGGCGAACGGCAGGCTTCTTTGCAGCGGGGATCTCCCAGGTCTTTTTGTCCCTTCCCAGAACCCGTCGCCGGTGACGGGGACCTGAGCGATACGGATAGCAGCACAACGCTGCAAAACGACTTACCATGGGACCCTCCTGCCATCGATGAGGATACTACTGCTGCCGCCATCTACCGGACCGAGAGAGCGCTCTCTCACATCTCGATCTACTCTGACCCGCCGCAAGAGGTTGCCTGTATTGATGCGATTGATCTGGACCCTGAACCGGAGATCAGCTTCACCGAAGGAGATTACCTGTCAGATGAAAATCTGGCAGCACTCCTACGGACCTGGGGCGAAAGTGTCAGTCCAGAACTACCAGCACAGATAGAGCACACAATACAATCCAAGATAGTCGTCGAGGAGGCATGCATCGACGGGATCGTTTACAAAAAGGGCTTGTCGGTCGAACTTCACGAAGGCACATACCTTCGCATCTTAGCAGTACTCCAAGGACCAGGAGGCGAAATCTTTCTCCGAGGCCGGCGTCTCGTCAAGCTCAAGGATCGGGAAGAGGGACCTGGACCAAGCTGGCGTCGAGAGGTGCTGTGGGTTGTCAACCATGATACCACGGAGGTTCCCCTGGCTGTCGTTCAGTGCTTTTGCATTGTTCACTTCACGAATTGGCCAGATATCAAGACAGACACTCGAAGTCGAAATGCACGATATAACGAACTATTCTGCCGTTTGAAGGAGACCGACGAGGGCGAGGAAATGTCGATGCAATATCTTCACGAAGACGAAGCCGACGAGGGTTTCCAGTTCTCTCCAGACTTCCTCCGGCAGCAATGGAGAGGCGATACTTTTCCCTTTGGCGGCTCACGAAGACCACCAGACTATGCCCAGGCCACTGACATCATCGAAATAGACATGGGCCAGCCAGGGGAACCACTGTTGATCGATCTCGAGAGCGACACCTCCAACCACCGGCAGTATACCTTCGGAGACGCGTTCTGTGGCGCTGGTGGTGTCTCCTGTGGTGCTGAACAGGCTGGTTTGGCCATCCAATGGGCGTTTGATAAGAACGAGCATGCCATGTCGTCTTACCAGATGAATTTCCCAACAGTCTGGAGCGAGCAAGCCGACATCTTCGACCTGCTCACCCAAAGCGACTCACAAAGGCTCAAGGTGGATATCAGCCACGGCTCTCCCCCCTGCCAAACCTTCTCACCAGCTCACACCATCAATGGACCCAACGACGATGCCAACTCAGCCTGTATCTTCTCCTGCGCCGATCTGGTCAGAAAGGTTCGTCCTCGGGTGCACACCATGGAGGAGACCTGTGGTCTATACGAGAGACACAAAGAGACGTTCCATCGCGTGATCCTCGACTTTATTGAAGTCGGCTACTCTGTTCGCTGGGGCATATTGAACTGCATGCTCTACGGCGTTCCACAGACTCGACGACGACTGATTATCATCGCATCCGGGTATGCCTCCTGCTTTAGCTCCTAGCTCCTGTGCTGACAAAACTGTCTAGGCCCGGAGAATCTCTTCCAAGGCTCCCCAAACCAACACATGCTATACCTGGTTCAAACTCCGGGCTGCTAGATCGACCAACTATCCACTCCGCCATATCAAGCATTCCTCTGGGCACGCGAGATCATGATGTTGACGGGGCCCTGGCGCGCGGTCTGCGCTACTCGCGGCCTCCATTCAACGCAGACCAACCCGCAGGAACCATTACCTGCAATGGCGGCGAGCGAAACTACCACCCATCCGGCACCAGGGGCTTCACAAATCGCGAATTCGCGTCTCTTCAGACCTTCCCCCTTCATTACCGTTTCGGCGATCGCGAAGTCCGGAAACAAATTGGCAACGCCGTGCCTCCCATCCTTGCCAGGGCAATATATCGGGAAATTATCAAAACTCTACGTAAGACGGACGCCAGGGCAAGCGCAGAGAAGACAAGCGTCACCATCTAACGATTGGTTCCCCTCTCTCTCTATTGCGATCATCGGCCCCGAAAGCGAAAACCGCACACGAAGATTACGCCGACAACCGTTCGAACAACATCAAATGAAAATTATACGGACAGGTAACACAGTTGATGTAAAGAAAGTGTAACTGGGACAATTCTATCCGATTCATGACTGGCTGAATGCATTACGCAGAGTCTTGGTCATGTTGATCTGCTACATACTTCCATCCTGTTCTACCCCATCCTTGTTGTACTGCGTTGTTTAAGTATTTCCCCGCATCCGACCGAGGAGAGAGCATTAAATACGGACAACAAGGCCTGGAAATCACCTCACAGTTGGGTCTTTTAGATGAAATCCCTGAGAACCAGGCTCTCGACGACCGTCTCCATCGGCAACGCATCCATCGGTCAGTATATTGACTCGTGCAGAGCCGACAGTAACCGGCCAAAACCACTCCAAGAATACCAAGTTACCCTCGGCTGCGTTACATCATCCATACATACATACATACCGCCCAGAGGATATCCCTGCGTCCTTTCCTTCTTTCTCTCTCCTGCATTCATCCTTCTCTTTTTCTCCCAGGTATCTTCTTTTCCTTTCTTTGCCGTCTTTCAATTGTGGCCTCTGGCTCTGTGAAGCTCTCACTCACTCGCCATGGCTGCCTCCTGTTCAGCGTTGAGACGGCTGACCTCCAGGCCTCCCCGCACTTTGTTGTCAGCCGTATCCAGACGGTCGTCTCCCCTCATTGTGCGTTCGTTTCAGCCTCGTGTGTTGACAACAAGCGTCTCGTGCTTCTCGACCATGTCTCCCTTGCATTCTGCGGCGCCTCAGCAGCCGGGCGACAAGCCCTATGACCCGGAGATCGTGGATATGGCCACTTACATCCACCAATACAAGATCGACTCGGACCTGGCGGTATGATTGGTGAAGATAGCTGCTGAGACAATGGAGATCAATAAGCTAATGGGATCCCAATAGTACGATACGGCCCGTCTTGTCTTCTTGGATACGCTCGGCTGCGGATTGGAGGGGTTGCGGTTCAAGGAATGTACCAAGCTGCTAGGCCCTGTCGTTGAGGGCACAGTGGTGCCGAATGGTACGCGCGTGCCGGGTACGCCGTACCAGCTCGACCCGGTCAATGGCGCATTTAACATTGGCGCTATGATTCGCTGGCTTGACTACAATGACTGTTGGTTGGCCGCCGAATGGGGTCACCCGTCGGACAACCTGGGCGGTATCCTAGCTGTGGCGGACTGGATTTCACGCACGAACAGGGCAGGCGGCAAGCTGGGTAACGGACGGATTCTGAAGGTCAAGGATGTGCTCGAAGGGATGATCAAGGCACATGAGATTCAGGGTGTTCTGGCGTTGGAGAACTCGTATAACAAGGTTGGCCTCGACCACGTCGTGCTCGTCAAGGTGGCCACCACTGCGGTCGTCTCCAAGATGCTGGGCCTCAGCGAGAAGCAAACCGCCGACGCTATCACCCAGGCCTGGGTTGATGGCCAGAGCCTGCGTACCTACCGTCACTCACCGAACACCATGTCGCGCAAGTCATGGGCCGCAGGTGACGCCTGCCAGCGGGCCGTCAACCTCGCACTCAAGGTGCAGAAAGGCGAGGGCGGCGTCAACACCGTGCTGTCAGCCCCCGTGTGGGGGTTCTACGATGTTCTCTTCAAGGGCAACAAGTTCAAATTCCAGCGGCCATATGGTAGCTACGTGATGGAGAATGTTCTCTTCAAGGTCTCATACCCAGGTAAGCAACTCTCCGTTCTGAGAAGCTATCCCGTATGTAACAGGGCGATTTTGTTAACTGTTCTTTTCTAGCCGAGTTCCACTCGCAGACGGCCATTGAGTGCGCGCAGATTATCAACAAGAAGCTGGCGGCGATGGGCAAGAGCGCCGCAGACATCAAGGAGATCACAAACCGGACGCACGAAGCGTGCGTTCGAATCATTGACAAGCAGTTCAAAGCGATGGACAATTTCGCCGATCGCGACCATTGCGTGCAGTATATGGTTGCAACAATGCTGGTTTTCAACCGGCTGACCGCCAACGACTACGCCGACGGCTCCGAGGCCGCGACCTCCCCCTTGCTGGAGGACCTGCGCCAACGCATCCGCTGCGTCGAGGACCCCCAATTCACGCGCGACTACCACGACCCGGCGAAACGCACCATCCCCAACGCTCTGACCGTCACCCTTAATGACGGCACCGTCCTTGACGAAGTGCTCGTCGAAGCGCCCCTCGGCCACCGCCTGCGCCGCGAGGAGGCTAAGCCCGACATCCTCGCCAAGTACAAGCGCCACATCCAGGCCCATTTCGATCCAGCGCGGGTCGATGAGCTGCTGCGCATCGGCTGGAACCGTGGCGAGCTCGAGAACTACGATGTCGACCAGTATGTTGATCTGTACGTCCGGGATAGCATTGTTGAGCCAAGTGCATAGAGTGAACCCCTTTAAACAAATGCAGTTTTCTATTGAGAGCCATTTTTCTAGATAAATTATAATTATGGTGTAAAACTTAATTACCCCTATACCATCTTCTCAGTATCGGACCGGCTCATGGTCGTATACTGACTAAAACATGGCGTATCCAGCGTCTCAGCTGCATTAGACTGCCCACTGCTCCTCCGGCGGAAATACGCTCGCTTGCACCATTTCCAACCCTCCACGCCGAGAAAGAAGAGACATGCCTCGATGAGCACAATCCCCCATTCCCAAGAGATACCCGTGTGTTTGAAGACGACCCGGTTGATCACAGGGATATACAGGATAGGAAATACAGTAATGAACCCGGCGACAATGCCCCAGAAGAGAACCTGGTTGTGCCAGATGCGCCGCAAGGGATCAGAAAGGGCTGATCCTGAACCTGCAGGTGATGGGGATGGATGGAAGAAGCTCCGTCGTAAATGGGTCATCTCCCAGGCGAGAAAGAGAGCAAACCATGTCATGCAAACGAAGGTGGTTGCTCGCGCGCGAAACACGGCGTCGCACTCGGCGCTATAGCTACTATTACATCCTCGTGCCAGATTGCCGTCGTCCCAGCCGAAGAGGACGAGGGAGAAAGCGCAGAGGCACAGGGCGGCCATCCAGAGGCCGTACACGGTCATGTCAACGATCACTTCCCAAGTGAAGATACCTTGTTTCTATCGTATATGTGTTAGTGCATGGAGAAAAGGGAATGGATAGAGGAGGGGGCTGTACGCTTTGAGGGGGTCGGTCCATGATATCTGACGCTGCAATTTCCATCCCTAGTCCCATGTCTGGAAGCCCGGAAGTGACCATGATGATCCAGAGGATTTCAACGGGTGCAATGGGGAACACGGACTGTCCGTCTTGATCCTTGAACGCGAGGCCTATGAGCAGCGTACAGGCGAGCGCAACATTCTCGGCCAGCAGATGCAACACAAACTTCTGGATGTTGTCGAAAATGCGCCGTCCTTCTTCGATCCCATTGATAATGGAGGCGAAGTTGTCGTCTGTAAGCACCAGCTCCGAGGCATCCTTCGCGACGTCTGAGCCGGATTGGCCCATCGCAATGCCCACGTCTGCCTCTTTAAGGGATGGGGAGTCGTTTACCCCGTCCCCTGTCATCGCGACATACCGGCCCCGGCGGTGCAGTGCATTTATCATCCTGACCTTAGTGTTGGGTGCGCATCGTGCAATGACAGCGGGCAGTGTCGGCAGTCTGTCGATCTCGTCTTCTGACAACTTGTCAAACTGGCTGGCTGTCATCACCATCGTATCGGCCACACCCTGTGCTACCATGAGCATGTGTTTTGGGATGATTCCCACTTGCGCAGCAATCGCGCGTGCAGTGCCAGGGTGATCGCCCGTTACCATATGTACTGAGATGCCGGCGCGATGACACTCTTCAATTGCCTGGGCTGTTTCTGGCCGGGGGGGGTCATAAAGTCCAATGAGACCCAGAAAAAGGAGATCTTTCTCTACTTGTTTGCGAGGCAGAGTTTCTCCTACATCAAGGCCAGTATCCTCAGACTCATGTGGTCGGCTGGCAAGCGCTAGTACACGGAGGCCTTCCTTCGCAAGAGCTTCCATGTTATGAAGGATCTCATTCCGAATCTCTTCAGTCAAAGGTATAGGCGCCGAATCGGCTTCCCACTCAATAGCTGTACAGGACTCAAGCACTCGTTCAACAGCACCCTTGGTGAAGACCATCTCCTGGCCATCGCGAGAAAAGATGACCGACATCTTCTTAACAGTCGAGTCAAACGGATACTCCGCCTTTTGTTGCCAGAGTGGATTGTCTCCTTTGGTCCAGCGATCCCGATTCCAATCGAACCGAGAAGCAAACACTTGAATGGCAATATCTGTAGGTTCTCCACGGGCCTGCCATTCATTGTGGGCGGACTTGTGAACATGAGCCAGATTGGCCATGGATACCACGTTAAGGAAGCTCTCCAACGCTGTGTTCCCTGTAAGCAAATCTGTAGGGGAATACACAGGGCCTCGAGTCTCTCTTTCCACCTTGGCTGGGGGGGCAGGAACCAAGCTCAGATCTCCCTCCTCAGGGTTTAATGGGTCGCTCGAAGCCCCAACAGAGTATGTTCCTCTGGATGGGATCCAGGCTCGTTTGGCGACCATTCGCCCCTGGGTGAGGGTCCCCGTTTTATCAGAGCAAATATTGGTGACCGCACCAAGGGCCTCCAGAGAATCCAACTTGCGTACAATGACATGTCTCTGGACCATTTGCCGAGTCCCAACTGCCATGGTGATCGTTAGCACAACGACGAGACAGGCGGGAATCATAGCCAGTCCAGTTGCGACTGCATAGATGATAACTTCCTTGTCACTACGCCAATTATTTGCGGCCATGACAACAATTGCGAAAACGACAGCAATAGCAAACAGGAGCAAAGCGAGCTTAGAGAGCTTCCTCTGCAGTGGCGTCCCGACATTGACGCCCAAGAACCGGCCGACAGCGTCCGTCCCGGTCAAGGTCCATGCTTGGAGATACCAGCGTTTCTTGGTCTCACCATTTGGTCCCCGCTTGACTGGTCGGCGTTTGGAGCCTTGGGACTGAAGAGCCGCAGCAATCGCGCCAATCTCGGTTTGCATGCCCGTTCCAATGACTACACCGCGGGCACGTCCCCGAGTCACTGTAGACGAGCTGTAGGCGATGTTCAGCCGATCGCCAGGTCCTGTATCCGGTTCAAAGATGGCTTCCGCATCTTTCTGCACGGGCAGAGACTCTCCCGTCAAAAGGGCTTCGTCGGTGTCGAAATTGACAGCTTCTGTGAGACTATGGACACGTTAGTTTCTATTCAATTGATCGGAGTATAAGGTCTCACCGAAGATCAGCAGGAACTGTATCACCAACTTTCAACTCAACCATATCCCCCGGAACAATCTCAATGGCTGGAATCACCACTGTTTTACCGTTCCTGGAGACGGTGCCAGTAGGAGAACTCAACGACCGCAGCGAATCCATGGTTTTCTCAGCAGCGTAATCCTGGTATACGCCGACGACGATGTTAAGGGCGATGACGGCCGAAATAACACCCCCTTCGATCCACGACTGGATCCCAAAACTGACCGCCATGGCAAGAATAAGCACCTAGTTTGGATTAGCACTCAAGCTCTGCGCTCACAAATAATAGAATAAAAGATATGGCATCTCACCAGCATCATGGCGTTGGCTATCTGCCGCACAAAAATCTTCACCAAGGAGACCTCTTTGCCTCCTTCCAACATGTTCGGACCATGCCGGTCGAGACGGCTCTTGGCCTCCTCTGCGGACAAACCTTCGTCTGGGTTGACAGTCAGCTCTGCCAGGACCATCTCAGCCGATAGCGAGTGAGCGGGCATTGATAAGACCCGCCCATCCTTTCTTTTCTGTGACTGTTCCATCTTGATTGCTCTGATGGGTCTTTTTTCTTCTTTCAAGAGAGTCTTGTACCCCAGACCGGGGGAGAGCACCGTATTTAACTTCCTCCATCTCGGTCCTCTTGCCTCGGTGCCTCGTATCTCATCTCTTGGGGTTCTTATCAAGGTTTCAGCAATGAAGGAGCCAACGCCAATGAAAGGACTGTGTTGAAATGAACTCCCATCCTTGACAATGGGCTCGCCGAGTGTCGGTCTCTGGGAAAGAGCGGGGGATGACGCAGGAATTGGAACCTTCCAAAGTTAGAAACCCTTCCAAGAACCTACTTAGCCCAGGTAGGTTAGAAGAGTTGCCACGGCCCCGTGACTTGTGCTTGGCAGGACGGGGCGGACATGGCCAGTTCCCGGCTGCGGATTGGCCAGCGGGCGCTCGGATCCAGCGGAACGCCAAGTCTGGCTTCGCGGAAACGCTTGGCGAGGGCTCACGTGTTCCCCGGGACCATCCTGGCATCCATTGTTCACTAATAATGTTAATGTACATATTCTTTCGGTCGGCCGAGAAATAGCCGAAGTATCGATGGCGACTTCCAAGGAATAGGAAGGACCGTACCGCGGTCCTATCTTTATCTGATTGGCTCAGAGGGTAATTATTGCATACTACCTCTCTCAGATTCTATACGAGTGCATTGAGATAGCATTAGTGATGTCTCTTGATACAATGGATCGATAAGGTATCTAAAAGAGCTCTTGCTCTTACAGGAAGTTGATAGGATTGCTTCATTGATTCTATAACTATGCCAAATGATAGCAATATATATTTATAGTACTATATCAAGAAGAACAACCAGCAGAAAAAATCAAACAAGTATTCTCAAGTACTAGAAGCCAGTACAGTAAAACTGCCCTAATTCTGTCGATATACCTTACCTAGTACCTAGGTAGAAACCGATGTATTACTGAAGTACTGTCTACTTAGGTAGGTACCTGGTAGGTACCTGATGTAGATTAGGCCTTGAAAGCTGCAACAAACCGAAAGGTACTCCGTACACGTAATGGCGGACAGCATTGTCTAGTAGACACCGAGTTATAACCTGAAAAATGTAGCCTGTATCTTCAAATGTTATATATCCCCTTCGGCTACGGTTATTTAAATCTTATTATTGCCCTGGGGTAAGTGAATCAATAGCCTCTAAATAAGATATGGCCAGATCGATTCGAGCCGTGACTAAAGGGAGTGAAATATTCAACATCGGTTCTATACGGATGACCTGGCAGTATTCAACCAATGCTCCTCAGGTGCTTGTTATTCGTGGCTGTCTGAAGAGTACCAGCAATATATCTCTCCAGTTGACTACAGGTCGAGAATTCCCCGCGGTACAATGTCCATCAGGGAGAGGGTCAACTTTCACCAACACTTTACTATCCGTGCAGCCGATTGGCATACAGCAGAAATGCGTCTATGCATAGGTATCCACAGCAGTACTGTACGGCATGAGAAGTAATACGAGGCACTTGGGGTGAAAAACCCCTCTAATTCGAACAATGTTGCTATACATATCCGGCCAAACCAGAATCACAATGCCAGTTCACGAGAGCGGCAACCAAGCTCGTCTTAAGTGCTTGACAATACAGAGGTTTCATGGTGATCACATTGGTCGAAGGATCAAATGGGCACAGAAAAGAGACAAGGAGCCGTTTAAACGACAGAAAGATCACCGAAGCGCTCCTGTAAATCCGAAACTGTAAGCCTTTGTGAAGAAAAAAAGAAAGGGAGTACAATCAATCGGGAATACGAACCTTGTAGCCGGGCGGCATCCATTTGCCCTTGGAGACCATGGCGGAGGTCTTCTCGTCGATTTCGGGCTGAGCAGCGGCAACATCGTCCTGTAAAACATGCCATTAATACCAGAACATACAAAAAAAAAAAAAAGACCTGTGGAGGGGGCAGGGGAGAACATACCACAGTGAGCTCGTCAAACGGACGGGCACTCTCGATGTTCTCGAGGGTCTTCTCCAGGTTGCGGAGCTCGGCCTCAACCTTGCCCTTGGTGGCCTCGGCGTTCTCGACGGCCTGGGCCTCAAAGGCCTCGATGGCCTTCAGCTGGCGGCTGACATCGTAGGTGGCGGGCTTGAAGGTCTTGAAGTGGTTCTCGATCTCGTCGACGATGGCCTGGTTCTTCAGGACCTTGCGGTAGTGCGAGAAGTCGACGGTCTGGGGCTGCTCGGACAGGACCTGGATCTTGCGGCGGACATCATCGTTACGCTTCTTGAAGTTCTGCAGGGAGGTCGCGGTCTGGCCGCGGAGGCCCAGCGAGGTGCTGACCTTGACCCAGTCGATCTTGAGAGCGGCGCTGCGCTGTAGGAACGAAGGCCAGGTTAGTCACACAATCCCGATATGTTCTATGTGAAATCAATTAGCCGGCAAAGAGCGATTGACGTACAGTGGCCATTTTGACGACGTGTGGAGAGCGAAGGAATGGGGCTGGAGGGGAGAAATCAACGTGCGAAGCTGGGATGTTCCGGTTGAGGGTCGACTCGGCAAGGTTTGGATTGGGGGATAAAACCACGTGACTTTACGTTCCCGCGTTCCCGAACGCACCCATGGCCTCTCTGTACAGTGTACAGTGTACTGTTACTACTGTATGTTAGGTACACCTTTTACAGAGGTAGTGACTCTATGCATTGATTTGATTTTTTTTTTTAAATTACCACTTAGATTAAATATCTCCAATGATCGGAGATCATGGTGTTTTGATTCGATTCCACTTTTGACTAGCTGATTTACACTTGCGGATATCAACGTGGCTTTGCACACACCCTTCAGTCCGTCGTCCTGCCAGCAGGTCACATATCAATCACCTGTTGACGGAGTGTAGCCCCAATTCGTCAAAGTGTCTATATGCTCAGCGCCATTATAGAGTTCACGATATCGTTATCGTTCTCTCGTAGAGCCTTGACGGCCTTGTTGCGAGACACGTTGGCCTGGGCCATGACAAGCTCGATATCCTTGGCCTCAAGACCGGTCTCGTCCACCTGCTCGCCATCCTCCTCTTCCTCCTCCTTCTTCTCCTCAGCCTCGGGGGCCTTGCCCTTGCCGTGGTCGTGATCGTGGTCGTGATCGTGATCGTGGTCGTGGTCGTGGTCGTGACCGGCGTGCTCACCAGCGGCCTCCTGGGCGGCCATCTGCTGGGCAGCAGCCAGCTGGGCCTGAGCGTTCAGGTCCTCAATCTTGGCCTCACCGAAGATGCTGTAGCGATTGTAAGCTTATGACAACCACTCAAATCACCAAACGGTAAGAAATAGAGAAACGAACATCCAGGTGTTGCTGGTGGGGGAGCGGTAGACATCGGGCTGGTTGATGACGAAGAGGATCTGTGAAAATTTCAAGCACAATCAGTCATTTTATTTCCTTTTGTTCAATTCGCCTTTCTCTGCCGTTTTGATGGTTCGGTCGGGTGTCCCGAAACCATGCTAAAGGAAGCTATAGCGATTGGGTTGGGGGATCACGGTCGGACATACGTTCTTAGGTCTGCGGAGGGTGACACGAGTGATGCCGGGAACGTGCTTCAGGCCAAGCTTAGCAATAGCCTTACGAGCCTTCTTCTCGTTGCGGGAGTGGATGGTGACGGCAGAGCCGCCGGGGATGGTGGTCTCTTCGCCAGCTTCGGAGGCAGAGCTGTCGCCCGCATCCTCAACGTTGGCCTGGACATCATCGTCATGGATCTCTTCAACACGGGGGTCGGCCATTTTTGCGGTTTGTGAGTGAGCCTGAAGGACAGAGTTGAGGGTTGATGTTAGCAATTCGTTTTGTGGGACAGCTCAATGGCGACCTGAGGCTTAAAAAGCCATCCCACCAAACCCCATTCATAATTCGAAAAGGTTCGATGGCGGGGCAATTTTCTCTAGGGAAAAAAGGGCAAAAAAATCCGCAGGCTCGGTTTCTTCGAATTGCACGTACCTGTTACGCAGATAGCGGGCTGTGGTTGACAATGTGGGTTTTTTGTGTGCTTGTTCGAGGTGGAAAGTCGCAAAGCTGTGTGAAGGTCATCGTGCCGAAAAGCGATTAGCGAGCTTGAACCGGGACCACCCCCAGACTACCAAACACACATATTCGATCTATATGTTGTGAATGACATCTACGGTATCTACTGATGGTACGGTTTATTTATTTTTAATTAAGAGGATGAAATAGGGTATAATAATTCAGGCTGCGCCCCTATTCTTTATTTTTTATCAAGTATTGTCCGTACCGAGACTCCGTAGAATTCTGCGACAAGTGTACTTTTCTGTACTTGCTCTGTTCTTTTTTTTTGGGTCATCACATTAGGAAGGCTACCATGCCAGGATATCAAAGGTTTTTGAATCATTTTTGCTGTTTATGATAATGCATACAGCGAGTTGCTGGTATTTCCGCAGCAATTGAAAAAAACCGACCAAGGCAACCCCTCACAAAACACACCGAACCTCACGAACCCGTCTACGACTTGGGAGCAGCAGCGCGGATCTTGGCGTGAGCCTTCTGGACCTCGAAACGAGCCTGTTGATACGCAAAGAGTCAGCCATGTTCCTGAATACTGCAGATTTGACCTTTTTCACGGTGTTCTTCACGGCGTAGTCTCAAAACACCCAAAGGCGCATGTAGATACTCCTCACACTCGGTCTAAACCTTCCAATTGCCCTTATAACCATAAAGATATCGCGCATTCCCACGTACCTGCTTGCGGAGTCTGAGGACCTTGAAGCGCTCGAAATCGGTCAGGTTCTTCCTCCGCTCGGCCTTCTCAGCCTTCTGGGCCCAGCTGCTCTTAGCCCACTTGCCATCGATCTCGGACTTCTCCCAGAGCTTGCGAACGGGGCCGGTGCCGGCAGAACGGGGCAGCTTGGGGATGACGAAAGGAGTGAGGGTGACGTGGGAGAGAGCGGCGACGTGGCGGGGAACGATCTTCTTCTCCTCGGTGGAAGGACCGTCAACCAGGACCTGTTCCAACGCAAATCATGTCAATATCTATTCCTTGTGTCTTTCTTCCATCCCCAGTCTCTTTTTCTTTCTGTCCATGCTGTTCACCCGGGAGAAAACGGTTTCCACGTACACGCTTGTGGTCGACGATCTCGACAATAGCGGCCAGCTTGCCGGTAAAAGGACCGCTGCGGAGGAGGACCACACGGCCAACCTCAACGAGCTTCCACGAAGCGAGCTTCAGATCGATATCCGTCATGGCGAAGGCTTCCTAGAAGACGGCAAAAAAAAAGATCTCGTCAGTAAAGACCGGACCGCGTTTGCGAACACGCTGCTGCGCAAGAAAATAGTAACACTTACGGGGTCGACACTGGGTGATTTGATTGTCGAAAATTCGGGGTTGTCGAAGTCGTCTCGTCCGGTTGTGCCCTGGCGTCGTGCGTGGATCGCAAAATTCGGGTGTTGCGCCCACTGCCCACAGAGGCTCGCTTAGCAGCCAGTAGCAGCCGCCTGTCCTGGCGCTGGGTGCGGCCTAGGGCTGGATTGAAGATTCGTGCCGACCACGCGAGAATAGTTTTTCCGTGCCGGCCGGACTTGAATAGTTTTTTTTTTTTCTTTTTAGCCGTTGACTTTGCGTTGTTTTGTTTCTTCCTGCTCTCTGTGCATGCAACACAGCAACATCTTGGATGAGTCGATGATGCTTTCGCCCTTGAATACTAACATATTTCATCTCCAGCGAGCTTGATCTTCAATAATTATGGTAAGTGAAGATTGATCTTTTTTTATTCTCCTCAATCTATCACTATGATGCGGTAATTTGCGATTGACACAGTCTCTGTGAGGCCCTCGCCGGGGCACTCGATACAGAACTGGCGCATGATATTCCTTTCTTACATATTCTGATATTGTGTCCTCATGTTTGCCTTGTTACTCTCAGTTGAAGTTCACTGGACTCGAGCTGACTTGCCAAGATACTAGGTGTGATATCTCCGTAATAACAACTGTTGACCTAGTCAACGAGACGCCATCTTCAATCCGTTTTGCCCCTTGATAGGTACGCTGAAATTTTTTCCCTCCCTGTCCAGTCCGATGATTAAAACCTTTATCACGCCTAGATAGTAATTGAACCTTTTGGTTATGATATTACCATCATCACCAAGATCTCTGAGGACTATCTCATTCATGAGCATTATCATAGCTTTTATGTGAACAAAGCTAATGTTAAACAGATATAGTTATAGCTCCATTATGTTGAATATGAATATAAATATCTCAATACTTTCTTAAAAATACTTGTAGTAATCTAGTAGTGTACTTGATCTTCATATAAATAAACTGCCCCCCGGGAGAAAACCCAGCTTAGTATTACCGTCTCTTCATAGTAAAGAGATGTGGTGATTAATATTCGGGTATCTGAAGCAGTGGTATTTTCAACATTGACTATGCAAGACCAGCTGGACAGAGGCTGCTCTAGCCACTGACTACCAACGCTATCCCCTCCACGAATGTTCTAGCCCGGGCCGTGTGGCCCGAAGGAAGCCATCGCCATTATGCCATGTTGTTGTTGTCGTTAAGATAAGAGAAAGATCTATCGTTAGATGGAAGCCGATTGTCACTTCGCCCATAGGCTACCCCTTACAGGGACGCGGCTCCGCCGGTTTTCGAAGCCAAGCCGGACGGCCCTTCGCGGCTGAGAACCCACATGAAGATGAACTGGATGATGTAGGCGTAAAGGAACAGGAACTGGGTGCGGCGGTTGCGTTGAGAGCGGGCGACGGTATGCATCGACCCGGCGCGCATAGAAGCGTCGCTGGTCGAGTCGGGGAGAAGGACGTATTTCAAGGAACGAAGCTAGACAACTCTTGTCAGTCTTCCAGGCTTGAGTCGGAGATAGATATTTACCACTTACCAAAAAGAAAGCATTGGCCAGGAAAGTATAGGCGAACATGGTCCATCCAACCCAGCCGCCCGTTCCCCTGCCCGGAGTCAAGACTTCAGAAGCCACCAGGGTGACGATGATGCCGACAAACTTGTATCCAGAATACGCGACAAGATCTAGCAGTTGGGAATCGTTGTTGATACTGAGAATGTACATCGCCAGCTTCAAGCAAATGATCTCGAAGACAATCACCGCAATAGCCGTCGTTGTTATCGACCCCAGCAGCTCCGGGTGGAATTCACCACGGAACCCCGCTAGCATCGCCGAGAGAAGAATGTACGTCACCAACGCCATGACGGGGATATACATGTCCGGAGAGTTCAGGTCATCCCGAGGAGGCAGGAACATCAACGAGTATTGCTGCTGTGATATTTGACCGTCTGGTCCTGTAGATGTGGATGTGAGACGAGTCTGCTGGCGAGACCATGGTTTGTGCCTCCAGGGGAAGAGCACGAGAGCAAGCTTGCTCAGGACGTAGGAGTTGGAAACGTTGAAGTAGTGCTTCAGGGCCGAAATGGAAACGTAGCGGTTGAACTAGGACACATTAGAAGGCTGTTTTCAAAGGAACTTCCTTTTGACCCAAAGCGTAGTGTTCCGTTCTCACATTCTGTTCCACGTATTCTTGTCCAGCCATCATCGCCGTCTTTCCCACCTGGAAGCCCATCTGCGCTGTCGGGTCGTTGATGAACCCCCCGAATCCCGGGGCATACGTTCCACTACCACCCTGGGCAGGAGCTGGCTGGTACGGGTTGCCATAGCTCGCGCTCTGAGGCTGCTGGGGCGCCGGTGGAGGTGGTGAACGCATCATAGGCACCGTCGAGACATGCTGCGGAACGGGATGATGGAGCGGAGGAGAGTGCGCAGGCGGCGGGGCAAACGAGGAACGATGCATGGTAGGCTAATTCACAAGTTGTGGCAGACAGATAACACTGCCAGGATTTCCCTGCTATCCGGCGATTGAGGCGTGAAGAGGGTGTGTTGCAGGGGAGATGGGGGGAAGCGCTGGAGTGCAGGGTGTTTTCTACGTGGCTCAAGTCGCCTGCCGGAGGAAAGCTGAGCTTCCCGCAAAAACTCCCGCCACTCTCGTATCTCGCTTGCCTAACTACTCCCTCCCCCCCGCCCATATCTTGAACATTTTCTACGCCTTGTTTTAGATCCAGATAAAAAGGAAAAAGGAAACAGCAATGTTGGAATCTTTCGAAATCCTGACTGCCTCCGGGATCGTGTTGTGGTCGAAGTCGTACGCACCAGTGGGCGCACACATCATCAATAGTCTTATCAACGATGTGTTCATCGAGGAAAAGGTCTTGCCACAAGGGACAGCCGGAACCGGGGTCGCGCCAGTGTACAAGAAGGAGAAGTATACGCTGAAGTGGAAGCGGGTGAAGGAGTTCAATCTCATCTTTGTGGTAGGTTGTCGCTTAGTAGCGAGACATTATACTGTCAGGTCGCTCACCATGCCTACAGGCTGTCTACCAATCGCTTCTGCATCTCGGCTGGATCGACAAGCTCATCGACAATATCGCGACGATTTTCATTGATTTATACAAGGAGCAGCTGAAGAGTACGCGGTCCCGGGCCATCGAGTATCCGTTCGACAAGTACTTCGACCAACAAGTGCAAGAACTTGAGGATAATACGGGAGCCAGCGCATCTGCAGACAGGATTCTCGGCGATCAGGAGGCGAAGAAGGACCCATTTGCGTCATCTGACAACGGTGGTCCTCCACCTCCATCAGTTCCTGGCCTTGTGAAAGCGCAGCGACAAGCTGCGCAGACGGTCGTGACCTCCGATGAGGGAACGCCCCCCCAAACACCTGAAATCTCTAGATCTTCGACGCCTTCGTCGGCTCACGCTCTGCCTGCTAAGCTCGGCCCCGGCGGCCGGGTCTCGCGTCGTGCTCGCAAGGCTGCAAACGCCAGTGCGAATGTGTCATCTGGCGATGAGCCTGTCCGCAAGAGCAATAAGACCCCAAAGAGCGGCAAGAAGATGCGCAAATGGGGTGATGATGGGATGGCCGATGAGGACGATGGCGAGATTCTCGATTATTCCGTACACGACGAAGGCGCGGACATGTCGGCTCCCGCGGTGGAAGCTGTTGCGCAGGACACCTGGGGACGGAGAACTGGGAAGGGTCAGTTTGTTTTGAAGGATCTGGGCGACGAGGTTCACTCTATCCTCGAGAATGCCGACAATGAAAAATCCAAGGCCGGCGCCTCTGCAGGCGTGGTAGGGTCCAGTTTCAACGCGATTGGGGGTCTCTTCCGGAATATTGTGGGCGGAAAGGTCTTGACCGAGAGCGATCTTGAAAAGCCGCTGAAAGCAATGGAGGACCACCTTATGAAGAAGAATGTAGCGCGTGAAGCAGCAATCCGCCTGTGCGAAGGTGTCCAACGCGAGCTCATTGGAAAGAAGACAGGCAACTTCCAGAGCGTGGACGCTGCGCTGCGCAACGCCATGGAGTCATCTTTGCGCAAGATCCTTACACCCACCTCCTCTCTGGATCTCCTCCGTGAGATCGACTCCGTCACGTCTCCATCCAGCAAGCAACAGGCTGCCCGGCCATACGTGATCTCGATCGTCGGTGTCAACGGGGTCGGCAAGTCGACAAACCTGAGCAAGATCTGCTATTTCCTCCTACAGAACAACTACCGAGTGCTGATTGCCGCATGCGACACCTTCCGGTCCGGTGCTGTGGAGCAGCTGCGCGTCCACGCGCGCAACCTGAAGGAGCTCAGCTCGCGTGAAAACGTGGGCGAGGTCGAACTCTACGAGAAAGGGTACGGCAAGGACGCAGCCAACGTGGCCAAGGATGCAGTAGAGTACGGTGCTGCCAACAAGTTCGATGTTGTCCTGATCGACACCGCGGGCCGCCGCCACAATGACCAGCGGCTCATGTCATCCCTGGAGAAGTTCGCCAAGTTCGCCCAACCAGACAAGATCTTCATGGTTGGCGAGGCGCTCGTGGGCACCGACAGTGTCATGCAGGCCCGCAACTTCAACCAAGCGTTCGGGACCGGTAGGAACCTGGATGGCTTCATCATCAGCAAATGCGACACGGTGGGTGACATGGTGGGCACCCTCGTCAGCATGGTGCATGCTACGGGTATCCCCATTGTCTTCTTGGGAGTCGGACAGCACTATGGCGATCTGCGAGGGCTGAGTGTTCCTTGGGCTGTTGGGCTGCTGATGAAATGATTGATTTCTAGAATGTAGAATGTATTATTGGGTCTACTATAACTTACTATTTTATGGCTAGCATTATCTATCCTCACTCAGATATAATAACTCTTTACCACACACTCTCCACCAGTATTAATTCCAGGATGATAATCGCTAGCAAAAAAAAAGAGACCGAGCCAGAATTGTCATGAGAATAAATTTGAATAGCAAAAAAGAATGACCTACGCAGGATTCGAACCTGCAATCTCTTGATCCGTAGTCAAGCGCCTTACCATTGGGCCAGCAGGCCTTGTTGAAGTGCATAGAAGTAATTTGTTACATAATTCAAAACAATCTTGTGGTGCTAAGCCAAAGAATTCTCTCGAAGCCGAGCACTGACCCATGCGTGTATGAACTTGCTATGATACTGATGACGCAATCAATTCAGTTTCGTGCCTGAGATTTGTATACGAAGTACCTATACGAATTACTGGGACTTTGCCTCAAATAAAATACACCGTTTGTTTTGCAAGTACTGATTATTAGATGACTCCTTGTTGTCGGAATTAGGATTTAAGTAGAGCGAGCCGTGTACCCGAGTATTTGCTTAGTAGATACAGACAGCTATTACTAGATAACTAGTGCTTTATATCTAGTCTAGTCAGGTGCCTTATATGATTAAAAATCAGGTACGTCTCGGACGTCTCGGATAAAGACTCCGTGGTTCTTTATGACATTCTGCGAGAAATCTGAACTATGTAGGACAGGTAAGGCAGTTGTATCTCTTTAGAAGATAGTTTTTCAATTGAATACTCCACAACCTTGTAACTGCTAACTGACGTAGGTAGGCAGTAGGGAAATACTGACTAGCAAGTATGTACAGTAACTAGCTAAGTACTTACTCTTTGCCATGACAAGCAGCTCGTCAGACCTACCTTACTGAGCCTCCTGCAAGGGTGGGACTTCCCAGTGTCGCAACATCCGCTGTACAGCGCTCGTCCATTCCTCCATACAGGCCCTCTCCAGCTGCTGGACGTTTGCCTCGAGCGGAGTGATGATACCCCACATTGCCGGACGAGAAGCCAGGTCGTGGGCATGTTTGGCAATGAGGTTCCTATAAGAGGATAAGCGGTAGATTAGTTAGAATTGTCAATATATCATAATCCCATGGTCTCATGGTCAACCCAAGTAACCGTAGTATCAGGCTAACCATGACAAGAGCATTGCCAGCGGCGGGGAGATAGACAGTCCCTCAAACTGAAGCAAGGGTATCTACATACGATTCAGCGATCTTGGTCAAGACCAGCCAGCAGGGGTTCCAGCTGCGGGCACGGTTAGGATCCTCCAACACGAGTGTTTTCGCCTCGTCAAGACACTCGGAGCTGAACGGATAGTTCTTGGTCTGGCCGCGCAGCTCGCTGAGCAGGTTGTTGGATTGGACGTAGTAGGTCCAGGCATCGGCCATGGCTTCAATCGCTTCCGGCGTGGTGTTCTGCATGAGGATCCTCTCAATGTGACGGATATCCCTGAGGGTCTTGACCCGATGGGACTGCAGGACACCGATGAGACGGGTTTGGTTGTCCTGCATTGTGGTCTAGATGTATAAGCGGTAGTGTTTGGCCTAGAGAGATGACAGACCAGGTTGCTATCAATACAAAATGTTTTCTGTCAGAGGATCTGTAGAGCGACTTCATCTCAAAAGGAAAGATGCATCTTATATATACCTTTCTCTTCTTCACTGTTCGGTGTTCGGAGTTCGGTCGATGCTCCCTAGGACACCGACAGCCCTGGAAAATGGAGTTGATAGTCTCGAACAAGGTTCCTTGATAGAACGTTGAGCATCCCCGTTGCCACGAATGATTTGGGCCAGGGAAATCCACTATCAAAAGGGTCCCAGCAAGCGCCGAGCTGAGGGATCTCTTTCCACCTCAATTGGATAGATTCTCCGGCTATTCACTCAATGTACCGTCTCACCGGGAACGGTGGCGCAGGTGTCAACTATGCAGGACGGCACGTTTACGCAACCTGAACACCCCTGATAGCAATGGAGGTCAGTATAGCTACAAGCAGAAGTACAACACAGAGGGAGTATAATCTCGAATACCTTATAAAGGATAGTAGAGCAGTTTTCAGGGTCAGCTCGTCAGTACTGGGCCTTCACAAACAAAAGGGCCTTTGTTTCCCCTTTCATCATGATGTAAATCGTCAAGATGAGTGATATACTCCAGTTTCCCTAGCCCCGTAAGGTCAAAGGAAGAACGGCACAGACGACGCTAGTATCAGTTGTCTTGAATAGTTTGCGTCACTCTTCGCAGGGGCTTTCCAACTCAGCGGTGCCAAGGGGCCGATAATCGCGGCAGAGGATTGTAAGCCTTAAACCGACGTTACAGACGTCTGACAAATCGCGTCAACCGTGTATCTGATTGAATACTCGGTTGATATACTTTGTTCGGATGGAATTTGAGCCTTATTAGAGTGTGTTTCCAGTCTGAAAATGCCCTCATACAAGCCACACCAGTCGACTTCATTTCCTTCTCGCTTTGGCCGAGGTGGAAATTGCGGCGAGAGCACGGAGGGCTTTGGGTAATCCCATACATTCCACAGAGTTTCCAGATCATTCGGCCTTGAAATTAGTCCCAGACTGGATCAAACGTCTATAGCGGCTGGTACGTGAGCGCTGGCTGCCTTGGTAGTAGACACCTGGAAAGGAGTTAGTAGCCTCGTACGTCAGGGCGGATTGTCTCAAATCGGTGGCGAAAGCCAGAGGAATCCCAGAGATCAGAGCAAGTGATGATGGCTTGCGAAAAGAGACCGGAACACCGTGAAGTTTACCCAGGGCAGGAAACAGCTCGCTCGTTGCCTGCCGTTCCTGTCTGGTGGCTATACGAAACGCCCCATTGAAAAATACCACCGCGCTTTCCTCTTTTGGGGATAGCCTGTATTTTCCACTTCGTTTGATATAGCAACAACTACTAGGTACAAGCCTATGGTCGAACAAAAAGTAATTAATAAAAACAAAACATACTAGTTACTTTCTAACTGGCGGTCTAGCAAGGCCGATTCTTCCGCGGAGCTTCCGGCGCCTGCTGCTTGTCCATCAGGCCGGGTGACCAAGGCGCAAGTAGTTTGTTACCATTTGAAACTCTGTGGAAGTTGACAAGGATGTAGAAATCCGTACTCCGTGAATGGTTGGAGCGGAGTGCTCGGTACGGAGTAGAGTGATCGCCGGGAACCGAGAGACCTGAAGGCTGAAGAAGAGCGGAAGGAGTGGATGTCGGGGATTTACGGTCCGTGTCCGATGTACTCCGTATAGTTATCCACGATGTAACCAGAATCCAGGATCCTGGTAAGCCAGGCAGGCGCCTTGTAGATCATCCACTGCCGCGTTGCAGAATAACTAATAATCGCGGAGATTCGGACTCCGGAGTTATTAGTTAAATTAGTCAATAAGTCCATTCACGTGATCACTCTCGGAAGTTCGGTGATGACTCAGCATGCGCGGGTCCATCAGTCCCGATCTGGACTTGGCCTCGTCCAACGTCCTGCCATCCCCCTCAGACTTCTTACCATGGTGTAACCCACGATGCTCGTTGCCAGAGAATTGAACACTGTCTGCCGTCTGTCCCTGCGGTGAGTGGCCATTGGAGACTCGCCGTACGAGCGCCTGCTTTGCCCACAAGTACTATTCTGGCAACCCCTCACGCGATCTCCGCATCAGGCCGTCCTCCCCCAGACTTTGAACACCCACCGCACGAGTAAGGGCACGATCAGCGATGAATTCTTTTTTCTATTCGCTAATTATTGTTGCAATTACCAGGCAGGCACCCCAATCAAGATGAAGGCATCGGAACAAGGCCCCATTAGGCGATACTCCTCCACACAGCACTACCATACTTTTGATACGCCTCCTCCAAAGTCCCGGGGCCGCCCCAACTCAGGCCAATCAGGCTCGTCCGCGGAGGACTCGGCAGATCTACACAACGATGGAGACGATCACTCGGGCGCGCAGTCGCCTTTGCCGAAGAAGCAGATGGCGGTTTTGGCGATAATTGCGCTGTCGGAGCAGACAGCACTCAATTCAATCAGCCCCTATCTACCGGACATGGCATCGACGTTTCCAGAGGTGAATGCGAGTGAAGTCGGTGTCTATGTGGGGACCATCGCTTCGGCCTTTGCCTGTGCGCAGTTTGTCACCAACTATTTCTGGGGTTGGCTGTCGGATCGGATCGGGCGCAAGCCGGTGATCATGCTTGGCACTGTTTTGACAGCCGCATGCTTCGTGGCGTTTGGGTTTTGCAGGACACTGTGGCAGGCTATCCTTGTGCAAGCTCTCATGGGTGTCGTGAATGGGAACCAGGGTCTCGTCTCGACCTGCCTCGGCGAGATCACGGACCGCAGCAACCAGTCCAAGGCGTTTACCTATCTTCCCGTGCTGTACGGCCTCGGAGGTATCACCGGCCCTCTTCTCGGCGGTCTTTTGATCTTCAAACAGAATCCATTCAACCCAGACCAGCCGAATCCTTATCCGTACCTGCTACCGAACTTGCTGTCGGCGGCTATTCTGCTCCTGGACTTTGTCATCACGGCGATCTTTCTCGACGAGAGTCTGGAAGATGCGAGTACACTTCCTCGAATACGCCAGAGATTCCGCGCCTTGTTCAGCTGGCTCTGGCAGTTCACCGGTTTTGCTAGGCATCCGAGTTATCTCAGAAGCAATCAGCCCGCCCCGTATCGCCGTCTGCGCCGGGATACCGACGAGAGCATCACGGATCATGACAGCGAGCTGGACTCGGCCTCAGAGCCCGACGACGAAGACTGCGGCCACGAGGAACTGACCCGCGACGAGATTTTCAACCGGGATACCATTCTGCTTCTTCTGACCTACCTCATCTTCGCGCTGTGCAACGTCTCCTTTGCCTCGCTCTACCCAATCTTTGCGCAAGCTCCGCCGCCATCGGGTCGTGCCCTGACCCCGTCGGAGATCGGCCTCTCCCAGGGTTTCGCTGGCGTGGTCACCATCATCTTCCAGATCTGTATCTTCGGCAAGCTCCGAGACAAGATGGGCAATAAATGGTCCTACCGCACGGGTCTCTTCGGTTTCACCATTTCCTTCCTCCTCATGCCCTTCATCGGCTACAAGGGAGACGATGAAAAGGGAATCTCGACCAAGTCCGCTCTCCTGGCTATCGAGCTCTGCTTCGTTTTGCTCGTCAAGACCGTCGCTTCTGTCGGGGGGTTGACCAGCGCTCTCCTGTTGGTAAGTTACTACACCCCACTCTCAACAGCTCTTCCGATTATCTAAATTCTTTGATTGTTCCAGGTTACGAATTCTGCCCCCAACCACGCCGTCCTTGGCGCGCTGAACGGTCTCGCCCAAACCCTGTCTGCAGCCGGCCGAACCGTTGGACCCTTCCTATCCGGCGGTCTCTTCTCCCTTACTTCCAATGTCCAACCGAAAGGCGAGGCCTTGGCGTTTGGGGTCTTTGGTGCCGTCTCCTTCATTGGTTTCCTCCTCAGTTTCGGAATTCAAGGCCGCTCCCTAGAAGCAGAAGGTTGGGCTAGTGGTGACGACGACGACGACGAGAATTTCAAATCAGATGACGAGGAAAGTGTATAAAACCCAAACCCACCCCAGAAGAGAAATCGTTCCTTTTTAGCTCGATTTTATGATGTGATGATGAACAATTTCAACTATTATTAGATAAAGAGAGAGAGAGAGGCATAGCCAAAGGTGTCTGGCAGAGAGAGACGCTTGCGTGGTTGAGTTGGGCTGTTATATAAACGATGCATGTTTATTCTCGGCGCTTGATACAAAATGATTATCGAATGTCGATGTGTACTGTCAGTTAAGCGGGCGACCTGTTTGAAGATAATAGTTTTTTTGTCATTTTATTGCATCAAGTCAAATGATATCTCTCGTCGCATGAACTAGAAGCTTCAAATTCAATCTACGTCGAATCCACTCAGCAGGTTTGAAGTACAGGAATTATCATTAGATCCATAATCGACATTCATTAAAAAAGCAGTTTTGCCATACAGAACATTCCTCTCCGTCTTATGTACCAAAACTTATCATGCACCAAGTAGTACTCGAAGAAAAAGACCCAGATCCCAGAGAAACCCATTCATCGCACCCCCCAACTACCCCCTCCATCTATTTCCACATCCATTCAAGGACGTACATGAACGCCTCGCCCATGTACCCCTCGACCAACAGGCCCTGGACGTACTCGATGAGCTCTTCATTCGGCAGTTGGAGCGCCTGGAACCGCTCCTTCTCTCCCGCCGCGCTGCGGACGCTCACCCGCTTCTCAATGATAGCCTTTAGCATTTCTTTCCCCGGAGTTACCATTAGATATGACCCGGTGGACGACGTAGTCGCTTCATTAGCGGGGATGTGGCAGATGAACTCCTGGCATTGGGGCGTTAGCCAGTCTATCCCTTCCAGGCTGCAAGTGTCATCTGTGGGCTTAATGGTAGATGCCGAGGCAGTGTTGGGGTGGCTATGGTTATCATTCAGAACCGTATACCGGATGTCTGACTCGGTCGAGAACAGGATCAACGTATTGACGGTCGAGTTGAGCTTCATCCGGAAGGTCGCCAGATTACGCGGGTCTAGATAATATGTGTAACTGGCGGTCACATTCACGGATTTGATGCTGTTGCTGTCGGCGAACCGGATTTTAGAAATGGCCAGCTCGCGGGCGGATGCCGGACATCGCGGCTTGATGGCGATGGACTTGGATTCACGGAGGGTGACCGATGGGATACACCATGGCAGATGCTCTGGACTGCTTGCCTGCTGGCAGGCCTCGCTGCAAAAGCGAAAGATATGACACGCTGGATGTGACTTGTTAGTTCATGCCTTGCGGAAACTGCCAGAAACAGAAACTTACAGCTACAAAGGGCGGCAGTGGTGATTGCGCAGTTGACACAGGGTTTTTGTTCATTCAAACCCCAGCTTTTCTTCTCGGCAGCGAGCACTTCCCGTCGGTGATTGAGATCTGCGATCCTCTTCTCCGAATATGCAATCCGTTTTCGGGAATGGTGGCCCTCTGGTGTCCGCCGGGCCAAATGGATGAGTTGGCTATATGACTCTATAGCTTTCTCCATCGAATCAAGATGTTCACGAGACACACAGAGAGCACTGAGGGCATCGAAAGTTTCCGGTGCATCCATCCCTTTCACCGCGATGAATTCCTCAAACAAGGTCTCGAAAAGAGAGCTCGCATCGCGGTTAAGGCCTGCATCCATATATGCTCTACCCAGCCGGTGGATGACCCGTAAAGCATCCGGGTCTCGTGAGCGGCGATACTGGTCAAGGACGTCTTTCACTTCAGCGGAGAAGTCAAAGTTGTCGGACTTGTGAAGATAGCGTACGACCGTGTTCCTGGTGATGGGGCTACTCAGCCCGAAGAAGGTTCGACAGTGAGGTATCATCTTGCCGGATATCGCCCGAGACTCCTTCTCAAGACCAAGTTTCAGATACAAGATTGAGAGCTTGTCCATGGCGGTCAAGGTCATCTCGTTCTGGATGCCAAACACCGTGTCGAGGGACGAGACTGCCTTCTCCAGGAGGAAAAGAGCTGACTCCAAATCCCCAATAGAGACTTTGATTGCCGCAAGATCCTGCATGCTACTCAATGTCTCTGGTGAATTCTGTCCCAAACTTCTTAGCCTACCAGCGTACGATCGTTCGAACAATGCGGCAGCCTCCGTAGCATATCCATCTTTTTCACAAAGACTGGCCAAGTCCTGAAGTACAACGAAGTTCTTTGGGTGATCTCGGCCCAGGGACCGCTTGTAGAGTCCTAAGGCCTCCAGATAACACGCTTCCGATTCGGCAGGCATATCGAGATGGCGATAGGCATCACCCAAAGCGTGAACCATGCCAGCTCGTGACAACCTGTCGACGTCCAGAGCAGGAGTGTGGTCCAGCATCCTGAGAGCATCATGGTACAAGGCAACTGCCGCTCGTGAATTCCCCTGTTTCAAGGAACCCTCCGCACGAAGTCGGGTGGTCGTTGTTCGAGACCAGATAGTCGCTGCTGAAACTTCGTCCTTGACCTGCATAAAGAGAAGGGCTACTTGTTCCATTGACAAAACTCTTTGCCGCCCAGAGACATCGTGTACCACAGCGCCCTCTGAAAGCTTCTGGATGTGCACATATATATTCTGAGAGCAGCGCAGCAAGTCGAGGAGTCCTATATTTGCGATTTCAATATTTTTCGAGTCTTGCTTGGCTCGAATGTCTTCCTGAGCTTCGTGCTTCTCTTCGTCATCCGCGTCATCAAATTTAGAGACCCTGGACACAAATGAAAATCGCACGGTATTTGCTCTTTTGATCAATTTCTTGCCACTGCGACTGGATGCTGAGCTAGCCCGTGATAAACCTGGAACCTATGAGACGACTGATTTTCCTCAATATCTCAGAGACTTACCTTTACTCAGTTTTTCTCCGAAAACCCAGCGGAAAAATGACTGTCTGCGCGATAATCGAGGGTCTTCAGCAGCGGCATGTTCTTCGTTATCATCGAGCTCGAGCAAATCGCCGTCGGAATCTGGAGAGCTCGATGTCGGATGATCGACTTCTTCCTCACAAAGTGTTGTTGTAGATCTTTTAAGATCTAACCCTGAGACTTCATTGTGTGCTATAGTCAATGGTTACCTGAGTCTCCCAAGCTTTACAGGGAATCCAGATACCTACTCTTCATTCCTGTGATAATAGCTGGCTGCGCAGTTGGTGAAGTGTTTGGCTGGCAATCAATCATTTGCTGGAAGACTCCATTAGGAGCATGAACTATACAAAATGTTAGTACCTGTACTCGAATATCAACTCAAATCTAAACTTTTACCTCGTTCCAAGTCGTAGGAGCTAGCAAAACTGATGGCAATCAACTCATCTTCATCGCTCTGGGAGAATTCTTTCCGAATTAGCGCCCATCATAGTCAAGCTAGAGAGCAGCAGCTTACTTCTGAACGACCAGGAATCTCGCAGTTTCCGTGCCCTGGATCTGCCGGCTGTCCCTTTTGAAGTCTGCTCACCGGGAATGAGTGGCAGTGGTTTTGAACTCGCGAAAGCCTTCTGCGTAAGGCTGGGACTCCCGCTGTGAATACTGCCAGCTATGTCTTTTGAGACATCTCGAAAGCTGATATCATCGCGTGGGTCGCCACTGGGGGGCTCATATCTACAGCCATGGTCAGACAACAATGATGAATGGTGAATACCCTGTGGTAGGTTGTACTGACGAGATATTGCACTTTACTCCGCAGTGTGTGCAGTCGACGCAATAGGGTGTATCTAGAGAAGTAAGAACATAATCCGGCTCGGGGAATATTTCATGGGGACATACTCTTATGTCTGGTTACCTTCTGGTCATCGTCAACCGCAAAGAGCCTTTCACACTTCCCGCAAAAGAAGTGGAGTGGATGGCCATCCAGAGGTATAATCCTTTTCTCGATCCTGTAGCCCTTGGTGATGAGCCTATTATCATGTCAGCATCAGGTGGAAAGCACGCGTAAACGAGTAGAAAACCGCTTCTGGAGAAGGAAGTCCTATCATACCGATCCCGGGTCATCACATATACGATCACCGCAGCTCCTGGGCAGAACCTTGTCAGGTAATGGCGTCCAAGTTCATCCCTACATACAATGGTCAGAATTTCATCACTTGACGGGCTCTCCGGGTTTTGTTGAGAACTGGACAGGGACATACGAAGACGAAAAGATTGCCTCGCAGTCTGAACACTTGACATCTACCGCCCCTAGAATAGCGCCGTCATCGTCACGAAACGGGGGGAACAAGCGCAAAGCCTCTTGGAAGTTTGCAACAGCCGGTGATATCGACTCCTGTGCAGATACTAGAGGCAGGTTAACAGGAAGACCATGACATGAAAATGGGCAACCTCTGCTCCATTTCGAAAGCCTCATACAAACATACTGCTCAGGTGCTTCCTTGCAATGGGCGCAATTATATCTGCCCCCCGCAGAATCAAGGCTTTAGGGTCCTTCTTTCGGCATCCGTTGTAAACCGGTCGAATGGTCGTAGTATCAATCTCCAGTGTCTTCTGGATTTCAATACGTTGCACGAGCTTCCTTTGATCCAAACTTCCTCTGAACCCCGTATCAGTCAGCAGAGGGCAAATTTAATGGAAAGAATAAAAAGATGAATGCAACCTGTACAAGCCGCAGCGTGCATTGAGAACTTACCGCTCCGTCGAGGCGTTGGTAACACGGCTGCACTCCAGCGACATGTTGGGCGGAGGGGGCAGCAAAAGTCGGGGAATATGCGATGCTTCACGGCTCAGAAGCAGCTTGGGAGAGGCGGGGAGAAAACAAGTAAGTATAGAACGACTGGGTAAGGCTTCATTTTGAATAGAGCGTTGCTGCAACGCGTGTCATTGCGGTCGTACAGCACGGCCATCTCGCAGAAACAAGAAGCAAAGGGCATGTCTTTTCCTGTTCCAAGAGGCAATAAAACGTCCCCTAAGGGCTACGACTCATCCCTCGCGTTTGGTAGTGGGACGGTAATGGACTCGAGGGGGGATTGGGTTGGAGGAAAGGAAGGGGGGAGAGGAGGGGAGGCAGAAGATACAAACAAACAGGCTTCATCCCGGGATGGGAGGACGATCACTGTTTACACCCATCGACAAGTTCGCATTGGCCCAACTACCCCACGCTGTCGATGTTCTTATTGCTATTCTGATTAATTCTGGTTCTCTTTTCGCTCTTCTCTTCTTCTGACACGAGATCGAGAGCGTTGATCGTCACTGAGGGTTTTCTCTTCATCCCTGGCGCGTTTCTGAACCCTTTTTCGATAAGTACAAAATGCCCCTTACTTCTTTGCCTGTTCTACCAACATTCCCAGGATCTGTTTCTCACCGAATTTTGGAACCAGATTCCGTGATCTACTCAGAAAGAGACCGATTGATTTGAAGATCCGTTTGTCGCCTTCGCACCTGTCATATGCTACCGGGGGAAGACAGAACTGCAGACGCAGGCGGTCGACGATCAGCACATCCTTTCCTCCAACGTCATCTCTCCTATGTGGAAAACTTCTCGAGGAGTCTATTTGATCACTATTGCCTCCGATTATGGGGACTATTGATCGGTAGCGTGTTGTATTGTGAGAGCGGCACTGAGCACTGCCACTCATCAAGGATTGATGGAGAGGAACCAATTATCACCAGCGACAATCACCATCACTGATCATCTAGATATATAAGGAAATGGGCAAGACCTTGCCTCAGTATTCGAGAATTGGCTCTGCCGTTCCGTTTGCCATGGTGGTGATTTGTACAGACTCGAACCCAACGAGCCGCGAGTCGTTGCTCCCTCTATAACTGCAATTATTTGGTGTAACTCGGAGAAACGGATTGAACAAGAAGAGACCATGGATTAAGAACTACCGGGTCCATCTATCCCATGCTTGATAGATTGATTGTTTACTCCACGATGCTGTCTTCTTGACGAAAAGGAGTAAAGAGGAGGAGCAGCAGCAGCATCATCCAGAATGCAGACCACGAGCCATTCCAAATCTTGTCAGTCATGACCAGTCGGGATAAATCAAGGGAAATATACCTGGTTATCCATTGCCAATTTTAATTTTGGGTATCTTACGGGCAGGGATATCTCAGTCGTTATCAGATTGGTCGATCCATCCACATCAATCCCAGTGGTATCAATAGATCGCAGTCTTGAATCTATAGAAGCGCCTAAAGTAATGCATCATTGCTATATCTACCGACACTTCAAGGTACAGTCGTCATCTGAGGTTATATTTAAGGTCAATATGACGTCCGTGGTGAACGTCATGCTAACGTCCGAGGATGTCGTCGTCACGGACAATATAAGGTAAGAATGTCCAGCTTTGCAATTATTGCAAAGAGAACCTATTGCTGAAATCGTTACACGAATAAGATTGCTTTTCATTTTAATTTCTCGGCATGGCCACTATCATCGCAGGCGGGTTACACAAGGCTCAAGAGGTCGTGAAGAACAGCGCCTCCAAGAACAAGAAAAACGTCGATCTCGAGCGTGACACGGTCAATGTGCAGACGAAACAATGCCAAACAGCGGACCATGGCGTGAACATCTCTAACCCAGATAACTGGTTGAAAGGGGTTGCTCCGAACCGAACGGGTGCGTCATTGCTGGAAGATCAGATTGCAAGGGAAAAGGTAGATCCTTATCTTTTTTCGCCTATGTCTTTTCTCTCTAGCCGCCTCCTTCTAACTCGTTAGATACATCGATTCGACCATGAACGCATCCCCGAGCGGGTCGTCCATGCCCGAGGCACTGGGGCATTTGGCAACTTCACGCTCTATGAAAGCATAGAGGAGTTAACTCACGCAGGCGTGTTGACCGACACATCGCGGAATACACCTGTATTTGTACGCTTCTCTACTGTTCAAGGAAGTCGAGGCAGTGCCGACACAGTTCGAGATGTCAGAGGGTTTGCTGTCAAGTTCTATACCGATGAAGGAATATGGGACCTGGTCGGGAACAACATTCCCGTCTTTTTTGTTCAGGAGGCAATCAAGTTCCCGGATTTCGGTAGGATAGATCGATCTCCCCAAGGGTGAACTATTTGCTGAAATGGAAAATAACATGGATAGTCCACGCCGTCAAACCGGAACCTCACAACGAAGTTCCCCAGGGCCAATCAGCCCATAACAACTTCTGGGATTTTGTCTACCTGCACCCGGAAGCCACCCATATGGTGATGTGGGTGATGTCTGACCGTGCCATTCCACGCTCATTTCGTATGATGCAGGGCTTCGGGGTCAACACGTTTGTCCTAGTGAACAAGGACGGGAAACGGCATTTTGTCAAGTTCCATTGGATCCCGAAGTTGGGCGTGCACTCGCTCGTATGGGATGAGGCGCTCAAGTTGGCTGGCCAAGATCCGGATTTCCACCGCAAGGACCTCATGGAAGCGATCGACAATAAGGTGTACCCGAAATGGGACTTGGGGATCCAAGTCATCCCAGAGGAAAAGCAGGATGACTTCGAGTTCGACATCCTCGACGCAACCAAAGTGTGGCCGGAAGATCTGGTACCTCTTCGGATTATCGGCCAGTTGGAGCTGAATCGTAATATCGACGAGTTCTTCCCCCAGACGGAGCAGGTGGCCTTTTGCACAAGCCATGTTGTCCCCGGGATTGATTTCTCTGATGACCCGTTACTGCAGGGGAGGAACTTTTCCTATTTCGACACGCAAATCAGCCGGCTAGGGATCAATTGGGAGGAGCTCCCCATCAACCGTCCCGTCTGCCCGATGATGAACCACAACCGTGATGGGGCGATGCGCCATCGGATCACACAGGGGACGGTGAATTACTGGCCAAACCGCTTCGAGGCGCTTCCACCTGCCACGCCCGACGAAGGGCCATTCACTACATACCCGCAGACTACCGGGGACGCCGGGCTCGTGAAGAAGCGCTCGCTGAGCGACAAGTTCCGCGAGCACCACAGCCAGGCGCAGCTTTTCTTCAACTCCATGTCCGCACACGAAAGAAACCACATGGTCAAGGCGCTTGGCTTTGAGCTCGACCACTGCGACGACCCAACCGTCTACGAACGGCTGGCGGGCCACCGCCTGGTCGAGATCGACCTGGGCCTCGCGCAGAAAGTCGCCGAGATCGTCGGCGCGCCCATCCCCAGCAAGGCCCTCCGGCCAAATCACGGCCGGCGCGCACCCCGCCTCTCGCAGGAAGAGTTCATGCCAACCACCCCGACCATCGAGGGCAGACGCATCGCCATCCTCATCGGCGACGGGTTCGACTCAGCGGCCTTCTACGGGATGAAGGCCGCGATTAAAGCCGCCGGCGCGCTGCCAGTGGTCGTCGGGACGAAACGGTCCCCGATCTTCGCCGAGGGGGGCGCGTCCCCGTCCTCTTCTCCCATATCCAAGAAGGGCGTCGTCCCGGACCACCAGTACAACGGGGTCCGCTCGACCCTGTTCGACGCCACCTTCATCCCCGGCGGTCCTCACATCCAGACTCTAATTAAGAACGGTCAGTTCCGGTACTGGATCGCCGAGACGTTTGGACATCTGAAAACCCTGGGCGGGACCGGCGAGGCCGCCGACCTGCTGAAACATGTGCTAGGCTCCGAAGTCGACGTCAAGGTCGCCGCGCCGACAGACACAGCCCCCGTCGAATGGTATGGCGTCGTCACCGCCGGTGGTCGGCAGAGGGCAGAGAGTTTCGGCCAAGGGTTCGAGATTCTCCGGGGGGCGCGCGATTTCGTCAGCCTGTTCTTCTCGCAGATTGCGCAGCATCGTAGCTGGAAGAGGGAGTTGGACGGTCTGGCGGCAAGCGTTACTTTCTAGGCACGACACTTGGCTATACCTACGTACTACCTATACACGTAGATCATATTCTGTCCTTCTCATGAATTAACCAACTTATAAACATTCATATCTCCGGGTATCAACAAGTTCATTCATGTTTATCACACAAGCTGCGTTAAAAATTGAACACGAAAGAAATACAATCAATCATTATTATTACCGCGCAGCATTCAAGCCTCTAGCATCTCGCGACAGGGACGAAGGACGCCCATGATTCTCTCGCCGACTACGCTCGCGGAGAAGCAACGACACAGCTGCGTTGACATCGATCTGCTCGCCTGTATCTGTGATCTTCAAGGCCCATCTTGCGTCTTGCTCACCGAAGCCAAACTGTTGAACAATTAAGTTGACGGCTTTATCGGCTGGATCCAAGACCGGTGGCTTTATGCGGAGTCGAAGAGGAGCTGGCTGGAGAGCATGGTCATCTGACGACAGAAATCGATGCCGTTGCTGGTGGTGCTGTTGATGCCTTTGGTTTCGTTGATTACGTTGGTGCTCATTGGTGATTCCTTCCAGTCGGTCTAGAACCACGTGGAAGCTGGACAAAGGCCGTTCATCCATGAATGAAGAAGGCCCAGCAGCTGCCCGTGGTCGAAGATGTTGCTTTCGCAGTCCAGCAGCCAGGCGGGCCTGACGCTGGCGGCGATCGGCGGTCGATCTTGATTCTTGTCGCGAGGTTCCCAAGGCCGGGATGCCCGGTACGCTAACACCACCCGTAGGTTTACGCCCTTGGGATTCGAAGGCTTTGGAGACCGCCTCTTTGAAGAACGAAGAGCGACTGTGACCAGTCTCGGGAAGTTCCCAGGTCATCAGACCGATTTCCTGGGCTTTCTGGAATGCGTGTTTGGCTGCGTCGGTTTGACACACCGCACCGAGGCAGAGCACTGCAGATGGCCCAAGGGAGAGGACATATGATGTCCATTCCTCTGACACCTTGATCAGTCTTTGGGTCTATCGCAGATAGAGAGCAGAGAGAGGTTCTTACCCAGCATTATCGCTTCTTTGGCAGTATCACCCGCCGTAAAATTGTGGCCATCGTAAATCCCAGCCTTGCGTGCCTCGGCACAGTTTCCATGCATTGGCTGGAGGAGAACACCCAGGCATGTCCAGATCTCAGTCATGTCGTACAGTTGGCTCAATGACAGTCCACCCGGATTACCGCCCGCAAATCCGCTTGGAGGTTCGAGCAGAACATTATTGATGCCAAAGGGCTCAGAGAATGAAGCTGACGAAAAGGGGTCGCCTTCATTCATGGCCATTCTTCCCCCTTCTAGCCAGTCGACCTGTCCAAGAATATCGTTTTCTCGGTTCTTCCCGCTGCCAAATATGCGACAAAACGTCCAAATGCGCCAGAATGCGTCGTCAACTTGGGCAGCACGTACCATGTCTACTCCTGCGAGCCCTTTGATTGTCTCCTGACGGAGAAAAGAGAAGCAGCGAGCCAGGACCAGAGATTTAAGTTGTGCGAGCGTGTAGATATCTTGAGCATGGCGACGAAGGTATATGGCCGGTGTATATTCTGGCACTGGAGAATCGGGGTCGAGAAGAACCTGCCATTCACTTTTCCAGGGAGGGCTCATCTCCCGCAGCTCCCACGCAGGAGGTGACATTTTGAAGAGGATATGTTTCATGAGCGACAGCTCATTGCTCTTGAACACGCGGTAGAACTGGACGTTGACGACTGCTGTGCTGAATAGATCAGCAAGCGTATCAATGCAGTTGTAAATAAGCAGGATCACATCATCAGACAGTCCAGTTGGAAGTGCTGCGGAAGAAAAGCGGTCCTTCGCCGGCGTAAGGACCAGAGGCGATGGCAGTAACGGGCTAGCCGGGAGTTCATGGACATTTTCAGGAAGATACAATGTGCTCTGTTTCGGAGCTGGGTCTTGCTTCAAAAATCGACGAACGCCTTTCTTGAAATGAGAAATCTGAGGATCTAACATTTTTGGCCAGGCCAAAAAGTCTTTGGTCTTCCGGGTAGCATCGAGGTTGGATACGAGCGAGCGCTGTGCCCATAATGTAGTATTGCGAGACTCGTGGTCGAGCAAGGGTGGGGTTGTTTAAACCAGCAGTACTATATCTGTAGGAAAAATACGAGAGGGCGATGAACGCCTCTTTCTTTCATTCAACAAAGACGTATGGCTGTTTCGGGTGGCTTGTGTCACCGGGGTTCCTTTGTTCGGCATGATTTTGATGACGAATCGAGACAGCCAAGACATTTCATGTTCATCTATCACCCCGGCAAAAGCCCTCGTGGTCAATAGTCTAGTGAGCATGTTCTGTGGCTGAGACTCGAGATCAATAAGAGGCATGTGTCGTATGCTTCGTCATTGCACGGGGAAGCTTCCGACGAACATAACAACAGCGACAAGGAGACGCATGGCCTTAGTCAACGTAGTCCGAATATTCCCTTTTTCCCTTTCTCCTCCTTTTTCCCCTTTGAACGTTCTTTCGGGGCACTCCCGGGTCATTCAGTACCAGAGCATCTTCAAGGTGAGTGACTGACCCTTCTAGAGTCAAGTGACCATGACAGATATCTCTGTGTTTATTGAGATACTCGCATCTTCATTGGAGGGATGTTGTTAGAGCTGGCTGCTCCATTGAGAAACACGACTGAACTGGTTAGTTCTTCAGTTCAATGATAGAAGGCATCCTAGAGTAACTCACTATGAGGTGTATAGGATGTTCCTAGATCAGTTGCATCTATATAATAAGACTGACAGATCAAGCAATGCTTCTATTTTCTGTTTAAGAATGTGAACCAGTCTCTGCTGAATTGTTTACGAAGGAAGAAAAGGAGGTGGTTGCTGGGGGCTGTTGTTGTTGCCTCTGCTGGACCATGTGAGCACTGAGCAGCTCAGCCTGCTCAGGAGTCACGGGTCACGGGTCACTTCCCTCCTCTAGGCTCTTGCACGTCTGACTTCAAGGTCTGACTTACTCCAGACACGGGCTTTTGTCTCGACTATTTCTGATATTTTGATGTGATTTTATACTCGGTGTCTGCTGGAATCAAGAAATGCTTTTGATTTTAAGGTTGGGATCAAGATTTCCCCTGATAACTAGCCGGGATTCGCTTTACGATGCCGAGGGACGATCTGCAACTGAAACATGCAGTGTCCACACACAAAAGAACCCATCCGTCACAAAAATATCGAAGTCCTCCAGGTATCCGAGAGGCAAAAAGATGTCCCCGGAGAGTATCGAACTCCCGACCTTAGGATATCGGTGGGGTTTGCCCCCACTGTCATACTGGATATGAGACCTACGTGATAACCACTACACCACGGAGACGGTGAATGGCCGCTGCGAAATTTATAGATACATGAGACAGAGGATAGGGTATGCATGGATTATGTCAGGGATGAATCAGTTGGTCTTTTGATTCTCAAGTCTTGCATTTATTGATGAATCATGCACTGGTTAATCTTGACGGTATCAGTTCATTTTATAATGTACTCCTTAGGGAGCACGGATAATCAATCGATTTGGTTGAAAAGCTCAATATTCATAAGTCGAATCCACCGTAACCACCACGATACTGGAATATATATAGAAGCTAAGCTGTGTCAACAAAACCGAGGCCACATTCGTTCCTCGGTATACCGGCGATTTGTTCCCTATAAAGTCCCAGGCTATCGCGGTAAAATAAACCGAGACCACTCAGAAGAACAGTAAATCCATCAACCAGACATGAGACTCAGATAAACCGCCCAGATGACGCCAAACAGACTGTTCACCAGTAACCGCTGGTCGGCCGGTACGACGGTGAAGTTCAGGATAGACACGAAGGGCCACATCTTCAGGCCAGCGATCATGATAGGCCAGAAGTCCTTTAACAGTTAATGATGCACCGGGAAAAAAAACACACAGAAGAGCCGGGTAGAAAAAAAAAGACGTACAGTTTTTATCTGCTCCATAATCAAACCATAATCCTGTCCACGGAGAGCGCCCATGGTCGCGATGAAGAGAGCGGTGATCCACGCGCCGCCGACAGTCTGGTCGAGGACCACCTTCGCCACAGTGTTGGGCACATTCAACTGGGTCTTTTTCTGCGTCTCGCCCTTTTCCGTCTTGGTGGTTGTGGTGGTGGTGCCAGGGAACTGGGCCTCGAGGCCGTTCAACCACAGGAAGATCAAGGGCGAGGAGACGATGGCACATGCAGTAAACTGGATCACGGCTGTGGTATCGAGCTCGAAGGGTTTCTATAGCGATAGCTGTTAAGCCATGCCAAATATTCAAACGCCCGATGGGCAAAGCACGGAGTAAACACAGGCAAAGGAGAGATAGAAAAAGAACAAGACTCACGTCATTTTGGTACGCTCCGATTCCCTGTGCAAGGACGTTGGACCCTGCGTTGATCAGAGCAGCTTGGACGGTGGCCTTGGTAATTTCAGACATTTCTCCAAACGCAAAACACAGAACGCTTCGAAAATGCTAGTGATGAGTCAACCTGGTTTGATGGTGATTGTCGAGTGCGTGGATAATCGCAGCGCTAGCAATCCGAGTCTGAGATATATTTTCAACAAAACAAATTAAAAAGACCCAAAACCATCCGATTGTGAGGGACGGAGATTTACCGATGAAGCCAACGACCAACTATTTAAGGCCTGAGTACGGAATAGCGACGAACGTGAGGTATAGAAGAATCAATATATTTTTTGTACGGAGTACGGGCGATTTGGTTACGCCGAGGCCACTGTTGTGGCTGTCTGAGTGGGGGGGGATGCAACCCACGATTTATCATACTGGAAACTGGAAACTATTGAAATGTCGCAGTGCAGAGAGCGATGCATTGGGCCATTTGTACAGGTGTTTTCTCTCAGGTATGCATGGCAGGGTCTTCTGCAGGAAGAATAAATGACTGATCATCCTCACCTCATGCACTGTGCCGTCTGGGCTGTCAGCTGGAGGGCAGTCGTCAGCCATCTCTGCTTCTTCAGGACGCACTCATTGGTAATTGGTTAGAGATGAGAACCTTGATATCTCTTTTCAATAGACTGTCTCTCTATACCTTTCATGTGAAAAGACGATATTCATGCCATTTTCGCTGATTTCTGTTGCATGTCTGCCTGAAACCCTGAAAAATCATAGACGGTTGTCTCGCCAGCTGCCGATAATGTAATCTCTCTTGACGTTGCTTGATCGACGCCATAGAAGTCAAGTAGCTGGTCCGAGTTCATAGTACTGTTTGCAGACAATAGGTGTAGAAAGATATTTGTGTCCCTGTCTCGATACAGAAGTATTGCTCGTAGATCTTCCAACTAAATGGCCGTATTCAAGAACTTCATGGCACCCAGCTTAAAATCGCCGGACCATCCCATGGCTTACCTCCTGCCACTGCTATCCTCTGATATCTCTGACTCTTACCAAAAGGTCACCTAAAGACAGTGACGGTGACGGCGACAATCACCCAACAAGCTACCCGACGCTGAGCACTCAACAGGAGACCCTAGGCAATAAATAGAGACATGTTAGTAAGAAATATTTGCCCTGATACCTCATGATGACTGACGTCGACAGTTACCTGCCAGCTCAATCAGAAAGAAAAAAACAGGCCCTGAGATAGTCCGTAGAGCGTTATGTTGTTGCCTGCGGTGAACGGATACAAAGTGGCGATGCAGCCAAACGAAGACACGCGTCGGACCGAGTAAGCAGAAACCAGAACCGAATACGCACGCATAAAGGCTCAGGAATCCCCGAACGAAGATTCGGTTTGTTGCGGTGCTGTTCCAGAACGTCGAGGGTGGTGTGTCTGTCAAATCTGCTGCGCCTCCGACGGCTCCAGTGACGTCTTGTATCTATTTCCCCCCCTCCGCGCCGATTTCTCCGCACGCAAAAAGATCACCAGATTCCCGAGCTCACCCAGAGCCAACCCTTGGGAATATTTGTTTCTCTCTCTCTCTCTCTCTCTCTCTCTCGCCATGACCACGGCCCGACTGTGAATTGGACTTGCTGTCAACATGGCATCCTCTCAGAAATTCACCCCGCCGCCTTCGCCGCCTTCGCCGGCGGCCTCGTACTACGACGTCAGTGACGACGAGGAGGGCGAGTACAATACTATCGCCCATGCGAGCTCTGGAAGGGGAGTGAAGCTTTTATTTTCAAAAAGCAAGGTATGCTTTTTTTTTCAAATAGTTTCGATTAGTGAATTTTCTCGAATCGTGAGTGACCCCCCGCTGCTGCCAGGTTTACGTCCACCCGACACCCTCTGCCAAAGACAACATCCCTGGTTTCATCGCTTTGATTCAACAGAAACCAGTCCATCAAACCTCATCATCCAACAAGCAAGATGCATCCTCCTACCTCCTCGCATGGGTGCCTGAGTCGTCTCTCGGCGATGCCTACAGTACCTACGTCAAAGTCGACTTGTCCGAGAACGCCTCCCCGCCCCGACAGACATACCTTGTGCCCGCGCTACCGACCACGACGGCTGCCTCGCGAGATCCGATCGGATTATACGCGTTTGCAATCCCCCTATCCGAGCTCTACTCCTTGCTGGTACGGCCGCCAAGTTTGGGATGGTGGTTCGGCAGCCTGGTGATCAACACCCGGGCGGGGGATAGCTTCCCGGCCCTGTTTTTCCACGATAGCGAATGCGAATCGACTATACTGCAAAAGAAGAGGCGAGCAAAGGAGAATTTTGACCCGTTCGGTGAAGATGGTACTATGTTCTGGGGCGGCGATGAGGTCCTCCGGTGGCTACGGCGGTACGTGGACGTCCAGCGCTCCGCAGCCGATAGGAACATATACCTCATCGACCCGTCGGAAGAGGACCGCTTATCCTTTGGAAGGCCACTGACGGGCGATGGGTCAAAGGGAAAAGACTCGAACAAAGCTGCTGATGCCGCACAGCCTGGCGCGAGCGGACAGCAGGACGCAGGCATGGATCCCTTCGTGAAAGCACTCAAAGAAACGCGTTGGAAGGTGCTCGAGCAGCTCAGCAAAATCACTACATTTACGAGACGCACGGCGAACGAGATTGCGGACAACCCACGGGTTCCGCTGCAGGTCCGTCGCCTGATGAAAAACCCGGAGATCCAGACTCTTCAGGATGAATTCGACAGCGCGAGACTCTATCTGGCTCGATGGGCGATGAGTATCTCCGAACAAGGCGAGCGAGACCGCCAACAGCGGATCTGGACCGCTCGCGACGTCATGGACACGGAAAACAGCGCCGTGGGAGACTTTGAGATCCTCGGACTCGAGACTAGCGCGATGCAGATCCAGGACCGACGAAACACCCTGGAATTGAAGGAGTGGGAGGGGTTTTTTGACCCGTCTACGGGTCGACTGCAACTGACCGTGGAAGAAGTGAAAGAGAGAATCTTCCATGGTGGTTTGGACCCTAATGATGGCGTGAGAAAACAAGCCTGGCTGTTCCTCCTGGGTGTATACCCGTGGGATTCCAGTCGTGACGAGCGCCAGGCGCTCATGAACTCCAAACGCGACGAGTATATCCGTCTAAAAGCCGCATGGTGGGAGAGAATGATTGAAGGAACATCGACCGCAGATGAGTACGAGTGGTGGAAAGAGCAAAAAAATCGAATCGGTAAGCTGTTAGTTCCATCTTTCTCATAGTATCCGCTAAGTCTTTCTTTTTCCTTTTCCAGAAAAGGATGTCCACCGGACAGACCGCACCATCCCACTCTTCGCTGGAGAGGATATCCCCCATCCAGACCCGGATTCTCCGTTTGCAGACACGGGCACGAACGTTCATCTAGAACAAATGAAAGACATGCTTTTGACATACAACGAATACAACCCCGATCTGGGCTACGTTCAAGGCATGAGCGATCTCCTAGCCCCTATATACGCAGTCATGCAGGACGACGCGGTTGCCTTCTGGGCCTTTGTGGGCTTCATGGACCGAATGGTAGACAAAACTATTATTATGGCCACCCGAAGAACATACTTTCTAATGCTTGATAATAGGAACGAAACTTCCTTCGCGACCAGTCCGGCATGCGAGGCCAGCTCTTGACACTCGACCATCTTGTTCAGCTCATGGACCCCCAGCTCTACGTGCACCTCCAATCTGCCGATAGTACCAACTTCTTCTTCTTCTTCCGCATGCTCCTCGTCTGGTACAAGCGGGAATTTGAATGGGTCGATATCCTTCGTCTCTGGGAGACTTTGTGGACAGACTATCTATCCAGTAGCTTCCACCTCTTCGTCGCCCTCGCCATCCTCGAGAAGCACCGGGACGTCATCATGAACCATCTAAAGCACTTTGACGAAGTCCTCAAATATAGTGAGTTGACCCATACTTACCAGTTGTTTCTTTTTTTTTCCCCCTTAAAAAATCCTTTAACAAATTTTTAGTAAATGAACTCTCCAATACCATGGAGTTGATCCCTCTTCTCACACGCGCGGAATCGCTCTTCCGCCGCTTCGAACGCACCGTCCAAGCCGTCGACAAGAAGAAGAATTTCCCTCAGCCCCCCGCCCACCGGCGCAAACAATCCCAGGGCCAACCCTCTACACCTGCACCGGATGGGGCGAGCAGTAAAGGCAAATCCCCTCAACAACAGACGACCCCTGCGGCCGGATCCAGCAGCGGCGTCGATGGCGGTGTTGGTAGTGAGATCGGGTCGAGCGAGAGCCCAAAAGTGATTTCTCCCGAGTTGAGGGAGCTGCTGAGCAAAGACGTGTTTTGGAAGAGTTCGAAGCGGAGGTAGCATGGTAGCAATTTGCCATCTTTGAAATGAGAAGTTATGAGCGACGACGACGAGCAATTGGGTTCTTTTTTCCCTTTTAAGGCACAGTTCTCCTTACTATGACTATGGGTTGGTTTGGTTTCATCCTGGTACAGTATCCCCTTTTAAGACAATATAGTCGAGTAATCAGAAGCTTTTATGGTCTTGAAATGTTCTTATCTAGTGTGGCGTCGTAAACAGCATGGGGACGTCTGAATCATATTGGAATGCTTCGAGTATGGAAAGTCCCCTTTCTGGAAGCAGTGATATTGCTAGTGAAAACGTCGTGGACAGAGTCCAAGTGCTAGCTTTGATCTTGCGGTATTACTCTTTGAGCACTTAAATACCTGGAATACTAGATAGGTAAACAACCTGGGTACTCAGAATTATCCAGTTGAAGAGAGCTAAATACAAAGTCCATCCCATATAGGGCTCGAGCAAAGGGTATCTGCAGGTGCAAATTAAGAAAACACGAAACAAGAATCAATCAAACCAATGTCAACAGGCCCGCTAATAATGCTCCGTATGAGATGATGATGTGTGCTGTGGATCAAATATTCAACAAGATCAAAAATGTAAAAAAAAATGTAACAAGTATTCCCCCAGAAAAATCCGCCAGAAGATAAAAAATGATGTCACTTAAAAAAGTTCCAAATAGTTGTTGCTTTGAGATGCTAGGGTATGAGATAAACAACCCGGTGATGATGATGATGATGATGATGATGATGATGATGACAATGGCTGAAAACAACGCCAGCGCCAATAGACAAGCCAAAGAGGTTAGAATAGATGAATGAATGGGTAGAAGAATAGAAGATAGAGGTCGGGTATGAGCAGCTAAAGCTTCCGGTTAGCGAGTCCGCGCAAGGCGACTCGTTTACTCAAGCCAACGGTGCCCATGTCACTGACACTTCGGGCCTTGGAGATGGTCTTGGGCCCGTTAAGGTCACGGTCGGACACGGTGAGACTGGCATATCGATTCGGTTTGAGGGAGGCATTCTTTCGCGCTTGTCCGAGCACATCTTCCACCCACGCCTCACTCTCGGGCGTCATGGAAACGTTTCGCGAGCGAGGAAGGGGCCCTGCTAATCCAAGGGGAACAGAGGGTCCAGCATGGCTCTCACTCATGAACGAGGTCATGGATTGGTTCGATGACACCGAAAGCCGGCGTCGGGAGGCTGGGAACACAGCGCTGGACATAGGAGAAATGGAGCCGTTCGACGCGTGGTGGTCATGATTGATGTCTCTGAAATCCGACATATCGGAGACATTCGAAGCTCGGCGAGACCTGTGAACTGCAAGCGAAGAAGCGGGTCGGTAACTCATTACAGACAAGGGCCGAGAGGGAGGCGAGCGCCTTGCCGCCGTCGTCGGAGTGAGTGCTGTCCCGGGAGACGAGTAGACCGGGGAATCCTGAGGCGTCAGACCTTGTACTTCGACTTGAGGCGCCTCGGTCGCTTTCTGCCGGCCGTGGTGAATGGCATATTCCCTTAGATACTCGCCCAAGTCGGCCCAACCGCCCCCAACACGAACCATGACCCTCTCGCCATTTACACCAACGGTGCGGATGAAGAGCTTCTGCGGCACAGATTTGCCGCTGCGATGGAGATGATAAAGCTTCACTGAACTATCTTCGGTAGCGAACGCGTGAGAGTGTCTCCGGCGCGAAACTGCGGGCATGAGGGTAATCGAAGGAGTTGGTGTATTACTGCGTGTCGGTGTTCCTTGTATAGACGCCGAGCGGAATCTCTCCCGCCTCGTTGTTGGCAGAGAGGAGACCATGGAGGACCCATCGAGGTCATGAACTGACGGGTCCACCAGTTCAATGTTTGCAGGGATCGTATTGAGAATCGAACTGATCTTCTCATCGAGCTGATCTCTAGGCTTCTTAGCCATCCTCGGTGGCGCAGATAGTTTGAACTCGGGCGTGGATGCTCCGGAATCAGGTCGAGCACCACGTGTCTCTTCTTTCCACAACCCCAATCCTTCCATACTGCGGCGAGTCATCATCCGTTTTCTTACTGTTGGGGGTTCCAAGAGAAGTCTCGGTGACCCGGTACAGGAAGGGACGTCGGCAGAACTATGAATATCTGTGCCGGTGTTTTCAACAACGCTATTTTCTTCGGCGGGCTGATCGGGGCCACTTTGTTGCTGATCTGGAGAATGCAGGGAGACGTTATTCTCGGGGCTAGGTTGTTTGATAGTTGCGGGAGAGCCAATAACGTGCTGCTCAGAATGGGATACACCTATTTCAGCCGACGTAGCTGATTCCCTTGTTGGAGGGTTCGGGTGGCCCGAGTCAAACGCATGTTCATCTGCAAAAGGGAAGTCCACTCTCTCGTTGATGAATCGTTGAAGTGGCAGACTGACGGTGCGGCTGTGTTTAAAGGATGAACGGGGTGACGTTTTCTGATGACTGTTCAGGTGAAGTAAACGGTCTTCCCGCAGTGTATGGTCTGCATTCGGTGGAGTGATGCAATCCATTTGGAAGTGGGGTGGCGTTTCCAGAAGCAACGGAGTCGCGTTGGAGGAGGCGGTCCCCGTTTCGCGAACTTCAGGACTGGAGATGAGTGATGGGTAATCGGAACTAAGCGAATCTGCAGAGCCATCCGAGACATGTCGGCGATGATGGGTCTTCCTGGGTCCCTTTTTGAGATCTAAGTGTCCGAGCCGGCCTCGTGACAGCTTGATTGGACTCTCCAGAGGTTGCCTTGGAACAGATTTGACCTCATCTTCGGCGTGGGAGGGAGGCTCCGGCTCCTTGCTCGTTGTTTCTACACTAGGAATGAATGAAACAGAGACATTCGATTGTTGCTGCTGCTGCTGTACCTGCTCCGGTGAAGAGGGAGGTGGAGATGTTGATGTTGATGAAAAGTTGGTAAGCTTTTCCGAGGCTGCACTGGAAGGCCGATGTTCCGTATGGATGATGACACTATTTGTGGGTGTTGATTCGGGTGTCGCTTTGGTGATCGATCTAGCTGGAGTTGTGGTCTCAATGACGCAGTCCGTACTTTTTTGCTCAACCAAATCAGTGGTAGATTGTAGCTGGTGACTGGAAGAGGGAGGTGGAGGTAAAAGAACCTCGTCTTGGATGACTGGATGCTCTACTGTTGGAGAAGGCAGAGTCGGGGATGTTTCGACAGTTACTTCGATAAGATTCGACTCGATCTTTGAAGGACTCGCAGGTCTGGCCAAAGAGCGAGTAGTAGATTCCAGTTTACTGTCGAGTACTATCTGAGCTTCGGACTCGTCACTGGAGCTGCTTGCTTCGCCATTATTCTTCGAAGACAGAGACTCGGATGTTTCGACCGGATCCTGGGGAGATGTATCATCCTCAACCAGAGGGTGGTCGATTTGAATTGATATCGGAGATTTTGCTTCCGTGTGATCGCCGCTGATGGGTGTCTCCGCTTGGCAGGCCTCCGGATTGACGGTCTCCGGATTGAAGGTCGGGACGTCGAGCCGCTCCACAGGTTCAGTTTCAGGTTCAGTTTCAGGTTCGAGACTTGTAGTGATGGATGCTGGATTTGCTTGTGATTCACACGGCGGTAATAAAACCTCGGTCTCTTGCTCCAGGAGAACACAACTATCATTGTTATCTTTGACAGCATCTGTCGAGACATCTGTTGAGTCTGAATGCTCATTTTCTGAAGAGTACCCTGAGGCAGGCAGCGTGGTGTCTGCCAAAGGTTCTACTGTCTCCACCGCGGTTTCTTTTACATCATCCATGAGCAAAGGCTTCATATCAGCCGTGGTGGGTAACGGAGACATGTCATTATGTGGAATCTCAGATACCTGGGTAGAGGCATCGTCTTCCCGACAGATCGAAGGAATAGTCTCCTCCTTCGAAGGAGTTTTTGTGGCATGCGAAATGTCATCGTTGGCATGGTTCCTACCAGTATCAGACGGCCGAGGGACTTCAGACGGTTCCTCTTCATCGATAGTCTCCATCAACGAGTGAATGGGCTGTCTCTGGTCAATAATTGATTTGCTCGGAGCCGAGCCTCCATTGTTGACTACAGATTCAGGTTCCTGGTCAACGGGCTTGATGACCGGATCCGTTGTCGGCCGTTGTTGGATGTTTTCCTCTTTCTTGGGAGCCTTGAAGCGCTTCCACTCGTTTTCCACAGTCTGGCGTTCAGCTTCGACAACCCAAGTACTGAAATCGGACTCAATGGCTTCTAGATCGTCGATCCATGCCTCCGGTAGGGCGTCTTCACGGCCGTCGAGCGAGTCTAGGATCCTATCCATGCGACGGCCGGTGGCAACCACCATGGCTTCCATTTCGGCCCGCCTAGCGTGGAAGGTGACCCGAGAATAGCAGTCGTCATTTTCTGACGGTGGGTTGGGTGATCTGATGGAGGCAAATGAGGAATCAAGAGCCGCTCTAGCGAATTTCAGGGCGTGTAGAAGGCCTGGGATCTGACGCAGGACAAGAAGGCGGACGTCCCAGGTGGAGAGGAGCCGGTTCAAACGGGATAAGAAAGGCAGGGCGCGGAGAATGGTGGCGGTAATGATGGCGGTAAAGTCGCTCAATTGGACATAGCTGAGTGGGGGAGGGACCGAGATGGTGCTGGTGGAGGAGGAAGGGCGCGAGCGTGCAGGAATGTGGGCATTGAGGACGTGCTCCTTCAACTCCTCCACATTTAAACCGTCCATGCCGTCTCGGATCTCCTCGACCCGTTTTTCGTGTTGCTCCACCACCTCTGCCGGAAGGCTCCCATAATAGTCCCTGTGCACATCTACCGTGGTGGAGGGAGGAGGAGAAGAAGAAGAAGGAGGAGGAGGGACAAACCCTTTCCCTAAATGGGCGTCTGTCCCCTTCGGCCATTGCCATTCCTGAACCTCCTTGTACCACCGGTTCAGCTGCTGGGCGGCTATTGCGGCGCGTATCCCCAGAGCTCGTTCAGCCGCGGAGACCTTGGAGATGCTCTTCCACAGGATATCATGGGCAGTCTTTTCGGTGGTCGGGACAAGGTCGGTCGATGACAGTGCGGCGATGGTTGCTTCCGGCGACAGGCTGCTCAAGAGGGGGTCCGTCGCATGATATGAAGAAGGAGTCAAGGTCTTGTCCGAAGCCTGTGAGTCGGTCCGGGCATGACCAGAGAGCAGTGGCCGCATGGGACTGAGTCGGCCGCTCGCCATCTGTTCTTCTTCCTCTTCAAGCGAGCGTGCGTGCGTGCGGTCGGTCAGTCAGTCAGTCGGTGTCGGTCAGTCGGTCGGTCGGCCGACAGGAACCCTCGCTGCTGGCGTGCAACACAAGTCACACTCTCGCAGACGACCCAATGGCGGGGGCGGCGGGAAAAACAGCAAAATATTTCAGTAGAAACGGAGGTCGGGCTGCAGGGTCAGTGGGCAGACGTGGCTGGCGATGAGGGGGCATGCTGAGACGCGTTCCCACCACGACCGAAACAGGCAGAATTGACGGGCAACGATCGATGTGGCTGGTGATTAGCCCGATAGAACAGATACCAAGATATCAGACAGAGAGAGAGAGCAAGGAAAAGAGCGCGTGGTCTGGACGGGGATGGGCGAGCGGAAAAAAAAAGGTCGTGGGAGGCTGCAGTGAGACGATTGCAGAGGCTGGTGAGCTGATCTAGGAAGGAAAAAGGAACGACAGGTCACACCGTGCAGCAAGCGAGTGGGACACAACCTGCAGGAGGTAAACGAACGAGACAGAGCAGACCGGCTTCTCTCTGTGCTTTGGGGGGTTGGTGGTTGGAAACGAAGGTAGTTCAAGTCTGGTAGGCTGACTGAGAGTGAGGATGGAGGAGAAAACAGCTCCGGGATTGTTTTGACACCTTTTGGCTGGGCCTGGTGGATCTATCGTTCCCACCGAACGAACAGGGCCACTTTCCTCTGGTTTTTCTTATTAATAATGTCGCCAGCCAGCCATCTATTGCTCCTCCGTAGTACGACTACGTACTGCTATTATTATGAGCGCAGGGATTATATTTAGTACTCCGGACCGCCGAAGTGGAGAGAGGGAGGCAAAAAAGGGGCAGCCTGGACAGCACTATCGAATACGCTCGCGACTAGTTGGTGAAGGATCTCCACGTCTGTCGCTATCTCGATCCCGAGAATGAGGTTCGAGGACTGCAAGTCATTGAGGGATTGACTGACCTTGTTTTGTGTTTGTTCAGGAACTGATCGACAGGACGCTGGGTGCTCAATGCTCCTTGCAGCGAACGCGTCCGGGATGTCACCACGCGAACCGCCCAAACGCCGATGGAGTCGAGGGGGGATAGTGGATACTACGGAGTAGATGGTAGATACTACTCCGTAGATAGCGATGGTTGGCGTCACGATGGCGTCTGGTTAACGTACTCCGCATAAAGTGAAGGGAAAACCGCTCCGGACGGGACGACGGTTAGAAAGAGAAGAGGCTCTTACGACCAAATCATTATGACACAGCATGGCAGAACACACTGCAGTGGTCTTCTTCGTCTTGATCATGCTGGCTGAGACCCGACCAAACGTCCTGGGGGTTCGATTTACGTCTACGGGGCACAGGATTACTTGTATTAATTGAATATCAACCGTTGCACAGCTGGAAGGATGGTTCTCAACCGAGCAGAAACCGCAACGGGCACTCCGCTGCGACCACCCCCGGAAGAGAGCCAAAGGAAGCCTCCGTCAGCCATCGCCCAGGATCTCCTGGTGGGCATTCCCGACGAGGTACTCACCGTGATCAGGTCGTTGGAGAAGGATTTCTATATCGAACCCAGTGTCATGAAGCAGATCACCGAGGAGTTCGTCTCAGAGCTGGAGAAAGGTTTGCTTCACACAGTTGAATAGGAAGTATTGAGTGTCAATAATGTTGACTATTTCAGGTCTGACAGTGGAAGGAGGTGATCTTGTCAGTGGCAGCGAAGGGCCCGTGATTGTTTTTAGGATTCATGGCTATCATATAGTTAGTCATATGCTAACCTCTTAATCCTGTGGACAGCCGATGAATATTACTTGGGTCATAGGGTGGCCCACTGGTGAGGAACAGGGCCAGTTTCTAACGCTCGACATCGGAGGCACCAATATGAGGGTATGCGGGGTTCGACTGGCTACACGACAAAACGAGATTGAGGTCACCAGTCAAAAGTCTGCGTTGCCGGAAGAGATCAAAAATAGCACCGCCGAGGAGTTTTGGGACCATGTAGCAGGCTGTGTCCAACAGTACCTCCACAAACACCACAGTGGAGGCCAAACCTCTACCAAGCTACCGCTAGCGGTCACCTTCTCCTATCCTGTCTTCCAGTCCTCGATCCGCAACGGGGTGCTGCAGTACTGGACTAAGGGGTTGAACGTCAGCGGCGTGGAGGGTCAGGACATTGTGAAACAGCTGGAAGAAGCCCTCGAGAGAAAGGTGGTCTATGCTCCTTCAAAATAGAGACATTGATTAAATTCAGAGCTGATCGTTGTTAGAAACTGCCGGTCTATATTATCGCTCTTGCGAACGACACCACCGGCACGCTGATCACCTCCCGCTTCCATGACCCTGGAATTGAAATTGGAAGCATCTTCAGTACTGGCTGCAATGCAGCGTACATGGAAGAGGTCAAGGCGGTGCCCAAACTCAAAGACTCTGGACTCCCCGGTAACTGGCTGGTCGCCATCAATACTGAATACGGTGCTTTTGACAACAAACGTAAAATCCTTCCTCACCCGCTTCGACGAACAACTTGACGCCCGGTCCTTGCGCCCGGGCCAACAGACGTACGAGAAGATGGTCTCAGGACTCTATCTAGGCGAGCTGTTGCGGGTGATCATGCTGGACCTGCACGCATCCGACAAGCTGTTCCGCGGCCAGGATGTGACGCAGCTCCGGCTGTCCAACGCCATCGACACCCGGTTCCTTTCGCGTATGGAGGAAGACATCTGAGAGGAATCGAAAGACATCATCTCCCTGTTCCACGACAGGTTCGACATCGATCTGCAGCCGTACGAGCTCAAGGTTTGTCGGTACCTGGTCGAGCTGGTTGTCGCGCGTGGCGCCCGTCTCTATGCCTGCGGTATAGCCGGCATCTGTAAGAAGAAGGGCATTGAGTCCTGCCATGTCGGCGTCGACGGGTCTGTCTTTCACAACTATCCCCAGTTCCGCCGGCGTGCTGCCCGCGCCCTGCGCGAGATCCTCGACTGGCCACAAGACAGCGAGGACTTGGTCGTGCTGCAGCAGGCAACGTATGGATCAGAAGTCGGCGCCGCGTTAATTGCAGCCTTGACGATGAGAACCAGCCATTCGTAATTCCTAGTATTCTTGCTCAATAAGCTTTTCCCATAGATTCAATCAATAATAAATAAACCATATATTTCTCTGGTGACAATAATAACTAGAGAGGGATGGACATGGTTTCTCTCGTAAACACCTAAACTAAAGTGGAGCGAAATCCTCCCTCCTTGCAGCTTGATCGGATCTCCCTCGCTATCAGTTCCACTCACTCACAGCCACTTCCAGCTCCAACGCGATGAACTCTGCTCGATAAGGCGTGAATCCGTGGCAGTGGGCTGTTTGATTTGGTCCAGACAGAAGAGAGAGGCCAGACAAGATGCGTTTCCGAAGCCAACTGACGAATGTGCTCACTTTCTCCAGTGCGTATAACCAGCAATCAGATCCACCAGTTCAGAGTAGAATCGTGCTAATTAATCCTGTGAATAGAACTCACTGCCTCTCTCGCCTCGCTGGGTAAGATCTGTTGGATGCGTCTGGAGGATTCCACGGTGCGCTTCACTATCATCCCCGACCAGGGCACGCAAGTCTGGGCCCAAGTCCAAGTAGTAAGGGTTCATCTCAAACAATCATCATCTTTCAGAAGCTGAAGCTGATTAACCAGGACACAATCTTCGACGAGACATCGTACATCCTCCAGTCCAACACGGGGGTGATCAACCTCGAAGTCCCCGTGGGTGCGCTGCACCGCGCCCTGCGCTCCGCGCTGGGCGCCACGTCCGCCCAGATCCGGCTGACAAAGAAAGGGAACATCCCACTGCTAGCTCTGACAATCAACACCTCGTCGTGGACGGCGGGGCGGAACGCACTGGGCGTTGCCAACTCCGGAGTGGTCGACGGCGAGCATGATGGCGCTGTCTTGCCTCGATCGGAAGCCCGCGAGCGCGAGACGGTGATCACGCAGGAGATCCCCGTCAAGGTGCTGCACGAGTCCGTTATCGAGGGACTGCACGAGCCACGCTGTCCAGACCCAGACGTGCATATCATCCTGCCGAGCCTGGTGCAGCTGAAGAGCATCTCGGAGCGATTCACCAAGCTGGCCAGCACAAAGGGCTCATCAACCAACGCAAACACTAACATCAACACTACCTCTTCAGATTCGGCCGGTAACACCGTCCCGATCCTAGGCGCCAGCTCGCCGAAACTCGAACTCTCCGCCAACATGCACGGCTCGCTGAGGCTCGCCATTTCCACTGACGAGTTCCGCATCGCAAGCGAGTGGACCGGACTGGTCAACCCGCCGCTCGACCCGGCTCAGCTTTCGTCGCAGACGGAAATCGACCAGCTGCCCAGCGAAAGGCGACGGGCCCTCGGCAACGACGAGGAGGCCGGCTGGGCGCGCGTCCGCATCGACGGACGGGACTGGGGGCGTGTTCTCAGCGTGGGGAGGTTGAGTCCGAAAGTCGTGGCCTGTATTGTCCCCCTCTCCTCCTGTCACGCTCACTTACTAAAAATCCTTCACAGGCTTCATTCATAATACAGCGCTGGTCCTGTATGTCTATCTCCCGTCCAGCTGGAGCAGCGATGAGTCTTGTTTGACGGTACGTTTCCTATGAATGATCCAATATACCAAATTTGAAATGCCTCCTAACCTACTGCTGACAGTATTATATCAATTCCTATGTAATCTAGTAATGTCTGACTTCACTAGTCAACAAACTACTGTTGATGCTGGAGTAATGAGGATATGGTTCACTGGTCAATGTACATGACATGATTCCGAAGTTATTAAAGTTGTGTAAGTTGTGTAAGTCGAAAAGGACTCAAGTATAGTATAAACACAAAACAAGAAGAAGCGAACACGAAACATGTCACAGAGAATACAAAGGAAAAGGAAAGGAAAAAAGAAAACATGCGCTTGATCATCCGGAGATCACCAATCTCATGTTCATCAACACATGACGATTCATACCGCTCTCCATTAGGCAGGCTCCTTCAGCTGATATCAAACCATCAGGCTATCATTTCGCCATGACATCGACATAGCCACGGCCCTTCTTCTTTGCCTTGGAGGCGCCTCCCTTGCGAGGCTGCGGGGCGCCAATCAAGTCATCGATCGACGTGGCATGGCTCAGCGACGAAGCCGGGCGCGGTGGTGCCAGGCCGGACGCACTGCTCGGGGGGGTAGGGAGCATCGTGGCCCCCGTGGACACGGATCGAGCCACGGCGATGTTCGGGGGAGGCGGAGTCCCCAGGCCAGAGAAAGGCGGGGGGACACCTGCTGCTGATGACGGTCGACTGTTCGGGTTGGACCCCGGGGCTGGCGGGGGAGGCCCGTTGAGTGGAGGGGCGCTGCTGGCGCTGGCGGTCCGGCTGGGAGCCCGGGGCGGCGGCGGAGTGGCAGCTGTGGGAGTCGCACTGTTGGGATCCTTCTTGTTCACCCATTTCTTGAGCTCGTTGTCGTAGTAGAACGAACTTTCCTCGCCCAGCTTGGCGCGGATGGGACCACCGCCGATGTTATCTGCCTCCTTCTTCGCGCCGAACCAGCCGCCGAACCAGCTCTTCTTTTGTTGATGCGAAGGTCGTTTAGCTAGATTCATCCAATGTCAGTAAGATCTATCAAAACAGATACGAAATCATTAGAGATGAGATTTTTTTTTTTTGCTTACAGTCTGCTTCGGCGGCCGCCTTAAAGGCGTCGTCTGCCTCTCGATCCTTGCGGGCTTTCTCTGCCTTCTGGATCGATGCGGCACGGGCCGCAAGATCATCCTCGTCATCGTCATCTCCCATGAAGGACTTGTGTTTCGGAGGCCCATCGACGGGCGTTTCATCTTCATCCTCAGCCGAAGGGGCAGCCGGCTCGTATCCGCCGGATGGAGGCTCATATCCATAATTGCTGGTAGGAGGCGTGTAGCCATGTGTCTCTGCGACCGGCGCATTTTCGGCAGGAGCCGGCTGCATCTGGGGTTGATAAGATCCCATGGGCATGGAAGACAACTGCGGTGTAGCGGGTGTGGCAGGGCCGCGGGGGCTCGAATCTTCCTCGACAGGAGCAAGAGGCATGTAGGAGCTCTGCGGAGGCGTCGATTGATAGCCCATGATCGGCTGCGGGGAGCCGTACATCTGTCCAAACTGATACGGGTTGATGGAATCAATGGGTGTAGACGGGTCTTGTGAACCGCGGCGTTGGCCAAACGGAGCTGCTGCGAAGGAAGGCGACCTCTGAGAATCCAGAGATGACCGGCCACGATATTGCTCGGGCGAGGAGTTCGGAGCATATTGATTGCTCGGGTGATACCGTGACGACGCACCCGCGGGGATAGGCTGTGCTCCGGAGCCAGGGTAAGAGCCGTAGAGGTCTGACACGGACGGCGAGCGGCTGACCGTGGGGGTGCCGGTGATTTTGGCAAAGGGTCCCAGGTCAGCGTCCCCTGCTCTACCAGAGCCTGTTGATCCCACATCACTATCTTCACCGGCAACGAAGCTATTGAACTTTGCCCACATGGATCCAGACACCTTCTCCATGTTAGGCTTGGACATCCAAGAGGAGGCGCTGTCACTGGTGGCCTGCTTGAGGCGTGCAGACAGCTCGTCGACTTCAGAAAACAAGTGCTGGTGGTGATAGCCCGATGGCCGCGTCGTCGCTTTGACGCTGGAGGCAATCGCATCACAGTATTGCTGTGCCTCGGATGTACAGCCACGCTCCGCCAGGGAGCGTGCATGCAGCAGCTTGAAGGAGTGAAGATGCGGCATAGAAGCCGTTGGCGAGTTCGCAAGGACCGAGGTGGCGTATTCATACGCTTCCGTCAGAAGGATAGTATCGTCATCGAGCAGACTAGTTGGTGAACGCTGGTGGTCAGCTCCGAGAAGGACGATGTTGGCATGCACATCGTCAGCGCCTCCGAATGTCGAGGAGCGTGAAAAGATGTAGCAAATATGGGCAGCCTCAACGCGCCCGTAAGAAAACAGCAATTGCCCGAGGGCAAGGAGTGCCTGATGATCCTCGGGGCTACGGTTGTTGAGCACTAATCCCAAAGTCTCACGCCAACTTTCTAGACCCTCCAGTGCATTCTGAGCAGGTCCTTGACCATTGGCCATGCTGACCATTTGAAAGCCCGCTCTGGCACTGGGCGGTACCAGCTCGTCGATACTTTCTTCGATGTTTCCGGCAAAGATCTCATACAGGGCCGCGAGAGACTTGGTCTTGCCTTGCAATGTTCTCACTTCCCGCCTGACAAACTCTTGCACGACTTGCTTCCAGACAGCCTTGTCCATCGTTGATGCGATAATCATCGCGTGGCCAAAGAGCCTTTGGTCCACAGCAGCCCAGACAGCCTTTTCCCGATCCCCAGCCACAAGATAGTTACGCAGAGTTTCCAGGGATTGAGCATCAACAGCATCGGGTTGGGAAGGTGTGTTAACTGGTTGGAAAGACGATGCCGTAGAAGTGTACCCATTTCCGTAGGGCGCATCAGACCCCTCGGCTTGCAGATGGGGGAAAATAACGTTGCGGACAGACTTCTGGATATCAACTGTACCATCCAAGCTGCCGTCGTGTTCCACTAGAATTTTGACAACTTTCCAGAGAAGGACCTTCTCATCGTGACGCTTGTAAGCATCATCATCGGATCGCGCAGGATCTGGTGAGCCTTCATTCTCGAAGGCGGTGATTTTGCTGGAGAGCCATGCGAGAAGGTCCTTCTTCTTCGCCTTGGTCTTGAGAGGACCCGGATGCCGCACCAATTCATTGGTAGAGACCACCGATGTGTTAAACTGGCTTACATTCACTATGCCTGGTGACGACTTGATCATCGGTGCAACCTGGCCAGCAGAGTAGCGAGGAATATGTTTAGGGAAGCAGCTCGTGATACCACCAAAGCCAAACTTAAAGATGGGAGCTCCCTTCCATCTTTCAAGGGGGTCAAGCTGAAGCCCATCAGTCGGGGGTATGAAGTCAAGCTGTTGCGAAGAGATGCGATTGTGTGAAGGCGCCGAATAAGGGTTGACTGCTTTGGTGGGTGACCCAGCGGTGTTGGTAGAGGCCGGACGTTGGTGAGGCTCCACCGGAGGGATAGAGAGAGTCTGTGGGCACGAAACATGACGGGGAGACTGAGTCTGGGATCTCCGGGGTGGGCCAAACTGCGAGTCCCCAGCCGAGGGGGTAGCATATGCAGACACCACGGGAAGGGCGGGCGGAGGGCTCGAACCCACAGGAGCAACTCGCTTGGAAAATTCGTTGACATATTCCTGTGGAGCATAAGGGTTTCTCGGTGGAGAGTTCTGCTCTTGCAAAGGGGCGTAGGCATTCGTAGGGATCTGTGGCGCTGCAGGAGCATAGCGGTTGCGTGGCGGACTTTGATCTTGCTGCAAAGGAGCTGGGGGCGCAATGCTCCGGGTTGCAGGCTCAACAGCTGCCGAACCCTCGTGAATCACTGGAATATTTGGAGGCATAATGGAGCTCTGATCGATGCTCTGTCGCAGGTGCGAACGTCTCGGGGGAGAACTGCCTAGGTCCACAGACAAGGCTGGCGGTGCTTCGGCCCGGTCTACAGCCTTCTCATGATAAGCCAACGGACTTGATGTGCGCGGCTGAAAGGGAAGCGAGTTCGTGGGAGAAGCAACACCGACTGGTTGCGAGACGTAACGGTTGCGAGCAGGAGGGGCGGATGAAGGGGGGGGTGCCGGTGAGTATCGCGGTGAAGCGCTGGGCTTGGCTCCAACCTGCAGGCCAGGTGGTTTCGGGGAGTACCTAGAAGCAGCGCTTGGAGGAGCAGGGGCGGCTGGCGCAAGGTGGTTCGCGTAGGGATCCATCCGTTCAGGCTGTTGGAGTTGGGATTGATAAGAAGCCTCACTCGTTGGTGAGAGGACGTGTGAGGGTGGTGGAACACTTGCATAGGCGTTCGTAGTAACAGCGGGAGGAGGGGGAGGAGGAGGAGGCATATGTGACACCGCCGGCGGCACGGAACTATGGTCAGGCGTATAGCGACCAGAAGGAGCCGGTCGGGGTCGCTGCGGTAATGGAAGTTCTTCAAAGAAGTTCTTGGAGACCACCGGAGTCACGACCGGAGGAGCACCACCAGGCAGCATTGACGGGACAGCAGACGGGGGAGGCATTGTTGAAACAGGCGGAAGAGTAGTCATACTACTGCTGCGAGGAGGCGGTGGAGGCATAGTTCCTGGTTGTGCAACCACCGGCTTCTGAGTGACCACCGGCCTTCGCGTGCGGGTCAGGTCTTCGGGCAGATCGTACGGCGACTTGTAACCGCTTTTGGAGTCCACAAAGCTCTCTGTTCTATTCGCGGTTTGCAACGCCGGACGGGGCGCAAAGTATGATCCAACGGGGGCCACGTTCGCCTGAGGAGTTGCCGCGCCGACGAGGGGAATCCCGTTGACGAGGTCTGATGTCGATGGCTGATGAGGGGTGTATCTGGCTGCATCGGTGCGAGGTGGGAAAGTGCTTTGAGGGGTCGCGAAAGGACTGCCCAAGCCCACAGACTGCTGGCTTACAGTGGCTTCAGACGGCTCCTGGACTGCTTGTACGGGTTCTTGTTCATCCGCATCATCTCCCAAGAGAAGGTCATCATCGTCGCTGAGTTCAGCTTGCCAACGGGCTGCAAGATCCTCTTCAGAAGACTGCTTCTTAATGGCACCCACGGTTGCAGTCAAGCCCGTAGTAGAGTCTGTCGGCGGCAAGGGTGCTGACGGACTGTCGACCATCGGAGAGTCCGGTGTCAGATCGAGAGAGCCCATAACTTGGGAAGTGCTCTTGCGGGTGATGTGAAACGACTGTTGAGAGTCTTCGTTGGTCGACTTCTGCACCGAGCTGAAGAAACCATCATCTTCCTCGTCCTCGCCCTCATCAAACATTGTCTGTATTTGGGTCTCGGGATGCGTCGTTAAGGGCGTGGGTATATCGGTCGACTCGTCCAGGAGCGGAACGCCTTCTTCAAATCTCGATTCTGCTTCCGGAGGAACGTAGATAGGCTTCGTCTGCGTCTTGAGCTGATCAAAGAACCCTCCCTCCTCGTCATCATCATCGTTATCGTCACCGTCGTTTGCCCAGAAGGGCGCAGCTTCGTTATTCACGTCACCATTGCTAGTCACAGTGGTATCCTTGCCTTCGTCCTCGTTCATCCAAGCCATGCTATCGTCAAAGGCGCCAGATTGAGCAGTATCATCCGTAGCTGACGGAAACAAGTCTTCCGTGGGTCGTTCAATGGGTACCTGTTCGAACGCATCTTCTTGGGGTACGAGATTGGGAGCACTGGCTGCGGTTTCCAGCGCTGGTTCCTCGTCCACCGGGGTGGATTCCGATTCCACAACAGGATCCGGCGCCTCGACCTGCTGCTCTAAAGTCTCCGAAGCGTCCTTTCCCTCGTTCAATATCTCTGTCGGAGCATCACTCGTCTCATGCTGATCGTCCGGGGTGGTCTCAGCATCCGGGGCGTCCTGAGCACTATTACCGCGTGTGTTTACGTCTTCGAGAGTCGCCTTGTCGCTAGAAACCTCACCAGAGGTCGACGTGACACCCGAATCTGGGATATCCGCAACAGGTTCGGCGATCTGCTCTTGCGTGTCCAAAGCCACCGTGTCCGGATCGGCTTCGTGGGACGGAGACTGTTCGTCGGGTCTGAACGCGGGATTCCACGACGGCGAGGCGGCCAAGGGAGGCATGACGGAGCCCTCCATTTCTGACATGATGTCTCGACAAGCCCCTGGCGAAAGGGGGACGGTCGGAGGAGCAAGAGAGGCCTACCGGACACGTCTCGGTCGATGCGCGGAGATGGCGTAATTGAGGATGGCGACTCCAAGGCGTAGGCGGTTTCAGTTATACATTAAAACGGGTGTACAGGGATAAGCGGGAGGACTGAAGGGAAAAACAGAGAAGATATTAGAGTAAAGAATAAGAAAGAAAAGGAGAAAGAAAGAAAAGCCAGTCTCTCATCACCAGATAAGAAACAAAAAAGAGACTCGCAGGGAGAAAACAGTCTCAGAGCGTCTGTCCTGTTAGGGAGACTCGACGATGGGGCGCGTTTCGTATTACCGTCAAAGATACAGGCTTATGGCTAGAGGATTCCTGGACTTGAGCTGAGCAGCAATTTACTAATGTTTTACTATTGAGACCTAGTATAAGTATATTATAAAATGATAGACTTGCTCTTGGGGGAATTTCCTATAATTCAAGAGTGAAATATAGAAAGGAGGTCTTGTATCTCGAATACGGGGTCAGCATTACGCAGTTTATTACACACGGTGGCTAATATTACCGTCTGTGGCGCAGCTGCCAAAGTGGCTGAAACTCGTACGCTTTCTGTCATGTGATCTGGTATGGCGCATCGCTGCAGGTCATCTTTAGGCTGCTGTTTAGCAAAAGAACAGCAACGCTGTGTTACGGAGCATCTGAAGCATCTGGGCAGATTTGGAGCCTGGTACGTGATCCGTCTGATTTATTCTGAGGCCTGTTGGCTTTGCTGGTCTCTGCTGCGAGTCTGGCTGCGATTAGCAAGCTGTCCCTACCTTAATTTACCTCTGACGATGTTCTTCCGAAGACACGGTGGGCGTTACTGGACATGAGATGACCGTTCGCCCGTCGACCCAGGAGCTTCAACAATACTCCTATGTGATGGTTTTTAGTATCGGTGATTGCTAAGTCTTCCATCGGCGGCCTTTTTTCACACAATGCCTTCCTCCAGCGACTACCTGCATCCGACGGACATAGTCCACACCCCTCTTGATTCAGATGAGGACGAAGACTTGGATTTGGAGGAGCTCGACCCGCAGTCCGTGGCCTCTCACCGACCAGGTCGTTCATCTAGAGATGATATACCTCGAAAGAAGGGATATGGGCCGGGAATTGCGCTGCGGAACCTGCGCGCGGGAGTCGGAAACCGTGTTTGGGGACGAAGTGCCTCTGCAGGGCGCCGCGCCGGATCGCAGGAGGATCTGAATGCTTTACTTGGAGATACCGAAGAGGAGCGCCTGCGAACATCTCAGACAAGCTCGGGTGCTTTCACCGACGACGATGCGCCGTTGTTGCAGGGTCGACGCCGCAGTTCGCCCCGCGTGTCTGAGGAACCGTCGGCAGGGAATAGGAAGGGATCTCGACTCCGTCTACCGGTTTTCAACCCGAGCAGTCTCTTTTCAGGCAGTGGGAGACAATACGACGATGATGACGCATCTAATCGGCCGCCTCGCGAAGTGCTGGTCGGTCAACTACAACAAGCCAGATACCCTCCGAATGTGGTCTCAAACGCCAAATACACGCCTTGGAGCTTCCTCCCCCGGACGCTATATAACGAATTCTCCTTCTTTTTCAACATATATTTTCTTCTGGTCGCGCTTTCGCAGATCATCCCCATCCTTAGAATCGGCTACATGTCCTCGTATATTGCGCCCCTGGCATTCGTGGTTTCGATATCATTGGCCAAGGAGGCCTTGGACGACATCGCCCGCCGGCGGCGAGACAGGGAGGCAAATTCTGAGGAGTTCACCGTCCTCTCCTTTCGTCCAGCTGACATCTCCAACCCAGCTGGCCTTCCGTTCGAAGTGACAAAGAAATCACGGGACTTGAAGGTCGGTGACGTGTTGAAGGTCCGCAAGAACCAACGTCTCCCTGCGGATGTGGTCATTTTGCAGAGCATCTCTGGAGACTCTAGTAGCCACAGTCGACAGAGTTCCACGGGGCAACAGCCAGCGTTGGAATCCGCAAACCTTATTGATCCCACCAACGAAGAGAGTTCATCAGCTCCAGTCGGCGGTGGTTCTGGAGCAGACTTCTCTTCTGCTGGCGACACGTTCATCCGTACCGACCAGCTTGATGGAGAGACGGATTGGAAGTTACGCCTCCCATCGGTTCTCTCACAAAGTCTGTCGACCAAAGACTTTACGCGACTGAAGGTCACGGCCAGTGCCCCGGATAGGAGAGTGAATGAGTTCCTCGGGACTATCCAACTGCAACCAGCCTCTCGAGCTTTCTACGACCCCCATGTCGACAAGTCGTCAAGTCCAGTCTCGCCCATAGCCCCAGAGGCCGAGGACTCGCAGTCCAACTCGGCTCCGCTCTCGATTGATAATACAGCATGGGCCAATACAGTTCTCGCCTCTAACACCACTACATATGCGGTGATCATTTACACCGGCTCCCAAACCAGGGCGGCATTGTCCACCTCGGCGTCTAGGTCCAAAGTCGGCTTATTGGAATACGAAATCAACAACCTTACAAAGATCTTATGCGCCCTGACCCTTGCTCTCTCCATTATATTGGTAGCGCTGGAGGGATTCCAACCCACAAACGACAAGGAGTGGTATGTCGCCATCATGATCTATCTTATTCTATTTTCAACCATCATTCCCATGAGTCTGAGAGTAAATCTGGACATGGCCAAGTCGGTTTACGGGCGATTCATTGAACGGGACAAGGACATACCCGACACGGTGGTGAGAACTAGTACGATCCCAGAAGACTTGGGAAGGATTGAATACCTTCTCTCGGACAAGACGGGTACCCTGACTCAAAACGGTAAGACTTGCTTGCCCTCCTTGTATTTTGTGGAAAGGATAATGCTAAAGATGATAGAAATGGAACTGAAAAAGATCCACGTCGGCACGGTTTCCTATGCTAATGAAGCGATGGACGAGGTGGCGTCGTACGTGCGACAAGGCTTTGCCGGCAACGCCTTGACCACACCGTCGACGGTCTTTGGCACCCAGGCCGGTCTTGGGACGGCCCCTCGGACGCGGAGAGAGATCGGTTCACGAGTCAGGGATATCATCCTCGCTCTTGCATTGTGCCACAACGTTACCCCGACCATCGACGAAAACGAAGACGGCGAGAAGGTGACCAGTTACCAGGCCTCGTCGCCCGACGAGATCGCCATCGTTCGCTACACCGAAGACGTCGGCCTCAAACTCGCTTATCGGGACCGTCAGAAAATCGTGCTCGAATCCACACACTCGAAAAACGTGGTGGTGCGCGTTCACATCCTCGAAGTGTTCCCCTTCACCTCCGATAGCAAGCGTATGGGCATCATCGTACGGTTTGAGCAGGATCCCAGCTCCCCCGCGTCGCCTTCCAAGGATGACAATGAGATCTGGTTCTACCAAAAGGGGGCCGATACGGTGATGTCATCTATCGTCGCGGCCAATGATTGGCTTGACGAAGAGACGGCCAACATGGCTCGCGAAGGCCTGCGGACGCTGGTCATCGGACGCAAACGCCTCTCCGAGCAGCAATACCAAGATTTCTCGCTCAAGTACAAGCAAGCGTCGCTTGCACTGCAGGCCAGAGACGTGGGGATGGCCAAGGTGATCAGCGAACACCTGGAACACGACCTGGAGCTGCTCGGGGTGACAGGGGTGGAAGACCGGCTGCAGAAAGACGTCAAGCCGTCGCTCGAGCTGCTGCGCAACGCCGGGGTGAAGATCTGGATGCTGACGGGCGACAAGGTGGAGACGGCCCGGTGTGTAGCGATCTCGGCCAAGCTGGTGGCGCGCGGGCAGTACATCCACACGGTGGCCAAGGTGAAGGACAAGGCGAGCGCGCAGGAAGCGCTGGACTTCATCCGCAACAAGCCAGACTGCTGCCTGCTGATTGACGGGGAGTCACTGGGCCTGATGCTCAGCCAGTTCCGCACGACCTTCATCTCGCTGGCGGTGGTGTTGCCCGCGGTGGTGGCGTGCCGGTGCTCACCGACGCAGAAAGCCGAAGTCGCCGAGCTGATCCGGCACCACACGAAGAAACGGGTGTGCTGCATCGGCGACGGGGGCAACGACGTGTCGATGATCCAGGCGGCGGACGTGGGGATCGGGATCGTGGGCAAGGAAGGGCGCCAGGCGTCGCTGGCGGCGGACTTTAGCATCACGCAGTTCCACCACCTGACCAAACTGCTGGTATGGCACGGGCGCAACTCGTACAAGCGGTCGGCCAAACTGGCGCAGTTCATCATGCACCGCGGACTGATCATCTCCGCGTGCCAGACGATGTACAGCATCGCAAGCCATTTCGACCCCAAGGGTCTCTTCATCAACTGGCTGATGGTCGGCTATGCGACCGTGTACACCAACGCGCCCGTCTTCTCGCTCGTGCTCGACCGCGACGTCGACGAGCAGCTCGCAAACCTCTACCCGGAGCTGTACAAGGAGCTCAAGGCCGGCCGCAGCCTCAGCTACCGCTCCTTCTTCGGCTGGGTGTTTGTCTCCGTGTACCAGGGCGCCGTGATCCAGGGCCTGTCACAGCTCCTGCTCGACTCCATCACCGGCCCGCGCCTCATCGCCCTCTCCTTCTCCGCCCTCGTCATCAACGAGCTCGTCATGGTCGCCATCGCCATCACTACCTGGCACCCCGTCATGATCCTTTGTCTGCTCGGCACCGCCTTGGGCTACGCCGCCAGCGTCCCCTTCTTGGCCGACTACTTCGATCTGCAGTACGTCATCACCCTCGACTTCCTCTGGCGTCTTGTCGCCGTCTGCGCTGTCAGCCTCGTCCCCGTCTGGCTGGGCAAACTCATCAAGCGGTCGTGGAGTCCTCCCTCTTACAGGAAGGTGAGGGGGTAAATAATACTTTATTCTTTCTTTTTCATTCCTCAATATTCATATTTCATATTCGTTGATTTTGGGTTCTTTTCTTTTTGCTTCTTCCCTTCTTCTTTTTATGTACAGGAGTTGGGTGCATGTCTTTGTTCAGGTATATAGATTGTATCTACTTTATTTTTTTTTTCTGTTTTCTGTGCATGGATATGATGTGGAATATGTATGTATGTAATAATGTAACAGTGTAGTACAATGGGTGTTGGTAACTAAATAATCATATCATAAAAATAATTTGTACTCCGTAAAAATGAGGACATGTCCCATGAGAAGAGGTTCGAGATATTAATGGGACGGGGATGGGACAAAGACCTTCCGAAGGCGGAGGTGGAAGAGATCGCTGACGACCTCACCGGTGCTCTTGATGTTCTCGCGAACGATCTCAGAGGTGGGGCGGTTGAAGAGCTCGTCGATCTCCTCGAGGGACTTGTTCTTGGTCTCGGGCATGAAGAGGATCTGGTAGAACCAGCCGAGGATGGCGATGCCGCCGTAGAAGCCGAGGGTCAGGCCGATGCGGCCCATCGAGTCCATCATGCGAGTGAAGTTGTAGGTGACGATGAAGGAGCAGAGGAAGAGGTTGGCGTCGGCGGTGGTCATACCGTAACTACGCAGGTAGGTCGGGAAGACCTCGGCGGGGATGACCCAGGTCAGGCAGGCGTAGGAACCGAAGAAGCCCATGTACAGGATGAGACCGGTCAGGTAGATACCCTCGGCGGCCTTGGGGTGCACGGTATAGTCGATCTTGTATCCGATACCGATGAGCAGGAGGCCGATGAAGAAGCCCGGAAGCATGGCGTTGGCCCAGTAGCGACGGCCGAAGCGCTCCATGTACAGGACGGCGGGGATGGTGCCGATAAGCAGCGAGCCGCCACCGACGAGCGACATGAACACGCTGGTCTTGTCGTCGAAGCCGATGTTCTCCATCAGGACGCTCATGTAGTACATGACGGCGTTGACGCCGGTGAACTGGCCCAGGAAGATCATGATATTGGCGTAGACCATGGCACGGCGGGCGCGGGGGTCGGTGAAGAAGTCCAGCCAGGGCCACTTCTTGGTCTGCTCCTGTTCCTCCGTCTCGGCAGTGACAGCCTGGCGCATACCCAGGAACTCATCCTTGGACTCGAAGGTGTCGAAGCCACGAATGCGCTTCCACACACCATACGCCTCGACGGACCGGCCCTTGTGCATCAGGAAACGCGGGCTCTCCGGCAGGAAGAACATGCCGACCAACAGGATGGTGGAGAAGACCAGGGACGAACCCAGGATGTAGCGCCAGTTGCCCTCGACGTTGACGAAGATAGCAGCGACGGCATACCCCAGAACTTCACCCAGAGCGATGTTAAGCTGGTACAGCGAGACCAGGTTACCACGAATTTTCCTCGGAACTGACATGAGTTAGCTTGATTTGTTCTACAAAAAAAAAAGGGGGGGGGGGGGGGTTTACTTACCACACTCGGCAACATAGACGGGGACGGTACCGCCTTCCAAGCCGACACCCATACCCAAGACGAAACGACCAGCAAACATCATGCCGAAGCTGATGGAGCCGGCCTCCAGGCCAGCACCGATGGTGTAGAGAATACAGGAGACGATAATGGCCATGCGACGGCCGAGGTACTCGTTGGCAGGGGACAGGATGAGAGCACCGGCGACACCGCCCAGCGGCATACCGGCATTGACCAGACTGGCTTGCGAAGAGGAAAGATGGAGGTCATCGGGCATGTAGAGGTTGGCGCCACTGATGAGCGACTGGTCGAGACCTGAGAGCAGACCACCCATCGAGGCAAAGGCGACCAGCACGTAGGTGAAGAGGGCCGGGTTGGCGATGGAGAAGACCCGCCCCGTCTTGGTCTGCTGGAACTGCTGCTCCAAGACGGCCAGCTCGGCATCCATGGCAGCCTCGGCAACCTCGAGGTCCTCACTGCCACGGCCGGGCTTTATGTGATCCATCTCCAGCGCAACCTCCTTGTGGTCGTCACTGGGTTTGTGTTCGGCATCCCTGTGGTCCGACATGGTGGTGGTGGGGCACAAACTGTGCAATGATATGTAGGAGACGAAGCGATCTCGGTTGACTCTGGACGCAGATTTCACCTATAACGAACTCTTCTTATAATAGTAGTAGTACTAGTAGTACGGTAGTATAGTGGTAGCTAATAAGTCAGATAGATCCGATTCTGCGGGGGGAAACACCGGGGAATAAATACCCAAAAAATCGGGGGAAAACCTCGTGATGGACCGCATGGGCACATGCCATGGTCCCGACGATCGTCGGTCCATCTTCCCTGTTTGGTGGACGACGCAGAAGTGGTGGGGAGAGAGAGGGTGGAGAGACATTGAGGCCATCCGGTAGATGGCGACTTGGAGACTATACAGAGGGCCGCTGCTGGCCCAATAAGACCCTCGGGCTACTTCCGGCTTCGAGAGAGAATGGAGAAACCGGGCGAGCAGCCCACGGGGAAGAACAAATACGCGGGATCTTCTGGGCCTCCATTGTCTGTCGACACGTTCACCGGCAGCCCGATACGGCCGGCGTCTTTGCTCTGGAGACGAGCCTTTCCCCGGCGATGTGAGGGTGGACGGTTGGGAGCGAGATGAAGTTGCCGTCCCGAAATCGAAGGAGTATTAAGGTCGTCACCACATGACCTCACCTGACTGACTGTCACTGACAGAGACACTATTACTACTACTATTACTACTACTACTACTACTACTACTACTACTACTACTACTACTACTACTACTACTATTAATACTGTTACTATTACTACTACTGCTGCTGCTGCTGCTACTACTGCTACTACTACTGCTACTACTAGTCTGATCGTGAATCCCAAGGATGCAAAAATTTCTCTAGAGCACGTCCCTAATCTAAAACGGCCGGCGCAAACTCTTTCCAGCAAAAGAGTGGCCCTCGTCCATGGATGGTGCTGTGAGTCGCCACAGGGTCACTGCCAGTTAGCGGTGGCCACCTCACAGGTCCAACAGCAATCCCCGGAAACCATTCTCCGCCGAGACCCCAGTCAAACAGGCTTCAGGTACAGGGGGGGGAAGGAGGAGGAAGCGTGCGGGTTTGGGGTTGGATATCGTCATTGATAAGTTGCAAATCTCAATAATAAAAAAACACTATCCTAGACATTGGTGAGCCCCTACTCTAACTACAGACTCTATGTAGTAGAATACTACTCCGTACCACCGAACAGCAAAGAACACGGCCCGTATACTATAGGCTACGGTGCTGACCGGGCCGGCTGAGACAACACGAAGGATGCCGAAAAGATCAACACACGGCCGAAGCCTTTTTTTTTTTTTTTTTTTCCTTTTTCCCCTTCGATCCCACAATCGGTTCCGGTTAATTCTCGGGGGCTCGTTCCGGGGGCGTCGTTAGTATGGGCGAGTCGGGACAAGGCGAAAGAAAAAAAAAACCGAGTGTCCGGCCAGGCTCAGCAGGCTCACCACCACCAGTAAACACAGTGTAAGGAGTGGGGAATAAGACGTCGCCAGGTGATTATTATTCCATCATGGCTGGCTCTTATTATTAACTAGTGAATTGCTTCTACTGCTTAGTGTCGAATTGCAGGGTCAGATGATCCGTTGAACGATGGCTGACAACGTCAGTATTACTAGTTACGGTGTATTACTATTTACTATAATTTAGTACGTACTGTACTTAACTGGTTAACCAATTAGCTACCTAGTACCCAACTACCACGTTACCAGAACCAGGTTTTGTACAAAAATACGTAGTTATATTATTCTAATTGAGACGCTAAGCGGACACCAGACTCCAGGAGAATCGAGAATTCAGTTGACACCAACACCCCGTGCGGGGAAGCGTTTTCAGGAGAAGTAAGGGAGAGGGAAGAGGGAAAGAAAGCTCCTATCGCGATCCGTACAGTCTGGAGCTCGACGGCTGCCCGACCGGCTTCCTGGCACTCGGATCGGCTCCTCCGCCGCCGCTATACCCGCCCGGAGCAGAGGCAGAACTCGGGCTGGCTGACCGAGCCCCCTGCAAGCGCGCACGAAGCCGTTCCTGCGCGGATCCGGCGCGTTCCTGTCCAAACCGACTTTGCTGCTGCACCGCCTGGCTCGACTGGTATGATCCTGCGCGCTGGCTGGGTAACGGGCGAGGATGATGCATCGTCGTCGTCGTCGTTGTCGCCGCTGGTGGCGGTGTCTGTGATGAAGAAGGAGAACTAGAAGAAGAAGGAGGCACGGGACCAGCGGGCGCGCTGTGCATGGCCATCAGAGGCCCCCTCGCCGCTGATGCTCCCCCTGCTCCTCCTCGTCCTTGGCGTAGACTCGACGTCTGTGACGCAGGCGGCTGCGTTGATGCCGCAGAGTCTCCCCACAGATCACCCAATCCTCCTCCTCCTCCTCCTCCACCGCCGCCTGATCCCCCGCGGCCGTAGCTCGACGCCGGTGCAGTCTGGCCGTACCCGCCGTTGCCTCCAGGCAGTTGCGTGGTCGCCGCGACCATCCGAGACGGCGTGGGTACCGGTGCCTTCGGATCAGGAGGCAGCCAGCCAGGAAACGGTCGGCCCTTCTCGGTGTAGTAGGCTCGCAGCACGTTGGAGATGTGCGAGCAGTCTTCGTTCTCCGGATCATCTGTCTCGTCGGAGGTGATCGCCCGCCGCAGGGAGTTCAGTCGTGTGCCGAGGTTTGAGATCGCCGAAGACGACGTGATCGAGGAGAAATAAGAGGCCATTCTTGTGTCAGGCGAGCCCAGGTACGCCGCCACCCCCCCTTGGTTGTTTGGGAAACCGTAACTGTTGCTCTGAGAAAAGGCGGGGTATCTCGCTCGTTCAACGTAGGAAACGAGATCACGACTGCTCACCAGTCACAGACTACCAAATCCAGGTAAAAAAACCCTTAGAGTGAGCTCGGATTTCCGTAAAGGAAACAAGTTGTTGGGAAAACTCGCAGGTTGTTGCTGCAAACTGCCAGATATTATAAGGAGTCTGATCCACTCGGCGGTTTGGAATAGAAGCGTCGTCGCCGCACGTGAGACCGACCGCCTTGAGCTTCAGCATTTATTTATTGACCCTGAGTGAGCAACCAAGACAATGGATATGAAAGATTTTACCGCTGTAGGACATATGTATTGAAGGTAGGAATTACATAGCTAGACTGAGAATAGAAAAAAAATAACCAAGGTTGCAATGACTGGGTATGAATTGCCCGATCGCAGCAGAAATTTGAAAATCGCAGAATCCGTATAACGCCATGCACTTTTTTTCTTCTGAATTGCTGGAACTTTGCTAGAAGTCTTTGTTCCCTCCCGCTTAATCTCTGGTTGATAGGCGAGTTCCTCATGCCATGATGTTCTCCTTTCCGACACCCTCGGTCTCATACTCGATTTCAATCCGAGGGCCCTTCTTGCGCGGCTTGGCCTGTGGAGCAGCACGTTTCCTCTTGAAGCCCGGCTTGGGTTTCTTCTGCTCCTCCTCTTCGCTGGGCTGTTCGCTGTCTTCCTCATCGCTTCCTTCGTCGCTCTCCTCGCTCTCGTCATCGTAGTCATCGCTCGAGTCGGCAGAGTCCTCGCCGATCCAGTCTTCGATATCCTCGAGATCCTCCTCATCTTCATCGAAATCGCTGACGTACTCCACCTCTCCGACGCCCTCCTCATCTTCCTCGTCAAGCTCCTCGCCCTCGTCGAGATCCTCGTCTCTCTCACCCTCTCCAGCTCGCTCCAGACCCCGGAGAACCTTCTTCCAGATTCCCTCGTCGACATTGAGCGGCTGGTCCCCGTAGGCACCGCTCCGCAGTCGGTCAATGAGCTCGCGCTCGATGGCTCTCTCCACCTTGGCTGCAGACAGGGCCTTGCGCTCGCGGGTCTCTTCGCGCCGCCGGATCTTGGGCGCCAGCTTGGGAACAATCGTCTCCCCGAGCCGTTCTTCCTCCTTGGCCAGCTTCCTCATCCGGATGGCGACCTGCGTCAGCCGCGTGAGACGCTGCTTGCACTTGTGGATCAGAAATTTCGGCCAGTAGATCAGCTTCTCATCCAGCTGGCCCAGCGCTTTCACGTAGTTCGATGACAGCTTCACCCGCTCCCATAACTTGCTGGGCATGTGGGCTCGCTCCACCGTCTTCATATACAGATACATCACCCCCGTCTCGGGGTCCGACCGCACCGTCGCATATCGAGAGTTGGCGAGCGGGCACGACTGCCGATTGCACAGACCACTGACATTGTATTCGTTCCGGCAAAAATTCTGGTTTTTCGTCGTTCTTGAAGATGGTTAGCCTTCTGTTCATCCCATCTTATTGATGCCCATCTTTTCTTCTTTATTTTGCTTATTATTTTGCGTTTTTCTTTTTGTGTTTTTTTCTCATTCCCTCCACTTACTTTAACTTGAAGGAGCAAAACTGCTGATTGATAACCTGCCAAACAATTTCGTCTGACGACATATTGGCAAAAGTCACAGGCCAGGATCAAAGTCCAGCCAGTACAAACTTGATTCTAGTAGAACTCGTTGGGTAATCCCTGAACCTGAGTAAAGAAAATCTCCAGAAAGACTCGCTCCCGCTCCGCAGAGAAAAAAAGTTGCCGTCCGCAGGTCACGTGGAGGTGCTTATCGCGAATCGCGATAAGCACCTAGACGAGTTAAAGAGCGGTAAATTGTAACTATTCGATACGCCGCTTACTACAAGATTCTCTTCGACGAAAGGAAAAAGAAAAGTCCACAGGAGAGAGACGTTCATAAACTACCTGTTAGGAATTCGTAACATCTACCATCCCTCCATCTGCAAGGGTCCCCCATCCCACTCCGTCCCGTTCATCGTAGGCCCTCCTGCGCCGGCCAGGTCGGCTTCCTCCCCCATGCCGTTGCCATTGATCATCTCCTCACTGACTGTGCCCCAGCCCATGGCTTCGAGTTCGCGCGTGAAGAAATCACGTTCGGTCTCCATCAGGGCGGCGCGCTCATCGCCACCCATGACATCCTTGTACTGCCGCAGATGCCACCAGTGCGTGAGACCGCGCAGGGCCTGCTCCAGCGGCAGGGCCTCCTCGACCTCGGCGTCCACGTCGGAGCCGGCCAGCCAGTCGTCGCGCAGCTCGGGTCGACAGTACAGGTAGATCGCGGTGATGACGCGCATGTTGCTCTGGCGCCACTTGCGGCCGCAGTAAGGCACCTGCGATTTGAACAGCTTCAGCGTGTAGAACCGGAGGTGCGGGTCGGGGATCTTGAGCCCCTTGCGTAGGATTGCGCTCGACTTGTACTGCACGAGGAGCAGGCAGCGGTGCGCCTTGTCACGCGTGATCTTCTGCATGATGTGCAGGTAGTTGATCGCCGAGAAGAAGTTGCGGAACGAGTACGTCGTAATGGGTTCCTTGGGCGGAGGCGCCGTCGGGTACCCCAGTTCGTCCACCTCAGGTCGGAGGCCACTGTCGAAAAACTCGGGTACTGGCTCTTCAGGGGAGGGCCCCCGTGCGGAGACACTCTCATGGGTTCTGCTCTGTGGGTGACGACGGATCGGGGGCGGGGCTGCCTCGTCCTCGCTAGCAACGGATTGTCCGTCTTCGCCCTTTGGTTGTTTCGGAGGTTGGTTGGACTGGAGATGGCAAAAGTGGAAAAATCTGCAGATCATATCAATACACAGTGCTACACGCATCAGAATTCGGCCGAGACCTACCCTAGTTCCTCGCTATCGTTTTTCTGCGCGACATACCGATCAACGTCTTGATGGGCGAACATTTTGAGGATAAGAGGCAGGTAGTTGGAGTCCAGCAATAGCTGGGTCATATACTCAAACTTCAGAATGTCTGGGCCCATTAGTGGAATCCTCAACTTCATGGTTGGATCTTAGCTTACGGGATCTCTTGAACCATTTCAACAGAAGTAAAAGCGATCCGGATACAGCTTTCCCTGTGATTTCCCGTAATCGAATATTGTCAAGCTCTTCAACTGCAGCGTCGGAATTGAAATCGCCAGAAAAGTCACCATTTGGAGCAGATGCCAGACCATTTCCCATGCCATAACCGTTGCTGGAGGATGTCATTAGAATATAGAAGAAGTAGGAATCATACAGGTAAACACATACCTCATTGAGTGACCATTCTGCCCATTTGCTTGGTTGACCATGGCACTTACGTTGGTCAGTATGATCTTCAGAAATACAATAGTGATCGATTGTAGATGAGGAAGTGCTTGGGCCTAGATGCGGTCAGTGAGTTGGTGCAATTAGCCAGTTTGGAAGAGGCACTTACATAGAAAGACTCGACCTCGTCTAAGCGTTTCTGGGTGTCTTCATTGACCGTCTCTTTTATAAAATTTCCATCGGGCTTGAGTTTCGTATCCTTTGATAGACTGAGATGTTCAATGTCTTCATCCAGTCCATTGATCGAAAAGCCATCAGATGGAACACTTGTTTCGCCCAGATTCCAGCCACGATCATATTTCATGAAACGCTCTCGCTCCTCCCAGAGCTGGCGCATTGCCCGTGTCAGCTTCACATGCGTCGAGAATAGCTGGCCAGCCTCAATGATCGAGGCAGGAACATCGCTGCCCTCCCATTTCTTGCCCACCAGAAGATCTTGCATTTCGGTTGTGCCTTTCCCTCCAAGATCATTGCTTGATGTGTCAAGTGGTGGATACATGAAAGGGAAGTTCTGGTTTGTCTGGTAATTCTGCTTCTTGCCTGCCTTGCCTCCAGGTCCAATGGGCGATGGCGGAGGCGATGGAGCTGGAGTTGCAATATGAACAGATTGATGTAATATAGAACCGTTTCCTCCCGCGACGGATGGACCAACACCAGAGAAGAGGCCATTAGAAGAGGTTGTCCTCACGAGATGCTGGGGAAGAGGGGGAAGAATAGAATTGTTCTCCAGCTCCAGTGGAACAATCGGTGGGGGTGGGTTATATGCCGGATATTTCGAAGTGATCTCCTGCCGAAAAGAATGGTAATCAAGCGGCGAGGCCGTGAGAAAGGGTGTCCTCCGCGTGCCAGAGTTTGCCCGCGCTTCCAGAGGCGGCTCCAACTCTTCCTTTACCTTTTTCAGGCTCTCACTACCACCGAAGAGCAGAAGCAGTGACTTCCAGAAAAGAAGGATAACTCTTGTTAGAGGGACGTTTGTCGAATCATCCCATCGAAGACGTGCGATAATTTCGACGAGGAAAACCAGTAGAGACGGCTTTTGCATGGAGAGGGCGTTCCGTACCGAAGTAGCATGCGGATCTGAAGATTCTTGTCTCCGTCCAACCTCGACAATGAAGTACAATGCAGTAAGAATCAGATTGGATTCACGTTCAATAGCAGTAACATATGCAGGACTTGGATTGTCATGTTCCGTCGCTCCGTCAGAATCAGTACTGTGAGACACCCTGTTCTTTTCGAAAACCCGATAAAAGTATTCAAGGAGCACAGAAAATCCATCGCACTGTTGTATAAGGCTCACATTTTCCTCAATCCATTTGATCTGTAGTGACTTGAATTTCGGTGTTTCCACCGCCATCTGAGGTGACGGGTCTACCGGATAGTCCTGGGCAGCAATCCCAGCAGTGACACCCCAGATCCCCGTAATGATATAAGAGATGCTTTCCAGAGCTTCCAGACGAGTGAAGAGGTCGTCATGCCGCAAACCATGGAGTAATTCGTTTATGAACTGCTCCCGCTTCTCATAGCTGGCATCAAGCCAGGTTTCCTCCTGAGAGTCTGATGAAGCGGACCGTTGCTCAGAAAAGGCTCTCCATCGGTTATCAAACGAAAATTTCGCTCCCATAAGCATAACACGATCGAATTCACTATACTGGAACCATTCCTCCAGCTCATCGGGAAATGGCTGGGCGTCCGCATATTCAAACGCGTAAGCACGCTGTTCAACCCTGGGCAAGTCCTGCGCAAGCCGCCTCAACTGCACCAGGCTCAGTGAATCAGATGGCTGCTCCTGACTCTGCTGCACTGGAGCAGGAGGAGGTGGCTGCAGAGGAGGCGGTGGAGCTGAGCCGTCACGACGCAGCACCGGACGTCTAGCAGACTGTTCAGCCTGTAAGGAGATTAAATTGTCTGCAGTTGCGTCTGGAACGGAAATGGCTTCCTGCCTCAGCCCCTCAGCAACCTCCTCCAGCAGTTGCTCGTCAGAGACGGGATTGATATCCGTTCCGGTCTGGTCAACTTCGTCTGCTTTGACGATATGTTGCTCCTGGATTTCTGTATCCTGGGAAATATGACGGTCCTCCATCATGGGAATTTTGGATACCAGCACTGCTAGTTTTAAACCCTTGCGATAGCTGTAGAAATGGAAATAGTAACTAGTATGGTAGCGAACGACATTAGGGGTATCTCAAGAGGGAAGAGTTAACTGATATGTGTGTAAAACATGTATAAACCGGTTGTTCCGTATACACAAGTTATCAACATCAATCCAGAAGGCATGTCATCTCCATTTTGGGGGGACAAAGCCTTCGTCGAAATACACAGGGAATATTTGAGATGACGATGTTGTTGGGCGTCTGGCGATAGTCGGTCGGTGGGCCGTTTAGGTCACGTGACTGATATGGACTCGACCTGGACGGCCATATTGGAGATTCAGGGCCTACGGAATGTCTACCAAGGAGAAGTACATATTTGTGAATTACCAGGGGCTCAGTTGTCGCGATTCGACGGGAAGGAATCATTCTCAATTGTTTGGTTTATAAAATGTGGTTTTTTCCATGTTTAAATGACAAAGGATCGAATCAGGTCGAGTTCGGTCGGTAGAACGGCTTGAGATAGCACCCTGGTTCCATATTTACTCTGACTTGCGTGCATGATCACTGTTTGTTCGCTGTCTCAACTTCCGCTTTGACTCCCATCGCTGCCAGCCGGCCTCAGCAAGGTCCTCACTTACCACCAGATCGCGTATTCTCAGCAGTCTTGCTAGACTAAATTCCAGGGCCCAATCCATCCACCCGTACGAGCGCAGAATCCCTGTAATAAAGAACCATGACATGGCACAGAAGGCACCAGCAGCGCAACCAACCAAAACCTGTTTAGGTGTGTGATAGTTAAGATAAATGCGACTGGTAGCAACCGCACCTGCCCCGACGCAAGCTGCAATTGCGACAAATAACCGGGTCAAAAAGGAGTGGCCGGTCGTAGGCGAAGGGACATGCCGAAATAGGATGAACAAGCTGATGTAGATGGCAAAGTAGGTGACAAATTGGGCATGAGAGGATGGCATACCGTAGCCCTTGCCGTACATCTCTAATTTCCTTTGGTCAGTAATGAGGAATCTCGACAACACAAGCCTAGATGCCACCTACTCTTAGGCCGTTCCTCCTTGATGAGCCGTTTTAGGACGAAATTTAATGCCTCACAACCCATCTGCCCGGCAAACATCAATATGAGCTCCATCTCCCTCGACGCCCAGGCAAGTGTAACATAGGCGATGCATAGAGCCTGCGGAACCAGCGCCAACCACGCAGACAAGAACGATAGTGGATCGGCGGGGTTCTATTGATGCCATGTCAGTTCATGTGCCAGCTAGGCAAAAAGGGTTCGAATTCAAACTCACATAATGGACATGGGTTAGCGAGAACGACGCCAACGGCACATCGGTCCCCATCTTCACGACCTGGCCGCACGGTCAATCGCCCCAACTCTTCTAGTCGCACAGTAGAAGCCTGTCTCAGGTCGGGTATGTAGTATGTTGGCCAGAAGTCCTAGCCTGGGATCCGTGTTGATCTCACGAACAAGTCATCCAACAACAGTAACCGACAGAGTCATCATGACCAACAAGCCTTGGGTATCGTCAGGTACAGCATTCAACCACAGACCGACAGAAGGGCCAGAACGCGTGGTATCTTCGCTGACGTCGTCGTCGTCCTTCGTCCTTGTTGTGAGGCATGTGTTTTCCTTTTCCTGCCTTGGCGTCCGTGCTGAGCGCTGCTTTAAGCCTTTAACCGCCAGCCTTCCGCCAACCGCGTCCCCTGGCAAAAGCAGCACCGAAGGAGGGGGAGGGGGAGACAGCGAAAGGCAGAAAGAAGCACGGCGATGCTGTTGGCAGGCACATTGCACTGGCAATGTGAAGATCGTCTATTCGAAGGCGAAGTCTGCGAGTTTAACGGGGTTTAAAGGCCATCGTACCTGTCTGTCCACTGCGGGCCGGGCAGCAAAGGCTTTGATGCCCATCGCGTTCAACGCCCCAATGTGTGACGGCTGCCCCTCCTTTGTCGAGGCGTAATTTTTTTTTTCGTGGTGTATTTCTTTTTTTTTTGTGGTGATGCCTTTTTCCCCCCTGTATCTATTTCTTTCTCCTTCTCTGTCTGCCTCGGACATTCGTAAACGTTCAACAACTCCCCTGCACTGCCCAGGTCAGCTTATCAACCAAATCATGACGCATTATCGTCACCCGCACTCCCACTCCCACTTTGATTCCGTGCTTGATCTCGACTTCCTGTTGGACTCGCCTCGCCCTACGCCAGTTATCCTGGGAAGCAACTGCCTTCAATTGCTGAGCTCTGTTTCAGCTTGCTCGCTGTCCTCGAGTGCGAGGGTCCCGCCACCCCCGTGATTGGTCTGGCCAATATTTTGTTCCTGAAGGTATTCCACGGTTCCTTTTTTTGCCGCCACCAGCACTTGTTATCCAACCGTCACTTCTTTTTTTTTAATGAGACTAAATTAACAACGTATTATATTATGACAGGTATATCCCTGCCAATCTGTTGGTCTCGTCTGTCGATCTTTTGCCATCTACCCAACGCACAAACGATGTTATAGTGGGATCAGGTTTCAGCGGCCGGACAACACTCTGCTATGGAAGCACGTCAGTGCTAAGAACACGTTGGAAGGCCGCCCATCTCGCCACGTAATCGAGCTGCGAGGCTAGACACACGTTGATATATTTTCCCGTGAGAGCGGGTGGTTTCTCGTCATGGAAGATTTCGATGAGGACGATCGCTCCGTGGAGCTATTAGCCATCGCCGCCATTTACCCTGAAATCACGACGGACCCTTCTTTCCCATTTCGGGCCTCTCTCGATATACCAGTCGTTCCGTCGTCTCCTCTACAGGTATCTTTCCAGTCGCAGCCAGAGGCCGCTCTGCCTGCGGTGCTCACACCGCCCACATCCCTCGACGCCAGTGACGCCGGTCTCGGCCTACCAACGAAAGAGAGGTTTGACCCTTCAGCCATCAACGTTGCCAAAGAAATCCACACTCTCTCCTACCTCCCGCCATTGACTCTGGAGATCGACCTCCCTCGCGGTTACCCAAGCGAGATGCCTCCGAAATTTCGGATCAGCACCAATCCACCATGGCTGTCGCAATCCCGCATCGCCCAGCTCATCGATGATGGACACCAGCTGTGGAAAGATTGCGACAGGAATCCGGTCATCTACACATATATCGATCATCTTCAGCAACTCGCCGAGACAGCGTTTGGGATCGGCGATATACCCGATGGTGAGGTCTTGCTGTCCCGGGACCTGAAGATCGCATTGTTGGATTTCAACAACAAGGCCGAACGTGAAAAGTTCGAACACGAAACTTTTGAATGCGGCGTCTGTCTGGAACCGAAAAAGGGCGTGAACTGCCATCGCATGCTTCTCTGCTCCCACGTGTTTTGCATCCCTTGCCTTCAAGATTTCTACAATACCTGCATCACAGAAGGCGATGTTGAGAATGTCAGATGCATGGCACCGGACTGCTCAAAAGGCTCGCAAGTGCAAGCTCCAGCGGTGCTAGACTTGGGAGATGCGACTGCGAAGAAACGGAAGAAGCACGACCGGACTCTTAGTCCTAGTGAGCTACTACAGATTCCCTTGGAACAAGAAACCGTTCAACGATACGTATTTCTGAAAAGGAAGAAGAAGCTTGAGGCCGATAAGACTACCGTCTACTGCCCAAGGCAGTGGTGCCAGGGTGCTGCTCGATCGAAGAGACATCCCAAGCCCATTGATCCCATGGGTGATGATTTTGACCTTTCAGATGACGAAGAAACTGGATTCGTGTTTGATCCTCTTGGAGATGAATCACAGCTGCCCCCTATGGCGGACCGAGTAGCGATCTGCGAAGAATGCAATTATGCGTTCTGCTGTGTCTGTAAAAAGGGTTGGCATGGTGAACTTGTTCGATGCTTTCCCCGACGCCAGGAAGAGCTATCCGAGGAAGAGAAGGCGACCGAGGAGTATCTTAAACTGTACACCTCGGCTTGCCCTACTTGCAATGCCCCTTGCCAAAAACGAATGGGCTGCAATCACATGAAGTGCTTCAAATGTGACACTCATTTCTGCTATCTCTGTTCGGCCTGGCTGGCCGAAGGCAATCCATATCGACATTTCAACGATCCCGAGAGCATTTGTTACAATCGACTCTGGGATTTGGAAGGAGGTGATGGGCTCAACCCGGACGGAGCAGAGGCGCTACACCAGATCCCAGATGCTTTGCTTGAATTTGATGAGGAAGATGACGACATCTCCGAAGACGATAACGACTCTATCGATCACGATGATGATTTCAGTGAGAATGCCGATGACAACCCCGTATGGGAGTTTGACGACAGCGATGATGATATCGAACGTCGACAGCCACCCCCTCCCGCCCCGTTTCCTCCTCGTATCAACGGGGCTGCTCGTGGCGCCCGCCACCATGCCCCAGACGCAGCCGGCCGTGCTGCAGCTGCCGAGAGACAGGCGCAAGCACAAGCCATGGCCGAAGTCCGTCGTGGCCGTCTTGATGCCGTGCAACCCGTCCAGCATCCCATCCAGCGCCCTGTTCGAAATCGAGCAGCCCAGCAGCCGCAGCCTCGAGCACCGCCAGTTATGCGGCCAGGTCTGCAGAGATTCCTTGACCTCGTGCAGAACGATCGAGAAGATGAATGGGATAGCGACGAACTAGACGATGATTTTTAACTTCTTAGAGACCCGGCGAATGAAGAAGGGAGATCAAAAAATGTTCCTTGATTATTATGAGACCCGACGAAACCCGACATGATGAACGACCATTTCACGATGATTTAAGAAAAAAAAATTTTTGACACGAGTCACGAAAAGACCAAAAAGGAGTAAGAGCATGGATAATATGATACACTTGGATGTCTTTTCTTTTTTGATATTTTTGGACAACTGATGATGCTATTTTTTTTATTCGCCTAGCCCTGGCTTAGCAATGTTCCATCTATCTATCTCCTGATTTTTTAGCGGTCATTGTACAATTTTCTCTCTATTATCATTTTGCAGATCGTGGCATATCATTATCATCTCTTTATTGGTTTCTGGATGCTGTGTTTCTACCCTGTACAAATGTGATATGATGATTCTCTTGCATTTACACTATTCAGTTCATCATTTGTATTTTCAGCTGTCAACTATTTCCAAGTCTCTTCACAGAATGTTGTAATAGTAAATGTCTTGCTATGACGAGTGGCAAGTTTCAATAGATACTAACATGACTGGCCATTATTCATAGCTTTCTATGAAGGGGTCGTGCTAGAAAGTAGAAACCAAGAATCACCGCATCCCAGCCAAGCTGCTCGGTACTAGTTAACCATGTTCAGGTCAACCATAACCGCCGTGTATTATCTTTATGCCATGATCTAGTACCGCAAATTGAGCCCAAGGCCAGCCTAGCTAGATCATCAGAACGCCCTCCTCCTCATCCAGAGCGGCGCCAGAGGCCCCCGCGCTCCATTCGTACCAGAACTCGTAGGTCATCACGGCATGATCGGCATACAGAAGCAGCAGGCGGTAATGGCGAGAACGGGTCCAGCCTCGCCAACTCTCGTCCGGTCGATAGGCGCGCGAAGCCCGAGCGTGCGATTCGGCGAGCGTGAGGCGAGTTTGATATTCACGCGGCACGTATTCGAGATCGTCGGGATGACGGGCGTCCGTGGTGGTTGACGCCATTCTATCGCCATTGTTGTCGTCGTCGTTTCCTTCTCTGACAGAATCATCCTCACCACGATCTTGCTCCAGGGGCTGATAGTGGAAAGAGAGGTCATCACCTTGGACGGCCCCCTGCGGGATGGCAGGTACGTCGGGGGGTATCTCGAATCCCTGCATGGGGCTCACGGCCATGCCTAGGATGGGGACCAGGGGGCGGTCACCTTGTTTCTCCTGGCTCTGGAAGGGGACGATCCAGTCCACCCTGAAAGCAAGCTGCTTCGTCTTACCATCCCCGTTGATTGTCCCTGTCAGCGAGATCACCGCGACGCGCCCTTTCTGCGAGGCTGCGACGACGACGCTGTGTTCAGGGACATACTTTACCATGTTGAAGCGATCGCAGTCGTGGATCATAATAGGTGGGACATATCTCATATCCTGCTGGAGAGGCTCGCGACAGATAGCAGAAGGCAGGGCGGCGTAGGGGGAAGCGAAAAGCCGGATGTCCGTCTGGGTAAAATGAAGGATGGGAAAACTGAAGCATGTGGAAGCTGGACACCAAAGCATTTCTTTGATTAGCCATTCTTTCGTTTGCCCCTGGTGCCGGAACTTGGGGTTCTCGGGGATGATGCTACGGCACATACGCTCAAAGGACTCATATGCGATCCGACTCGTCCGCAACGGGTTGGTTCCGGCGACAGCACCGGCAACAGCGGCCTGGGAATCAGGATTCTCATCTGCAGCGTCTTCCTCGATATCAAGGATGCCGGCACGAACGAATGGAAATAGTGCAGCATGGAGGAACCTGCTGTCTACGTGTGAGCCTTGCGGGATTGTCTCAGGGATTTCGTCGTCGCCGCCATCGTCGTCCTCGTTTCCAGCAGTACTAGCGACCTGAACGGGAATTTCCTGGGTATTCACAGTGTTGCTATAAGTATCACCGTCAGAATCAAGATCATCTACTGACATAGTTTCTGTGAATACTACTCTCCGCGAAGAAGTATCTGCGGAAACCTGAGGGTCAGTATCCATAGGGCGAGGGAGTTCATCCACGTTAGATTGAAGCGATTGCGCTTCTTCATTTTCATCATCAATTGCAAGAGTCTTCGAAGCAGGGCCTAGGTGCCCATCAAGCAGGCAATCAGAATCGAAAATATTTGGCAGAGATGTCTCGTCTGACCCTGATTCCTCAGGTTCATCGGACTGGTCAGAATCGTCATAAAGGTAGTTTGAAGCCTTGGGAACATAACAGGTCAAGGCCGACAGGTCAAGAATCGCTCCGTCGACCTGTCGATGGTATCGCGGTGCACCACCACATGCCTCAGTGATCGAGTCGTGCATACGAAATGCACGAGGATCCAGTGCAAGGACTGACCAGCCACGGCTTGTACTAATATATATTATCAATAAGAAGCCAACTCATACGGGGGAAAATGCGGAGAACACACCCGTCAAAAAGACCGGGGATATAATCCTCTCCCTCAAAGTCATATTCGTTGAATGGTGACAGACTTTCCCAGATCTTCCAAACAAACATCTTATTGTCAATGTCGGTACTAACCATCCAGTTTCCATTGGGATCAATGTCTGAGTTCAAGAAGGAGACAGAAGGAATGTTTGTAGAATGGCCAGTATACGTGAGCTTGATATTATGCGAGCGATTCTTAAGAAATCCCACGCGGCGCAGCTGAATGAAACGAGAAGGATCATCGACTTCAATCCATGTCTGCCCATCGTTCTCAAAGTCGCTCAAGGAACCCTCGCTATGTTCGGCAGTTGGATCGACCAAGGCAAACGCAAACACAGTGATGTGAGCAGTGTTGGAGCTGACTGCAATCAACCGTGCAAACTTGTGGGTTGCGATTCCCCAGGCGCTTCTTTCGACGAACTCCACGAAAAAGGGATCTACCTGCGAACCGTCGAGTGGGGTCTTGGAACCTTCTTTCTCTGCGCGTTCAAGAGCTGAGAAGATGGACTCGACATGGTATCCGCAGACGTTTCCAGAATCTGTCACGATCAGCAACACTTCCTCGCGGCCGAGATCGTCCACAAGGATGTTGTTGATGGCATGGGGGGCCCGCGAGGATATGTAGCCTCTGCTCTCCGGGTTCTTCATCACTGGTGTGATGATCATCCGAGGCTCTGAGCCTAGAGTTTGCAGTGTACCGGCCGGTTCCCAGACGTAGATCCGATGAGTAAACGCAGTGAACAGAAGGTTGCGGCGTTGAGAAAGCGCAATCTGCTCACGTTTAGCAACACAACAGACATTATCATCTACCGAAAGAGATCTTACCAGATTATTTCTCCACGCCGAAGCTGGAGGAGCATCGTAACGACTGGAGATGATTTTAGTAATTTGCTTCATTAAATGTTCTCGGTCCTGGTAGGAACATACTTGGGATACTGGACAACCAGGAAATCAGACACTTTGCCAGTTAAAAATATAGGGAGCCTGCTGCAATACGACTTTAATAATAGGAGACATACCCGTTCAAGCATGGACTCGACATTCAACGCCTTGAGGTGCAAGTCCTCTCCTGGGCGGCTTATACGACGACCGCCGATTCCGCCACTTTTTGACGACATCTCGGCCCAGACAGCCACAGGCGACTGATCTAAAGCTTAGATGTCTTTATAAAAGCCCTATATTCAGCAGACTTCGATAGACCAGAGCGACAAATAGAGTCGAAGGCAAACTCAGATGATGTAGTACACGGGACTGTCATCTCCAGCAGTTGGGGAGGGGATCCCAAGTCTAGTGGAAGGAAATCCCAGACTGAGAGAAATAGCTGTATTGCCAACACAACCTATTCTTAGTCACATCAGCCAGCACTCAAAAAATTGTTAAGGCAGAGATGTATGATGGTTTTTTTCAAAAGTCCTATAGCTTAAGGGCGGAACTTCTATATAAACAAAGTGAAACATATATAGATGAGAGGTTGCACCTTATCTTAAATCTTATAATCAAGATATCTTATGCTGTATGTCTGAAGATGTCAAGCTCCTTCAAATACCTATGAAAATTTCCCTGTAGAGGATCTGTGTTGAAAGACTTTCTCTTCCTACTTTGCTATATAGGAAAAGAGGTGTAGTTATCCAGCGTCGCTCTTATCAACCTGTCACGTGAATATCTAATCTCATTCTCCGCAGCCATTTACGCCACCCATTAAACAGTAATTCAACCACCACACTTTATCCCGTCAGAAACCCAAGATGGATCTCGTTGCTAGTGTCCGCAAGGAAGGCAGCCGGTGAGTCATGACCGTATTCTTTCTAACAAGCGTGAAGCGACTAGAAACTGACGTATTTGGATCCTCAGCGGCGGCCGCGGCGACTTCAAATGGTCCGATGTCAAGGATTCCGCACACCGAGAGAACTACCTAGGCCACTCGCTCATGGCTCCTGTTGGTCGCTGGCAGCAGGGCCGGGATCTATCATGGTATTCCAAAGGGGATGGACAGGATGACGAGGAAAAGGCGCGAAGGGACCGAGAGGAGATCCGGCGCGTCAAGGAAGCGGAACAAGAGGCCATGGCCCGCGCGTTGGGTCTCCCAGTGCCGGAAAAGAGCGCTAGTGCAAACGCAAATCTCACGCCGTTGGGAGGGAATGATGTTCGGAAGGCTCTGCAGGATACGGTAATCGATATGGATGCTGAAGGTGCAGGAAGAGGTGTTGGATTTGGTGGCTTCAGTGGCATGCAAAGGGGGAATAACAATACGGAGGAGAGGCTGGAAGCTGCCGGTCTGGACTCGAACCATGAGGCAACCAGGAACAGACGGGATCGCAGTAGGAGTCCTAGACGGGATCGGAGACGGGATCACGGCCTCGAGCGGCCTCGAGAGGAACGCAAACATCGTCGACACCATGACGACCGCGAGAAGCATCGCCGTCGTGATCCCCACCACGACCACTACCGGAGCCAGAAGCGCAGGTCGAGGTCAAGGTCAAGGTCCCGGGATAGGGACCATCGGAGAAGAAGATCGACATCCCGATCTAGGACAGATGACAGGCGGAGGGATCACGAACATAGAAGCCATCGTTCGGATCGCGATCATGGCCGAGAACGAGACAGGAGGGAAAGAGATGATGGCCACAGCCGCAGGAATCAATAATAATGCTCTCTCTTTGGAATTAATTGCATGGGCAAAAGGTGTAATACTATTTAGGGATGTAAGAGAACTTTCTGTAATTCAACCATATGGCATATACGACTGTCTATGATTCGATGACGGGTACTATACAGGATGGGTGCCGGTTCAAGCCAGTCTACAACTCGTCGTGGCCTTCCTGCTGGCCGGGGGCGAGGTCGGGCATAGACATCATCTTCACCACCATGCTAGTCCAGCCGGTAAAGTGCTGAGTCCGCTGTCCCTGGCCTGTTTCCGGGTTGTATTGTTCCCAGGCAAAACCTGTCCTCTTCCATTCGCGGAAGACGTTCTCCACCAGGTTGCGCCGCAATCCAGAGTAGATCTTTTGGGCCTGCTCCTGGTGAGGACCAGGGGCTGTCGCAATATCCTATAGACAGGAGTCAGTCTTGATATCCCCCAAGTCTTTGGAAGATAGGGAAAGCGATTTATGACACTTACATAAAGGTTCTTGAACGCCAAGTAGTTGATATTCACCCAGATCGGGCTCCGCCAGTAGTTCTCCGCCGTACCGTAAAACTCGTCCTTCTTGCTCAAGCTTCGGATGCCATAGTCGCTCCAAAGCTCCTCGGGATTGCTGATTAGATCCAGAACAGCCTTGAGGCGAGGGCTATCAGGTCCCAGCATTCCAGTGAGGAAGGGGAAAATCGAAATGTAACCCTTGTGGCAGACATGGATGCTTTCCTCATATTCATCGATGGTTGCATCACAGTAGGTCTGGAACTCTTCGTCCCAGTGAAGGTCATCGACGTTGCGCTCGATAGCAGTTTCATAGACCTTGAACTCCTCGGCATCTTCGATCTCGCCTAGAGCTTCGGCGATGCGGCGCATTGAGCGGGTCATCATGCCCATCCAGCTCAGAAGATCCACATGGAGCTCACCAGGATGCGGCGGCTGCGGTCGTGGGTAGTCGTCCAATCCGGAGGTCAGAACGTGCTGGACAGATCGTCCGCGCCAACGATATCCTTCGCTAGAGGAGAATGCCTCACGGTCGTAGGACTTAATATCGCCTTTCTGGGTTCTTCTGTACCAGAAGTAGTGTCTCTTCAACAACGGATAGATGGAGCGGAAATAGGCACCGGAAAGTTCTGGATGATCAACATAAGCGGAACGCAGACTTTCTGTAACATCCTGTCTGTCAAGGGTCTCGGGAGAGGTAGACTGGTTGACACCCAGCTTGTCTAGGAAGGCCTCCAAAATGATGAAGAGAGTCGGGGGATTGGCATAATGAGGATACTGAACCGTGAACTCGGGTGGCACCTTGCTGCGGGCCTCCGAGCCCAGAATCTGCTCACGGGCGATCCAGCCATCTTCATCCATCAGGTTAAGCCAACTGCTGACAATTTCGAGACTATTGCAGGTTAACCCAGTAGTCGAAAACTACATCAGGGAAGAAATACATACGCAAGGTCAATGTCCCAATCGACGACAGGAATGAGATGGAATCCCTCGTCCCAAAGGAAGCCTCTGGGGAAGAATGGTCGAGAGGGAACGCTGGTGAATAGCTCTTTAGGACCCTCGAGGACAGGCCTAGCGCGGGCTCTGGCTTCTGCAGTCTCTTCCCAGAACCCTTCGTTCTCTTCCTCGTATTCTTCTGCCGCCGAGCGATCCACAATGTCGGAGCCATGGAAGAAGCCAATACCACCGACCAAGTTGGAAAGCATAGCCTTGGAGAATTGGGAGTATTCTTCAGAGTTAAAAGGAGCCTGGGGAGAAAGGACCTGGTCAAAGCGACTGTTAAATGAAACCGAGTTGCTCTCAATCTGCTTGGTGAGAATCTCGGCTAAAAGAAACCATCAGGACGACTTTCAATGTTAAATAGAGATCATTTAGCAAGCGGTCTTACAAGTCATAGGCTGCGGAGAAGACGCCGACGAGAACAGAACATCAAACTGAGGCAACGTTAGTGAGTAATAAGGTACGTTGATAGTTCGTGGCATACCTCGAAGGCTCCATGGAACACCTTCTGCACCAAGTGGATATTGCCATCTGCCGGTGCATTCTTGAGGGTAAACATCTGGGCCGGGGGAGGAGTGTTCTCTGCGCCATAAGTCTCGACGTACTGGTCGACTTCGGCCTTCAGTTGAGTGAAAAGGATGACTGGAGATCACCGCGTCAGTATATTGGTAGACCGTAAGGATCTTGTTTGGATCCAAGTATTCACCTTTTGACTGCCACAGATGCTCGGACGGCAGAAACCCACTGGACACGAAAGTGAGGTCCAAGGGCTTCTCATCATAGCTTGGATGATTGTGAAACGGGTGCTCGTTACTCTCGGGCCCGGCAGTCACGTCGAGCGAGAAATCCCCCAAGCCTGACGTGTAGCCCGTCAACTTGACATCGCCCGTGAAGCCCGATTCATCGGATTCAGTCGCAACACCCACCTGACCGAGACCCTCGAGACCGGTATAGAAGACTAACGTGGTCGCCTGTCCAGCAGGAGCATCCTCACGAGGCACACCCTTAATGCGAGCGCCCCAGTTTCCCCCGTGCTGGCCGCCAGGTACCTTGACGAAATCAATCGTCAAGTCCAACGTGTTTCCCGCATCGTGGATGACTTCTCTGCCGCCCTTGCGGATATCGTACTCCTCCCAACCGTAGCCGGCCATGCCCTCGTTCTGCTCGCAGGTATGTCTGAAGTCTTTTCAATAGCCTTTGGTAAGCAAAACTAATGGCGATGCGAGGGTATCGGTTCGAGCGCAATTGCTGCGTAGGCCAAAAAAAAATAAAACACTCACTCTCCTGCGATCCGGCGTAATCGTTCACACGCGCCCACATCAACCCAGCAAACAAGCTGTTCGCAATCCGCGGCCGAACACCGAAATAGAGATTCGGCTTGTAAGGCCCCCATAGCAGCGACTCGTTCTGGGCTCGGCCAACCTCTTTGCTCAGTATCGACACATCATTGTTTGCCAGGGCTCCGCCGGCGAGGATTAGCGGCGTGAGCAGCTGCGAGAGGGTAGGTGTATGCATCCTGGAGAAACAAAGAGCGATAATTAACCAGGAAATATATGAACCACCTCACGGGTTTCTCATCGAGATGGCTCCTGTTCGGCGGTGATGGTGTAGCACTGAAGCTCCATATATACTAGTTGTCTCCAGCGAGGCGGAAATAAAGCTTGGTTGTCTCCACGCAAAGAACAACGTGGCCCAAGCTCTTCTTCTACGCAAGCTGTTGCTTGACTGAAACGCGTACGCTTACGAAGGATTTTGCAGGTTTCAACGATATTGACAAACTATATTTACTTTGATTTACAAGAGCGATTTCAGAGGAAATTTCTGGGGTCCAGGGAACCGATCTTGGCGCTCTTCGCATTGCCGTCGAAGACAAACTCACTGATTAGCTTACCGGTGCCGGGGGCGTTCTGGATCCCCCAGCAGGTGTGGCCGGCAGCGAGGTAGAGCCCCTTGATGCCTGTGTGGCCGACCAATGGTCCGCCTCTGGCAGCACTGACGTTGGGGAGATAACAGGCCTGGCGCGCCGTGACTTCCCCGTCTCGTAGCTCATCTGAAATGCTGCCGACCTGATCAATGATATCCTGACAGCGTGCTTGATCCACCTGGACATCGGCAGTTGTATCTGGGAGAGGCACTTCGTGGTCGCCTTCACCGCAGGCATACACTGTCTTGTCTGGTCGAGCGTAGATCTCAGGCGTGGCCACGGTTGGGCGCGACGACTTGTCAGAGTGGAAATTGGCCGGGATTTCGATGTTGGTGAAAAGGGTATGGGCGGACACTGGTCTGGTCGGACGGATGACTACGCTGTGGGCGCGGGTCCCCGAGATGGGAGCCGGTGGAAAGACCGATTTTGTCCAGGGCCCCGCGGCGACGACGACATCAGTTGCTGGGATGGATACCGAGGACCCGGTCTTCTTGTCAGTGTAGGATACTGACTCAACACCGTCGGGTGAGCGCACAATGTCGGTCACAGAACCTATGACGATCTTCGCTCCCTTTTCCTCAGCGAGATTGGCGATGGAAGTGGTGAAGAGGTAGGGGTGGACTTGGGCTGTCTCACCGGGCGGACTCATGCTATCATACCCTCTCAACAGGTCCGGCACCAGCCAGTCCAGATCCCCTGGAACACCAGCTGATCTCAGCTTGGAGAGAGAAGCTGCGCTTCGCTTCTGGAGGGAAACCGACTCCCCCGTTTCCCCATTCGATGTCTTTTTATCAAGCGGACGACCGCGCGCGACCACCTGGCCGCAGCCGACCTCGCGATACCCCCATCTCTCCTTACCGCCATGTTCAAGCGCTAGGTCGGCGTGTAACTTGTAACTTAACGGAACAATGTTGCTCGGATATGCCCACAAGGCCAAAAGACCCCCGGCCTTCCCTGAGGCTCCACCAGCAATCTCAGTGGCCTCGACGAGAGTGATCGAGTGGCGTGCAGGATCGTACGAAGGGTGTCTCGTCAAGTAGTATGCTGAGCAGCACCCGATAATACCTCCCCCTGAACCCACGGTCGTTAGTATAAGGCAAAAACAGCACCAACAGCAATTGCGGGGTATCAACAAGCTTGCGTACCGACGATAACGATCTCACGTCGCTCGCTTGTAGCCGACATTTTGAAACAGGATGCAATGCAAGAACGCCGAAGTACAACTGACGCCAGGATGGGGGAGTAGTCGAAGAAGATTATTGCTTCACGCAGTAAGATGAAACAGGCCGAATCTTTTGGAATGAACCTACGTCAGTCTCCATGGATCAAGATTCAAAGGCCAGCTCAGGTCACGTGCTGATCTAGTATCGTATTTATATCGCAACCCATCTAGAACCTGACCAGAAGGCGGACAAAAACGTTGTTCTGGCGCTGTAGCCATACCGAGAGTTATTCCAGGGAGGAGAGTGCACGATATCATGGTAGATTGGCTCAATTTGTACATACAGCCCGATATTAAACCGAGGGGAGAAAAATTAAAAAGAGAAAAAAAGGTTCAAATCAAATCACCACTGATGCGCCTCGAATATGCTGTATGTAATGCGAAATCTGAAAAGTGAGGATATCTGGGAAGAAGCCAACCGAAGAGCGTAGAGGATAATATTCGTCACGAAGGACTGAGGGGCCGGTTGAAACCGCCGGTACGGTTCATGTACTGTCGGTACTCTGTCTTCTTCTCCTTGCGGACGCCGTAGATGTTGTTGCCCGGCACCTTGGTGTTCTTGGTGCTTCTGAAACGAGAGAACCCCATCTTCTTGCGCATCAGCTCTTCAAAGTCATCGTCGCCGTTCTCGTCCACATCCATCTCGTCCTGAGGCCTCGGCGAAGAGGGAGCGCCGTTGGAGGGCCGTCCGTCTCGTGTACGGGTGTCTCTGCGATCATCTCTGCGATCTATCTTCGAGGTCCGAGACGGGGGGGTTCGAGATCTATCCCTCGTACCATTCCGGATGGGCGAGCGTGACCGAAATCGATCGGCTTTCTTGGGATATCCTATTCAAAAAAGAGTCATCATCAGCATGTCATTCAAGACCACAAATATAAGCAGAATCATAACTCACCGCGTCGGTCTTGATGCCTATCACTGCTGACGCTTCTCTCTCGGTCCCTCCATCCGTCTCGGTGTCTGGTATCCCTCCTGTCCCGATCACGATCGCGTCGGTCCCTCGATCGGCTCCTCTCCTTCTGTGGGTTCTTCCGATCTCGCGAGCGAGACCGGTACCGTCTGTCATCTATCGAGTCTCCCCGTCGCGCATCCTCCTTGCGGTGGTCCCGTGCAGACGGTCCATCGCGCTCCTGATCCAACTCGGGTGAATACCTTCGCTTATCGCTGATCTCCCACATGCGGGCGCTATCTGTGCGACGAGCGCGTTTTGTAGGCGGCTCGGCCATTTCCGCCTTTGATATGTGTTTATATCTGTGGGTAGGAGATCGCGGGAGAAGTTTCGACGTGAAGGCTTTGAGCGTGGTGGGAAGGACTCGCTGGATTTGGGGGAGGGGGAGGGTTTCTTTGCGTCTGCAAAAAGCCGCAACCAACCGTGGACAGGAAAAGAAAGGTAGACTCAATTAGAACACCACTATCTCATAACCATCAGCTGGCAATAAAAGAATGTCGTCTATCCCAAGATTGGAATCGGCTTGGGTAGCCAACAAGCACAGCTCGGGGGCGTGAAGTTTATTACGGTTGCCCAGTCGCACCAAAAACGCTATCTGAGGTACCTCGCATACTGGTAACTTGAATGAATCATTTTCAATTTATGGAAGACTTCCAACAAATGAGCAGACTCAATTCTATTCATGTGTGACTTATTTATTTATTCTGGCAATATTACATGATTTAATATGACTTCGACCCAGTACTAATGCCGGAAGTGCTAGTTTCAAGTTCTATTCAAACTGGACAGGCGCAGCTGGACAACTCATATCTCGATACTCCGAGCAGCAGAGTCTTCAGACCAATAGCTATGTGCTTTCCGTCGACCTAGCCGACGTTAGAGGCTAATTCTCTTTTCATTTGCCAAAGCCTTCTAGAGACCTGAAAAGTGGCGTTTGGATTTAGTTGAAATACGAGTTACAGGTACCGTTGAAGAGACCCTCCGCCTCTTTTCCCAATTCTGCCATCATCTCTGTGGCGATTTCCTCAAGGTATTTACCATACCCTTGAGAGAATTGTTGGGATGATTCCCACTGGTCTCAAATCAGGATCTCTTGGGTTCGTGGTGATGATGTGTACTGCCGGGATCCTGGCCCGATGGAAGCCTTAAATGGTTCTCCAAAGAGTTTATATATTCCCTTGACTCTTGATTGATCAAAGTTTCTAGCCTGGATGAGCATACTGCGAGTGTAAAGATTCTCCGGTTGGAAATAATTGACCCCAAACCCCTCGCAGTATCTAATGCACATCATCTAGTGTCAGCAAAGAGAAAAGCGGAATTATTCTCATTGGCTTGGGTAACTGACCTCGTTCACCAAACAGGCGTGATGCCCGTCTGAACCCATCAAACGGAGAGTTGATCAAAAAATAACGAAGTGATACGATTGCGTCCGAAGTGACTTGCCTTCCGACCTGAAGATGCTGCAGCATTTTTGATACGCGTCCCTTTCGTGGAAACTCCCGCTACTACCGCAATACCAGCGCAACTTTGAAAAGCGAGCCACGAAAAAGTTGAATCAGGGCTGTAGCCTAACTTATTGACGCATCTAAGAACTCACAGTTGATTTTCATTGGATGATATCCTCCAGGAACAGACCTAGGTAGGCTTACGAGCTATCAACTTTGCTCCAGCCAGTATAACGAGTCGTCCATGTACAAATTTTGAAGCGCAGGGAGGAGAGAAAACCCCGAAAAAAATACAGTCTTTACCGACAGAAGCAAGAAGATTTAATGATACTCCGTATCGAATGGTATGGAAGTATTTCCTTTGTATTGTGGCGGTGAGTTGAGCAGATTTGGGGCTTGTATAACTACCTGGACAATGTTCCCTCCATGGCCAGGAGCAAAGAGCAAGGATAGAGAGCGACAATGGCAGTACTGTCAGATTTTATTTTTTTCACAAGTGAAAACAAGGCACCTCGTTATGGATCCTTTGAATGCAACTACCGACTCACTGCTCAAGCCATATACGGGACGCTACAGCTATTAAAGCAGTAAACAGGCGAGGCCCAGTGGCCCTATGTAATCGACATTACCACTAGCCAAGAGTATAAGCTCGCAAGCAGACCAAGCCATTTAGTCTAGATAATAATAAACAAATTTACTTCTACTGTAGCTAAGCACATTCCCTAATATTTCGACTACTTACCATTCGATCTGGCCAACTAGAGTTTGTGATACTCACATTACCATACTCCGTACCGTATTTCGACAGAGGCAGCCTTAACGGGCTAGAATAACTTTACATAAGACGGCCCGTCCCGCTGAGCCTCACTTTAATTCCAAAAGAGGGAAAGAACAGAAATCTTTGCGGTCACACCCCTCGTCATCTGCCGACCCCGCAGTTGCTGCAGAATCACGCCTTTTGTCCTTAATACATTTGGGTTTTTTTCATTCTTTAGAAAAAATAAGCATTAATCATGAGCGCGAAAAACCTCTCCCATCGGAGAACACATAATTTACTGTTGATTTCGAAGCTCCTCAGTTTGCGAGACACGGCATCTCCTCTCACCTTATTGCTGGACTCTTTAGAACAACCCGCGACCCCATTAATAAGAGAATATATCCGACGCGCAAAGGTAGCCTAGAATCTCTATATGAGTGCTTCGTCTATTCTTTCATTTTTGCTCTATAGCTGTCTCCAGTGCTAACACTCTGCTCTCACATATAGCTCTCCAAAGTTCATGTGACCTTTATCGCCTTCCAAACTCTCAAGCGACCAGATGGAGTTGGTGCTTTTGTTTCCGCCAGACGAAAACGCCCAGCAGATATTGCCAAGGAAGCCGTAGCAGCTTGTCCTACATCACATAGTGGTCCGTCTCAGTGCAAGATTGTACGTGCTTATATACTAACAGTCCGACGAACAGGGAGGAGACTAATCATCATCGACTCGATCAATCCGCTCCTAAACACACTCGGTTCCGAGGGAACTTTCCACCTACCGAGCTTTCTGAACTCCTTTCTCACACCCGGAATGGCCGAGACTTCGATATTAGTGACCTATCACCAGGATGTCCCCAATATTCAGAATCCAAGAGCATACACGCCCTCTGCGCTCTCAATTCTGACTTACCTTGCAACGACAATCATCACACTACACTCCTTCTCGCACATACTGGCCCACAAGGCTGCACGGGATAGAAGTTTAGCCGCGCCCAGCTTTGGACTCGAAGAGGAACAGGACGGCGTACTTATCGGCTACGCTGATAAAGCAGCCGGCGGTGTCGTGCTTGAGATGGAACATCGACGTAAGAGTGGCCGCGGCGTGCTGGAGTGGTACTATCTCCCTCCGGCATCGCAAACCCGGTCGCAACAAGCAAGGGAGATAGTGACGCTGCTCGACGACCATCCTCTCTATCGACCTCCTGTGGACCTTGATGAGGGAACTGAGCAGGACGAACCAGAATCGACTTTCGAATTACGCTTGACGGATCGACAGAGGCGTGAGAGAGAGGGTGTCGTCCTACCGTATTTCGATGCACAGAATGGTGACGGCCCCGGAGAAGGGGGAAGGATCCTCTACGATATGGGAGAGGAGGATGATTTCGATGAGGAGGAAGACGAGATGTAGAATATCAAAACAATACTACAAGGCTATCATGGCGGTCTAATGGGATTACCCACTACTAAAATCATCGCCTTCTGAAGCATGAGGGATATCTTGTTGATACCAACCCTTGAGTGGCATATTATGAATAGGTGCATTGTGTCCAGCACATGATCGAAGATATTAACTATGCGTACAGCCATACACTTGAGAAGGATAATCGGAGAAGAAGATAACGACGACGGCGACGACTAGAAGAAACGCCACCAAAGGAGAATGATCACTATTAGGCCAACTCCAGCAAATGGCCCGTACTAGAAAGACAGCATTAGTACTCTATGTCGGACTTTGAATGGGGAAAAAATCGCTCTCACCTGTTTGATCAATAGCTCCCAGTTGATGCGAACAGCGGCTCTCCTGTACTTCTTGCTGTCTTCTCGTAGTCTGCCCGACAATTCACCCATTCGCTCCAGACTGTCACCTCGGTATAAAAGATCCTCGATATTCTTCGTCATCACCTTGGTCACATCACGGAGTTCGTCATTCAGCTTGTCTAGATTTTGCGACGCGCGGCTGTCCTGATAAAGCTTCTTGGTGCGTTGGATGAACGTGTCGAACTCGACAAACGCATAGGGCCGCAAACTCGGTGAGAGGTATTGGGATGAGGAATATGTCGTTGTGAACTCGGTTGCGAGATCGGCAAGGTAAGTAAAGGCAAGCTTGCGAGGGTATGAGCGGTCACATATGCAGAGGAAGCAAATGTCGTCCTTAATTGTATAGCTGTCCAATAAAACAAACAAATCAACATGCGTCCTTTCAGGGTGAGATTTACTTTCACACCTACTGGAGGTTATATTGCCCAGATTCAATACTAGCTTGAGGGGCCGAATTGCGGTTCAGTCGTCTAAAGATCATCTTGGCCTGAGACTTGATTTCTGACAGCTCCGCTTCCGCCTATTGGAATAGCGCATCGGGACGCGTTAGCCTAGTCATACATAAAATAGAGGATCATGTTGAAAGCAAACATCTCTCACTAACACTCACCTGTTCATCGTCCACTGAAGCCGCCAGCATCAGGCCTGTCTCACAAACAACAATCAGCACCTGCCTGGCTTAGATCAACCACAGGCCTCGCACTTACCGTCCAGCCTGGCAATCTGCGTTGACTTAACCATCTCTAATATACCGCGAAAACCAGGCGTGCTCGAGAAGCGACAGAATCGCAGTCCACAGTCTCAGTTCGAGGTGTTCCCTGCAAGCTATTGTTGTCCAGTTCTCCCCGGAGTGGAAACATGGCCCGCAAGCGTAAGGCGGTCAACTACGGCAAAACTGGTCAGACAACGAGGTAAGTCGCGGTCGATTGAATAACTATGACCGATTTGACCGGTTGAGGGGTCGAGATCAGTGTCTAATAACCAAACAATGGTTCAGAGCTCGTACTACTCGTGCTGCTAACCTGGTAACCCCAAATGAAGCCGACACAATTAATACCGTGATGTCGTCGAACAACGGCGAGTTGGCCAGGTCCAGACCGAAGCCGAAGCGCAACCCGCCCAGATCCGCAGCCAGAAACCCCTGGGGGGAGAAAGTACTCCTGACAAGCAAGAAATCACGTCTTGTTGATCTTGACCTCGTGGTATGTTTTAATGCAGTTTGCTCCCCATTGAAAATCACTTTGGTACTTTCTGTGAGATTTCCTGCTAATGGTGCTACTAGAAGCTACTTGCCAGGCCCGAAGCATGGGAGTGTCTCGACGAAGACGAGAAGAAAGAGATCTTATCTCTCCTGCCGGAAAACGTTCATCCCGAACTGGGGCCTTCTGATGAGAAGATTGCGCCTTTATCGCAGTCATTTTTACGTTACTCGAACTACTGGCGAGACGGAATACGGCAGTTCCAGGTAGATCTGCAAAACGGCCGCTATGAGCCCGAATGGCTGCTCCAGGCCAGCGAAGCTATGGAAGAGAGGGCCCGCGGCGAGTTTGACAACTTTAAAGAGCGAGAGTTTGAAGAGTTCTGGGGCCAGAAGCAGAAAACGGAATATGCCACCATCGCTGGGGAGAGCTCCAAGGTAAAGCTGGAGACATTGATTGTAGAAGGTATCATTCAAATAGGCGATGTCTGGAAGTTTGACCGGGTTTTTGCAACAAAAGCCGGCAAAATACACGTTCAAAAAGAGGCCAGGGTATGAATATTTTCCATGACCCTTTGAAATCGGATCCCACTAACGCTATCCATAGATTGTGGGCATTGATAAGACGCTGCTGACCTTTGCGGTGCCGCCTGGTCAACGGATTTTCCTTCCATCTGAGCGAGATGTGGTAGTTCAGGATTCATCCCAGCCCAGCCAGCTCGACGAAAGCATTACATGTGAGGGAGAACAGAAGGAGATGGAAGTGCCTCCCCAACTTGATCCTCTACCCCGGGAGACGAGAAGGAATACGAGGTCCCGGTCCACGAAGATACCCGACAGAATCACTGTCGAAATTGATCCATCAAAGACTGGGAAAGAAGAACAGACTATACCCAGTTTGACCGAGTCGGCGCCGACCCCAGCTGCTGGTGTGCCGGATAATATTCTGACAGAGGCGAACGGACAGATGGACCTAGTCATTGTACCGAACATTAGAACGACTACCGCCATTATGACACAGATCGTTGGGATAGACGGTCGGATCAAGGATATACCCAATGGCAATGCGTGGAAGGAGTTCCGTTGTTACAGGCGGAACCAAGATATGGGCAGTCTTTTCGATGTGCGGGAGAAATGGTTTAAAAGAGGTCTATAACTTAGTTGCTGGTGAAGTGAGGTTGAATCGAGCCACAATACTGGTGTAATCAAATGTGTTAGTCAAAAGTCGGCTATCATCCCATATGAGATTAAGTTCCTTCTGGACGGACAAGTATGCCAGTATTAAAGGTTAATATAATGTAATTCGTCTACTAGACATACGATAGACGCTGAACTCTTATCTTATACCCTCGTTATATGCTATTCAAGGCTCCATCTTCCTTTGGCAATCTATACTGATCGGTATCAGCAGCAATATCGATAGCAAAGCTCGCCTGGATGAAATCCTCCAGCTCCTCGCTGACCGTCTTCAGCTTCTCCTTGACGCTCGCTACTCCTTCCTGGCCCACGATGTGACGGGATGGCGGGTTCTCATGCCCACCGATGGCTGTGATCGCGTAGACTGTCTCAGTGACTAGGGCCTCAAAGTGCGCAGGGCTGAGCGGAGGATACATGGACACAACCCTTGGCGCGGAAAAGGGCCCGGTTTCCCCGGGCCTGGCGGATTGAGTACTCTTTATCCCGTCCGTTGTTTCCATGTTGCCGTTGTTCTCTGTGTCCTCTGGCTGCCCGGCCGGAAGGCGAGGGATCAGACGATCGAGGATTCCGCGGAACAAAGGTGCCTGGTTGGCACCTATCGAATAAGCCGGTAGAATTGGAGGCACACTTGTCACCAGGTTGGTGAGAATGCCGATTTCGATGCTGCATTGTAGGATGCTAAGTTTGATATTAAAGGGGGCGATTTCGTAGGCAAGACTCTAGACCACAGATGTTAGACTCATTGTATCTTATGTTATGAGCGGCTTTTAGTCTCAGAGATAGCAGGAAACTCACATCACAGAATCCTTCGAGAGCCCAGCCCGCCGCGCAATACATCGAGAGCCCGGGAGTGCCGAGATGCGCCGCTGTGTATCTGTTAGATTCGAGTCATCTCCATGAGAATTTGCGGCATATCTTACTGATGCCAGAAAGAATCATAATATGGCCGGACTTTTGCCGCCTCATATGGGGCAGCACCGCTTTGACGATATTGAGAGGTCCGAAATAGTTGGTTTCGAATTGATCTCGCACTAGATTCATCGTCTGCTGGGAGGCAGCGAGCTCCTCCACGGTGCCAATGATGGCTATCGACCGTCAGCGGGCCTAATATCAGGAAATAATGACTACCATATCCTTACCTTGACTCGTGCAACAGAGAAGAATATCTACCCTGCCAAACGTAGCCACTGCTTCTGCCACTGCAGCTTGACATTCTCCCATCATCCTAGCGTTCCTGCGTCAGCGCCCGCAGCATATTAATCTACAACTACAGCGCAAAAAAAAAAAAGAAAGCAATCAATAAGGGCCCCCATAAACATAACAGAGGCTACATATCCGCACCTGGTATCCAGAGTCGCCGTCTTCAATCGTTCCGTCCATCCCTCTGCGCGGTGTTCCTCGACCTCGGCCAAGAAGACGTCGAATCCATCGCGGCGGCACTCATCCCGGGCAAAATCTGACGCCAGGAGACCAAGTAACACTGAGTCACCATGCGTAAGAATCTGCCGTGCGACTGAAATACCAATTGGCGAGTCGCCAGCCGTAATCACCCAGACTCGAGGCTCGATGTGGGGTGGGAATTGCGCGCGGAGGGATTCGAAGGAGAGATGGCTGTCCATAGTTCAACAGGGATCGGCGGTTTTCAAGAAGCTGCAACGTCCATCGTGAAATCGATTCCCCCGCACAGAAACGAAACGAGAGCCGACAATATCCTGACGCTTGTCGTGGTGCTGATGACTATCGACAACAGCCTGAGTCGATAATGTCATCGCGGGAAGGGGCACACGGACCACCCAGCGCTATCTGCCCTAAGGCGCCATCAGCCAGAACGTTTGGACCGGCCGCGCTGGCTTCTTCTTTCTCCCCCCTCTCCGCTGTCGTCGCTGCACCCTGTCTTTAGGATCGTGATGCCCGAGCAACAACAACGCCAAGACGAGCCGGAGCAACGCGTAAGTCTGCCCTGTCGATGTATTTTCCTGTTGTTTTTGGTTGGTTCGCTGACATGGGTGCCTCTAGTCCGGCTTTCGCTCCATCATTCAGGGTGTCGGTGTCTTCCTACTCATGCAATATGTGATGACCCAGTTCGTCAGTTCGAAGAACAGTGGTGGTTCAAAGGGCCAGTCTGATGATATAACATCTTTTGCCAACCGCCCGGCTCAGAGCGAGATCGCCGACTACAGCCAGGTCCCGGATATGATCAGCCCGATCTGGCCGGCTGACAGCGCTTTGGATATCAGCGTCTATGTGTCTCCTTCTATTGTGGTCCCTGGCTTCAAGGCGTACTCCGAGGATGCGCTGGTGCTCGAGGAGAAGAACTTCACCGTCGGCAATTATAGTGATACGAGAGAGATCTCGACCACGATCCAGGTCCCGAAGGAAGTCCAGCACAACGGAACGCTGTGGGCGCATTTTTATGTTGCCCTTACCGGCCACCAGTTAGATCCTCGTGCGGCAGACTACAGCACCGACAAAGCTGTTCATTTCTTCCGCCCATTGAACCAGTACCTTCCCAAAAAGAAGGTGAAGAAGTTGAAGAATCTCTTGTCGGACGATAAGGAGCCCGAAGAGGAGGAAGACAACACGCCTGACGTACAGGTGATGTCGTACTACCACTCGAATTTTTCCATTTCGTTGATCCCCAGCTTTGGTACTCAGAATTATCGCCAGATGCACCCAGCCGTCCGTCAGCATGTGCGGTTGGAGTCCACTGGTGCCCGGGATGCCAGCGGGAAGAATGGATGGTACTATCCGGTTGTCTTCCTGAACACTTTCTGGCAGTTGAGAAGCCATATGACCGAGCTGAATTCTACGGTTCAAACCCTGCCTCTGCATCTCACACTGAACAACTTGGCGAACTGGAAGTTCAACTTGATTGCAAGCGTTGACGAGGGTAATAAACAGAATGCTCGCCAAGCTGCATTTGGTGGCCCCTCGCCCGCTGGTGGTGATGGCAGCGAGTTTGAGATGGTCAAGGAAATCCTGCTGGACACGAACATCTGGCTGCTGGGCACAACAGGTGTTGTCAGCATCTTACACATGATCTTTGAGACTCTTGCCTTCAAAAATGACATTGTAAGTTCAATTGGTCGGAGTGCAGTCAGTTCTATTTTGATTTCCCAGCTCTAACCCTCGCAAGGCCCACTGGCGCAAGAAGAAGGATGTGGTCGGGACTTCTGTCCGCACCATCTTAGCCAATGTCTTCATGCAGGCCGTGATTTTCCTGTACCTGGTCGACAATAGCGATAACACTTCCTGGATGATTCTGGCCAGTCAAGGCTTCGGTATTGTCTTGGAAGCTTGGAAAGTCACGAAGACCGTCGATGTGCGCCTGAGGCCTCCGCCGGCTAATTCCATGCTCTCTTTCCTGCCGTATGTCATTGTTTTCGAAGACAAGCACAAACTCAGCGAGACGGAACAGAAAACCAAGGAATACGACGAGATTGCCTTCAAGTATCTCTATATCATTGCCATTCCTCTCTTGGGCGCCTACGCTGTCTATAGCTTGATCTACAACACTCACAAGTCCTGGTACTCCTACATCATCGAAACTCTGGTCGGCAGTGTCTACGCCTATGGGTTTCTCATGATGGTCCCTAGCTTGTATATCAACTACCGTTTGAAGGTAACTTACCTCCTCCTTGGTCTACCGTTTCAAGGATGCTAACTATCTATAGTCCGTCGCACATATGCCTGGCAAAGCACTCATGTACAAGTTCTTGAACACCTTCATCGATGACCTGTTTGCCTTCACTGTCAAAATGCCCTGGCTGCATCGGCTTGCCACCCTCAGAGACGACGTTATCTTCTTTATCTGGGTTTACCAGAGCTGGAAGTACAAGGTCGACTACAAGCGTGTCAACGAGTTTGGCCAGGGAGGCGAGAGTGATGAAGAAGGGGAAGAAGAAAAAGAAAAAGAGGCTGCCCCCACCGAAAAGAAAGCAGAAGCTTCGGTGCAAGCTTCAGGCAAGGACAGCTCCAAGCCCGCTCGGAAGAGAAAGTAATCTTGACATCGTATTCTCCTCCAAGTGAGGTCACTCCGATGCCAAGCTCTCTCCGAGCAATTGATTAACTGTCTAGCCTACTTCTAATTCTTCCTCTACAGTTCGCCACATGGCGCCTTTAAATAATATCCCTACAAACCCTTGTCATTTGAGAAATAGATATGCTTTATTTGCTATGTATTAGTATAGAGGATTAGTAATTGGCTGGCTACTGGGTTGGCTGCTCAGACATTATCTATTTAATTTATAGACTCTTATACATGAAGAGTAGCATTTTAGACTATTAATCAGAAGAAGATTCCACGGTAAATAAATCATTTCTTATTATTGAGTATTGATAGTGGAAGCAATAACCATCGCAATGTCTTGTTTGGTCTGTCCCGCGCGTCAAACCCAGAAGGGAACGCAACGCGACAAGCTGCCGCTCCGCAAACACGCCCAGAATGTTAGGCTTATACTAAAATTGCGATCCAACGCCTATTATGCCCTTTTAATATCCTATATTGACTGAAATGTCGTCTGATAGCAGCCCAGGTTTGTCAGATACAAGGTCGCATTCGTTAATCCTGTAATTGCTGATGGATTTGTAGAAGCCCCGGTGCGACCTACTGGCTTGCTCGATGCCCTCGCCCATCTAGAGACAGGTGAGCTACGGTGATCGCAAGGCAAGATAGCTAGATTATCGCAGCTGATTGTAAGCTTCTAGTTGCACATCTGCCCACCAAGCAGAGACGGATAGACGTCCGCTACTTAGCCAAGGTCATCGCTTCTGACGCGTATGAGGAGGGAATCTCCCCGGCGGCCCTGGAGCGTCTGGTAAACCTCATAACGGCACAGAATGAACTGGATCAAAGCACACTTACCATCCTAATCAAAAACTTATATCCGCAAGATAAAATCTCCACCCAAGTGGTGACCAAGGTGGTTTGCTGCCTCGGCCCTAGCAAGAACAAGCCCTCGGCGGCAACGCAAGCGCAGCTTTTGCGATGGTTGATCCTCACATACGATTACCTTGAAGACAGCACACATCTCTTGAAGCTGTATACAGTGCTCTTTAACTTTCTCGATATGATCAGCTTGCGGAAACCGTTGTGTCATTTACTTTCTCTGCTCACGAGACGCAAGCACGTAAAGCCATTTCGTATCCAGGCGCTTATGGAACTGCACCGGAATTCTGGCGGAGACGAGAAGGAGCTCCTTGGCTTGCTGCAGGTGTTCAAAAACTACTATCCTGAAATCATTATCGGAGAGTCGGGGCTATCACGACGGGCAGGAGCGTTTTTCAAGCACCCTGATCCGGAGTGGTCCAGCCATGTGAAATCTCTCCAGGATAGGCGACTGGAAAGAACGCTGGCAACTGGGGGAACTAGTTTTCAAGTTGTGCGTCGAGGCATAGTCAAGCGGAGCAAGGTGGAAATGATTGTTCCAGACGTGCAGACCTCTCGGGTATCGCAGAACCACACATCGCTGGAGGAGCTACGAAGCATCAGTGACTTTGTTGAGAAGCTGGACCAGATTGAGCCGCCTAACCAAATGGTCTCGGTTCTCGGAGACAATATGGCCCAGAAATACTTGCTGCTCCTGCAGCCAGAGATTGCGAATCGGCGACTGAATGATTGGCTGAATGCGTTCCTGGTGGACAGGTTGGAGCATACTCATGATGGTGATGAAAATGAGCCGGAGGCACTTACCTTTGTCTTGTCTCTTGCGGTAGAATATGCCCGGCATACCAAGGTACGCGAGTTTTGTGCGCGATGTAACTATACAACATTACGGCGCGACTAATGAAACGATTAGGAACTTCCTGCCTCGGTCTCTTCGTTTCTCACTAAATTTCTTCCTTTGTGGAACGGACGAGACCACCGTGATCAAATTCTCGGTCTTCTCGAGTATCTTCCGCATGAATCATTTGAAGTCATACACAGGGACTTTCTCAGGCCGGTAGAAGTCGCTATTCTGAAGACCAACCCGTTTGCAAAGACCACCCTACTTGACTACTACTCTACCTTGATACGACAGTGGGGGATTAAAGTCCGGGTCCAGTCTTCTCCCTCCGAGGAATCGAAGCCCCTGAGCCAACTAATTGCGCACGCAGAGCTCCTGGCTCTGTCTGTTCTCGAAATCCCCCCCCATGCAGGTAACGGGATGAGACCAGCCAGTCTATCGGTCATTGAATTCTATAGCTCTGTCTCTTCCCTGTTCTCTCATGCACACCTGAATGGAAGGATTCGAATCACGGTCCCCATGGCGCCGACAGTCTACACATTAGCATTTACACCCATCGCCTCACTCACTTCGATCCTGGGCTCAATACTCACAACCTACAAAACCTCTTTTGAGACTTCCCTGACCTCCGAGGTCCTTCAGGTCCCTAGCTCTTCCGAGTCATTGTATCCGACCGAGCTGGTGGGCCAGTTCAACGGCTATGTCATGGACATCTGCAACCTGGTGTGGCGGAACCGTGCTCTCAATGCCGAGGATCCAAATGCACTCGGTTGTCTGGTCCCAGCCTCAACCGTTGCTACGCTGACCCGATACATTCGCGACACCAACGAGGCCTCCAAAGAACGCAAACGAGAAGACGCCTTCCACTATAATCTCACTTCAGTGTTCTCTTTGAGTCACCACGCAGCGCTGTGTAACTTTTCTGCGGCCTGTATCGTAGATATCGAGAGGACAAACGGTCTCACCGACAGCCAGCCGAGACTGCAAAAACCCGTGACGCAAAAGGCATTGAGTGCATTGGAGAAAGAGGGCGGTATCAAACTCTCTTGGCAGGAATACAGACTGCGGATGCTCGAATGGCTGGACGGAGTGGGCAGTCAGGGGATTGGCGATCTCATGAGGAGTACGATGAAGGCTTTACGGAAAGAGTAGTGTGTCTATTTAGATCTAATATTTCGCTGTGATGTCTATGAAAGACGAAAAATATTTCAAGCCTTACGGCTGCGAGGAGAATCAAATATATATGCACCCAAACACCATACAGTATGAGCTGCACCCCCCCAATCGAACATCCAGTAAAGCCCAACGCTCATTTTTATCTTTTGTACAGGTAGTATACATCGCGCTTCGATATATCGGGTTAGAGATTGAGAGATGAGGTGTTGATGTAGATATCCTGGATGCTCGGGTCGTCACAGATCGCATTCAACGCGTCTTCGAGCTCTCTGGCCTGCTCCTCGTCCTCGACGGTGACCATAGTATCCTTGTTGGGGTCCCAGAAAATCTCCAATTCCTCAACGGTGAGACCCATCAATTTACAGAGGGTCTCGCCCACGCTCTTTGTCTCCGTCGGTTCTGTGTAGACGACGAGGCGACCGTCTCCGTCGGTCGTGAAGTCCGTTGCGCCTGCTTCGATTACCTGCTCGAGACAGGCGTCCAGATCCAGCCCGTCATTTTTCTCAAAGGTGATCTTGCCTTTCTTCTCGAACAGATACGTCGTAGGCGTGACGGTTCCTCCGGCATTCTTCACAAGAGCCCGTACATCCTGGAGAACCCTTCCCTTTTGGTCGGTTTGGCATTCAATGACCACAGCAACGCTCGCGGGTAAGATTGCTTCGATTGTGACAGGCTCCAGGGCCGCCCCTGATACACTTTTCCCTTGCCCTCGCGCCAGCGCTGCCTCGATCACACTCTTAGGGACTCCGGCTCGCTTTGCGTTGGAGAGAGCGAGCGTCAGACGGGGGTTGAACTTGGGATCCGGTCCCCACACTATATACAGCACGAATTGCGAGTCAGTCAAAGAACAAGAGCCTCGAGAAGAATAGAAACCCATCACAAGAGCACACCCACTCTGAGTCACGCTGGCTATCTCCTTGCTGAGCAGCTGGCGCTCTTTGCTCTTCGCCTTGTCGTTCTTGGCTTTATCATGTTTGATAGTTGACCACTTGCTGTGTCCCGATAACAGCACCGAGGAGCTGCTGAAGCCACGCCAGGAATCCCACGCCCATTTCTTCGCAGCTCCAGATGCTAGCAGCCGGTTTCTGCTCACAGTCGTCGCCATTGCTCTTTGCAAGGCCGCCTCTCTCTCTCCCCCGTCTTGCCTGCTTCGGCGACGATCATATCAGCTCGGGCCGAGTTTAATCCGCCTCCCCCCCAGACGGCCGGGCCTTGAGGACAACTGCCCGATTAGGTGATCGCGACAATCCCACCGCAAGTACCCTGCATACTCTTTTGTTTTGACGAATTCCCTTTCTTTTCGCGGTGTCGATAACGGTTGATGGATAGACCTGCCGGCGTTTCTCTAGGATTCAATGTCTTACCCTGCAATTGTTCCCAGCACCGCTCCGCCGTCCGACAGCGCTGCACGTGCGGAGCTCGACATCGCTAAGCTTCACGCGCTCCCCTCCGAACAGCAGGATCTCTACCTTCTCTCGTTTACGTCGGACCTGGTGCAATATGTGTCGAGTCTGGACCCGGCGCAGATCTCGGCGCAGCAGAAATTCCTGAAAAGCGAGCTCTTCAAGGTCATTACCCTGTCCTCGCCGACAACTACTCGAGTCCTCCGCAATAACCTGGGCCGATGTTTTGGGGCAATTTTTGGGAAGGGAGACCGGCTTATCCTCTATGATACAATTACAGAATTGCTGGCGGTCCTGAATTCTGGCAAGAGCGAGGCCGAGTTGAGGTCGAAATTCGCCGCGGCACATTGTTTGGGCGAGGTCTTCGCCGCCGCGGGGGAGAGTGCCTTTGCACAGTCGAGCAATGTGGCTTCGAGTCTGCTCAAGTTACTGAAACAGACCAGTAACCATGCGGGGTTCCGTGGTGTGGTCTTTGCCGCTCTCCGAAAGATCGTGGTCGGGGTTGGCCTTCCGGTGGACGAAGCGACGGCACGCGATGTCTGGAAACAAGCCCGGAATACTGCCACAGGCGACAAGTCGACCTTTGTACAGGTCAACGCCTGCCGATGTCTTGAACAGCTGGTGAAGATGACGCCGTATTTTGAGAACTCGAGCGACTTTGATCATTTGAAGACAGTCATTTGGAAGGTGATTGACAGTCCTGTCGCGCCTGTAAGACATGCGGCTGCTGCGTGTCTTGCTCAAGCGCTGGTCAAACTCCATGCCACTGAAATCCGAATTGACCCTGCTCCCAAGCCCAAGAAGCTGAAGAGAATGTCTAAGAAGCCAGCCCCTAGACCGGGGGATGACGAGGATGAGGCTGATGCATCGGAATCTTCCGCGCCAAAGAAGGCGGACTCACGTCTGTTCTTTCTACTCCCAGACCTTCTCCGGCAGCTGTCGACGCATTATTTGAGAAGTACCACCTCGAATCGCACAAGGGCTGGCATTGCGGTATGCTATAAGCTGATAATGCGAAATCTGGGAGACAAGATTGTGGAAGAACGTTATGGCCAGATTGCGACTCATTTCCTATTCGACCTGCTGAACCACCCGACAATTACATACAATCGCTTCCGCCTTCTCATGACAAGAAAGTTTGTTAAAAACATACTGGAGGAAGCAGTCGGTCAAGAGCTACTGCGTGAGAACACTCAAATCAACGCCGCCAGGTGGCTCATCAATGATGTCCTGAAGGACTACCCGCAGGTTTTATCAGAGCGTCGGGAACCCAGCAAGTATTCTCTTACTAGTGCTGTCAGTGCATTGTCATCCCTGATATCATCGTTGGGATCTGCCTTTGGTGTCCTTGCGGAAGCTTGTCGCGAAGCCCTACTTCAGGTCCTTGCCCACCCCAGTTATACTGTTCAAATCCACACTGCACAATGTCTCCGCAAATTTGTGTTAGCATGTCCGCATCAACTTCTCTCGTGTGTGACGATCTGCATGAACAGCCTAACTAGAGAGATCGGCCAGCTTGGCACACCTAGGCAGTCCCCGAGGCGTTGTCTTGGGTTCGCAAATGGGCTCTCGGCGATGCTCAGTACATCCCGTTTGCAGACGTTGTACGGCTCCGTTGATGTCTTTTCGCGCGTGTTCACTCAGGCTACCGGTCTCCTGAAGACAAGCAGTAGTGCCGAGCTGCGTGCCGCCAGCACGCAAATTCAAGTCGCATGGATTCTCATTGGAGGATTAATGCCCCTTGGACCCAGTTTCGTCAAGATTCACATCTCCCAGCTGATGCTTCTGTGGAAAAACGCGTTGCCAAAACATGTAGGAAAAGAGAATATTGCGAAGCGTGGGAGTCTGGAGATGAGTTTCTTGGCACATGTCAGGGAATGTGCCTTGAGCACTTTACTCGTTTTTCTCGAATTCAACAGCAAACTAATCACTGCTGATGGTGCGAAGCGGATTGCTACCATGCTTCAGCACACGGTGGAATTCCTCGATGAGCTGCCGCGGCAGAAATCATTGGAAGACATCTCTCAGCGTCTGTTCCCTTCTTTGCAGCTACATGATTTTTCCACCATGGTTCGACGTCGTGTCTTGCAATGTTTCGCGAAGTTACTACGGGTCCATCACCTCAGCCATGGCGATATCATTTCCCAGTCAAGTTTGCTGAGTTTGGCAACATCGTATTTTGCGGATCCAGATGCATCTCTGTCAAACCCACTTGAGAGCTCAATAGCCGGTGCAACTGCGCAATTCGAGAACCTCTGGGAGCTCTCGGATAATTCTGGCTTCGGCGTGACAGGCCTCGTTCGTGAGTATATAAGTGCCACTTTGTCTGGCAAGTTACAGAACGACAATGGTCCAGCGTGGTCTGCGGTCAATTCTGCAAATGACGTTATCGATGATGTTGTAAGTGGAAATCTAAAGCCGGTTGGTTTGTTGACAGGGGGCTAATTCTTTTTGGCAGTTGACCTTCCCAATCTGCCAGGCCAGTGAACATGATGCCGTTCTCTTGTACTGTTCAAGGGACGGGGATTCTCTGGTTGCCGAACCACCTGCTACTGGTGTTGTTAATGCTGCCATAGACCTGTTTTCTATTGCGATTCCTATACACGCTCCCAAAGTCCAGGAGGGCAGCGTTGAGCAGATTGCCATGTTCCTGTCATCTCAGACTCTTCAGCGGAACCCTGGTCGGAAGGCTGCCATGACTGTAAACATTGCAGTGGCATTGCTTCATTCATTGAAAGTCGCCACCAAAGAGACAGAGTCCGCTGCTGGAAACTTGAGTCCAGCAACTGATAAAATCTTGCAAGAGTTGTTTCAGGTAAGTCGGGGCATATCTTTCCTGGTTGATTTCGTCGGCCTAACTAACCCTACTGAAGACTTTTATCCTGGACGCCGATCCTGTCATACGTACGATCGGTGTTGAGGCTCTTGGTCGGCTTTGTGACAAAGCAGGTAACGCTCTCACAAACACTCAGATCAACTGGCTCGTCGATACCATTGTCGAAAACAGAAACCCGAACACGCGTGCTGGCTGCGCTGCTGCTCTGGGCTGTATCCACGCCCAGGTGGGTGGAATGGCAGCGGGTCTTCATTTGAAGACCATTGTCGGCGTGCTGATGTCTCTATGCAACGATCCTCATCCGGTCGTCCACTTCTGGGCTCTCGGAGGTCTAGAGAGGGTGGCCAATTCTGCCGGTCTGACGTTTTCGCCTTTCGTCTCCAGTTCGCTTGGAATGCTTGCACAACTGTACAATGCTGACTCCCATAACGAGGAGGCGGCTTCACTAGCAACATCCAACTTTGAAATGTCTTTTCTGACTCCGGTCGTTATAAGTCGCTGTATTGACTCCCTGATCAATGTCCTTGGCCCGGACTTGCAAGATATCACAAAGACGCGCAACCTTATTCTTACCCTACTCAGGCAGTTCCAGTTGGAGGAAAACCCCGCTTTGGTGACTGAGAGCTCTAAATGTCTGGATCATCTCTCGCTGTACGCACCGGCATATGTGGACTTTTCGGGCTATGTTAGACGCCTCCAGACTGAGCTTTCAGCCAGCAGTCTGTTAATGCGAGAAGTCGCCGTGCGGGGACTCAATAATCTCATGAAAAGGGATGCCCCATTGGTCATCAAAACCGCCACACCAAGCCTGGAGGATGAGATCTGGCTAGCGCTCGACGATGCTCCTGATACTGTGTCAATCAGAAGCATGATCCAGGATTGGTTGCAGCAAACAGCACTGACGGAGACTGGGCTCTGGATTCAGCGGTGCCAGAACGTTTTGAGCAAGACACGCACGAAGGTGGAGGATCTTCCGCCCGCATCCACAATTAAGACTGCCGCCCCAGAGTTACCGGATGATGAAGTTGCAGGATTTGCATCTGCTGTCGCTGGTGCAACGCAGGTAGACTCTGCAAACGAGGCTGTTGCTAGCCAAGAGCTACTCAAGTGGCAGACTCGTAACTTTTCAATGAGTTGTCTCAGTCAGTTACTCGCAACGGTGCAAGAGGCCATTTTGCCAGACCAAACAATCCCTGCAGAGCTTGCTCTTCAGCACAAAGTCGGCGATATTGTTCGAATGGCGTTTTCCGCATCCACTGCCAACGTCGTAGAACTTCGAGTTTGGGGTCTAAAGATCATTGACCAAGTCCTGAAGATGTTTGGAAAAACTCCTGATCCCGACTTTGCCGAAGCATCCCTTCTTGAGCAGTATCAGGCTCAGATCGGCTCGGCTCTCACCCCGGCATTCGCGGCAGATTCATCGCCAGAGCTGGCCTCCGAAGCAATCAATGTATCTGCTACCTTCATCGCAACAGGAATTGTTACAAATGTCGATCGGATGGGAAGAATTTTCAAACTTCTTGTTCTTGGACTAGAAAGCTTTGCTAGTGGGTGCTGAATCCGCCGGGTCTTTCGTCCTTCTTACTGATCTTTTTTTTTAGAAAACCCCGAAACGACGGAGATTGGAGACCTCAAGGGGCTCAACTCAAATGCCAGGGTAATGGTCCAAATGGCTCTCTTCTCTGCCTGGGCACGCTTGCAGATTGCAAGTGCCGAACAGGACTATTTGAACCAGGTGGTCCAGCCTTATCTTACCCGATTGACACCCCTGTGGCTCTCATCTCTGCAAGAATTTGCCCGCCTGCGTTTCGAGCCTGATATTTCAGGCAGCTTGGGCACTCCCCAGTCCGGTAGTCTCGATGAGGTGTACGCAGCACTCAACCGCGAGACCTTGTTAAAGGTGAGCCGGCAATAGTCCTTACTCATGCTCCCTTGGCTAAATCCAACTCTTTATACAGTTCTACCAAGATTCCTGGTTGAATCTCGTTAATGCGATTGCTGGTCTTGTCGAAAAGGATATTGACTTTGTATTCGATGCGCTCGATGGCAAGTCAGCGCTAGCAGAAGCCGAGAATGAAGACGGGGACGAAGCCAATTCTGAACTGACACCGGAAGGCAAGGGTCATGACATCAATTACCGCGATGAACCGGTTGCATTCTTCTTTGTCTTGTTCGGACTGGCCTTTGAGGCCCTTGTTGATCAGTCTACCTCTCCAACACAGCGTTTGGAGATTCTTCAAGCCCTCAAGAGGATTTTTAGGCCGGTGATATCTGGAAACGCTGTGTACCAGGATGCCATCTTCTCGGAGACCATGGACAGTCTCGATCGTCTAGTATTAACTGAAGGGACCCCCATTCAGAACGTGATCATCGAGATCGCTAGGAACTTGTCCCTGGATCATCCTTCTGCCAAGGGCAGTGAGGAACGCAGTGATCATCTATCAGATGATATTGAACAACTTTTCGAGCTCACGAGGAGTATTATTCTGGTTCTCGCCAGTCTGTTACCGAACCTTCGCGAAGCTACCCCCCTTGCTCGATTCAATGTCAGATCCGACGAGTCTCTTGCTCTCATCCGTCTCTCACTTTCTTCCTTGGTTGACGTTGCCTCGGTATTTCCTTCTATCATCCGTCATGATCTTCATGCGTGCATCTTCCATATCTTTACGACTATCCTTGCTACAGGAATATGCCAGGACGAGGTTGTCCCTCAGGCTCTTCCAGTCTTCAGACAATTTCTCAATAGTATCATCGCTGATCAGCAAGAGGCAAGCCCCGAAAATCTCCGGGTTATATCTCGGCAATTGCGGGGTTGTCTAACCCGTTTCCTCACTACCCTCACCATTGCCCAGCGCAGAGAGTCCGATTCTTCATTGCCTTGTGCGAAGAACACGCTCTTGGCGATCACGATTCTCCTAACTTCCGCCGGGCATCTTATTCCTCCGCAGGATCCTATCCTTCCCCGTATTTTCGCTGAACTTTTGGACTGCCTTCAGGATGTCGGTCTTGCAAATGTTGCTGCAGGCTGCCTTCGTTCGATTCTGCTCTCTCCAGGTCCCAGATCTCTCACCAGTGCGATGATTTCCAGGCATCTCATTCCCAGACTCATCGCATTCTTGGTCGGTTCTTTGACTGAATCAGGGGATGTCCCCAACGATCCGGAGAATTCCAGAACCGTCATCGCTCGCACGCTCGTCTCATGCGTGACAACGGGCACCTTCTCCCCCACCGAAGTACCAACAGCCATCATGCTTGTCGTATCCGCGCTCCTATCCCGTGCCAAGCGAGAAGGGTCGAGTATCTACCCCGAAACCGCTTCTCTGTTGCTAGAGTTAGCAAAGGCCGGCCAGCCGATCTTCCGCGCCCTTGTGGCATCCATGAATCCAGAGCAAAAGGCTCTCCTTGAGGAGATTCTGAGGAGCGCCGAAATTGGATCTAGCGCAGGCAAAGCGAGCAGACAGGATGCGCAGGGTGATCAGAAGGCCATGCCAGCAATCACTTTGCGGATGGACTTTTAGGGCTGCATCCTTATATATAATTAGACATATAAATGAATAATCTAAGAATAAATGAGTTATGACTTATAGTGTTTATTGTTATTGCCTGTATCTAAGAGAAAGAATTCATATAATGGTTTTGGAGAAGATGCTCCTGATATTATACTAGAGTAAATTAAGTGCTTCAGATACTGTCTGAACCTGGGAAACCTAGTAGTTAATTGAGAATATATTCTTAGCGTGGTTAAGCTATGAGAAACATGAAAAAGAACCATTCAAAAAGATGAAACCATGTAGAATTAATCTATTGACACGTCCAGTGTATGAAAAGGGTATCTAGGACAGTGTATGTGGATCAGGGACACAACAGAGACAATAAATAGACAAAGGAGAATGGAATACACGTCTATGGCCAGTAACACCGTATGAAAAAAAAAAAAAAAAAGTCAAGGCATATTACTCTAGCACAGCCTTGGAAGACATAAATATAAGAAAGGCAAGGAAGGAAGACGGGGATCGATATAGTGGATGATCTTCATCCCAACGATTCGCTGACAATAGCTTCGGGAATAATAACATCATGGAAGGGTACTTCAGGCTGAACCGGATGGGCTTCTCGAGGCCGGGACTCTGCGATTTCTTTGGCGGCGGCGGCTTCTTTGGCTTTATGTGACTCGGCAGCCATGCGGTAGGAGTAATATCTTAAGAAGCAGATGATCATGACTACAGAATTAGTCTTATTTCAAAGATTCCAAGAAAAGAGTAAGGGGAAGTTTTACTTACACGCACTAATGCCCACGGCGAGGGCGGCTCGGCGCGTCAAAACCCACCGAAGAGATTCGATTTCACTTTTACCGTCGCTGTTGAGGGAGACCGTGATCTTATAGTTGATCTCTTGAACGGAGGTGTCGATGCTGCGCTGCAGCTCGCGCGTGGCCATCTTGTGGTCATTGAACATCCCCTTGATGTCGTCCTTCATCCCGGCGAGTTCCTGGTTCAGGCGCTGGGAGAGGATGTCGGCCTCGTGCTCCAGGTGCGTGCGCGAGGCGCGCTGCTGCTGGACCTCCGAGTTCCGAGCCGTCTGGAGGGAGGACTGGAGCTCCGAGCAGGCGGCCTTGAACAGATACGACTCGTTCTCGACGTCTGACTTGGATGTCAGAGACTGTCGCGCGAGGTCCAGGTTGCTTTGTAGAATATTCCGGATAGCCTTCATGATTGTCACGGATTGGTCCTGTGAGAATCCACCGTTGGAGAGGTCGCGCACAAGGGTCCATGTATCGAAATGGTGAACGTAGGGCGAAGGAGACAGGTGTGGAGGCTTTTGCGAGTCGGCAGGAGGGACTCCCGACGGCGTCATATACGTCGCCGGCTCGGGCATATGCAGCACATCCTCTAAGGGGTTCTTCTCATTCAGGTTCGGCGGTGGGTGTGCTTGTTGTTCCGCTCGGTCTTCATAATAGAACTGCGCGGGGGTAAAGTCCACGGCTGCGGCCTCGGCAGGTTCGGTCTCCTCCAACAATTCATCCGCTTCAGCAAGGCTGTCACTGCTCTGCGTGTGACTCGAGGCCGTTTCGCTAGTTGGCTTCTCCAACGGTGACATCTCTGTCACCGGTCGAGATTCTTCAGACGATGTCGCCGCGCTGCTCTGAGGTTTTTCGGGACTGCTGGTGTCCTTCTGTGCTGCACCTGGCAAGTGGCCAGACTCCTCCTTTGGGCGCGCCGGCGGAGGGAGATTCGACTCCCCTGCGGCTGGTCCATACCGTCGATGAAACGTCTGCTGCCCGCATGGCCTGCTGGTGTGGAAGCCGGTCCTCGGTGTGGTGGCAGTCGGTCGGAAGGGTTTCGGCTTCGGTCTCGGCTTGCAGGAGCGGACTGCCCGTATCAGACTTGGATACAGGAATGGGAGCCTGGGAGCCGCCATGGTGAAGGTTAAGGAGCGAATGTGACAGACAGTCGGGGAGTGAGAGATGGACAACGAGGTTGGTTCATCTTCGCGTTGATGGAGAACACTTGGGATTTCCCGCGGCGAAGCGACCCTGAGTCCGGAAACGTGACGTTGTCCGTGGCGATCCCCCGCGATCATTCGTCAACAGCGCCGATGACTCAGTCAGAGAAATAATAACTCCTGGTATAGATCTTCACCATTGAATATGTCCTACATAGCATATAGTGAGCTATAGAGAAGAAGAGGTTTTATCTTTGGCAATCTTATAAGCTTATGGCTTGGTGTTGGGTATATGTAATAGACTGGGTGGTCATTGGCCACTGTTGACTTGGGTGCGTAACCAATAGTCAGTTGAATAATTACTACCACACTGTCAATGAACTCTTTATTTACAGAGAAGATGAATATAATAATATAGCTTAAAATCACGCAATGGATTCCAGGATCTACCTCCCGATCAATCACAATCCCAGGGTACCAGCTCAATCAATTTGATTCAGCCACCAGAAGCCCGAAGAGCAACTGCGTACGTTTCCAATATTCCGTGGCAGTTTTCTTTAGACCCTCAGTCGTGGTACTATCGAGATCAAGACTATCCTTTATTTCGACAACCATGTCACCTAGTTTAGTGGATGCTGCAGCTGGAGGAGCGAGCGCATTCTGAAGGAACAAGATATCGAACAAGAGCTGGATTCTGATGTCCCGGATATGGTCTTCTGTTCTTGTGTCTTGAGAGTCCTGGTCATCGACCGAGCGATCAGGCTTGTCTGTTGTCTCTAGCTCGGCAGGCTGGTGCTGCTCGTTTGTAGCCGTCGCTGGGGGTTTGCAGGTGTTGCCGTAGGCTGCCTTGAACGTAGCCGACAGTTCCGTGTCCAGGATGTCTCGGAGCACCTGCATCGTCGACGGATCCCACAGGTCCTGACCAAGTTCTTCCAACAGAGACATCAGCCGCCGCAAGTACCTAAATGCATTTGGAGATGGTTGGGATGGGAGAGAAGGCTCTCCTTCCCACAGCGTTCTGCCTGGAACCCGTTTGGCATTGCCAAAGTTCAACTTCTGGACGTCTGTTCGGTTGACAACCTCCGTAGTGAGCATCTTCTGCAATGCAGGAACAATACTTTGCGCGAAAATGAACCTCTTCTCCATAAACTCAGCAGGAGCGTCTCTTCGAATCTGTCGAATTAGGCGCAACATAAAGGTTGATTTGCCGCTTTGGTTCGACGTTTCAAACATGTCAAAAGCAGTACCGAAGGCAGCCTGTAAATTCTCGAATGACTTTCCGATTGCTTCCTTCAGAGCATCCCATAGTAGACGAGGGTCGTCTTCATTCAATATGGTGGCGACATCCAAATCAGGGTCTTCATCATCGTACTCATCAATGATCTCATTCCATTTGATCACCCGCAGTCCAGCGAGTAGTTCTCCAGAGCGACGAATGTCTGCTAGCCAAGTCTGATAGTTCTTCAAAGAAGCATTGACATTCTCGTCGCGACCAAGCAGCCTATCAGTAATCACTTGTTTGAGGCCAGCAGCGCCGTTCGAGTACTCAAAATTTAGCAATTTAGAATCCCACAGCGATTGCGCTCCACTGTGCTCAACTTCGTCCCATGTTGTAATTGTCAATGAAACTTGCTGGCCAAAGTGTTCCAAGGCTTGAGCTTGGGTCGATAGAAGTCTGGTGATTGATTCATTGAAGACTTTCCGAATACCGTCCAAGACAGCTAACGATGAATGGGTGGGTGTTGACGCCTTGGAAGACAGCCAGCCTTCCAGTGTTTTCCTGCGAAGAGCAATGAGTCCCGAGAAATCGTTCCAGGTTGCGAGCGCGTCCTGGCAGCCTGACACAAAACGATCCAGCGCTTGGGTAGACCATGTTTTCATGACCTTTTCGGATTCGGCTTTGGACATTTCATTCGTCTTGATCCAGGGCGTAAAGTTCTTGACATCCACAGCGACCCAGCGCCCGAGGATGTCAATGTCCAAGTTGTCCAGAGCTCGAATCTCCGGGTCACTCAAAATAGGGCGCGCTTTGAGTTTTCCGAGCGTATCGGACAGTCGACGTGACAAGAGAACCTTGGTAGTCTGAAGCGTCCGGATATACAGCTTCAAAGCCTTCAGGACGTGCGTGTCAGAAAGATTGTTCAGCGCTAGTTGACTGCTGATTCCATCCAAGCGAACCTTATGGAAGTGATTGATGGCGCCATCGGAAGAACTACTCGTCGCAAGACAGTACGCCGCTAACGTTTCGAGAATGTCCTCGGTCGTTGAACTGGCAGCAGCCAAGCGTTTATCAACGCGCCTGAGCAGAGTCTGTCTAAGGGTAGCCAGTTGATTTCGCAAGGTCTCCAGGAATGGCGGCATAGTCTGCTGCTCCGACAAGGTCTTGTGTATCAGGCGAGAGACGACCACGAGCTTCGCGATCAGCAACGGTGAGCTCTTCTTCCTCAAGAGTTTCGAGATCAGGGTCGTCGACCGATGCAAAAGCGCAAGCTGCGCGCCTGCAGTCTGCTTCTCTGCATCCTCTGTCCTCGCTTCGCTTTTTATCTGAGCAACATGGGTTGTATAATTCTTTTCGATCAGCCTCGGATTGCACCGATGGCCGATATCCGCCAGACTCGAATCCACTTGTTGGATTTCGCGATTCATAGCCACAATGGTCTCGGCAGTTCCGAGCAATTCCCTATACCTCGTTCTGTATGACACCGTAAATGTTAGCCTAACAAGCCGCGGCCAATTGGTCTGTTTTCAAAGGACATACCCGACCAGCGCACGTAGCTTCTCCTTATTGCTCGCGATGTCCCGGCGAAGCTCCTGCTCCACACGCCGCACCGTGGGAATTGGATACTGAAATGCCTCCTTCCATGACTTCAAAGTCTGGGGATCCGGTATTTCAGATGCCATGACGGCGCTGGAGATGGAGCGAGCTCCGGGACTGGGATGGTTGCGTGAAGCTGCACTTCTCAGGCCAGATCAACATACCAAGGGTCGTTATCCTTATCAGTGCCATTCTGATCGGTTTCACCGCCCGAATTTTTGTCACTTCCCCCACCATCATCGCGAGATTCAGTCGCCCATCAAATCTTTTCTGAGTGAGAGTCCAGATTCATCGTGAAGAGACAAAGATGCCGCTCATAGAGCCTAGTGCTGGACTACCTGTGGAGGAATCATCCACCGACCAGCTTCCAGGGCTGCCATTTCCGCCACTGACTCATTCGCACATCCTCCACTGCTCTTACGACTACTGGCACCCGCTGTGAGTATTTTGTTTTTTTAGGATATTCTGTGTGCGCCTTGAATGCTAATCTAGCTGTCTTGGCAGTTATCGAACAGTTTCCCCTAAAGCGCGCACTATTCCTCTCACCGAGCCGTTCCTAAAGTACCTCCGCGCGGATGGCATCGTCCTGCCTCCAGGTGAAACCAACAGCACCTCCGCCGAGGACGACAACCTTGGCGGATTCTCCGACGAAGATGAGGACGAGGAACCCGACCCGTCATTCGAATGGCCGGATGTTCACTCTCGTGTCAAATCGACGATCGCGGAGCTAGGAGGGAAGGTGACACCAAAGTTGAACTGGAGTGCACCCAAGGACGCAACGTGGATCTCCGCAACGAACGATCTCCAGTGCACTTCGGCGAATGACGTTTACCTGCTGCTGAAGAGCAGTAATTTCATCACACACGATCTAGAACATCCATTCGACGGGTGTGTGTCCGACGAGGGTTCAGCGAACTCGCCGCCGGCCATCCCCTATCATCTCGTACTACGCAAATACTTCAACCTCAACCCATCTCTAGAATTCCGATGCTTCGTGCGCAATCGTGTGCTGCTGTGTATTTCCCAACGTGACCAGAACCACTTTGATTTCTTGTTTCCAATGCGCGACGTCCTCCGGTCCCGCATCCAGTCGTTCTTCGACGACAAGCTCAAAGATACCTTTCCGGACGCAAGTTTTGTCTTTGACGTCTACATTCCACCTCCGCATGAGCGTGTCTGGCTGATCGATATCAATCCCTGGGCGGATCGGACCGACCCCATCCTCTTCAGCTGGCTGGAAATATTGCAAATGCCGGATCCAGTAGGCATTGTCGAGGAGGATGAGGATGGTGCAGAGGATCAATTTGTTCGACTGTCTCTTAACCCGGACGGTACCGCCAGCGTGGTGGCTCATGGCTCCGAGCAGCTAGACACTGAGAGTGAGCCCGATTCTGAAGACGAGGGCGAAGACCCAGCACCCCTTCTTGCCGAGTTCCGGCTCATCAAGAAGGATGACCCAGAGGCCTATGCATTCAATAGCCCGCAGTATTCGGCACACAAGCTTCCTCGGGAAGTGGTGGATGCGTCGCTGGCCGGAACAGGGGGGATGCAGGAGTTTATGGGCAAATGGCAGGACATCCTAGCCAAACGGATCCAAGAAGACCAGGATGCAAGTAGTGATGATGATTGAGAATTTTTCCGAGTGCATTTTAGGGAAAACACTTGCATGGGAGGTTTACTCGGCAGGCGTTGTTCGTTTAGAAAAAAAAAATGTTAAAAGTACTTTGTATATAGCCAATTATCACCAGATCCTTTGCGGTGGACACCGCTGTGCACATGTTCTACACGTCACAGCTTATGTTTCTTCTCCCCCGCGGCTATCTTGCGGAATTCCTCCTGCGGCACGCCGCTCAAAAAGCGTTCCAGACCCATGAATGCCTCGAGGCTGTTCTGGCGGTCGAGAATCTCCCGTTCAGGTCTCCGGATCAGCTCCTTGATTTGAAGCAAGCTGGTTTGGTTCAGGTGCGTGCCGAGCCGGTCCTCGACCTCCTCGAGCACCTTGGCGAGGAAACCCGCCGAGTCGTCTGCTCTCCCCGACGGGGCGGCAATAACCTTGTTGACGAACCCGGCAGCCACAAGCTCGTCGCAGGTGATGCGCTTGCTCATGAGGAGCGCCTCGTTGGCCTTGGCGATGCCCAACCGCTCGACCAACGCGCGCGACGCGCCCCCCTCGGCAACCAGGCCGAGCGACGAGAATGGCGTCAGTAGGAAAGTATGCGGCGCGGCGTACACAAAGTCCGCGTGGGCGACCAGCGCAGCGGACAGGCCAACTGCCGGCCCGTTCAGCGCCGCCACCAGGATCTTCGGATGCGTGTAGAAGGTGCGCGTCAGGTCTACGTTGCTGGCGAAAAACCCCTTGACGATCTCTCGGCGGGCATTGCTGCTCAACGCGCCATTTGGCCTGGTGATACCGACATCGGCTCCGCTGTACTTGTTAAAAACAAAGAAATTGCCTTGGGGATTCTCTTAGATCCTGGACTTTAGGTCTAGGTATGCTCACGCTGAGAAGAACCGTCCCGTGCCCGTGAGAACAGTGATGAAGATGTCATCGCGCTTCTCGATCTCCCTTAGGCGTTCACCGAGGAGATAGTATAGGTCCTGGTCGAGCGCATTGAGCTTCTCTGGTCGATTGAGGGTGACGATCGCGATGCGGTCTTGGTAGTCAACGGTGATCAGGTCCTCATTCGCCATTTCTGAGATGCTCCGGCATAAGTGATAGATCCTTGATAATTCACCCTTTCAGAGTGTGAAAACGGACCAGTCTCTCTCAGGATAAGACCTCACTAGACAGACTGCAGAATAATGAAGGAAGGAGAGAGCGGAAAGTCGTCAAATCCCCCATCCTGAGCTCTCTCCTTGCCCTCCTCTGATCATCGCCTTCATGCCTTTTGCGGGGGGGAACCGCCTGAGCCGAGGCCCCGGCAATAAGTCACATGACATATCCCTTGGCATGTCTGTTCTGTTTGCACAACTGGCAGTTGGAACAGGGCGCACCTGATTGGTCCGGCGGGGTGCGGTGGGATGATCAGATCAGCGTGTATGAAATAACCTGAGGAAAAGCCCATCAATTACTCTGCACGCTGCCATCAGTAATCCTAGCTCTATTGTCTTGTGTACAAAGAGACAAAAGGAAGTCAACATACATACTGGTCAATAACCCCGCGATGTCGTCTATATTGCGCAAGCTGCAAGGCGGAAACCTCGAGGTTTTCAAGGTACTTCAACCCGGTGTCCTTTCGCTTTTTTTGACCCTCTTCAATGCGGTTACAGAATGCTTACATATTACTGTTCCTAGTTCGGCACATACGTTCTCTTCCCCATCGGCTGGATGTACTACTTCGGGACGAACCTTGACGATCGCTTCACAGTCACCGGCTTCTGGCCCACCGCCGAACAATCACACAAGATCCCCCTTGAGCGGGACGAAATAGATCGCGAGATTGCCCGGATGCGCCGGGTGGATGCGGTGAAGCTGGAGAGGAGAAAGGCGCGGGAGGCCTCGGAGGCTCAAGCGTTGGCACAGGGGCAAACAGAGACGATGTCAAGCCAGGAGTAGACCACTGGAAGAGGGGATGTGATGGGAAAAACGGATATATACACGTCTAGAGCAGAGCTACCTACCGGGGTTGCAGGACCACTTCGAGAGAGATTACCTGTTTGGTGGATGGGGGAAAAAAAAGTACCCGGGTTTTCGTGGCACAAGCCATTCAGATGATTGCACATATGTACAACACTCTTCTCTGGGCATCTTGATGGAGTTTTCGGTTGGCTGGTTTATTAATTCCTTTGCTTCTCGTTTCATTTTGTTCTTTATTCTCACTTTGTCAATATCTACACCCATTCTTTTCTAAACAGACCAAGGTTGGGTAGAATCTCCCACGCTGAGAAGGCCATTGCATTTACCCGGAACCCACATAGTTTGTGTTTTGGTATTATAGACGATGCTTTGGAAAGGAGTTTATTACATCAATTATTCTAGTGGTATCAATGAGAAAAGCCAACTCAATAGAAGAGGCAGCATAGACACAAGCACGATATCAGATTGCTTCAGGCTTTAAGAATGTGCGCCGGTCCCCTTTACTAACGCCGAACTGCTCAGACTCCACAGAAAACAGACAGTGGACTGTACTTGACCACCAAGGGAACACTGTACCAGGTGCGTGAATTAGAAGCTGATGTTGCGAAACAGAGAGATTAGGACATGCACTGCAGCCAGAGGCATTCATGCCTGCATGATGAACAAGAACTGATTAAAATATATGAGTGCGCTCGATCGGATCGAAGGCTGATCGAAGAGGTGTTTAAAAGGCTGGTTTCAGGTTTGCCGGTTGTCGGGGCGGATGGGAGTTTTCTTCCCCCATCACAATTCTGCTACAGGCTTCGCAGTGGCGGCGGCGTTCTTCGCCGTTTCATACACCATCTCCAAGGCCTGCGTGCCGCTCTCCCGGAAGACAGACGTTATCGAGGAAAAGTTTCCGGAAATGAATGGGCGTTCTCCGTCCCAGTAGTAGTAGAGGTGGCCGTAGATCGTTCTGACGTGATCAGGGAGGTAGATGTAGGCGCCGGTGGCCATCATTGTGATCAGAGTCAAGAGAAGAAAGTCTGCACGAAACAAAAGAAGACTCCATGTTAGCCATTTCCCTTGGAACAATCCACTGCAACCCAGACGACCAAAAACAGAAACACGTACTGAAAATAAACTTCTCCGTGGGAGTGAGCATGTAGACCGCGAAAGTCACCTCATACTGGTAAATCTTCAAGCGAATCCAGCGGTTCAAAGAGCTGATAATCCAGAACAGAAACATTATTTCGGATATCTTGTTGACGATTGTCTGGAATGACTACAAGACGTGTGCAAAATCAATCGATCTTTTACTTGATGGGAAAAAAAGGTGGCGTGAGCGGCCAGGGAGCTTATCGATTGCCTGGAAAGGGGTCACACTGTTGGGGAAGCCAGCGAAAGAAAAAGAAGAGCCGTTCCTAAGCTTCCATGTTAAGAAGGGAGGAAGAAAGAAAAACAAAGCCTAGGATCTAGGAACGGACGAGGCAGTCAGCGAGGTCTTAGGGGCTGCGGGGGGTTTGTGCCTCCACGGCGGTGCGGAGAGCGCGGCGATCAGGCAAATTAATTCTGGGCGACGCAATTTGGTGGGACGGACGTAAGCACAGGTGAAGGAATACTGAGCCACGGCGGAGGGGCGACAGACACACTTACGGATTATCGCTTGGGCCTAGGACCAAAGGTTAAATAAATGGCGTATATAGCAGTTACTAAATCTCGCGAGACATAGGGACTCCAAATGTCAAGAATCGATCCACAGGTCTGTGGAGTTCTAGAATACTTGTCGAGATAGATCAGGGGCGAGGTTCTTCTACTGCGCAGTAGTACTATTAGTAGATCTCGGAATTGTCATGAACAACGGTCAATTGGTCCGACTGCTTCGTATTCTTATAGACTATAATTCACTATTATAGGTTTGGTAAGTAGTACCTGGTTGCAACCATCTGCAGCCACCTTAATTCACTACATACCGTTGTCGTACTCGGTACCTGGTGTTTCAGAGTCGACATCGAGAGTACTCTTTGTCTTCTATATTTACACCTAGTACATTTGTTAGTATTGGTAAAGTCTGAACTGAACTGAACCAACTAGGTGGTGGATATTCAGCAAGGGTATTTTTCTAATAACTTGATAGAATTTATCAGACTTTTCCTTGGCTGTGGCTGCACCAGATGAAAAAAGATCTGAAGTTGTAGTATTAGAATTGCTATCCTTATATAAGGGAATCATGAATCGATATTCATATTGAAAGTGGATAAGGTCTGCCTCTATAGTCATCTAGGAAGGTAAAAAGGAAAAACAATATAAAATAAAGAATCGAGATTGTCTTGTCGTCTGGACGGAGGGATTAAGATCATGGAACGTCAGGTGATATCAGACTCAACTGACAACCACCGCCATAGTTATCCACCCTATCCAGAAACTATTTTGTCGACCAGGAACCTTGAGCTCCATTCAAAATCAAGGGACTCGGTTATCTCGCAGACTATTTACGCACTGTTTCATCTATCAACCCCCTTTTGAGACGAAACTAAAGCCAGGCGCAACAGTACAATTCCAGCAGCATCACCTATACCTACTCTGTTCCTGGCCTGCCAGCCTATCACTGATGTTCCGCCTGGGCTTTGTGGACAAGAAACGGGCCATCCAACTAGCACGGTGTTTTTCAAACCTCACGCCCCTCAGCGCAAAGCAGTTACCGCCCCGTCTCCAGATCGACGATGCGGACGTGACCGTGTCCTACCTGAAAGGCACCGGGCCGGGCGGACAGAAAATCGTAAATCACTCCTTCGCCTCCTGTCGCCCCTAACGTATTAATAACGTTTTATTCTAATGTATTCAGAATAAAACCAACTCCGCCGTCCAAATCATCCACAAACCAACCGGTCTCGTGGTCAAATCGCAGGCTACCCGCTCCCGGTCTCAGAATGAAAAGATCGCCCGCCAACTACTAGCCGACAAAGTCGAGCTGCTGCAAAAGGGCGACCAGAGCCGCATCGCCCTCAAAGCCGACCAGAGCCGCAAGAAGAAAGCTAGCAAGTCGAAGAAGTCGCGCCGCAAGTACCGGGATCTCGAGGATGCGAAGAATGACGCCCCGGACACCGCCGCTGAGGCCGAGCCGACTCCCGCCCAAAGCGAACAGAGTAAGCCTGAATGAAAAGATTCTATGCTTAACTCTTGCTTGTGTATGATGTCAATGTTCGCGCTGGTCGCGTAAGATAAGAATAAGATACTCATAGAACGTTACGATGGTTGGTTGAGCCATACGGACAATTCGGGTGCCATTAATTCATCAATGCATTTAAATAACTAGAATATGTTTTTCTATCGTCCAGAGTAAGGGAAATGCAATCCATGGGGGGGGGGATTTTTTTTAAAATTAAGAAGCCGTCAGAATGTAGTAACAGTCATCTCAATAGGTATCTTTTTTTGTGGCCGGCTCACTCAGAACTTGTACTTACGCAGCAATATAGCTGTTCAGTACGGTCTTGGCCTCGTCGCTTAAGCGCTCCTGTACAAATCCAGAGATTCGTCCGCCATGTTTCTTGTCGGCTTCCTTCAGGTACTTTCCAACCCAGACCTTAAGGTCGGCTCCAGTCTCTGGCCATGGATCCTTGGTAACAGGCTTTATCGTGTTCAGAGCGGTGAACCCGACGCCGAAGGCCATGTCTTCAACATCGTGCTCAGCAATCATATCGTCCTTGCTTGCCGGGAGAGGAGGCAGTTCCAGGAGCTTCAGGAGAGCCTCACATGTAAAGCCCCAACCCTTCTTGTACCGGTTGGCAAAGGCTTCCGAATTCGCCAGTGTCTTGGTGAAAGAAATCACGGCAGTCTTGCGATCCAAAGGCCGAGCAAGCTTCTGGGTTTCTGGGAGAATGACGTTCAGGTAGATGGGAGTAAAGAGACTAGGGATGAGTCAATATGGCGGGGAAAAAAAGACTTGAGAGATAGAAGCCCAACTTACTCTGCCTGCACCTTATCGGTGACCTGGATGGCGAAATCGGCACTGTAGCCCTTGTCGTCACGCGCGGAGAGGAAATGGTAGAAGCGCACAAACCGCATAGTCAAATTTTCGGTCTTGGAATTTTGCAGGCGAGTCAAAATGATCTGCATGATCGAGGCGAAATATTGCTCCAAAGCAGCCCTACGGCCGAGAGTTAGTTTGGTCAGGTCTAAAGAGGTGATCGGGTCAACGCTCCAACTTACGGTGGGAAGTTCGCGATAACACTCTCCAACAGATCAAACCCATGGCTCTCATTGGCTTTGGTAGAAAGCAGCTTCTGGAAAATGCCCAGAATCGGCTCGATCTGATTGTTCTCCAAGACAAATTGAGAGCCACGGGCAATGATCGAAGACAGAAGGCGGACAAGGGCGGGAATGTTGCCCTTCGACTCCCACATGACAGGCATGAGTATGGGGGCAACAAGGTTCTGGTAGTAGGTGGGCAGTGTTCCCGACGGATTGGCCTCGAGAAGAGCCGCAAAGAGCTGGAAGACATAGGGAATGAATTCTGTGAAATGATATTAGCTGTGGATTTCACAAAGCCATATCCCAAATTGGCCTGACGGACCTTGAACATCTCCTTGAAGTACAGCTGCAAAAGGCGGATAGAGAGTCTGCTCTAGCTTGTCTGGATTAGAGGGCGCGGCAAACCTGGCGCAGTCAGCAACATCACTTGAGGTAAAATTGGTACCAACAGTACATACCGGATAAAAGCGCCGAGTGCCTCAAAGTGGAAATAATAGAATCGCGGATTGCTAGGGTTGGAGCTGATGATTTGGGTGATGTCGATGAAATGCTGAAGCACAGCATCCGTATAGGGGACAACGCCCTCCTTGATCACAATGAGGACTCTCATCACGCATCGCATCAAGAACTCGTTTTCTTGAACCTTCTGGGGGGCTGAATCTTTCTTGATCAAGGAGAAAATATGCTCCAACAGGTCCTTCGCCAAGGGTGTGATCGAAGCAGGTGCAATAACAGGTTGTCCTTGTCCATCACTGAGGTAGAGGACTCTCTCGACAGCAATCGCTGCATATGTGTAAACAACATAGTTTGAGGAAGCGAGGTGCTTAACCAGCATGGGCAGAACTTCTTGCCACTGTTCCTTGGTGATGATGCTCCGGAAAGTGTACAGGTATTTGATAGCATCGACCTTGAGGATCGGATGAACTCCATCATCTGAAATGAGATCCGCGGCAAGATTGCGCTGGAAAAAATCAGTGATGCTGACCTGTGGGTTAGTCGCGGTCACTCCGTGGCTGGCAGTAGCAGTTCCTTTCGCAGCGATGGCCGAGAACAGATATGTTCCCGTATCCTTAGACTTCCAGTTCGACGCCGGGTTCTTCGTGTATTCATTGAGGTAATGCTCAGTGTACTGCAGAACAACCTTGGTCACCGACTGCTCGAATTTCTCGGCCAGGCGCCTCAGGAAGTCCGTGGCAGCCCGGCGCCTAGTGTCACTGTCCGATCCCTCCAAGTCACGGCGAATGAACTCAATAGGCTCATCCTCAAAAAGCTCCTCATCCGACTCCCGCAAAGACACATTGGGCAGGATAACCTTTTCGATAACCTGGTTCAAAGTTCCTTCCGCCTGGAATGCAGCGGCATGCTCCGGCATAGCTGCTATGGAGGTCAGGAACTGCAGGGCCCGACTGACAAGGATATCGTATTTGGTTTCCTGTCCAATGGTAGTCAAGAAGTTCCAGGAACTCTCGACGAACTGTCCCACATGAGGCTGGAACGCATCCATGAATTTCTGGACGTATAGAGTCAAGACCTCGAAAATTCCGGCACGAGCATACTCCAGTTGGCCTGCCTCGGCTTCATCATCGGTGTGAAGGAGCGGGTTATCATAGGTCAAGTACTTGAGCAAGAACGAAGCTATTCCAGCAATATTCTCTTCGAACATCGGGGGAAGGTCGTGGCAGGACAGATCGTACAACAGCTTGATCATAAGATTGAGCTGTGTAAATCCCTGCACCAGGTTTTCCTTGTTCGCCTTGTTTTCTTCGAGGTAGGCATCGAGGCCCTAGATAGCCGTCAGAACACAAATATTTTTGCTTTCTAGCCAGGACCACTGCACCAACTACTTACCTGAAGCAGCTGCAGGAAGGGGTTGCCAAATTTGTCTAGAACATGATTAATTTCGGTGTACAGCTCGTTCGATTGGAACAAAGGTCTCCATCGCTTGAAGATGGAATGAGCGACCTGCAAAACGCCATTGTTGACAGCAGGGTTATTCGGTGTCAATCTCGAGACAAGGTCCTAAAAAGGTCAGCAAAGAACAAGCAAACTTCCTCTTCAGATAGGTTAAGACATTCTCACATCAACTAGAGTATCCCAACGCTCCCAAAAGTCGCTGTCAGCAATCACACTGACTGCCTCGCCTAGCTGTGTTTGGATTGCAGGAGGCACAGAAATCATCAAGCTGATCAATTCTTGCTTGATTGTGGTGACTTCCTCGAAAGGAAGTTTGTAGTTTCCATCTTCATCCGTCCAGTTTCGCTTGATAAAGTTCTTGAAGAAGAGGGCACTAGCAAGACGGGTTTGTATCGGGTAGGCAGTGGATGCCGTGATCTGAAGCAGCTGGAGAGAAAAACCGGGATTTGCCTCTTGCGAACGCAGAGCAGCTTCCGCTGGGGAGAGAAATCCACATCAATATCTTAACCACAACAACCCACACGAAAAAAAAATTATCCTTGCGAGCTCTTTCTCACCTTCTTTGTTTCGCCGAGGATCCAAACTCGCCGTAAGGGCCTCAGCAACAGTTCCCAGGTCCGCCATCTTTTCGACACAGTGGGGTCTGAGCCGGAATATCAGAGAACGGAAGTAGAAACAGAAGAAAAAAAAGGAAAAAAGGTGCTAGCCAGCGACGGAGTCAGCTCCAGCCAGTCTATATATGCGTGTGGAGCGAGCTGCGCGTTGTCAAAGCCGCCTGTGTGTCTGGCAGAGATTCTGGTGGAAGGCACCTGAATGGATGGATCCCTTTGACCTCATTCCCGGTCAGGCAGTTTGTTTGGCGGGTTGCTCTGCCACTTTGCGGGCGGTGAGCGGTGCGGTCCTGGCGGGGTGTTTCTGCCGCATCACATGACCTGACGGCGGCCGTCGGCGGTCGCAGCGTCTGGCAGCTGCTGAACCACGGCTTGGCGGGCCGCATCAGGCCAAAGCGCACTCAACACGCCACAAGAGAGGGAAAGCACTGCGCCTGCTGCTGGGACACATTCCGAGAGAGATTTCTTCTTGAAGTTGCTGTGTTTTGATCCACTGGTATATTATATTGGAGTCAGAGGATCGTCTACGGTACAAACCCGGTTCTGCACTTGCGCCGAGTCAGACGCCTTTCACACCTGGGATAGACGTCATCTCATATGCTCTCTAAAGCCTCTTTTCCTAGAAGAGCAGTGAAGCTTCTTTGTTCAGGACTTGGTGAGACCCTCTTTTGATCAGGCGACCTTTTTCTCTGTGGAGGGCACTTCATATGGCATTGGTTGGATTTTCATTATCTCACACACCCAAAGTGCCCTCCATTATCTATCTCTATCGGTGACTAATCTCTTGTCTCTTCCGGTTCACAGATACCACCTGATAGTTAGCCCCTGCCTACCCTAAGCCTCCGTGTTAAAAGTTTCGTCCATCAGGGCGTATGTCTTCTGATGATGCACCATCACCACCGCACCATAAGCCGTCCACATCGAGTTTCGCAGAAGTGTTCAAGACCCTAGGTGTGAGACGTTCCAAGTCGCAATCCCCAGTCTCTCAGTACGAAAACGGCGGGGAGTATCTCTCGCCCGCGAGCGAAGGACGAAGAAGCAGTCGGGTGGTTTTTGGATTCGAATCAATGCATCGCGGCAGTGTGGTATCCAACTCCTCGGACACTGCCAGTGCTCCCGAGTACGAGACGCTCTTGAAAGCACTTGCGCAGCGGAATAGCCTCGCTTATGCCATTGATGAGGCCGAGCACGCCGCACGGGCGCTCCCGTGGTTCAATGCAGAGCAGTCCGTTTCCCTGTGGGAAGCTGGCTCGTACTTATTGCACCATGAAAGCTCCCCAGACGCTCGAAGAAGTGGCTCTAAGCTAATGGAGGCTCTTGCGATGCGCCAAGACTTGCCTCTTCCAACTCGGCGTACTCTCTTCGAGGCGATATCCTCCCCCATGGAACCTGATCTCATCGCTGCACGAGTCCAAGCCTTAATTTCCTTATCAGACCATGGCAGAAAACTCGAGTTCACAGATTCATCGGTCTTGCCAATAGTGACCACTTGCCTAGGCCCGCTCTTTGAAGTCCTCTCTTCAGCACGGTCAAAGGCAAGAAAAAGCAAACTCACGCGGTCGAATGGGTTGAGCATCGAAGAGACAAGCTTCAGTGATATTTTCCAATTCGCCGTGGATCTAATTGCTTTGCAGCGCAAACCACCGAGCGATGATGAAATCGATTCCCTGCTAGAACAGGTCTTTCTTATCTGCAGGAAAACTAGCGTTGCTGGTGACATCAAGAATTCGCTTGCCCTCTTCGACGCTGTCATCCTATATGCAGATGTCCCTGACCGGGTTTTCAGTCCCCTATTGGAAGTCCTGTGCAGTATTCATGCTTCCGTCAAATCGTTGTCAGGCCCTACATCAAGAGCTGTGCGGAATCTGGCGAAATCCCGACGTCAGACGGAGATGGTGAATATTCTTCACTCCTTTCTTCTTGAGTCTTCAGGGGACCAGGGCCGAAATCTCAATGTCATTCGTGGAACAATCTATGCATTTGCCGATCTTGTTCGTGCACACAGTCAACACGGCATGCCTCAACTTTCGTTTGACCAATTGGTGGACTCCCTACAAATTGTTCTCAGTAAGGATGATGGCCGTATCGAAGCTGATGTTTTGGAACTCGGCCTAAACATCATGGAAGGTGAATACATCCATGTTGCTTTGGGTGACAATTGGTCGAGATTCATCGATATTCTCCTCAAGTGCTCTCACAGAGTTACTGCTGATGAACCCGATGGAACCCTGAATCAGCCTCGGAGTGGAACGCCAGATGACACGTCCAACATTCTAGCTTATGTCAACCGGATCGCATCTGTTCTGGAAGGTGTCTGGGATCAAATGAACAATCAACAGAAGCTGGACACCGGTCGGTATTTTATGGAAGTCAGTCGGCACATTGACCCTTCCCAAGCTGATATCGTGATCAACTTGTTGAGGACTGAGGGCCTCTGTTCTCCCGAAAACCCAAATTGGGTTCGAAATTGCCAAAGATTGATCTCCTGTTTCGTTCGATCTATTGGGAAACCTTCGGACATCCGCATCTTAGCACTGGACACACTAAAGGATGCATTTCCTACCTATGAGTCTCTTGCCTTGTTCCAGGAGCAAGGTCTCCTTGAAGCAATGCTTCGGGGCTTCTCTGATGAAGATGATCTATTATTCTTGGAATCTCTCGTTTCTTTCATCGTTGAGATCTCTATGACGACTGGGAACGAGGACACATTCAAGATGCTGGTGGATACAATTAGTGCCCCGATGACCCGTGACCTGAAGGCTGAAGAATTCAGTGAGAGTGAAAGTCCTCTGAATTCTCCGACTCGGCGCCGGTCCTCTACCTCGGTCCTAGAGCTCTCTCTGGCCAATGTCTGTGCTGTCGGGCTTGTCAAGATCTTCCTCCGCTCATTGAACTCATCCGCAAATAAAACTACCGTGGTTTTTGAGACGATCTTGGGTATTGCACAGTCTCCAGAACGACCTTCTGACGCCCGCCTTACCGTACTGAAGTTGTTGTTCAGACTCCGATGTGATTCATCCGGCTCCATTACTGTAATCTCAGCCTCAGAGTACGATTTCTTATCAAACGTTCTGGGCGATAGAGTCGATGTTGGGGTCAACGGCCATGGGTCCCTGGAAGATGGTCCCGGTGATTTTGTCTCCGGTATTGATAACATGCAGAGTTCTTCGTTCAAAGACACGCCCTATGGTATCCTTTCCAAATCCATAGGTCGTGCTTCGAGCTTGTATGCTCGTTCGTCAAAATTAACACCACCGGTTTGGACCTACGCTTCGCCTCAGGTCCTTCCTGAGCAGCCACCGGACACATCCAGTCCCTTTGTCTACGCATACGCGACTCCCCAACTCTCGCATCTGTCAGGCCAAGATTATACCCAGAAGCTTGCGTTGAAAGCTAACATGTGGTTGGAGGCAATCATATCCCTGCTGCAACGGGAAACAAACTGGGATATCTATAGTTATGTCCTCACGCATCTCGGGCCGCAACTCCGGAACAAGGATTTCTTCAACAGCGCGATCCCACAAGTCAAGTTATTACGCAGCGTTCTCTGTGAGCAGATAAAAAATGAGACGTTCCGCGAGCCTCCTGGATGGACTGGGGTCAAGAAAACAGACGTCGCTGTGTGCATTTTTGATTGTCTATCCATGCTCATTGGTTTTCATGATCATTTTGCCAAGAGTGAAGAAGATGAGCTGGTTCGGGCCTTCATGCTGGGCATTATTGGATCCTGGAGCGGCACATCACGCGGCTGCATCCATGCACTTTTTGTCTGCTGTTATGAGATCCCATTATCTGTCACAAAATCTCTCACTCAGATTCTGGACAAGATGTCCAAGGTGATCACCATGTCGAATATTGCCGTCCACATCCTCGAATTCTTGGCGTTGCTTGCACGTCTGCCGGACGTATACGTCAACTTACGGGAGGAAGAAATCCGTACGGTCTTTGGCATCTGCATCCGGGTCTTGCAGACATCCAGAGAGCAGCGGCACAAAGTCGCGGAAGCGGCCACTATTCGAAGCACCCCGAACTCGGCAAGATTGAGCGGTGGCATACGAGAAATGGCGTCATCTCATGCTGAGGCCGCAGATACAACATTCCAGGATGGTATTTCGCGATACATCTATGCCTTGACACATCATGTCATGGTGTTCTGGTTCTTATCTCTGAAGATCCAGGATCGGCCAAAACACGTGAATTGGATCACTAGCAGGCTGATATTTATGGATGAGTACGGCAAGGAAACGGTCGAGGAACAAACCCAGGTCTTCATCGACTTGATGCAACGAGCCACTTTCTCTGATCTGGGCGAAACTATTCCCTTTGAGACGTTTCCTCCATCTCCCGCAGATGGACCTGCGTCAAAGAAGTCCTGGATTGTCGGGACGAGTATTGTCACCGTTGAGACTGCCGGAGTATCGGGTTTGACGCAGATCACTAAACGGCAAGCCTCTGGGACCACCTATGCGATGTACCAGCAACGAACGGCGCCGGTCCTGCCACACCAGGTGCCACCAACGCCCGATGCCCATCTGCATTTAGATTCAATGCGAACTGCTATCTTCCCCAGCCATGTGCTCTTGCAATTGACCACCACTGCTTTCCCAACACCTACAGTGATGCAGCCTATACCTCTCCCAGATGACGACATGACGCGTCGAGCTATCAGCACATTTGATAGAAATGACATCGTGGACGGACATAAAGTCGGTGTTATCTATGTCGATCACGGCCAGACCACCGAGGCCGAAATCCTTGCCAATACCTCCGGGAGCGCGGACTATGAATATTTCCTATCAGGATTAGGCACGAAGGTGCAACTGCAAGGCGCACAGTTCAATACGCAAGGGCTCCATCCTTCCACTGACGGACAGTACACCTACGCATGGCGGGATCGGGTGACCGAAATCGTGTACCATGTTCCAACCATGATGCCCACTGACTTTGACAACGACCCGAACTGCATCAACAAGAAGCGCCACATTGGGAATGACTTTGTCAATGTCGTGTTCAATCGCTCAAACCTTCCTTTCGCTTTCGACACGATACCGTCTCAGTTCAATTTTGTCAATATTGTGATTAGCCCGGTGTCTCGCATTGCTGTTGAAAAAGACGGCACACCAAAGGGAGAGACAGTCGACTTTGACAAGTTATCCTACGAGGTGAAACTCATGAGCAAACCCGGGTTTCCCGAGATCTCGCCTGCGGCCACCACCAAGGTGATTTCGGGCAAGAACCTAGCGGCCTTTGTGCGCACCCTCGCCTTGAACGCCTCGGTTTTCTCGCACGTCTGGAACAGCCATGGTGGCGAACACATCTCGTCCTGGCGGAACCGGCTGCGCGAAATCAAACGCTTGCGAGAGCGCGTGCTGGGGCAGCAGTCCCAGGCGTCAGAGCCGGCCGAGGCAACATATCCGGGGTATCGGCGCAACACCAAGGCCAATATCCATTCCGAAGAGCTACCTTCTCGCCTTGCCGCCGTCAACATTGACCCCGCGTCTGACTGGAATGCTGCCGCCGAAACGAACATCTTGCAGAACTTGGATTTCTCCAAATGGAGCCGTTAGCCATGGTCATCGAAAAAAGAGAGTTCTTTTTCGTTCACCAATTTCTTTTGTCTTTTTCCACAAAAAAGAAGAAAAAAATATGCGATATGAAAAGCAATCACGAAGTCATGTATATCACACCCCCCTCCCATGTCATGTGTTAATCAATACCCTGCCACCCTTGTATGTTCCGCCCAAAAGTTTTGTGGTTTAGCCTTGGATTGATCTAAAACTATTTCTACTGTGCTCTACCTATTGTTTTATCTATGAAATGACCTTTTACTCTATTGGCTCAATAGGTTTTGCATCATCGAGTACACCTGGTCTCCACACCAAGCTATCAAGCATTCGACTCAGGTCTTAGACTGAAGTGCTAGACTAGATTATGGATTCTATATCTGATATTTTGTTGGCAGTGTGATATTACCAAGGTCGACAGAGCTCGAGGAAATGTTTATTTCTTTGATTTGCAAGGTCCGTCGTAGATCAACTCGTATGGACACGGGCGTAATTATATGCTGTGAATGATCTAACGGTGAAGATTTGAATGATTAGACTGAACTTAAGTCTACATAAGCTATTAAATTACATGACAGCTTTTTTCAACACGTTTCTCTCAAGAACCCAGAGGCCAGAAACTAGAAACTACCAGCCAAATATCTCGCCGACGCTGAGGGTTGTAAAGCGCACGCCGCCGACAGCGACGATCATGACGACCAGGTCGACGATTCCCAGGGCGGCCGCGCCCATCATGAAACGCGGGTTAAAGATGCGGTACAGCATGAGGTGACGACGGAGATGGCCTGCCCACATGGTTGTAGCGAGGTTGACTGTCGCAAAGTAGAGGATATGTGTTGTGGCGGCTTGGGCGACGTCGGACAGAAGTTTGATGGTGGGGCTGGGTTGCTGAGCAGCCGGTGAAGATGGGGAGGAGGAGGAGGATGGGTTGTTTAGCTGGAAGGGCCGTTTCCAGAGGGCCGTCAAAGGCACGGCAACAGCAGCTAGGATCTGGGCGCCAAAGGTGTTCAAAACGACGAGCAACGGGGACCAAGGGTATTTGACGGTGGAAAGCGGGATGAATGCCGACTCCCACTGGATGCTACTCAGGACGGCCTGGTGGCCGGTCTTGAAGTAGTAGAAGGAGCCTAGGAGACCTAGGACCACGGGGCCAATGGCCGAGTTGGTGGTGGTCAGCGAATTTGTGTCGAGGATCTCCAGCAGGGACAGCATCTGCCACAGCTGCAGACCAATGGCGCCCTGTCCCATGGGTTTCTGCATCAAGATGATCCCGAGGCAGAAGTTGATGACAAGGAAGAAGAAGCGCGTTCCGTAGACGTTGCCGAATCCGAGAATCGTCACTGTTGTCCGTCCGGCTTGCTGCAGCGGGGAACTCTCGGGCCCCCCGGCGGGGTTCACGCTGATGGTGACGCACGGTTTGGAGTAGATGAAGGCGGTGGTGCCGGCGGCAAAGGCCAGTGCCAGGACAAGCTGGGCGAGGAACACGCGCACAGCCTTGAGCGTGTCCTTGCCCAGAGGCAGCCATTCTCCATCGTCAGCAGAGTCGAGCATCCAGAACAGAGATGCCACAAACAGCCCCAGCCGGAAGGCAAAGCCGATCCAGAGACTCGAGGCGCCCTCGTACGATTTCGAACCGTCATAGAATGACCGCACCACCCCGGGAAGGAAGAGCGCGACGACAACAGGGATGACCAGCTGCCATGGCGCCGAGGTGGATGAGGTCGAGGAAGCGTAGTAGGTAGAACGGCAGAAGGGCATCTGCTCTTCCCGGCACAGTCGGGAGAAGGAGGCCAGTCGTCCAAGGATGATGAAGAGGATCGAGTGATAGACACCCAAGACTCTGTCAGAGGTGGTCTTCTGCCGCATCGAAGAGATGCCGGCCACGACCCCAAACGTGGTAAGGAAGAAAAGGAGGATTTCGTCTTCCCAGATCGTGTAGGAGTTGGAGGCAAAGCCAATAGACTGGGAGACCGTGAAGAAGAGGGCAAGCCAGCCCCACAGCGAGGTAGGAAACGGGGAGGACAACCCTGTCGGACGCCCAAATATGGCAGACGCAGCCCCGATGATGCTACCCCCCGCGGCAAACAAAGCCGATGTCTCGAGGACGGGGCCGTCCAGAAACTCGGTGAAGACAAGAACGGTACTGCCGATACCTCCCAGCACTGATCCTGCACCAGCACGCAGTAGGAAAGACGAACTCAGCTGAGACCTCGTGTCGCTCTTGAGGCCGCGAGCGTAGAAGACCAGCACAATGATCCCGGCCACAAGGATGGAAATTCCCTGCAACATGCTGGGGACATCGAAACTCGCCCACAGGCCTCGGCAGACTCGGAGGGTATCCCGCTGGTAAATCCGGTACAGATCATAAAGAGCGCGCAAAGCTACAGAATCAGATTTGGTTTTCCTGGGAAGCTTCTGCCAGTCGCTTTCCGCCGTTTCCCAGAGAGCAAGTGATTGGGAGACATGATCATCAGATCCGCCACTCACGCGAGAGTATTCATGCTGGTACCGTTTGATCTGGGCTGAAGTCAGGCGGTTGACATTGACCAACGTCTTGAAGTCACGACCGGCGGGTCCGACGAAAGCCTCGGCGATGGGCGAACCCAAATTATTGAACGGAATAGGCATGCCAAGCAGGAGAGAGAGCGTCGGCACGAGATCGATCTGGGGGATAGCTCGCTCCTTGGCGTTAGCGGGGGGGAAGACATGGGCTGGGTCGGTACGGCCGAAGATTTTCTTTTTCGAATACATCCACAGGGCTGCTTCGACTTCGTCATCCGATTCACCGCCATGGTCACCCTTGGTGTCCATTCCATGATCTCCCATGACGACCAAGAGGGTCTTGTCGTCAAGAGCAGCAATCATGTCACGGATGACCTGATCCATTTGCCTCAGTTTGGCAGCCATGGCGGCGTGGTTTGGTCCGTAACGATGGCCGGCATGGTCAACACCCAGATAATGGCCGAAGATCACGTCCCACTTGGTGCCATTGGCCGGATGGAGAAGGGGAAACAAATGCTCGTTCACTCCGTTATCGACCGTGTGCAGGTCCCAAACATTGAACGAGTCAAATGCATGGGTGAGGTTTGGCTCGAAGTAGCCCGGGAACAAGGCATGCCAAGTGTCATCGCCCAGATGAACCAAGGTCTTTCCCGCCGCGGTCAACTGGGCCACCAGGTTGTCTTCATCGATTGCTGTGCCGGCGAAATTGGATCCCGCGTCCATGAAAGTGGGCAAGGTACCCGTGGTCAGCCCTTTGAGTCGCTGGAGCGTAGTAGTTGGCGGATCCGCAATGAAAGGGAGCAAAAAGGCATTCTGAGGGGTTTCGACAGCCGTTTCATGGAAGACGGGGATATTATCGTGGAACAGATGCGCCGTGGCACTCTCAGTGGTTGGTGCAAAGGGGACCGTGAAGTCATACCGCAAGGCATCGATGATGATGACAATCGCCTTGTCGAACGATTTCGGATGCCAACATCCTTCCCGGTGTTGCGAAACCTCGTCGAAAGGAAGGACGTCACAGCTAGATTTGTTGTCCAGAACCATTCGAGTCAAAAGAAACCCCTTGGTAAAGAAAAATATGCCAACAACGTGTACACATAATACCCAGCCTAACACGCCGAGCAGTCCCCAGTGTTTCCACTTGAACTCCCGTTCCAAAGCCTGTGTTTTCTGCCTCTCCTCCTCCTCCCTCTTGGCCCGTTGGACCTGTGACTGCATCGCGAATGGCGCCTGCGCCTCTCTAACCGATATATTATACTTCCTGTTGGGGCTGGGCAACAAGTTTCTCGGTCTGCGTGCGATGGAAGCTTCGAAACTATAATATTTCCCCGCCGTTCCAATCTCTTGGCAAGACGACGGACGATACAAGAAAAAATAAAAGAAAAAAAAGAACAGAAAGAAAAGAAAGGAAAGGAGATCCGATCGTGTTCGTTTTACTTAGTGGGCTCGAAAAGTCGGCCAGTGGATACGGACGTTCGCGGATAAATCGAAGGAAAGAAGATCGGCACCGTTGCCGAGATACAAGGATATTATAAGAAAAGAAAGAAAGGAAAGGCAAGAAAGAAAGAAAGAAAGAAAGAAGAAAGAGATCTAGGAAAGGAATCTGATAATGGATGAGGAGCCTCGCGTCGATGCACTTAAGCATATGAAGACGAAGGGGTGGGGGGAGAGAAATATGCGCAGGTCAGAACAAACGCATCGTGCACTGAGAACAGTACCGCTGCGTGCGCAATTGATGATATCGAGGTAAAGAAGCTCGACTGAATGAAGAAAAGAAAGATCGAGATGAAAAGAATAGAAAGAGTGGCCGGTGAGGAGCTGGTAGGTAAAAGAATAGGCGAGGAGGTCAATTTTGTCGTGACGTCGCGGAGCTCACGGATAGAAGTTTGGAGCAGCTGCCGAATTGCCGCGCCTATCATTGGTCTGCCCAGGGTACGAACAACGAGGTACGGAGTACATTTGGAACCCTACAGCTACCGGCTAGTTATCTACTGGTATTATAATTCAGACATCTAATTATACAGTCAATGGATTGAATCACGCCGGAACGGCGATCGAGGATAGTGGACTAGTTACATACATTATCCAGCTGCCAGGAACCATAAGGCAAACGGAAGGAAAGGTAAAGTATGGAGTAAGAAATAAGAATGAAGAAGAGAAGCCGTGTGGAAGAGAAGAAGAAAAGGGGGGAAGAGGGAATAAAGAGGAAAGACGCAAGAACCAGAGGACAGAGAGAACCTGAGGAGTCAAGCAGTCGAATTTGCATATCTTCCTGGCCCTAGTAACGTAGCAGGGTCAAGAGGCAGAATAATGAGGAAATAAGGGGGGGGACAAGAAAAAAAGAGAGCACTGGCGATGTGACTATACACCTAGAAGGATAGATATGAGAGCAAAAACGCCAGAAGACAGAGACTGGTTTTGAAATGAGCTGTGAGCCCTTTGCTATTCACAATTCAGTTTTCTCAGCATGCATCACACTTGGGACAGTATCGAGGCGAAACGACGACAGTGAACCCAGTGAATGAGCAGTGAAAAAAATGGGGGAAAAAAAATAACAGATCCATCTGCGTATGTGCAAGTGGCAATGATCAAAATGGGTGTCTATGTAAATATGGGAGGGGGTACACAAAAGAAGCGAAAGAAGCTTCGCCGGAGATGATCGTCATGAATTGGTCATCGATGCGAGAATGGCGGTATCGAGCGAGGGTATATGTCAGGCCGAATTTGCTGGCGTGAAGGTGTGGGAAGGTTGGGAATTGGGGCTGAGATGTCGGCATCTAGGACCATCTCTTCAGATCCTCCTTCTCCTTCAGACCCCCCATGCGCTCGAGGTCCAGAGAGTGGAATCGGTCAGCATCGCTCGACTGGTATGGGGGCAGCTCCTCGTTGCAGGGCTCCAAGCCCACACTGCCCGCATCGCTGATTCTCACAACCACCATGCGGCCCGACTTGCGCTTGCCACCCTCATCCTCCTCTTCGGGGAAGGTGATGCGGATCTCCGGGACAGGGCTCGAGGGGGGGCTGGACGAATTCTCGACGAGGCTGCGCTTTTCATCATATACAAGGACAGACTCTGTCTTTCCATAGGGACTCGCCGTGATGGTGAGACGGCGGTGGGTGGGCACGCACTGCCCATTATGTACAGGAAGCTCGGAGTCCATGCCGCGGTTGCGCCGCTTGCGGCGCAGCACGAGCAGGGTAGCAACCAAAGCAAAGCCGAGCAGCACAAGTACTAACAGGGAAATCAACAGATCGACCATGGCGGAAGACATTCCATTGTTGTCGTCGCTACTGCGAGCGAAGAGACCGGCGAACTTCATGATTCCGGAGTAGGTCGAAAGGTAGTATTTTTTTTATTTATTCAAATATGTGATTGAATCGGATCTGATCGAATTGAATCGTAACGGTTGGAGTCCGATCTTGAGATCGAAGGAACGAAAGTCTTGTTGTTGTTTTTAATTTTCGAGGGAGTGAACGTATGGTCAACAGGGGTCGGTCGAGCTGGATAGAATTCGTCAATAGGCGCCGAGAGGATGTCGACAGGCGACACTCACGTCGAGGTCTCAGGATGCGGAACAAGAAATATGTATCAACACGCTGAAACAATGACGGTTGGGTGGGATAGAGAATGTGTGGCCGTTTTTACTGGTCTTCCAGGACAGGGGCGTATCGATATGAGGTGGCGATGGATCGGCAATTCCACGACGGCAAGCAAAGAACGGATAGCAACAGTGAACAGCTAAAAGAGTGAAGCCGACACGTGCATTTGATAGTGGTTGGGGAGGTGGTGGTGAAGACAACCGATGGGAAGAGGAGAGACGACGAGCAAAGGAGGGAGGCGGAGGAGGAGGAGGGAGGGAGGGTCTCGTGGGAAGGCGAGAGAGAAAGGAGGGCAGCACCCGGCAGGCAGGAATAATAATAATAACGGGGCGAGGAGGGCCCTTAGCTACCGGTAAGACCTTAGCAGTGGAAGCGCCCGGGTCAGACCAGAACGAGGCGCAGGCAGCGCAAGGGCCCAGGCCACATGCAACGCCAGCAAGGACTGACTGTCCAGTGCCCGTCTAGCGCTGGCTGGTCAAACGGGATGTTTATTGTTGGCCGCTGCCCCAATGGATCTTGGCGGTTGGCCGGTTTCAACGCTAATGCAGGATTCCTGTTGTCTTTCAGAGCGCCAGCCAATCCAGGCTCGAGTGTACCTGAGAGCTGGGGATCCCATCCACTCAGGAGCAGCTGGTGGGGGCGCTCTGCTAACCGCTGTTCTTCTTAGCTGCAGGGTGAACAGGAGTTCATTGGACAGAAACATGTCACGGCTTCCATTTTCAGGCATCTTATATAGTGACCTAACCCCACCTGGGTTTCTTTTTGGGGTGGGCTGTTTCCCCTGAAACTTGAAAGTTGCCAGTGCAGAGATTTTAGTATTACTCTATGAGTCTATAGTAATAAGACAAGAGGCATTATTGCGTCATTTGATGGCCTCCTTACACATCTTGTAAAATAAGATGGATGAAGAAATCAAAGTAACTAATCTTGATATGACTGTTTGTTTTCATTCAACTGTTTGTTTTTTTTATTGTTTTGTTTCCCAATGGGATTGTCCAGTGTCAGTCAGCAAGTCTACTCCGTAGCGAGGGATCTGCCACCTGCTAAGAATAGAGTATTGGCCATAATTTTCTCATCTGTGGATACGAAGTAAATATGGAGTGCGCAATATAGGTTCGTAAAAATCAGACAGCAGCAAGTCTCTACAATGATGATTGGAAGTTTAGTACTTCCGGTGACACCATTACAAGTAGGCAAGATGACGGGTTGTACTTGAATTTCTCATTGTTGCGAATACTGTAGTAAGAGTATTCATCTTGAAGGTGTTAAATATACTAGTCTATTGGAATAGATCAAACAGAAAAACAGTCAATAGAGAAACAGGCTTTCTTTCTATCTCCATGTCTTCCTAGGCATCAGCATAAGTAGACTATAAATAACTACAGAGATGACCATAACTGTCAATTACCTAGGTTAGGTAGGTAATATTTAGTCGGGTAGCCATACCACCAATACTGATGTGATGGGAATATTTATTAATATTTTTATATGATTGAGAAGATTACTATCAGAGTAGAGATCCCTTCTGTAATATTTATCCTGTTGTTTTATAGTTTTATTCAATAGTCCTGTCAAATCTGAGGATGTTGATATAAATATCATGAATGATAATATGGCATGTCAAAGTACACAGGCGAGCTATCTTGAATATGCTCAAGCATCAGAAATAATAGAGGTACGCCTTGGCCAGAAAATCTTAATATTCTGTATAATAGACTCTGTTTATGATGCTGAGTGCTGAGATAGCACTCAAAGTAGTAGATAGATTCACAATCTAGCATAATATATTTAGTTACCTCTTCAACAGCAGCACAATGAACACAAGTCTAATATCTATTCACCTCTAGGTTATGATCTGACTATGATAATGAGAATATAATTTCCTTCAGCTAGAGACAACTCAAGTCCGTCTTTAGTTCGTTACAAGTGTTTCATGACTTTCATAAGTCTCATATGAATTCACTGCAACTGTATATAATGTTGATAGATAATAATGTTAGAGATCTGTAGTGCTTGTACATAAGGTATTTAATAACCATAAGCAGAGAAACTATAACTAAGCCAAGGTCTTGCATCTAGCTATTTAGGAAAGTGGTTACCTCAACCTCAATAACGATGATCTAGACGCTCTACAGCCATGGAAGTACCATTTTATCTCCAAGGGTTGCATCGTTGCACACTAGTTAAACATCTGACCTGACGTTAGACTAAGTAATCCTATCCTATACGTCACACATCTGTCGTGGTCATGATTTCCACACCACGGCGGCCACGCTGCTGCCTATCTACCTCACCATCGAGATAGCCCGAGGTGACACGATGGAACAACTTGTTGTACTCCGTACCACAGAGGTCGTACATAGCGACAACGTTGCAGGTAAGAAAATTGCCTGACACACGGCCGAGAGAAGCGATAGAATCGTAGAGATCACAATGTTGCTAGTACTTGACCTAGGTAACTACCTAGACAACTACCTAGGTTAGGTATACTAAGTAACTACGTAGGTTAGGTACCTAGGTACGTACCTATTGTTGAAGCTTATTTGCTTGGTTGAATAATCAGCCAAGCGCGCAGTCAATTATAACCGGAAGACAACGGAACCAAAGATCACCTGAGAGAACAGAGAGACGGTCCAGCACATAGGAAAAGCGTACCGCTACCTACTGGTATGGATCTACGAGGAGAAAGTGCTGAAGGAGTGGCGGAAATGGCCACGGCTACGGTCCTCTGGCGCACACACATCAGATAGTTTAAGAATCCATCTGGAATGACAGAATGTTTGCACCAGATGGCTACCTAAGTTATAGACCCCACAGTTTTGTATTGACTGAGGGTATCTCATATTTGTAGAAATCGGCCGTGTGTAGGTTCATAACAAATTATTCTTATTATTGTTTTGATTTTTTTTTAATTAAAGCTTCGAGGGCGATGACTCTCTGATGTCGTTCGCTGTCTATGCAGAAACCACCGGACACTGTCTTACTGTCCTTGAAATCTACTGCGCAGAAACGCGGACGCAGTCAGTCTTCGAGACCAAACCACCCTCACGACTCACTGCTACTTTTGTACCGCTCATCGAGGGAAGGTTCCTATTGTAAAGCAAGGGGGAGTTAGCGGTGACTTGTCTAGTGGGCATAGCGTCTCAACCTCCCCTCTCCTGGGTCACTGATCGCTGCTAGTATCCTTCAGTGTGGCTTGATCGTTCTTTAACTATTGTATGAGGGGTTGAATGGTCTATGATAATCGTTCGGTAGTTGTAGCAGAATAAATCCCTGGTAGGTACCAGTGTGGTCGACCGTTCGTACTTGGTAGAGTAGAGCTCTGTGGGGAGGAGTTGTAATTCTAGGAACATGAGAACCAGTTATTAGTTAGTTAGTTATTATTATTGAACCTTGGAGAGAAACAGAGGATTGAGGTACCTACCTGGGAAACGAACCAACTGGCTCGCCCGACCGTGGCCAGAGTCAGCAAGACGCCAGGGATGAGTCGCCAGGAAGTTACGGCCGCCAGCTGTCCAGCTTGTTGATTGTTCGCTCCCGATCGCTGTGCTGGGCCCTACCAGCGGGGTGGCGGAGATTACCTTCGTTTAGGCCTGAGGTACCTTTGGCCTAGTGTTGAGATCCCACTCAGACTAAGCCTTAAGCACGGCTAGAAGAAGAAGCGCGAGTCGCGACTGGACCGCCCCAGAGCTTTTTCCTGTTAGTGTGAGCCAGCAGCGAAGATCTTGTAGGCGTCATCCAGCGCGAAGGCCCTACCAAACTGCTGCTCCCCAGCCTGAAGGAAACTTATCTAGCTGACGGGTGATTCCCTCCTCCTCCACACGGACCAGCACGGATTTTCTACTTGCTTGCTTGCTTGCTGCGTGCCACCTTTCTGCTTCCTACTCACTCGCCAAGGGGGAGAGAGAGAGAGGATCTTATCAGCTTTCGTGCTCCTCTTTTTTTTTTTCCTATAATTTTTTTTTCCCATTTTTGCTTTTTAAATAATTCTCTCTATCTTCCTTCTAATCCTCGCCGTCGTCCACTCTCCGCTGTCGACTTTTTTTTTTCCCCTTCTCCCAGACCCTCTTCTCTTCCCGCCTCACTCGCTCGACCGCTTTTCTCCTTCAACCGAACCGCTCAGCCCGAAAATCGACCCGTTCGAATCGAGGTATCATCACGGACGAGCAGAGAAAAGGGAGGCAAGGACAAGAATAGCAACAGAAGGCAGATCGGGACACACGAGTGCCATCTTTCCAGGAAGAATTTGCTGGCCCGCCCCCAAACCTTCTGTGACATGCTATTTCTCGTTTGTGTGACAGCTGGACGACGTTGATACCGTGCTTTGTCTCTCGTCCACATTCCCATCCTTCGAATCACGTCTATCTTTCTATCTGCGCGACCGACACATTCCTCTCCCTCCGGCGGCAATTTGACTCAACCCCCCTTGCCGCCGCAAATCCATCCGAGCTCCCCAACGTCCATCGTTTCTGGAGCCCACTTTCTGCCGCCTCTGCGCCAGACACATGAGGACGATCCGCGAGATTCGAGATTCCTGGAGCATGCACGGAGCGTAGTAACATCGCGATACACACCGGCAATCTGAACCACGGCTACCTGCTGGCAACGCCGCTGACAAACGATCCTAGGAGGCTTGCCAATTCCTGTCACCTTGCCTTGCATCCACCTGGAGACTACACCTGCTAGACCCTTTTGCCTCTCATCAGCATTTCTCGTTTTCGCCTGCCACTCCTCCCTTCCTTCCCCCTTCCTTCTGGGCCTGTATAATTGTGCATGCCTTGGCCGCTTCGCTGCAGCCCTTGATCTTTTTGCTTTCCCGACATCCCTCTTTGCGTCTACTTGCCCATCTTCTTCTCCCTTGGTAAGTCCTACAACACCGCCTTCTGCTGCTGCTGCTACTACTACTACTACCACTACTCCTGCCCCGCTCCGGAGCTGCCTTTCCACCCCTTGGATCTGCCCGTTAGACTGTCGCTAACAACTATATTTGTCACCTGCAGTCCCGTTTACTCGTCGTGCATCCTAGTCGGTGCCTGGGGCTCTTTTGCAAATACCTACCGAGCTACCGTCGGGGAGGTTTTTTCCCCCTTCTCAGCAAACTCGGATAAAGCTTTGAGAGGAGCATCTCGTGCGATACTCACTCATTGTTGAAGTACATATTTTATTTGGTGTTGAACCAACGTCGGTGTCAGGTGGAATGGCGTCTGCCATGGCAGCCAATGCAAGCGCCGTACATAGTGTGAGTCCAGGAAGACCGTTCGAGAACTGTTCCAACAAAAAAAAGATTGAAGTCACTGATAGGATCACAGGTACGCTCGAACCGACCCTCAAATATCGGTCCCTCCGGCATGAACAGCGAGCGGACGCGGGCGTCTCATCATACAGGGGTGGGGAAGAGTTTTGGTGGTGCCAAGGGTGGTTGGAACAGCAACATCTGGGGAGATAGCAGCCTCGGCAACGGTTTTGCTGAAGGTAGGGGAATGCCCCTTGAGAGAAGTCTCGATGGGGAAGGTGTGACTAACAGGTGGAATCTAGAGCAACACATCTCCCCGGAAAATGCTTTTGAGGGGAAATCGGGATCGGGATCCCTGTTGCCCTCATCCGAGTCCGACGCTTGGTCTGGTCGTCCGACCATGCCCTGGAACACAGTGAGTTCCACATCATCGTCCCTGTCGATGGGTCATGGAAAAGGTATGACGACCTCGCCTGTCCAATCTCGCCCCAGCGACCGCAGTGCCCCGGCTCTCACAGAAGCTGGTGATACAACATCGTATTTTGCACTTCCACGATCGTCAGGAATCGGTACTTCAGCCGGCATCGTCAGTCATAAAACCTATCTGAACTCGGCCACAGACGCAATTTCACCATCAACGGACTCCATCTCCTTTGGCAGCTTTGGTGGATTCAAGAATGCAGATGGTCGGCGCCAGATCAGCTCTTCAGCATTTGCAACAAGCCCTGTCGGTACAGGATTCCCGACGAAAGCAGGATTCCCTACCTCTCTAGACGGACAACGATCAGAGGAGATTGTCGGCACTATGGGCATGTCGTCTTTGTCACAGACTGTCCCGGATACGTTTGCCAATCCAGCAGGCCGGACACCGTATACGCACCTGTCCCACAATTCAGCTTCCTACGCGGCGCAAAGGCCAGTTCACTCCTCTCACCCGTCATTTCACTCAGAAAGCCAAGGGTTCGAGGGTCGTTACAGTAATGGCCAGGTCGATATTAATGCCGGCCTGACCAGGCTGCAACTCAGCGATGGTGGCTACGTATCCCAGCAGATCTCTCAGCGACCATCTTACCTGCCTTCTTCCTCGTTCGAGGGGTCACTCAACCGGCTCAAGTTTCAGGGTGCAGCCGAAGAAAGCAACTATCAGGCTGTCCCTGGTTATGCAAACGATGCAGCTTCTGAATTGCAGCTGGCGTACGCTGCCAGCAAATCGAGGGTTGGGGACTCCACCCCGATCTCTCCTTCGGAATACAGCCGCATGGGTTCCCCTTTCTATACGACGGTCGATAACCCATCCGTACCGACGACCCAGCTTCGAAATGGCGCTACAGGTCGTTACCCAGAGACCCAGAGTGCTACTCTCGACAGAAAATTGCGAGCCATACAGCCCGACGATTATAGCCAAGTCTCCGCCAACTCTGCTCACCGCCTCCAATTCCCGCCAGCATATGATTTCGCAGGATACCAGGCGGCGAGGTTGAATGCGCTCTCTGGATTCTATCCTATGTCCCATCTGGGCGGTCTCAGTCCGGCCACGATGGTTGCCAGAGGTCATCGGGACCATGACTCATCACAGATCGTTCGCAGCCCTCTCCTGGAAGAGTTCAGAGCGAACAGCAAGGGCAATAAGCGATACGAGCTCAAGGTGAGACGTTCTTTTTTAAAACTATTTCCACATGTCATCACTGACCCCTTTGCAGGATATTTACAACCATGTTGTAGAGTTTAGTGGCGATCAACACGGTTCCAGGTTCATCCAGCAAAAGCTGGAGACTGCTAACAGTGATGAGAAAGAGCAAGTCTTCAGGGAAATCCAGCCAAACTGCTTGCAGTTGATGACGGATGTCTTTGGCAACTACGTCGTACAGAAGCTCTTCGAGCATGGAAACCAGTCGCAGAAAAAGCTTCTGGCGAACCAGATGAAGGGCCACGTTCTTGCCCTGTCGACACAGATGTATGGCTGTCGTGTAGTTCAGAAGGTACAAATCCGCACCCCGAGTCATCGGTTTTGTGACAATACTAACTTGAATTAGGCGCTGGAACATATTCTCACTGACCAGCAAGCCATGATGGTGAAAGAACTGGAAAACCATGTTCTCAAATGCGTGAGAGACCAGAATGGCAACCATGTCATTCAAAAGGCCATTGAACGTGTACCATCTCAATATGTACAGTTCATCATCAATGCCTTCAAGGGGCAGGTCAGCCGGCTGGCGGCTCACCCTTATGGGTGCCGTGTAATCCAACGAATGTTGGAGCACTGTGAAGAGGTGGATCGGGAGTCTATCCTTGCTGAGCTTCATGCATGCACACCCAATCTGATCCCTGACCAATTCGGCAATTATGTTATTCAGCATGTGATTGAGAATGGAGAGGAAAAGGATCGATCTGTGATGGTCAATGTCGTGATCTCCCAGCTCCTGGTTTACTCCAAGCACAAATTCGCCAGTAACGTTGTCGAGAAGAGCATTGAGTTCGGCGAGACCAACCAGCGCCGCCACATCATCCAGATGTTGACCTTGCCCAACGAGCGAGGCGAAAGCCCTCTCCTTGGTTTGATGCGTGACCAGTATGGCAACTATGTTATTCGTAAGTCGCATTGCTTGAACCTCCTGTTGAATATTCATGCTAATTTTGACTAGAGAAAGTTCTTGGGCAGCTTAAGGGAGCGGAGAGGGAAGCTCTTATCGACCAGATCAAGCCGATGCTCAGCCAACTGAAGAAATTCAGCTACGGGAAGCAAATCGTGGCCATCGAGAAACTCATATTTGATCCCAATTCCCCCATGAGTGCTCCACCGGCTGGTGCCATATCCTCGACAACGCCGCCCAACTCCCATAAATCCTCTCCGCAGCCTTCCCGACGTTCGCTGACTGGGCTGGACCATTGTCGAGGCCCTCTAGTCGGCGCCGCCCCGCCTACCCCCCCACCGACCGACAGCCAAAGCGCTGTTGAGGGTTCTGTAGAGCCCAAGGGCCTTGCTGATACCACTGTGACACCTGTTCCTGATCCTGAGGCTGCTAGCACTGGTGCTGTGGTCTCGGTGTCAGCGGCTAATTCTAGCGCGTGATAAGTTCCTGCCTCGCCAGGCTTACATAATGTTCTCTTCGTCCTTTGTCTTCAGTCTTCGACTTTTCTAATTTCCTTTAATTCGGGCGTATACATACAGGAAAATCCGTGGGATATATGGTCTTTCTACTGTCAGAGTTTTTATGACATGCGATCGCTCCATTCATATGGCATGACGGCGCAAAAAACATTCCCTCCAAGAATCATGCTGGATTCGATTACGTGTGTGGATTTGATTCTCTTCGTTGTGTTTTTTTTCTCTTTCCCTTCTTTTTCTCTTTTTCTTCTTCTCTGTGTTTATTCTTTATCTCTCTGTCCCTGCCGGCCACGATGGGCGTGAAAAGGCACGCCTTTATCGTCGCTGATAGGTTGTCTATTTTGCTGTGTTTTCATCTGTGCGGGAATGGCGTCTTAACTGGAGAGTCAAGGCTCATGGGGTTTGTTCTTATTTTCATCTGACTTGCTTGACCACTGCGGTACAAATGGGACCTTCGGCATGGGAGCCACGACAATATGGTTAATACACGGGGCTCGCCCTGGAGCGTGTTTCAGATGTGCTCTTCTCGGTATACAGTCTAAATGAATTGCTGTAATAGATATTGCTAAGTGACCGGTTCATATGTATCTGTAGAGTAGGCTAGGCTGGCTGTTTAATGTACTAATGTAGTCTCAGTAGTCACGTGATATTTGCCTCCATCTCTGCCATGACTGGAGTACCACACCAACCTTCAACTTACAAGCCAGACTTTCCACATCTTACCAAGTTGCACTCGACCTACACTAACACGAATACTGCCAAGATTTTTTTTTGAATACAAAACACAAGCAAAACAGGCATGTCCTCCAACGTTGGCCTCTCCACCCCCCGCGGAAGCGGCACATCAGGCTACGTCCAGCGGAACTATGCCTTCATGAAACCACGCGCAGCGGGCTACGGTGCCCCGTATCCACCGACCGGGACGGGAGCAAACGGCAGCGAGATCGAGCGTCCCTTCAAGCAGCGCCAGCCTGATAAGCAGATCCTGGAGCATGATCGGCGGCGAGCGATCGAGGTGAAAGTGCTAGAGGAGCGGGAGAGGCTTGAAGAGCGAAACGAGGAGCTAGAAGCAGAGGAGCTTGCGAAAAAGAAAACCAAGGGAGAGAACGAGGAGGGCGAAGAAAGCGATTCGAAGATCCTTTCAGAGGAGGAGATCGAGGAACGATGCGAAGCTCTACGCGCAAGACTGGTCAAGGAGATGGAAGACGAGAAGAAGAAGCAGGACGGACCCGGGGGCGCAGGCGAGATGCGTGATTCCCGCCGTGGACGCGCAATGCGTGACCGTGATCTGCGTGGACCCCAACGCGAGAGAAAACAGTTCAAGGCGTACCAGGTGCATGAGCTTGCGGAGGCGAAGATCGAGGAGAGCGAGCGGCTGCGCAGAGCCCTGGGGATTAGAGACGACTGGGAGAGCGGAGCTCCAGGGAGATCTTCGGGGGGAAGGGGGGACAGAGAAGCCGCTCCATACGAGAGAAGGAGAGATTAGTTCTTTCTTTTCTTTGTTCTCTCCTTTGTTTTTATATCGTTGTCGTTTTAGGGCCCGGATTTCTGGTTGGTTTCAGGAGTTGACGGTTGCATTTGCATTGAAACTGTACGTACGGCTTTACGGATATCCAAATATTTTTTCTCCCCCTTGACTTTAAAGTGTTCTATGGTCTATATCATGCTCATCATGCCTAATTTTCAAGAAACCACTTTTTCCACAACCCAGCCTTCTTTTGGATCCTTTCTTTGAATCACCTTTTTAGCTGGCAAGGGCCAACCTGTACTGCCGGTCTCGCCCACGAGTGACGGCACCACCCAGCACTGTCGGCGCTGCGGGATACCTTCCATCGTTTCGACCTTGCCGATTGGCTTTCCATATTCAAGCAAGGGAGTGTTGTTCGCAATCGCTGCTAGTTGGAGCCCACTGGGAGCAACTAGCGGAAACATGCGAATCTTGGTGGTGGTGCCTTGTTCTGTCGAGATGGCTGAAGGAGCCGCCTGCTGCAAATGCGAGTATATGATGTACTGAGGCATTTCTTTGGGAGACAGTCGCGCAATCACAGAGGAAGGATGGACGTAGACGGCCATCTCATTGAGCTCCTGGGTAAGTCCCTCCCGCGATTTGAACAAGGTCAGGTAGGGCACGTCGATTGCCCTCTTCGGGCTGCGCGATTGCTCGGGGGGAACGGGGGCTAGATCCGCACGAATGGCAACGTTGTCAATGAACCCTGCAGTGACAATCTGTTTGAGGGCCTTGAACTGCTTTTCGGTTGGTTGCGGGAGCCGCGCCTTGTACTCGTCAACGAGACCAGGGTTGTTGGTCCGGACGATGTCCGTTAACTGGCGACGCAGCTGGCTGGCTTCTTTAAACGCTTTGGCTCGCAAGAACATCTTCTCGCAGAAGGCGTCGCCATCATCGGCATATGCATAGGCACAGATTGATGAGAGGAATTTCAAAGCATCGGAGGTGTCATCGTTCTTGCTGAAAAGTCGATGGGCTCGTGCGTAGTCCTTCAAGAGGTTTTCGCGATATGTATCCTCTAGCCGGTTCGAGTTTGTGTAGATCTGCCGGTCCTCTTCTCCATCACCGGGTTTCGAAGGCCTCATGTCAATCTGGGACTCGGGAACGAACAAGTCTCCAACCGCCAATACTGCAACTAGTGCAATCACATAGGGCAGGCAGCCATGTTGATGACCAATGTGTAACATTTTGCCAAATCGAGGAGACAAGGGATACGTCGACAAACGGTGGCCAACTTGCGTAACTTTCCCCTCGGGAGACAGCGCGCCCAAGTTCTTGAGAAGTTTCTCTGCCTTCGTAAGCCCAGTGCGGCTGGGGGGTGTTGGGAAAGGGAAGTTGATAACGTTGTGAAGGCCCATGCTCTTCATTTGAAGGACAACACCTTCGATGGGCGTTCGTAGAATTTCCGGGTCAGTGTACTCGGCAAACTCGCCTTCGTAGAGCGCGGAGGAATAGAGCCGATAGCAGTGGCCTGGCCCAGTACGACCGGCTCGACCAGCTCTTTGATTCGCACTGGCTTTACTGATCCAGCCGATTTGGAAGCTCTGGACTCCAGTGAAGAGATCATACTGCTTCTCCTTGGCTCGCCCACAGTCAAAGACGTATCTGATCCCAGGAATTGTTAAACTGGTTTCAGCAACGTTGGTGGCCAGAACGATGAGCCGAGAACCATCCGGCGGAGGCTCAAAAACCTTGAGTTGTTCCTTTGTCGGAAGCTGAGAGTACAGAGGCAACACATGAACTCGTGTAGAGGAATCCATTGCTTCCTCGCCCAGGTCAAAGCCGTCGTCATCTTCCGGGTCATCGAGACCGGTGATTTCGAGGTCACTTTCATCACCATCATCATCATGATTTCCTACATCGGTCATCTCTGTACCCCCTAATTCAAGATCTTCTGTCTCAAGTGGAGCATCGTTAGCTGATATTTGAACTTTAACCTGGGCCACATCCCCCCGTTGTGTAGGTCGAAAAGCCTGCTTCAAACGTTTGGCCAGAAGTCTGATCTCATTTTGCCCGGTAAGGAAGACAAGCATGCCTCCCGGAGGCAGCTTACGGTGGCCTCTGGATACCTTTCGAAAAGCTTCTTCAAGATAATCACGGTGTGTGCGCCTGGAGAAATGAATGGTAACAGGGTATTGGCGGCCCTCAGCTTGAACAAGAGGTGGTGAGCCTTGCCGAAACAAACTGACATTTTGAGTAAAGTCCGAGATTCGCAATGTAGCAGACATGATGACCAGTTTCAGGGGTTTGACGGCAGGGTCTTCTTCGGCCATGGATTTGCGAAGGTCTACAATACGGCTGACCATGCCAATGAGAATATCCGTGTTCACACTTCGTTCGTGAGCTTCATCAATGACGATGATCGAATATTTCTTCAGAGAGAAGTCTTCCGCAATTTCTCGCAGAAGGATACCGTCGGTCATGAACTTTATGGCGGTCTTCTTGGTTGCCGTGCTTTCAAATCGAATTTGATAAGACACCTGGTCGGAGAACTGACCCAATTCGTCGCCGACACGCTTGGCCATACTGACTGCTGCAACCCTGCGAGGTTGAGTGACACCGATCATTCCTGGATTTGAACTTTCAGGGTTTCCATAACCCGCTTCGAAGAGGAATTGTGGAAGCTGGGTGGTTTTACCGCTACCAGTTGCACCCCAGATGACAACTGTAGAGTTGTTATGAATAGCCTCCATGATTTTCTGCTCTTCACCAACGACTGGCAGCCCTATACGTGCAGCCTGTATTTCGTCTGAACGGTTAACTTGGATGCTGAAAGCTTTCCGTTCAGGATCTCCTTTAGTGACCTGTAGCTCCAGAGGTAGAGGTTCATCTTCTTCAACAGTAGTTCTCGCAGATCTCTCAGGTGCAATGGTTGGGAAATCAGTCACAATCGGTCCGGTTGTGGGCTTGAATCCAACTGCTTCGTTGATTTGCTGCACGGCCCACGCCTTGAAGGCAGATTTTCGAGGTTGATCCTGAGCAGTGTCTGAGGCAGATTCGGACTCAGACTCCGACCCGGATTCATCATCGTCGTTTTCGCTTTCTTCAGATGATCCAGATCCATCTTCAGACATCTCGTCTGATGAGGAATTGCTTTCTCCATCTTTAGCACTTTCATCCTCGGCCTCGACTTCGCGTTTATTCGAGAGTTTCTTGGCCGGGGGTTCTTCATCTGCATCATCCTCCGAATCGAAGCCATCCCATGGTAGTTCCTCGACTGGTTTGACTGGTTTGGTTTTCGGAGCGCGTTTTCGCTTCTTGATGATAGGACGCCCATCTGCACCAAGCTCAAGCGGCCGTTTCAGACCACTTCCAACTCCCGGAGTTGCGGCGATAGCGTTGGATTGTTTGACCACCGGATCAGGCAAAGATCCATCTGGAGCACTCTTCAGTTTAAGGTCATCCTCATCGGTCTCGTCTCCGGATAACTGGTTGTCTAGACTGGCTGCATTCGCGGTCGCTTCGGTCTGAATGGAGTCGCGAGTACTCGATCGCAAATCGGCTTTGGTTCCCTGACCCAATTCCCTAGCGCTGCGAAGACCGGATGTATCGACCCTTGCAGCCGCAAGCTTCTTCAGCAGTTCGAGGTTTTCATCTTTCTTCAGTTTGTTTTCCTACACACTGAGTTAGCATGTCTTCTAATATAGTAATCACCGGTATCCATGGAGTTCAGCATACAATATATTTATCTAAACGCTTCTGCTTCTTGGCGGAGATCTTGCTGTGTTGAGATTTGATCTTTTCTTTCAGCTTTCGCCGCTTCTCTTCCTTTTCAGTCTTGGAGACGGGGAGCAGCTCGGTGACGTTCGTGTCTACTGATGCATTCGTGTTCTCCCTCTGCCTGTGTTTCTGCTTCCGCTGGCGCGGAGTAAAGGTCGGCATAGTGTAAGAGCTACAGATATGCTCCTAGCCGAGTATCTCGCCCCAAATTGAGTATATAACGAGCAATCAATGAATCAATGAGCGAATCCAAAGTAAGAAAAAATCGGCCAGGCCTGTAATTCTGCCGAAAGGCGGTATGTCTGGTACTCACCGCCTTTGGAGGGGGCGTCAGAAGTATAATCTCCGCCGCGTCGATAGTTATAGCAGACTGTGGAGGAACAAAACACTTGATTTTTTACTTGAATTGTATCCAATCATCCTACAGCTTGTTAGATATATTAGACTTACTATCTCTTGCCTCTCCTGAACTATGGCTGCACCGCCGAACCTTGATGGGCTCCAAGAGACCTTGAATCTTCCCTTCCCTGCAACCACTAAGCAAACTACGGGCACTGTAAATGGCGTCCAGACAGATGTGATGTCAATGGGCTTTAGCGACCGGATTCTTGTCACGATATCACAAAAAGGACGCCTTGCGCAATGGGTAGGTTTTCCAGATACTTTATTGACCCCCTGTCGACTAAGGAATTTCACAGTTACACGTGCCTCTCGAGAACAAGAACCCAGGAACAGATGGTTTCCATACTATATCGGAGGCCACTGATGACTCTCTTCTCCCAATGAGTAATCTGACTGCAACGTCGTTGTTGGGCGGCCATGCTCCTGGACATGACACGCTTGGCCAGCTCTATGCCCGACAGATCGCCAGTGCAATCGCCACGAAGACGCCCAACGAGAGGAGACTGCTTGTTGTCGGGTTGGGCCTCGACTCAGCGGATACCGACCGCGATGTGTTTTTCGCCATCATTGATCTTGTTCTTCAGTGTATCTGATCGATCGGTCTATACACGATGGATGGCTACGTACCAAACATAGCTGCCATCCACTATACGGACAACCTAGTTATTCCCGTTGAGTTGAGTATCGGGAAACTTGAAGTTAGGGTTCATTCTATAGAAGGGGCCCTCTTGAGCAGCTACGACATCAATCTAGTGACTGGAATGGTCCGTATAGCTTCAGGCCCGCCGTGCAAGTAGTCATACTACTTTTCAGCTATTCGAAAGCTTAAAATTTATCGTCGGGGTACAGGCATGAACCAACTCATCGAGCACGTCTTGACGCGGTCTAATATCAAGTGAGCTAATTGGGTCAAGTTGTTGACCTGTCAAAATCTCTCGGCATGCATAGAGAGCTAGATTTACGGGCATAGAAGGGCATCCAAGCAGCTCCCAAAGCCACTCTGATGGGATAATTTTGGCTCAATGAAATAGAGTACCTGGGATCAATCTGATCCAGAATGTATTTTACCTGCCAGGGGGAAGAATTCAAGGGAAAATATAGCCCGAAGGCCAAAAATATATAAAGCTACATCAGGTTTCTATTATAATTAACACATCAACTCATGAGCCATTAGGCTATTGATCATTATATCCATTTCTCTGCTGTGCAGCGCATCATCAAATGCTCATGTAAACATAATTTTATCACTGTACAATAAGGGTTCACTGAACATTTTTCTAGGATTGTATATAAGTCATTGGTCAAGAAATAGACAGGCTGATAAACAGACGACTCAGTCGTGAGCATTCAAGACACATTTATCTTTCATGTGCCAGATACGCCGTTTCTTGACCACATCTGTGCCGAAAGTGTCCTTGATACCACCGTCATAGTGCTGGATCGAGGCTTGTCCTCTGGTAGCCTCGTTGGTATTTGCATCTTGGCCGTCGGCTGTGGAGAGAGGCGACTTTAACAGACGGACTTCTTCGACACTTGCTCCAAGCTCGTACTCTCCTCGACAGAGGACTGTCACACCAATGGTAGCCTTCGCACTTTGGCCGCCCTGCAAGATAGGAAGCACCTGCTGTAACATGCCTGTCCAAGCAAGGCGTCTGGATAGATCGAGGGCGATGTTATTCGGTTGGTTGGCCAGACTGGGCTGAAGTCTGACAAGTGGGTGGATGGGCGCAGAAGAGCGGTTGTGAACAGTAACCGTCACATTTAACATTTGGTCGGTCTTGACACGGAATTTGGAACGTCCGAACTGTACGACAGTGTCGGTATCTCGATCCGGATGGGAGTCGTCGGGAGTGTCAGAAGACGAGTCAATATTGAATGTGACATCGATATCTTCCAGCCTAATCGCATCCACCATTCGAGCATTCAGACGAAGATTCCTCAGGTCAATAGTTCCACTTCGTCCGGTATAGTCTTCAGTCCAGGTGCCAAAGAGTCTTTTCAAGAGTTCTTCTCGATACCAGAATGCTTCCCTTGATGCCGCTTCAGACTCGAAGGTTTGCTTGTTGGCGCTCACAACGAACTGTCTCCTGAAACCGGTGTTCAGAAGCGGGATTGGCGCATGAGGATTTTGGAGGTAGATTCGAGGAAGTACAAGCACAAATCGCGAGACCTGGCCGGGTTGAAGATCCCGACCCACATGATATTGTCCCTCTTTGTCTTCTAGCGGGACAGGAATGTATTCCTGTTCTGCCTGTTCGGTAACATGCAACTTCACTGAAACAGTATTCGGCCAGGCATTTCGAAGCTCTAGAAGAATGACACAGTGGTCAGGGCCATACGAACCCCGTCCCAAACGGGAGAGAACTGATGAGAATTCATCATCCTCCGATTGCAAGTGGGGAGAAAGCGATTTTGACGGCTCGGAGAAAGTAGTATCAGTGCCACCAATTCGAAATTTGTTCCACCAGGCAAAGTCACCACTAAAAGGAAAGATATCACATCGAGCGACCTCGACGCTGGCATTCACAGTAATAGTGAGAGGAACAAATAGTTGTCTTGTATAGAACACTTCAGGCAATCCGTCATGTGCTGGGTCAACGCTCGAGTAGTCAATTTGAATAATTGCATCCTGTAGACCAGGCTTGCCAAGCACATCAATTTCGAATATAGCAGTCTGATCAGGGGCGATGGAGGCTTTTCCATTTTCGTGCTGTTGAGGACGCCAGCGAAGAGCTGACCCTGCGCATAACTTGAGTTCCAATTCATACACTTCCACTGGTAATAAGTCCTTATTTCTGAGAGCGGACTGTAATTGTCTGGTTGTCGAGTCTTGGAAGGTGAAAAGTATGAAATCAAGTGTGCATGCCGAAGTGTTGTGTAATGTGATATTGAATGTTTTTGTTTCGCCCTCGAGAACCATCATCGCAGATTGGGACAAAGACATCGACTCAATGACCAAAAGAGGCTGTTTATTGATGACCTTCACCTCACAGGTTGTGGTAATGGGTCCCTTCTTTGAGATGACTTTACCATCTTTTGAGGTGGTTGAGCTCCAAGAAAGAGGACGCTCGGATGATGGCACCTTGGCTGCGAGACCAATACGCTTGACTTTGTTCTCATGGTCTGGTCTCCAGAATGTTGCGAAGATAGGAAACCTGCGTTCTCGACAATGTCGGACTTTGACAATGCAGCCCAAAATGTTCACTGTACCTGGGCCATGGGCGACCGCCGAAACAACAACATCTTGAAGGGCAAGTGGTGGCAAGACGATGTTCTCTGCAAGCCCATCAAATGACACGCCTTCTGTGTGGAAACGAAGGCTTTCGATCTCGACTTCGAACTCATAAGGATTCTGCAGCGTAACCCTGAAGGATGCAGTTTCGCCTGCCACCATGAGCAATTCAGCAGCTTTACTACTCGGTTTCGAAAATGGGTTATATAAGAAGGGATCTTTGCTTTTCTCAGGCCGAGCTGTTACAGCATCTAAATCTGTCTTTGAGCGGCGAACGGGTCTTTTGAGGTCTGAAAGTGGCAGAAGTTGGATATCACGGACTAAAAAGTCATCCCAGTATTCGGCTTCTAGACTTGAAGCTCCAAGCTTCCGTCCGGCATCCACCGTTCGCTTGATATTATTCAAGAGACGGATCTGTTCATCTGGTGGTAAACACGGATGGACTTTGTATGCTTGAGATAGCATGAGGTCTCCTCTAATGGTCTGAAGCAGCTCGACGGTGAATTGAAGGACGCCATGGAAATCTGGAAGGGCTTCGCAACAGTTTATGCAAGCTTTGAGAACATCAATCTTCAAATTCATGTCGCCGTACCTGTCAAGAGCAGCATGTCGGAATGAACGATCCACAATTGCAGCGATAGAGTCATACTCAGGATACTTGGTCGATCTGTCTTCTGCTGAGAATGATTGCCGGGACTTTTCCCATTCTGTAAAGCTCGAAGGTTGAACACCAAATATTCCTCCAATATTAGCTAGAAGAGCGCGAAGGCTCTCTTCCACGTTTCCTGTACCAATTTCAAGTGCATTAATGTCAAAAGCGGCGTTGCTGAGAGATGATAGCCCAGCAGCTGGGTGAATACCAATTTCTGCCGCACCGATTTTCCGAGCTTGAACAAGGTTGGGGACCAAGATAGAGAGAAATTCTCTGAGTATAAAGGCTTTTTTCCTCGCAAGGTCAAGGTAATTCAGAACAGAAACTACGCCAACCATTATGGGCACGGCGTCTGTGGCAGGAAGGTCAGAGCCTGGGGACAGCGGGAGCGCACGGAATAGGAAGGCCGTGAGTTCGGACTTTCGGAGGAGTACTATCCCTCTTGGCCGTTCCGGCAGATGAAGAGGCACCAAAGGCTCGCCCATAACTATGTGTTTCAATGCGTTATCATCCAGGGTCCCATCGCGAGTGCGTACAGATACCAGCAGTCTGGTCAAACGGATGACAGTTTCTGAGAATATCAATTGGGGCAATGGCTCTTCCGTGATGTTGGCTGCTCGGTTATATAGATTCAGGATGGTGTTTGAGAGATCAGGAAGCAAATTGGCCAAATTTTGAAGTGAAACAATGCGGTTTCCCGGGGTAGAATGTCCAGAGATTGAGTCCGAGCTGCTTCCTATGAAGGATTTCGAGGATTTCTCTGCGACTGGGTAGCATATTTGAGGGATTTGGAAGTCCATTCCCGCCCAGGCAAACATCAAGAGGCATAACAAGATAGACTCCAGTGCTTTGGCATGCCAGACATAATCGCTACTTGCGCGGGCCATTGCCGCGGCTTCAATTAGTTCTTTCAACGCATCAGGCCAGATACCGGCTTGAAGATACAAGGTCCCAAGGACGACGCCCGAACGGCCCTTGATTCTATTCTTGGTGCGATCACTGGCAGTCAGGCCGCTCACAGATGATCGATCACGGCTATGTTCTTTTGACGAAGGCAGAGAATTGGGCTTGCCCACTGCACTTGCACGATGGGTCAACTGTATAGAACGGGTGATCTCGTCAAACGTGGTAGGTGTTTCATGATCACTCGGAGCCGGCGAGCTTTGGCTGGATCTGCCCTGTAGCCCTGGTAGAGCATTTGGGTCAGATGGGAGATGTGTAGGCATTGTCATCCGGTGTAACAGCTTGTCCACTGGTCGGGGGCGCAGCTCCGGACCACGGCGCGGTCCCCAGGATGAGGCCTTTGGTGATTCAATCAACGGGATGGTCTGGACCACTTTTGCAAATTCATCCAGCTCACACAACAAAAGAGAAGTGATGTCGCATAAGACCGTCTTCATTGTAGTAGCCTTTGAAGCCTGTGGCCGTGGTACCCACAAGACGTCGCCTGGACCATTCTGGATCTTGTCTACCCCCTCGTAGTCAAACACTACAAGCTGGTGAACCAATGCCCTTGGGTTTCTTTCCCTCGCTAGACTCAACTCCGCGAGAAGCTGGTCGAGTCCCTCGGGCGATGGGAGATCCTTGTTCGTCAAATTCACCCCCGCCAAAGACGCTTGTTCCCCGGAGCCTTTCGACAATTCGGTCCCATCAGCTATTGCGATTATCACTAGCGGCTCTCGGAAGATCTCGAATGGAAATAGGTCCAGATGCGAAATGGGCGGGACAGAAAAGGTCAGATCGTAGAATATCATGCCCGTAGGAAACGCCAACGGTGAAAACATATCTACACAGAAGTTTGATCCGTCAGTTATCTGTCCAGAAATCAAAGAGGAAAAAAGGGGGGGGACCAGCGCGCATACTTCGATTCGGTCGCCCATCAGGACTGATGTCCCCGAGACGAACGACATTATCCGCTTGAAGCCTCGCGGCAAAACCGAGGAACCTCGACCGTTTGATTTTGCCCACAGGCAAAAGAAGAGCCTTCAGCCGCGCAGGCGCAATCGGGGAAAGAGGGTCGACACCCATCCTCTCATCGGGGGAGCTGCCCAGCGGAGCCAGTCCGCGATACACCGTAACTCGACAACGTTTGTTAAGCAGCCCGCACGGGTTTCAAAACCATCGGCGGCAAATAAAGCAGTAGGACCAGAGAAGACAGAATGAAAGAAGGCGAATCTATCGAACACAGCCGCTGGTCTCGTGGCAGGAGCACCAGCCATATATACCCACCAGCGACAATAACACAAGCCGCGGTGTGGAGCTGCGCTAAGGGTCACTGTGGGCTGCCGTAGAGAGACTGGCCAGTTGGCGGTTGATAAGCCAAAGAAAGGCATTGCGTACCTGGGCTGGTTATCGATAAACTCCGCTCGTCTCCAACAGCTTGAGGCAGGAAGGCAGCACCAGGGCTCGCCATCTGACTGTTCTCTTTCGTTGTCCGGGGGGGTTCTTTCGCCTTTTTTTTTTTTTTTTTATTTGTTAGATATCCTAGCATCTCTTTCGGTCTATCGCTGTATCACATTTCTGTTTCACAGCCTCTGATTGCTTGGTGTCTCCCGTTCATTCACTACTTTCGAGTACGACGCGCTGAGTAGCCAGCCGACTACCTGCTAGTGCTTGGGCTATGTGATTATTATAGGATTTTGACACATTGTTTTCGTGCTTCATAGCTCGTTGGAGATGTCGCAGAAGATAGATTTCAACGCCTTGAAGGCCCGTACGATGGGCTCAGGCAACGATGAGGAGGCGGTAACAGTGGACACTCGCGGGCTGATTTCCAAAGTCCTCGCGCGTTATTCAGGAAAATGGTAGGCTGGAGTATAATGTCAACGATAAAGACAACGCTTGATACGGATGCTAAATAACCCTCAGGACAGTTCTACGAGAGATGATCCAAAATGCAGCGGATGCCAGCGCCACCAGAGTGACGATCAAGTTCGAGACGCTACCGTCGACAACTGTACCTTTACCAGCCTCTGCCGACCAGACGACACTTATCAAGCATGTACTATCTAACCACACTTTGAAACGCCTTCTCATATCGAACAATGGGCTTCCTTTTAGTGAGAAGGATTGGTCTAGGTTGAAGCGGATCGCGGATGGGAACCCGGACGAGACAAAGATCGGGGCCTTCGGAGTCGGGTTTTACAGTGTTTTTGATGACTGCGAGGAACCTTTTGTCTCTTCCGGAGACGAGGCCATGGCCTTCTACTGGAAAGGGAACGCTCTTTTCACTCGACGACTGCAGCTAGATGAGGGATCAAAGAATCCTGAAACGACATTTGTGCTTGATTACCGCAATGATTCCTCGCCCATACCTTCGCTGATGCAGCTGTGCCAGTTCCTATCAAGCAGTTTGACGTTTGTTGGCCTTGAGAGGATCGAGTTGTGGCTAGATGACTGGAATCTGTTGCGCCTGACAAAGAAAGTCGCACCAAGTGTCAACGTGACGATCCCAAAAGATATTGAAACAAAGACTGCTCAGGGCCTCATGAAGATTTCCAGTGTGACACGGGAAGTAGCCCAGGTTGATGCGTCCTGGATGCGGATTGTCGAGTGGAAGCCTCAGGCAACTTTGTCCCCCCTTGATGGCCTTCGGGATACGACAGGTTCTCTGCGCTCGTTCTTCTCAAGGCTCACTGGCCAGAATGGCGCAGAAAAACAGACCAAACCCGAAAGAATCGAAAGGTCAAATGAGAACGAAGAGCTGACAAAGATACTGAATGCTTCTGTCTTCCTCCACATCAACACCGCATCCATCCAAGCGTCTGTCAGCCAAGCTTTGAGTGATGAGCTCGAACGAGCGACTCGCAAACCCCCGCCCAAGAAGACTAAGATAGCCATTCTGACACCATCATATGACGCAACTATCGCGGTCGGAGCGTCTCTGTCGCAATCAGAGATTCTGGCGTCAATTTTGCCCTCAAAAACTGGACGAGTGTTTATCGGTTTTCCGACGCACCAAACGACCGGCCTCAATGCGCACATATCTGCTCCCTCGGTGATCCCCACTGTCGAGAGAGAAAGTATTGATTTGAACACTCGGTATATTAGTCGATGGAACCTCGAGATGCTGAGAGCAGCAGGCATCATTTGTCGGATCGCTTGGTCCGCAGAAATGGCGTCGATTAAACTTAATATCTTATCAAAGAGAGAACTCACGAATAGATCAAAAATTCGAAGGGAAGACATTGTGCCCGTCATTCCTGAAGCCATCCACAGTGCCAACCAGTTTGTTTTCCGAGAGTCGACCCCTTCGTCGCTTTTGGGGCAAACGATCGAAGATGCCTTCTGGACGTGTAACAAGAACGCCTCGATTGAAATTCTTTCTTCTTGTGGTGTGATACAAAGTCATCAGACTCGCATTGCACCCAAAGAGCTCAGCTTCATGGACTCTATCCCTGTTTTGCCTGATGAATTCGTCTTGGGTGCGAAGGAGTTCGTCAAAAAGCTGACAGACTTTGGCCTTGTGACCGACATCACTGTGTCAGACATCAAAAAGGAGCTAGAAACGTGTACGCTGCGCTCCGACCAAGTCCTTGAATTTCTCTCCTGGCTTGGTCGGAGAGCTGTCTCAGGGCAACTGGAATCCTCGTCAATTCAAGCTCTACTTAGTGTTGCTGTTGTGAACGATGAAGACAGCAAGGGCAATGCGACGCCATTGCTCGTGTTGGCAGATATAAGGTGCTTCCTAAATCCTCAGCGTATCCCCGCTGAGCTACCGTTACCACCTTGGGTGATGCCTTTTAAGTTCACAAAAAGTCTGAGCAAACAATATTTCGAGGCCATGGGATGGAAAGAACTGGATATAGTGCCTTGGTTGAAATGGCTGGTTGGGAACGCCGGAAATAGGAGCATTCTCACGGTGGAACAAGATATGACTTGCACGTCAGCGTTCGCTGCGCAAGTCCTACCTGTCCTTTCCAAGCAATGGGAACCCTTGAGTCCATCAGCCAAGCAAACAGTTGCCAGCCTACTACAAGCGCAGACAGTCATTCCGACGAGATTTGGTATGAAGCGGCCTGCTGAGACTTATTTCACCTCTGTCCGGTTGTTCGATGATCTTCCTATTGTATACGGCCTGAACAACGTTAAAGAGAAGTTTCTGGCGGCGCTCGGAGTACGCAAGACCGTTGAGCTTGGCGTCATTTTTGAGCGTCTTCTCGACCCCTCTGAATCTGCTAATACGGCTGTCGACAATCAGAAGAGGTGGAGCCATGTCGACCTAGTCAAATATCTTACTTCAGTGCGGGAAGATATTCCGCAGAAGGATATTGAGCGGCTTAAAAATACGAGTATTTGCATGGCTGAAGTCCAAGGGGACTCGACTGATAACCACAGGAAACGGTACAAGATCTCTGAGCTGTTTGAGCCGAACGAATCTCTCAGGAATCTTAACTTCCCTATTATCGAATGGCCAGCAAACTACAGACCTAGCAGTGGTGAAGGGAGGTTTCTCACAATGTTGGGCCTCAGATGTTTCCCGACAGCACCGGAGTTGATCGACCTCATGGCACAATCATTGAAAGAAGCAAACCACGCTCTTTACGGAAGAGCAATATCCTACTTCATTACTGAGTATCATACAAATGGATATGCTACATTCAACTGTGGCGGGGTCAATGTCCCTTTTCTATCTGTTGAAGGCTCAAAGGTTCCTAGCGCCCCCAGCAAGTGCTTTACTGATGAGGGAGCTGCGTTGTTTGGCTTTAAAATCCTACGAAAGGACCTCCATCCACATGCACTCAAGTTCGGCGTTAGACCACACCCTGCACTTGGGGAGTGCATCGATGTCCTTATACAACAGCCCCCCACGACCAGAAAGGACGCCAGGGTGTTTTTCAAGTACCTGGCTGGAAGAGTCGCTGAACTCAGTGCACGAGATATAAGTCGCGTTGGAAATGCGTTGGTCGTGCCTATCACGTCCAGGGATGAGACGGAAAAGGACCAAAAGTTCCGGCTGATCACCCCGAACAGCTGTTATCTCGGAGAGGGTGAAGATTACCGAGATATTTTTGATTTTGTCGACTTTGGCCAGGAAGCAAACCTTTTTCTCATGGCCGTTGGTTCTAAACGCGAACCAACCAAACCCGAGTTGGCTCGTATGGTGGTGAGAGAGCCTGCACGGATATCATCTATATTTCAAAGTTCTGAGAAGTATATCAAACTCCTGAGGACTCTTGCCGAGCATCTTCCTACTCTGAGAAAGGATCGGGATCTTTTCAACTCCATGAGAAGATCTTCGTTCTTATTGGCAAGTAGAGACATCACGAGCCAAGGAACGAAGAAAACAAATGGAAAGGCAGAAGGTGGCGATGGATCGGATGATGATCTCTATGCCGACGAAGACCAAAGTATCAAGGAGTGGAACCTGGCTGCTGCAAAAGAAATTATCGTCGTGGATGACTTTCAGAGTTTCAATCTGTTCAAGGAACATGTACTCGCCGCTCCCCAAGAAGAAGTATTGGAGAACTTCTACATCGCTCTCGGAGCGTCTCCGTTGAGTACTATAGTTGAAGAGAGAGCCCATTGGGGAGCGGTGGCTGCCGACCAACGTCCTGCGGTCAAGCTACAGAAGCTCATCCACGAACGGTCGAGACTCTTTCTTCATGATCAGTCTTCAGATTCGATCCGGCATGACATCAAGTGGTTGGAAAAGAATCTTACTGTGCATGTCGTGAATTCCATTTCTTTGACGAGGTCCCTGCAGGGTCGTCGTGTCTCGCACAACCAAAAGCGAAGCGCCATCATAACACAGCAACCGAAGGGCTGGACACTCTGGATCTGTCCTGGAAAATATGATCTTTATGAAATCAGTCAGGCATTGGTCCATCTCATCCTTGTCAGGCCGAAACTTCACTCAACCCTTACATTGGAAATGCTACTAAAGACCGATCTTTTGGAACTCAAAGCCCGAGGTTACAACGTGGAGCGTATTCTCAAGCAAAAGGCTCATGAAGCAAAGATGGCAGAAGATAGACGCCAGAAACAAGTGGAGGAGGAGCGTAAGCTCCTACAAGAGAGGGAAGCCGAATGGGCAAAGAGACAGGCACAGATTGCTGAAGAGGAACAGGCACAAGCACAGGCACAGGCACAGGATTTGATGCCAGGCGACTTTCCTAATTCACCAACCCAAAGAAACAATACCCGCGACCTTCAACAAATCTCACAGCCGGAGGCAATACAACAGGATCAGCGGCCGCGTGGTCTCTTCGCTAGCTTGACCAAGCGCCTTGGTCTGGAAAATGGGCGATTCAATGACCTTTCCTCTTCGACCACGGGACCATCAGAGCCTCAGGGCAGCCTTCCCCCGCCCCCTTACTCTGCCGATGACCCAAACAAAAACAGGCCGGAAGGTACCCCTAATGTTCATCCTCCGCACAAACTACACGAGGAACTACTCTCCGCTGTACAGGCCTGTCGAGCTCATGGGTCGTCTGGCGTCTACAGCCGGCCCGAGACGAAGCAGGTCAACGAAACCAAATCCTACTGCGATGAGAAACCAAGTCATGACCTTGAATTTGCGGCCACGCTACCTTGTGGCCTTCATGTGCTTCTCACCCGCTCGATCAGCGATCGGTCAGCATTCCTCTCCGAGAACATTGCGGGTATGAATGTCTTCGCCTCCGTCTTGCTGGACTGCGCCACCATCTTCGCTCTGCGCAAAGACAGCCTCAGTCTCTTTTACGACCCCGGAAGCAAGACTATCGCCTTCAACCAGGCGGGTAGCATCTTCTGTAACTACCACTACTTCAAGCAGTTACACCAATCTAGCTTGCTCCAGCTCTCCAGCCCCGGCCGGGCAGAGGCTCTAGTGTACTGGTGGGTTATTCTCTGTCACGAGCTTGCACACAATCTCGTGGCCGACCATAGCTCTGCCCACAGCTACTACACGTACGTTAAACTTTGAACTATCCTGCCTCTTGTATGTTGCCTGCTAACTCCCTGGTCAGTGAAAGTTTCGTCGCTCAATACTTCCCCAAGATAGCCGTGAAACTTGCCGCCGACAGTCCTCAGCCGCCGGTGCAGACCCCTCAGTCTCAGCCATAGACTCTCTGTCTCTCTCTCTCTCTCTCTCTCTCTCTCTCTCTTCTTCGTGGTAGATAGTTGCTACGAGCGAGGTTATATGATTGTTATTATTCATGTTCTATATACCAAGACCCCACTACTTTAATTGATTCCCCACTACTCTCGGCTCCTTGACTGCTTGCCGTGCTGTAACGGTCGGCATCCTGTGGATTCTCCCGAGCAGGTCAAAATTACCTTGTTAGATCTTTTTCTTCAGAGTAAATTCTACAATAGTCAGGAACTATCTGAAGTTGCCTGGTTTTTGAATCATTCATCTGTCGCAAAATTGGTGTCTCCTCTCGAGTCTGAACAATAATATGATGATAACATAGTGGTACAATCAGTTATCAGAGTGTCCATCTCTCGTGGCAAAAGTGTACCAAACTTTTCATACAGCAGATTTTAAACTCTCACAGTCATCGGTGGTTCATTTTGGTGAGCAAATCAGAAAAAGAAAAATACAGGGGAATCGCCACACTACAGAGACTCGAGGTACTGGACATTGACGTCTCTTTATCGTTCAGTGCTGGTGGGGTTGCACATCTGAAAGCTTCGTGTCTCATGAGCAAGGTCAAGGAACGGTGAGCTCTACCAGGCATATTTACCGGCTCTCAGCAAATATGGCGCCACTGTTGGGTACCTGGGATGATGCAAGCCCCGGCGGAGCTGTAGCTTCATCATCAGGCTACGAGGACTCGACGCAGGGAAACATCTTGTACGTCGACGCATACGACTCATTCTCCTACAATGTCGTGGCGATGATCGAGGATAACCTTAACGCCAAGGTCACTGTCCTGACAATCGACTCGGAATGGCCCAATGGCAACATGAAAGGGTTTCTACAGCAATTTGACGCCGTGGTGCTTGGCCCCGGGCCTGGGCACCCTGAAAATCCCCAGGATGTGGGCATCATGAGGGATTTCTGGAGTCTGGAGGAGCCAGATCTGGTACCGGTGCTGGGTATATGTCTCGGCTTCCAGAGTCTCTGTCTTCACCACGGAGTCTCGGTGGACCGGCTCCCCTTTCCGTTACATGGGCAGGTGAGGCAGGTTGTCACGACAGGAAAGGACATCTTCGAGAACATGAACAGCCTGGACGTGACTCTTTACCACTCCTTGTATGCCAGAATGGGGGGTTTCGCTGAGGAGGTTCCAGACCTGAATATCTTGGCCTGGCTCTTCCTTGATGATGAAACACTCTCGGCGACAAAACAAGTACCAATGGCAGTCCGCCATTCAAGGAAGCCATTCTGGGGGGTTCAGTTTCATCCGGAATCGTGCAAATCGGATACACAGGCGTGTCAGCGACTGATCAGAAGATGGTGGGAAAACTCGGTTTTATTCAACAAAAAGACTGGGCGGACGGTACAGAGAGACCGGCTCGCTGACCCGGTTGTGTCTTCTAATGGTGTGCACACACTGCCTGATGTCGCACGTACCATGCTGGACTGGAGTACATCCTCCTCGACACGTTCTGCATCACGGGTTCTTGATACGGAAAGTCTTAATGCCGAAATCGTGAATGAGCATTTGAATGTGCCGGGATCACCAAATGTCCTTTTCCAGTCCAATGGGAGATACAGCGTGATATCTGTACCGAGTCCTGGCTCCTGGAGGCTGGAATATACTGCGCAGTCCGAGAAACTCTTATTGGAACAGCTACCATCGGGACATCGAACCGAGAATGATCCCGACCCGCATAGCGACAGGGCTGAGGCAGTCCTTTCGGTCTCTCAGTTCTGGGATAGTCTCCGATATTTGATGGAAGTGAAGAAAGTTGATGTCGGTCCTGGTTCCCTGCCCTTTTGGGGTGGCTTCCTTGGATACTTCTCATATGAGATGGGTCTTGCGTGTCTGGCTCATCCCAAAACTTCCCCCGATCTACTTTCTCACGATGAAGATGCCCCAGGCCCGGCTAAATCTGTCTTTGAGGATCCCCCGGATGCAAGCTTACTGTGGACCGAAAGAAGTATTGTCTTGGATAATGAGACCTTGAAAATCACTATCCAGTCAACCCGCTCCTCGGATGACTTACCTGGCGGGTGGCTAGATCAAGTCTCCCAACTGTTGACGGAGCTTTCCAGGAATCATGACTCGCTCAACACGAAAAAGGAGGATGTGGCAGATACAGAGTTCTTAGATTCTCTTTTGCAACAGAGCACAACAGACTTTCCTAACAAGGAAGTCTATCGACAGCAATTCGACGCTTGCATGGCTGAGCTCAAAGCTGGCGAATCTTATGAGCTCTGCCTCACAACCGAAACGTCGGTTGTCTTCCAGACACCAGAGAAAGATCAGTCGGCCTTACCGTGGAAGCTGTACAAACGGTTGAGAGGATACAACCCAGCGACTTTCAGTGCCTATGCCAATCTTGGAAACGTGAAAGTCATCAGCAGCAGCCCTGAGTGCTTTCTGAATTGGGATCGACACTCTACATTGGAGATGAAACCTATGAAAGGGACCGTCAGGAAAACAGCCGATATGACCCTAGATAAGGCCAAAGAGATTCTTAGCTCGACGAAAGAGATGGCAGAGAATCTTATGATTGCAGACCTGATCCGACATGACCTATACGGCATTTGTGGCTCAGGCCGCGTTCAAGTCAAGAAGCTCCTCGAAGTTGAGGACCACGGCCGAGTCTACCAGATGATCACACACGTCAAAGGGGAAGTGGACCATCGCACACCAGGCGTCTCCGTCCGAGATATGCCTCAGTTAAGGACCCCCACCATGTCGGTCCACGGGCTCACTGCCTTACAGAAATGCCTGCCTCCAGGGTCAATGACCGGAGCCCCCAAGGAGCGGTCATGTATGCACCTTTGCCATATTGAAAATCGGAAGCGTGGCATCTTTTCGGGTGTTATGGGCTTTCTCGACCTAGGAGGTGCTGGCAGCTTCTCTGTCCTTATCCGAACCGGCTTCACTTGCACAAATGACAATTGCGATTCCCAAGTCTGGCGGATCGGAGCCGGTGGAGCTATCACCGTCCTCAGCACAGTCGATGGTGAATGGGAAGAGATGTTGACCAAACTACAGACTGTCCGCAACATTTTCTCTCCTTCCAGCAACGCCAGGGACATCACTTCGCAGGTCTAATCCCGTTACAGTACAGGTTCATTCCGACCTTTCCTCCACTTGTTTCAACATGATACGGACTCAGAGGGTCTTTTCCAAAAATACGTGCATCTCTCATAAGCATTGCATTTTCCGCACTACTCGATTGCAGAGGATAAAAATTCAACATTAGCGCTGGGGTTCTGGGATAGTTTTAAGCATAATTGACATAGACTTAAGCCTTCAAGGCTGCCCTTCAATTTCAACTCATTATATTATATTTAGCAGGAAGAAAGGGGGTGAGTGAACTCTACCATATGCATGAAGAAGTGCCGTACTTTCGTAGGACCGAAGATAAGCGGATGCAAACAAACGAACGAAACCATGATTTTCCGCGCAGAACTACGAACAACGTCATTGCTTCCGTCTCACACCTCTACCAATTCAATTGACGGCTCTAACCAGCGAATCGAAATATTCGGGTATATATTGGCTTCTGGAATTTATTTACTCGGGGTCCTTTGTGCATGGCGACCGCTCAAGATGCCTCGCTGGAGGAGATCCTTTGGAGATCACCCCCGCACGTCCAGATGATGGGAGGGTATCTTCATTCGAACAACAGTATGTTGACGAGCTGATAATTGGTTTTAATCTATGCTCTTCACCATATATCATGGATATGTTGTCACTGACAGAACCCTCTGTGGTTTCTAGTTCTGTTCTACTTCGCCGAATCGCCCTTTTTCGACGCAACTTCGAACAACGCCTCGCTCGCCATCCAGGCCAACTACAACGAAGCATTCCGTCATTTCGTGGAGACTCGCGATGCTTTTGAGGGCCGGCTGAAAACAATGCAGGGGGTGGAGTTTGTTGTTGCGTACGATCCATTACAGGCCGCTGCGCAGCCAGACGGGAGTTTTGCCCATGAGCCTTCCAACATCTGGGTGATCAGGAAGCAGAATCGACGCAAGCGGACCGGATTCGATGATGAGGTGCAGGTTCTGGCGACATTTTTCGTTGTCGGAGACTGTATCTATATGGCGCCGTCGGTCGCCAGCGTCGTGGGAAACCGGATAGTACGTTTTTTCTTAGCTGCTTCTCTCGAGAGGATCACTGCTGATATGTAAAAACCAGCTGTCGGCAGTCACATCCCTGACTAAGATGATGAAGACCGCCGCGACGCTGCCGACATTTACACCGTCGTACGGTCATACGTACATGCCTCCCGCGTCTAGATCGACGGACCTCAACCAGCCGGCCGGCGCTCAATCTCAATTGAGCAAGGAGAATACTCCCCTGCCGGATGCAGACACCCAGGCTAAAGCTCCTCTTGTGGGCGGTGGTTCTGCGGGTCAAACCAGTTCTACACTTCAGGATACGAGAGCGCTGGCGGAGGCGTTCCAGCTGTTTGCGAGATATGGCGATGAGTTCATGGATGAGAATCCATTGGTCGGGGAGCCGGGATCATTCGTCATGTCCAAGTCAGGAGAAGCGTCTGCTTCTGGTGCTGGTGCTAGTGCTGGTGCTGCTTCCAAGCCATCTGCTACATTGAACCCCCCTCCGGCGAAAGGGACGCCCAGCGTAGGCACACCGAGTGTCAGGGTTGACTCTTCGATGCTAACGCCGACGGCGATGGAAAAACCGAGCACCCCGTCAGGGACAGATGATAATAAACTGAAAAAGAAAAGGAGTACGATCGGTATTTGAGTTCACGATACCCCCCCAGTTTCGGAATAGAGGATGGCGTTTTTCCCAGTAGGGTTTCTTATATTCGAGATGATTAGTTGCCCATATTCATATGGAATAATTTTGTCTTGCTAAAATACAGGTGTCAGCAATATATAGATAGATCTTCAATTATCTGTAACTCTGGGCTGTCGACTGCATATGCACTTCTCAAACACCCCTCCTCTTATCTTTTTCTATACCACTTGCTCCTTGTACTGGCCTTATCTCTCCCTCCAGAAAGATCAATTATCAAACTGGCAGGTATATCTAAAGAATAAACACATAGCAACGATAGGGAAGTACTCGGTTTTCTTGATCGTGTTAGAAGGAACAGTGGCTTCAAAAAGTCAGCAAGTATGACTCAACCCAGACCCCACGTAGCTTCCCGGCCCAGTAGCATCCTGAGACAGATATATATAACTATATGTCGCGTAGTATACGTGCTTATAATTACAGTTGAAATTATATCGACAAGAATATATCTATAAACTTCAACTTTTTCAAATTCCTCGAGAGCAATCGTTGCAACGATCATCATGGCGAGTGCTCAGCAGGATAAACCTGCTGTTGTCTGTGTATTGTAAGCATTTCCCTGCTTTGCAATTCCTCATGAAAACAACCCCATTCCGGTCATAAAGCTCTTCTCTTTCCTTTTATTCCCCCCCTATCATGCTCATGATCATGTTCCCTTTCACTACAGCTGCGGATCCGTCGAGGGAAACAACCCCGCACACATGGAAACCGCCCGCGCGCTCGCCCGCGAATTCCATAAGAACAACATCCATCTCGTCTACGGCGGTGGCACCTCCGGCCTGATGGGCGAGGTGGCGCGCACCCTGGTTTCGTTGTCCGGCCCGCAGGCGGTGCACGGTGTGATCCCGCGCGCCCTGGTGCGCATCGAGAAAGGCTACGACCATGCAAAGGAACGGCAGGATCCCTCGCTGCCGCAGAAGGAGACGGGGGCGGCGACAGGCGCCGGAAAGGCCGCAGAGCGTGTGTTGCCGGACCCGATGGATTCGTCCTCGATGCTCGAGGAGTCGATGTACGGCACCACCACGATCGTGCCGGACATGCACACACGGAAGCGTCTGATGGCTGCGAAAGTGCTGGAGGGGGGACCGGGCTCCGGCTTCGTCACGCTGGCAGGTGGATTCGGCACCATCGAGGAGGTGATGGAAATGACGACGTGGAACCAGCTGGGCATTCACAAGGCGGGAATCGTCCTTTTGAACGTGAATGGGTACTGGGATGGCGTGTTGGCCTGGGTCCAGAACGCTGTCAAGGAGGGCTACATCAGCAAGGAGAACGCCGGGATTATCGCCGAAGCCAAGGATGTGTCAGAGGTAGTGCCTACATTACAGGGATATACGGTTAGCAATGGGCGAATGAAGCTAAACTGGGGGGAGGAATAGAGGGATGAGATAAAGGCGGCGTTGGTTCCGAAGGCTCTACCCTGTCTGTATACCAGGGGATAAAAAATTTGAATCTCTAACTAAATCGGTATGATATTGGATAGAAAGAATACTTTGATTTATTCCTAGCAGGGCTGTCGTACTAAGTAGGTAGGAAGAAAAAACATGTCGTAAAATGCCCACAAGCGGTGACAGGAAGGCCTTTCATGTCTATAAGCTTAGCATGCAGAACTATGAATCAACCTCCATCGATCCCTCCCCTCCAGCCTCGCCGGATGTTTCTGACCGCTCCAAAGCCTCCAGTAAAGGCAGAGTCTCCTGTCCCTCGTAGAGTTTGAAGCTCTGAATTTTGCTCTTGGAACCCTCGGGAGCCAGGCCAACAACACCAACAGATGTGTTGTCCACCGTCAGCTCCTTGTCCTGGGACAGAGTCTCTTTAAGAGCTCTTAGTCCATGGTTAATGAGTTCGTCACGGCTGCAGTCGGAAAACTCGTCCAGATGCCGCTCGAGATATGTCCTTGCCATCTGAGAGCGAGCGCCAATAGCACACGCAAGCATCTCGTGCGTTAGACCGGATGGCTGGAATTCGAAAAGATGCGGACCAGTTTCATCGACACCAGCAACGAGTAACCCGACACCGTACGGCCGCTTACCGTACTGCTGAGTGTTGGTTTGGGCACGATCGCCGATCTGAGTCACGATACGCTCCAAGGGAATGGGGCGGCCGTAGGTCATCTTCGACCCAAGCGATTGTTGCTTCATGAAGTTCGAGAGAACCCGGGCATCGGATGCAAGACCAGCAATTGCAATTCCCATGTGCGAGTCGATCTCGATGATCTTCTTTTGGTATGAGGAAAGTTCTTCGGCGTTACGCTAGATAAAAGGCAGACTTCATCAGTATTCCTGTTGCTTCTTTCCCCAGATGAAGACCTTGTCTCTGACGACGAGTGTACCAACCTTCAAGCCCACCAGGACGGCATGTGTCTTGTTGACCAGTCCCACCACCACAGATCCCTGCTTGACTGCTTCTTGTGCATATTCAACCTGGAATATCCGACCTTGCGGAGAGCTTTGGATGTCAGCTAGTCGTGAGCTTTCGGTACTAGGGGTGGCTCATACAAGGTCACCGCATCGTTGTCGTAGTTGTTCCGGAACATGGTCGACACCCAAACTGGAGCTGGATAAGGAATAAAGAGATTTGTTTATCTTTATATGGAAGAACAAAGTCCCAGAAAGCGGTAACGTAGCCAGATGCGTAAGGCAAGATAGAGGTGCTGGAGGGACGGAGAGGAGCTAGCTCAGTACTGGAGTTGCTGCAGGCAGTGAGCGACTGACGCGGTGACCTCTCAAGGAGCTCCAGGTCTGATTGGGGCAGGTCTGGGTGCCTGAGGCTGCTTATTGTACTAGTAAACTAATTGGCACCGGCTGCCGCCTTGACCCAGCCAACGTCACCTCAGCGGCTCTCACTCAGCACGACAACTTCCGTCTGAAGTCTTCTAACAGCTTAGAACTTAAATGCGACGGCTCTAAGCGCAGGGCAGGTTATTTCTGAGCTACGCCCCCTCATATACGGAGAAAAGACGTCTCGTCTGCCTGTGCTTTCCGTCAACACCATCCAGCTTCCCCCGCTCTCGATCCCGGTATTACTCTCCGATTCCGCAATCATGGCGGCTGGTCTTAAGACTATCATTGCGCTTTCTTTCGTGCGTACCAACGGATAATTGTTGCCAAATATGCTGTGCTGACCTTTCCGGTTAGGTTCTTGCCATCGGCTTTCTCCTTGTCATCCTTTCGTCGGCGTTATGGCACAACTTCCTTCCGCTTATTGTCGTCGCAACCTACGTTATTGCTCCCCTGCCGAATTGGATCTGCAGTCGATGCGCGAACCCAGATGACTTCATGGATAGCGCCGGGAACGGTATCGTTGATTTTGGCCGTTTCCTTACCGGATTCTTGGTTTTGATGGGAATCGGTAAGCAACCAACCTGACCTTGAACCGTTACTCCCTCGAAGATTGCATTGTTTCCCGTCACCTTTATTACCACTCATTCGCAAGGACTTGATGCATTATCCTTGATTTTACACTCAATATACCTAGTTTTTTGTGCTAACTCCTGTGGTCTATAGCGCTCCCTGCATTGCTTGCTCACAGCGGCGCGATTGAGATCCCTGCGATGGTCATGTCGATCATTGGCGGTCTTCTTATCTACGGAACAATCATTAGCTTCTCAATGTTCTTCCAGGAGCAGGAGGAATTCTAAGCCTGGGTGTACTCGCCGCTATTGCAAGGCAAATCTTGTAATGACGATTGCAGTGCTCCAAGAATGTTTAAATATTTTGTCGACCTTTTATCTGATGAACCAACAACCTCAGTAATGGCGGATGTCTTTATTATCCATCCCTGATGAGGATCTTTTTCATGTTTCATGTTCTAGCGCGATGATTTTTGCTATCAGTTTTGGTGTACAATAGGCTTAATGAGATATATAGAGCGTTCACAGAACTCAGAAGACTCATCACTGCCTATACCTCTCAACATCAATATCAATATTTCTACCTGTAGCTGTATCCAATCACAGATCTACGGTGGCCTGCCAGGTTCAATAAATATTTTAGATTATTAGAGTGTCAACGCCTCGTCACGTGATCGCGCGTCAACAAGGATCTCTTGAAAACGCGTTGAAATTTGGTTGACGTCAACGTACGACCTGCCAATATTTTGGACGGAATATCATTTCAGATAGCAATTTATATGTGATCTTTAATAATGTGAAATAAATCTTGCAACTTATCCAAGATGAATATCTGGTCAGGAACCATCACACTCAACGGTGAACAAGGCCTCAAGGGTAAAAACATTCCCCCTCAATAATATCTTTCTCACTTTCGCTAATACTGATTGAACTGGATAGACATAAGCCTAGTAGATGCCACGTCCACGAGTCATATTGATATATCCGAGGATTGCGCCTTTAGCCTCCGATGTTTCGTGAACCCGTCTCTCATTCCATTGTGGGCTCGGGCTGGTTCAAGTTTGGAGCTACATACTACCAACCATGAAACGTCCCAGTGGCTGAAGGACAGTCTTTTGTGCAGTGAATGGCCTGATAGTGAAGATCTGGAAAAGTTCCAATCGCTACAATGTCCTGTTGGCATGCTCATCAGCGTCAACAAACCCACGCGAGGAATCTCCGGCTTTCTGATATCCGACTTTCTTGTATACGGCGTTCTAAGCAGCCCTTCGGGGCTCGATCGACCTCCTACTCCTCCAGTTTCGTTTTCTACGGCGTTTGAGAAGCAGATTAGTCTGGGGGCACCACAGGAGTTGAAGTTGTTTGCTGCTCCTCTCTCTGCTGGTCTCATTGAAAAGGCCCAAGGCATCCCATCGCCCCCTCCCAGCCCAGCTGATACAAACATACAAACCGAGCATTATGCCGAGTTTCTTCCAGACCTTCGGTCTTCGAGCCCTAAGCGAAAGCGAATGGCTACTCTGTTTGAGGTTGCTGCGCAACATCACAAGAGGGTTCGGCAGAGGGGAGGCGAGGCCGTGTCACAGTTGATGGCTCCCACCGTTTTCCAGTCTTCACAGCAACTCAGCCTACTCAAAATCAAACGAGAATCCGAAGAGCCCTCTCTTCCCGTGTTAGAGAAGATTGCGTTTCATCGGTCTAGGTCTTTGTCGCTTGGCACGAACTTGAATCCTAACAAAATCCCGGACCATCAAGTGGACAATAATAGGCCAAGCAGTGCTCGATCACATGTCCGCAATATTATGGCCAAGAAGCTGGCGTCTACAGTGGCTCTAGAAAAGGAGGCATCACCTGCATTGACTGCGACTTTTGAAGAAACAGGAGAACCATCTTCCACGCCAAAGGATGCTGAAAGTATAATTTCCGAGAATAAGAGCCTCATCACGCGCACCATACTGACGTGTATGCGGCTCTACGGGTTCAATCGAACAAATACCCGATCATCAACGATTAAAAATACTCTCTACACCGCTGTAAACTTGAACGGCGAACCATGTCATGACGGGGAAACGGAGACCCGCATCTTAGCCAACGACAGTGCTGTTATGATACCCCCAGCGGTAACTGATGAGGACGAGTTCAAGGCTATGTACCATGCAACCTATCGCGCTGCGACCTTTGCGCTGCGAAAATATCTGAAGGAAAGCGCAAATGGTGTATCCTCGGCACAATTGCCCCCTGTCTTGAAGAAAGAAAGGGCAACGAGCATGGTAGACGAATTCCTGCGGCTATTCTGCGAGGAAGACTGAAGCTGTTTGCACTGCTTGGGTTAGAAACTTTTACGACGAGACGATATATTTATATGACTTGATGAATTATATTGAACATCATAGATATCCACATTCCTCATACTACTCAAGTAAACGTAGTCAACCAGGTTGATTGTTGTACGGCAGTATGGCATAGTTAATCATTACTAGGTACTCCGTACTAGGTAGTTAACTATGCCGGGCTATACCGGCGGGAATGATTATCCGAGTTCCGACCGACTGCATCATCACATCGTGACGGGGGACTGCTAGGCCTACCGAATCCGATCCGTGTGCTACTCTGCAAGCGCTCGGCTTACACAACTTCTTATTCTTTGATTTTTCGCATCATAGATATAAGTAGATATCGGAATATCATATCGTCATGGACGTGTCCAACAACCGCCTCTTCCGCTGGACGAAGCCCGAGTGGCTTAATAACTCCGCCGTCCGAACTGTCGGTGTCTACACATCTGGAGCGCTGGTGAGTGTCATCGTTACATTGAGAAGGAAGGAGTCTGCGGAAGAAAGATTTCAAGCTAACCGATCTAGTTCTCTCTCGGTTTCTTCTTCCTCGTCGATGCTGCCGCCTTCTCACACAGCTCCCTCAATGGCTCCAACGTCCATGTCAAGTTTGTGGACTGGATCCCAGGCATCTGCTCCGCGCTCGGCATGCTGGTGATCAATTCCATCGAGAAGTCGCGCCTCCACGCGGACAGTTTCAGTTACAGCGGAGCCGGGGTGGCGTGGAAGGCACGCTTCGTGCTTTTCCTGGGATTTGCGCTTTTGGCGGGTGGTCTAGCGGGCAGTGCGGTAGGTTCACAATACCCATTCTATGCAAATGCAGAAGTATTGAGTGCTGATTCATTCAGACTGTCATGGTTCTCAAGTACCTCATGCCGAAATACCCGCTCCCGACGCTCTATTTCGGCATTGCCAATGTGATTGCGAACGGCCTGGTGATGTTGAGGTTAGTACATACTTACACACCTTTCCATGATGGTATTGATGCCAGGCTGACCTTCTGTCTAGCACCTTTGTCCTGTGGGTGTCGCAGAACATCGAAGACGATTACACCTACAATCTCGCGCTGTAGGCTGATAGCCATATACTTGTGTCTCTTTTAGCTTTTATTTATTATGTGGTGCATCTTGTATTGATTTGACCTTGAAGGCGGCGCAGTCAATTTTCTTCTGTGATTATTTATAGGTGTTTTCCCTGCAGTTCAAGTCATGATTATAATGATCCTTTGGCGAGTTGTTAATCTATCTACTCCGTGTACGTTTACTCTAAATGAACATGCCATAGATTTGACTATCTAGCATAGCTTGGTAATATAATTTGTACAGCTGGTGAGCTTGTAAGAACGGCCGTAAATCCCATCATAGTTGGATTCAGACTGATGACGGGGATGCCATTAGTCTCGCGCTGGTAAAGACATACCCGGTTCAACTCAGCGCGAACTCGCTTTTCACTGACTGGTTTTCCAGGTCGATGTGTGTGATCTTCAGAGCGTTTTCCCTTCTAGAGGGATAGGCTGCCTGACTTCGTGCGAGAATTTGCACGAGTCTGCAAGGGACATGCAGGTCCATTGTCTACCATTGCAGACATGACAGATGCAATGGTCCCAAACAAGTATTTCCTTTTCTTTTCTTTTCTTTTCTTTACTTTTTCCATCGACGTGCGGGTTAACTATAAACGAACGTTTGTGTTGCCCTCAAGCCGAGGCAGGCTGGTGCGCCCTCAGCTTTTCAATGATCGAATCGACGGCGTCCATGTCGCCGGCATCGATCTTCTTGTCGGATAAGAACCCCTCTGGTAGGTATTTGGACACTTCGTCCATGGCCGGCTGGTAGTTGCGCACCGCGGAGGAGATGGCATAGGCGGCCTTCTTGCGAACGGCGGAGACGGCGTCAGTCGTCGAGATGGAGACGAGGGTAGGAAGGGCTCCCAAAACAACGAGCTAGATTGATGAGCAAAAGGCTTCATTATGTAAAAATTTCAATAAACTATGGCCATGTTTTTTTGCTCACCTTATCTTGCGCCTTTTCGTTGTTCTGTACCGCCGTCCCTACACACCAGGCGGCCATGCGTCTCATCTCGGCTTCCTCGTGCTGCAGCAGTTGCACAAGGGGGGTCCACAGACCGAGAGGTTCCATATTGTTTGCGTTGTCGATGGTCTCGATGAGTTGCTCGAAGTTGTCGAAGGCGACCAGCTTGTTTTCCAAGTCGACTTCGTCCGAGTGGAGGGCCGCCATAGAGGCCTTCATAAGGTCCGCATCCGAGGGCCCGCCGAAGAGCGCAGAGAGCATCTCCGGCTTGAGGCCATGGGAGGCAGCGGCGGCGGGCGAGGACGTGGTGCCCTCGCCGCCGGTGGACTGCTGGGTTTCAGAGGAGTTCTGGATACTCCATTTGAGAAGGCTATTCATTTGGGGGTCCATTGTCACGATAGATGGTGGTTTGTTGTGGGTTTTTTTCTCTCTTTCAATATATAATGGTAGGAATTGAGGACGCAATAGAAATGTAAGGTTGAATGTCCTCAAGTATACCGAGTAATGTTCCGACGTCGTATACTATATTGAAAGAATTTCTAGACTTTTGACGTATCCAGATACTGCTTCTAATAGATACCTCAGGCATCAAGATGATTCGCGCTCCCGCCATCACATTCCACCACATTCTTCGACCGCCACTGAGCCAAGAAAATTTAGAAGATTCAGAACATCGAAAATAATAATACGTCCATCTAGTAATTGCAGTTGCCTGCTAGTCCTCCTGCCAATTGCTTTGACTGTTCCTACAATTGACTGCAGTCGCCTATTCTGCTCTGTGTTGCGGGCACGGAAAGTGAACTGCCCCGCCATGCAATATTACGGAAGTATTTCAGAAAACCCCGCGTCATCTTTATTGCTGGTACCTACGGAGTCCCTACCAGTAACTACTACCTACTACCTAATCATTAATAGAGACCAAATGAGGACCAATTGCAACCCATATCCTTCCCGTAGAGCCGTTGTTCAAATGGCGGTAAATCAAGAAACGGTCGCCATGTTAGGCATACACGCGACGTTAGTGCGAGCGATGACGGAACGTTTTCTTGGTAGGTGAGGCGTCTGATACGAATTTACGAAGTAGTCTGTCTACCTTACCCTACATAGTAGAACTTATAGTACTACTAGGTACTATGATAGTAGATTATTGGTAAGTAGTCTGTGAGTCGTTCTAGTTCGCGAGTACGGAGTAGGCCCACGGAGTCCGCTACAGACGGTGGTACCGGATGGGATAGACTCGGAGCCTGAACCGTACCGGCGTACCCTGATACGATCATCAGAGCCCTGATGCGGTCAGAAGTCTTAAGGTGCAGCTATAAAAAGAAACGGATCTCTTTAGCACGGTCTCGTTTTAGAGAACCGAGTGAGCGCTGAGCAGGGCGAGAGTGTACCCGGGTACTCCGTTAAGCAAAACCAAAGATTCTAGTAGTACTTATATCCAACTACCTACATAGTACCGCCTACGACGGAGTACAGTATGTAGTAACTAGCCGATAAGTTATCCTCTGACCAGCCTCCATAGCTGGCTTACTCGTGGATGGTCAGCCCCACGAGGGATGCGCAAGTGCTTTTGCCATCGCACGGTCCATCCAGTATGGCCCATGGTCTGTTTTGGGGGGGAAGGAGGAAACACTGGAAGCCTGGGAGGAATTCTTCTGCCTGTAGTCTATACAGGAGAACCAGCTATACGAGTTCGCCTCAAAAGGCAGCCAAATTCTGTTTATTTGGGTAGGTATTTAAACCGTCACGATCGGCCAGGACGGAATCAGGTCGAAGACAGTCGACTATTCCTCACTAGACTGGACTGGACCGGACTTAGGCCTGGCGCACACACCACTCGTCCTCAAGCGCCCCTCCACTCGGCACAGCGGTTCACCTGTGCCCGTTTCGCTTTCCCAGTGTTAGTTAACTTAGTAACCACAGCAGAAGGCGGTGCCAGTCTGCCAGAAGGACTCCATTCCATCTCTCCCTCCTTATTATCCTCCCCCCAAAACAATCTCCAAACACCACTTCCCAACAACCACACCTCACTACCACCCCTCTCTCCGCCGCCTCCACCCTATCTACCTCATCTCCTGAATAGTCGTTCTAGCTTCACGACTGCTTCAGGTTTTTTTTACGGTCGTACTTATTTCTCTTACTTCTCTGTACTTTGCTTAATCTCGTCGCCACAATGGAAGGTAAGCTTCATGACACCTAACCGCTTCACCCGCCCAACCCTCGCGATCAATTCCACCACCATCCTCCCCCTCCCCCAATCGATCAACTCTGCCTCCGTTCTATGCAATTTTTGACTGACATTTATGTCTCTATAGAGGAAGTCGCTGCTCTTGTTATCGACAATGGGTACGTTTTGTTGGCCTTGATCGATTTAACCTTGTCTCCCTCGCATCCTGCGTCGCCCACCTCTCTGTCGGTCGCGGCTAGCCGTCTCACCCCGGGCCAGGACTGAGAGATGGCACGCAACAGACCAGTGTATCGATCTGCGATATCGATATTGAACCTTTTTTTTACTGATGAATTGTGATGTAGTTCGGGTATGTGCAAGGCCGGTTTCGCCGGTGACGATGCTCCCCGAGCTGTTTTCCGTAAGTCACCCTTTTCCCCCTCCCCACATACACACACACGACTCCCGCCCGCCCTTCACCCCTCCTCCCGTGACTGCCGCCCGATTAAGGCGTCGAGATAACGCTCATCACCCTTGCGTCGCGGGACGGATATTTGGTGGAGGGGCAAAATGAAAAAAAAAAAAAAAATTCGAACAATTTGTTGTACAAGGGTTTATTTATCACTAACAAACATCATGTAGCCTCCATCGTCGGTCGTCCCCGTCACCATGGGTAAATCCTTCCCCCACCCCCCCTTATCTCGCGAAATAGGGCCATCGGGCCATGGTCGTGTATAATGGTATCGAATTGAAACTGACGGAACTTTTTGCAGTATCATGATTGGTATGGGTCAGAAGGACTCCTACGTCGGTGATGAGGCACAGTCGAAGCGTGGTATCCTGACTCTCAGGTATCCCATTGAGCACGGTGTTGTCACCAACTGGGATGACATGGAGAAGATCTGGCATCACACATTCTACAACGAGCTCCGTGTTGCACCTGAGGAGCACCCTGTCCTCCTGACCGAGGCCCCCATCAACCCCAAGTCCAACCGTGAGAAGATGACCCAGATCGTTTTCGAGACCTTCAACGCCCCCGCCTTCTACGTCTCCATCCAGGCCGTTCTGTCCCTGTACGCCTCTGGTCGTACCACCGGTATCGTGCTGGACTCTGGTGATGGTGTCACCCACGTCGTCCCCATCTACGAGGGTTTCGCCCTCCCTCACGCCATCTCCCGTGTCGACATGGCTGGTCGTGATCTGACTGACTACCTCATGAAGATCCTGGCTGAGCGCGGCTACGCTTTCTCCACCACCGCTGAGCGTGAAATTGTCCGTGACATCAAGGAGAAGCTGTGCTACGTTGCCCTCGACTTCGAGCAGGAGATCCAGACTGCCTCCCAGAGCTCCAGCCTGGAGAAGTCTTACGAGCTTCCTGATGGCCAGGTCATCACCATTGGCAACGAGCGTTTCCGCGCTCCCGAGGCCCTCTTCCAGCCCAGCGTTCTCGGCCTGGAGAGCGGTGGTATCCACGTCACCACCTTCAACTCTATCATGAAGTGCGACGTCGACGTTCGTAAGGACCTCTACGGCAACATTGTCATGGTATGTTAACTCGATCGTCTTTTTTTTTTTTTGATCCCATCCTTAAATCGATGACTAACTTTTCGACTTCAAGTCTGGCGGTACCACCATGTACCCCGGTATCTCCGACCGTATGCAGAAGGAGATCACTGCTCTTGCTCCTTCTTCCATGAAGGTCAAGATCATTGCTCCTCCTGAGCGTAAGTACTCTGTGTGGATCGGTGGTTCCATCCTGGCTTCTCTGTCCACCTTCCAGCAGATGTGGATCTCGAAGCAGGAGTACGACGAGAGCGGTCCTTCGATCGTTCACCGCAAGTGCTTCTAAGGTACGAATGGATGAGATTTTTTCCTTCTCTCTTCCTCGTGTGGTAGATCAGGAAGAAACTCAATTCTAATTGTCGGTCTCCAATTTGCAGCCTTTTTTGTTCCTTTTCTGCGTGTTCCTTTCTCCTTTTGACTCCCTTCGTACTTCTTTGATGTATCAAAATGCAGGACGGATGCTCTTGTGCTTGTAAACACTCTCTGACTCGCCCTGTCAACCAATAACACACCCAACCCCTCCAAAAAAGGACATGTTAGTTGTGGAATAGAGATGAATACTTGGATGCCTTGTTCACTTGACCGAGAAAACATCATCACCGTGTCAGTGTAAGGGAGCGAGGCGGTGTCGGGAGATGAAAAGAATCAAATGATGGGAGTGAAGAGAACGGTGTACATGTGTTCCGGCAAAGTCTGGTGAAAGCTATTTCTTTCATTTCATTCAGTATTCGGCGCTCAGATGTGGCTTCTCTTTTAACTTCATCGGTTTACCCCTGGTTACCTGGCTCATCTTCTCTGGACAGACTCTGGAATGCTGTCGAAAGTAGTATTTTCTCTATTCATCTAGACCCTCTGTAGTATCATCTATGTAGGACTATGGATACGGGATCTTCCCGATTGATACCAGGATATACTGATTCTCTACATTTATAATAAGTGTACAGTCAGTACCATTTCAGATGAATTGTAAGAAACTCTTGACTTTTGGCACCTTATTTCCTAGTTATCATAACTGAACCAACCAATAAAGTATAAAAAAAAGGAGACAGAAAGAAAAAACCAAACCCAAAAACAGGTTGTATAAACAGTGAAGGATTCATAACACATGCTTTAAAGATCCCAGGTCGCGAGCTTGTCAACGACACAGCCTTCCTCGCCAGCCTTTCTAGCCCGGAGGGTTCCGACCTGGTAGACTGTCTCGCCCTCGGCTTCGAAGAGGGAGCGGACGGCGGCCTCGCTGCCCTGGTCGACGACGATGACCATCCCCACGCCACAGTTGAAGGCGCGCGCCATTTCCGTCGCACTGACGTTGCCGGTCTTCTTGAGCCAGGCGAACACGGGCGGCAGCTGCCAGGCGGACGCGTCGATGACTGCAGTGAGGGATTGCGGAAGCATGCGCGGCACGTTTTCGACAAGACCGCCGCCGGTGATGTGGGCGAGGCCCTTGATGGCGAGCGATGAGGCGCTGGTCGACGAAGGAACTGCCAGAGCCTTCAGGATGGGCTTGACGTAGATGCGTGTCGGGGTTAGCAGGGCACTGCCGAGGGTGGGAGAGGTGGTGGAGGAAGAAGAAGAAGAAGAAGAGGAAGAGGAGAAGGAAGGCATGGTGAAAGGAGCGGGGTCGTGGAAGCTAAGACCCGAGCGTTCGACGACCTTGCGGACGAGGGAGTATCCGTTGGAGTGAGGGCCGGAAGAGGCCAGGGCAAGGAGGACATCTCCCTCCTTCATGGCGGAGGTGTCGGGGAGAATCTTCCGGGCGTTGGGTCCCGTGGTGTTGATCGCTCCGACGGCAGCACCGACGGCATCATAGGTCTCGTCAATGAATAGACCAGGCATCTCGGCGGTTTCGCCGCCGATGAGGGCACATCCGGCCTGAACGCAGCCATCCGCAACGCCGGTGACAAACGACGCGGCGGTGGGGACATCGAGTTTTCCGCAGGAGTAGCAGTCAAGGAAAAACAGGGGCTCTGCACCCTGAACCACAAGGTCGTTCACGTTCATGGCGACAAGGTCGATACCGACGGTGTCGTGGATGCCCATGGTGTGTGCGATTTTCAACTTGGTTCCCACGCCGTCGATAGCTCCGATAAGGGTAGGAGACTCCGCGTGGTAGGCCGAGTTAGCTGCGGCCAGCGAGAAGAGGCCACCGAATCCACCGATGACGGCGTCGGTGCCGGGACGCTTGGTGCGCGCCACGGAGCTCTTGATCTTGTTCACAAGATCGTTTCCGGCGTCAATCGAGACACCAGCGGCCGCGTAGGTAAGACCATCCTGGGAAGCAGTCTCCCGGAAAGCCCGGTGTGCAATATCCTTGCGGTAGAACATGCCCTCAAAGTGAATAGTCGAAATTCCAGCATAGCTCTTCTTGACTGCCTCTTCTAGGGTGGAGGCAGTTGAAGTGGATGCAATGACACGACCGCCAGACGTCTTCAATTCACCGCCATCCAGCGTAGTTCCAGCGTGGAAAATCAAAGTCTCTGCCGGGGTTGCGTCAATAGTGATGGTCTTGCCCTTGGCATATGATCCGGGATATCCGCCTGCAACACCGATGACAGTTGCAGAGAACTTGGGTTCAACCTTGATGGTGACACCATCAAGCCAGTGTTCCGTACAAGCAACCATGACTTCGGCCAAGTCGGTATCGTCACTCAGCAGGGGAAGCAGAGTTTGTGTCTCCGGGTCCCCGCCACGGACATTGTATTCGAGAACCTTGGGACCATTCTTGGTCATCATGAGACCGGTAAAGAGGATACCGACAAAAGGAAATCCTAGGAAATATTAGCCCAAAATTAGATATGGCCAAAACATTGAAGGGGGGGGGGGGGTAATTCACCTTCTTTTCTCATTCCATTGATGCTAGGCTGCACAATGGTACGATCGACTTCCTCCAGAACCTCCTTCGAGGCAATCCGGGTGGGAGCATAGCACCCCATTCCGCCAGTGTTTGGCCCTTGGTCGCCATCGAAAATGCGCTTATGATCCTGTGCGGGAGGCAGAGACTTGATGGTGTAACCATCGCTGAAGGTAAGAATGCTCAGCTCATCACCCTCGAGGAACTCCTCAATCACAACCTCATCACCGGCCGCGCCGAACTGGTGATCCAACATGATCTCCCGGAGAGCCTGGTGGGCTTCCTCCTTCGTTGTAGGAATGATAACACCTTTTCCAGCAGCAAGGCCGCTAGCTTTGATGACGACACTGTGAGACACGGATTCAAGATATTGACGGGCAGCCTCGTACTCGGTGAAATTCTCGTACGCAGCGGTTGGGATATCGTGGCGCTTCATGAAGTCCTTGGAGAAGGCCTTGGAACCTTCCATGCGCGCGGCAGCTTTCGAGGGACCGAAGCATCTGATTCCGACTATCCAAAGTCTCAACAAAACGCTTCCTTACATGAAGCCTTTCATTAGGAAGCAAGTGACGTACCAGCCTGGAAATATCCCTGAATCCCGTCCACGAGAGGGGCCTCAGGACCCGGGACAACCAGATTCACATTGTTCTTCTGGGCAAAGGAGACAAGACCCGGATAGTCGTCTCCCTTGACATTCACATTCTGGATCTTTTCGGAGGCACCGAGACCAGTACCACCGTTTCCTGGAGCAACATAGACGACGTCGACTTGCGGGGATTGACTCAATCTCCAAGCATAGGCGTGCTCCCGACCGCCATTACCGACGACGAGGACACGCAGGCTTTCTTGGAGCATTTTGTAGAATACGGTTTCTGCAAAATGAGTCCGAGAAGATTAGCAATCTTCGTCCCTTGATCAAAGCCATCTTTGAATGGACACAGCATAATATCACAAGCACTTCAGAGAAAGACATTCAAGAAAGATTTACAAAGACATGTGTTGATTAGGACACATCAAGCAAAAACAATACAATCTTCCATGGTAATGGATACCTCGCAATTGAAGCCATGGTGATCCAGTGACTCAATGCAAAGACAGAGCGGGCAATTTTGCGGGGGTCTCAGAGAAAGACCTCCAGAGACAATTAAAAGAGCACAATGAAAAATCAAGCAGATACAACATGCAAGGCAATTCAGAAGCTACTCACCTCGCTGACACACCGGGAAATCGACGATTGCAACAACAGATCGAGAGCCGACGAACGAATGCCAGAGGGCAGTCGAGTAACTTTTTTTCTAGTCGCAGCGGGGCGGGTTTTGTCCGACCCCGCGATGCGTTTTTAGCCTGATAATTAAGGCACTCGATTTTTTCATCCTTCGTAAAGGGATACAGGTATACGTGAGCTGAGCTGTGATTCCATTCAAGCATTCAAATCTCTTCAATTAGAAAATTTCCTAGTCTCTGAAGAATTCCTATTGGCTATTATTGAATATATATCCTACATATTGGATATTCCAGACATTCGATCGGCTTCAAGTTCAACTTCAGTAGTAGTTAGATATCAACTCTGAAAAATAGATGATCTTCTGGATAATTTTCTATACCATATTGACTTCAATGCGATATCCAACAGTAAATCGCCTACCATGTGTTTTGTCTGGAGAGAAAAGACCTGGCCCCTCTCAAGAAAACTGAATAGCAATATGAAGGCAAGGGTTCACTAGGCCATACATAATAATTCCGAATTAATTTAGTGGCTCTTGCCGCCTGGTGACAAGAGCAGGCGGTGAGAACAACCGGCAGAAAAAAAACATGGCGCGCGCATCTTCAAGAGCGCGAGTTGTACATCTACAAATCCTCATTTCTGCCCTGTCTGTCAATTATACTTCCGAGCTGTGTTTTCCTGCTGATTACAGCTGCCTGTATATTGGAAGGTTCTTTCCTTTTTTGGCCTGAATGTATCGGACCTCTTTACGGTCTGTTTCAGGCCCTCGTCTCGAAGATGTCTGCGTCTCCTGTCTAGCCCGTGGCTTTCAGATCCGGACCCGTCAATGCCAATTGTACAGTACAACGACTCCTCCAGTGGCTCAACACAAGGTAGCAGCTAAGAAGGACTCTCCTACACCTACCGGCGCATCATCCAAGATTGCGCCACCAAAAAAGACTTCTCCGCCAAAGAAGACTGCTCCACCAAAGAAGTCTGCTCCGCCAGAAGAGACTCCAAAAGAAACTGCTCCTCCAAAAGAGCCTGCTTCTCCAAAAGAGACTTCTCCGAAAAAGACTGCTCCTCCGAAAAAGACCGTTCCTTCAAGAAAGACCTCTCCGTCAAAAAAGGTATGTTTTGGTCAAATCGATCGAACTAATTTTCGCTCCAGATATCGTTACTGATACAAAGCACCCACAGAACACCCCAGTTAGAAAATCCAACGCCAGAAATTCCCCTAGAAAACCTGATCAACTGGTTACCGATATCCCGCCCAAGTCAAGCCCTCGGGTGCGCAAGAATCTTGAGGATGGAGAAGTTGCTCCTCGCAATGCTGGCACCTCGAGAAAGAACACTCAAACGCAACGCGTGCCCCGAGTGCCTATCAGAAGAGTACTAGTTGCAGGTTCAGCAGCAGCAGCAGCAGTAGCAGGAGCAAAAAGGTTGCCGGCTAGAAGGAAGACGACTAATACACCTGCATCGGCTAGATATGCCGTTAGAAGAACCGTAAGTCTCAAAAGGATAAAATGGCCGTTTTCTTTGTCACTGGAGTTTTAACAGACTTGATAAATACAGGTATCATCACCATATCGCTCAACTACCACTTACGATTCCTCGGAAATAAAACCCAAATCTAAGCCGCAGGAGCTCACAGAGTTGCTTCCTTTACAGTCTGGCTCTATCAGCGCAAAGAATTTGATTGTCACTCGTGAGTTATATACGTATCATATTCGTTCCTTCGGTTCTAATCGTGCCATAGCTTTGGAATACGAGACGGGGCCGGTTCCTCGCTTGTCTTTCGGTCTTGAAAGGGTTCTCTTCAAGTATGACCTTCCATCCCAAGAGTCAATCAGAGTGGTGCTAATAGATACAATTATAGCCCCGGTGTCTATCATCTTCGAGACCCTCGTTCCCGCGTCTATAACTTCGATCCGTATCTTGGTTCAATCATGCCCGTCAGCGAGTTCGATTTCACAGCTCTGAAAGACTACATAACCTCGTCCAAGGATGATACTCTCCGCTCAATTGCGGTAAAGGAAGGAAAGAAGTTTATCGGCTCATCGTCGAGCATGACATCGGTCCTCTCTCAGTTCCATTACCTCCTCTCTAACTGGCGGGGCATCAACGCGAGAACCCTTTCCCAAGGGTTTCGTGATCCACTGCGCTCTTTTACACAGCTTCTGCGCGCCCCAAGTGCTATGTTTCTGCATTACCAGGACGGCGTATATGCCATTGATGCAGACAAGGAATTTGACAATGCTAACATTCTCATGAACCTGGGCAAGTCAATGGAAAAGCTGCTTACTTTGCCCAAAGAAGAGTTTGAGCGCTATCGACGCTCTAGCAAGGATAAGATCTCACAAGAAGAGGAACAAGCTATACCTGAGGCTTATCACTATTCGACGATCGGCGACTTCATCATGAGGTCACAGCTTGATGCCTATGATCCTAGGCTCCCAGGGACTGGCATGTTCGATCTCAAGACCCGAGCTGTCGTTTCCATTCGAATGGACGCACGCGACTTCGAGAATGGCCTCGGTTATGAGATCAGACACCGTTATGGGGACTATGAGTCTTACGAGCGAGAATTCTTCGACATGATCCGTGCTGCTTTTCTGAAGTACTCCTTGCAGGTGCGCGTTGGCCGCATGGATGGCATCTTCGTTGCCTTCCATAACATTGAGCGGATCTTCGGTTTCCAATATATCAGCCTGCCGGAAATGGATCATACGATACATGGACAGGTGGATACATCACTTGGTGATGCTGAATTCCAACTCAGCTTATCCCTTTGGAACAAGGTCCTCAACCATGCCATTGAAAAGTTTCCTAAACAATCTCTTCGCTTTCATTTCGAAACCCGTGACGCATTGACCACATTCATGAACATTTACATCGAACCTGTCTCCCAGGAAGAGATCAATGCTATTCAGACAAAGAACAAAGCAGCCATCGATGCCTATCAACAGCGCATACTGAATTTGACACCTCGTGAATATCATGGTAGTTCGGCTACAACTCAACCGAGCACGGAACCCGGTTGTCAAGGTGAGAAGATGGAGAACTATTCTCCTGCCGAAGACGGGTCGCCTGAAGAAGCCGATGAAATGCAACAAGAAGGGAAGGAACTTTTGACGTTAGTCCTCCAAATCAAGAACAAGGTCAACGGTGTTGAGGTCGAGCGACCTATGTTCTTCACCTCATCAGATGAATGGACCGTCGAGTATGAACTATCTGAGATAGCCGATAAGACAGAGGAAGAGCTCCGTCTTATGTATAGGCGTTGTCGAGCACGCCGAGCGAAGGCTCTCAAAGGACGAGGCGAGGATGAAGCCAATGTTGCAACCAACGTTTATATTCGAAACCTTCGCGAAATCACAGAGAGGGGACGCGAATTTCGGAAAAGAGAGAACAAACTTGACAAAGAAAGAGGGATCGTCGTTCTGGACGAACCAGCAACTGGTTCAACATGATGCCCGTTTCTGATATCCTCCATGTAAATAGAGGATATGTGTACTATTAAGTCTGTATAGTGGGGGTCGTTATATAGAAACCCGGGGTTCCTCTGGGTTTGGGGTTCGGTTTGCCTTTGCTTTAGACAGAACACTACTCTAGGTGCTCTATGTCCTACTTCTCTATATGTATACTCATGGTGTTATAGACCGGTCATGTGGCCAGTTGGGTTCCCTGAAATGGAAAGAAGCAACTCTTTCCATAGCAGCAGTCTTATTTATACCCTACAAGCTCATTCAGACTAAAAACTCTCTAATACAACATATACTCTACTCTGCAGTCTACACACTTAAATAAATAATAATCGAGATATGTATTTGAATTCTATATCCAAAATTCAAAAAAAAAAAAAATCCAACATTATCAATTACCTCGATGCCCCACGACATGAACAACCATGATCACAATGCACCTTCATGACCGAGTTGGCTGTGCGAGAAGGAGAAGAAAGAGGAAGGGGACAGTGAAAAACAATATGTAATGTACCGAGTCGCCGAGACCATGCAAGAAAACCAATGAAAAGAAAACAAGAAAACGCCTGACCGTAGATAGAATGATGATAGTGGTATACGCCCAGAAGAGAAGTAGGAAATGAAAAGAAAAACCATACCAGCCGGCCGGGAATATAAAGAAGAAAAGAGAACCAGAAACAGAAAAAAGAATAGAAAAAAAAGTATAGAAAGAAGAAATAATACTTTGCAGATTATCATCTGTTCTTTTTTTTCCCCACTGTGCAAGGAAGATGAAGATGATGGACGCATTCCATTTCATTATGGCCAGCAATTCGTGTATGCTTGTCTTGAAAAAGTCATGTTCAGAGAGCGAAGTGAGGGTTGATAACTCATAACAATCATCCAGGAGATCCGACAATGGTTCGGTGACATACTGTACACAGTAGATTATTTCCAGGCAAGGTCTAAAGGTCCACCTTTGGAGGCGTCCAGTCAAGCTGCGGGGGTCTCTCGTGCGAGACGTAGATCTGGGCAGTTTTGGACTTTTCTAGCTTTTTCTGTTCTTTGGACGTGGTACGGCTAAGTAAGCCTCGTAGTGTCGAAGATGTCGCGGCATATGCGCTTCGCGAGCCGGTACTGGTGGAGAGCGTGCTGGAGCTTTGAGCGCTGCGGACGCTGCTCGCTTTCTTGCTGCCAGCGCGGGGGAGGGTCGATATGGGGAGTGCAAGTCGACCAGAAGAGGTGGAGGGCGGGGCGCACTCGGAATAAAAGGCCGATGAGGAGGGTTCTTGATGTGAGTACCCCTCGGATAGAGAGAAAGGCGCAGTCTGAGGGCGAAGGCCAACACCAACAGGAGAGCGAGGTTGGTCGATATCCAGACCTTGGAACATCTCTAGCACGCTATTGTCGTATTGCGGATGGTTATCTTCGGCCACGATACTTAGCTGAGGCTGATGAAGTTTCTCAGAACCGCTATGGATCTCTCTTTCTGATACAGTGACTTCAAGCTTGAGATTGTCCAACATCGTAGTGAGGCTTTTCGCAGTCGTCGGGCGGCTGTCACTCGTAGTGTCGTCATGGTCATGCGTGCCGTCTTGGAAATTGTCATGTACGCCCTCTGCAATATGGTAGTTGCGGTACAGATAGCGGCGCAAACGAGCCACTTCGGCGTCCCACTTTTGGTTCAACGATTTCATGACCACTTCCACATTATGGTCTGCGTAAGGCGATGACGACGATGACAACGATGATGGTGATGATGATGATTGAAACGAGGAGGATGGAGCGGGCGCCAATGCGGCAGAGCTTGATGTTGCACTGCGAGAATGCATAGATGCCGATGGGACTTTGCTGAGTTTGTTTCCGTGTCCCACGCTTATGGCCGCGTGAAAAGACCGACGGAAGGAGTTGGCAGTTGAATGCTGGGACTGGTGCGCATCGCGATTGACGCTCTCAATCTCCCGGCGAACCTTTTCAAGCGATTGGACTCGATCTCGGTCCATACAGGACAGGCTGAGGAGTGAACGATTACGTTGCAGGCCATTGACAAGCACGGTGAAGGACTGCAGGTTGATATCGTTGTTCTCGCAGTATACCTCACGGAGACATGTGTTGTCCTCCAGAACAGACGCTAGTGTGTTTGCCCCCTGCAAGCCAAGCTTCTGATGCTCGATCCGCAACACTTTGAGGGATTTGTTCTTCTTTAGGCCGGTCAGCGCCAGGTTGAGTCCTATTCCAAACCGAGCCACATCCAAGTGTGCACTTTCACCGCTGATGTCAAGATCTTCCAGTGTTTTGTTTTCTTCAAACATCAGCTGCAAGGATTTGCAAGTCTCGGGTCCCGCATCGTATGGAAGAGACGCCTTGGAGATATCCAGATATCGCAGGGTCCGGTTCACTCTCAGAGCTTCCACCAGTTCCCGGAAATGTTCCTCCTTTTTGAAATCGATCATCCGCATGGACAGAGAGGCAGGCGTCTTGTTCTGGGCAATGGCCTCGAATAGAGGTGAGCAGCCAGAGTCAAGGCGGTTTTCATTCACATATAAATGAAGTTGCCGCGCGCATCCCACTTCATGCGCCATGGCATAGAGAAACGTCGCCACATCCTCGCCGGTGAGACCGCACTGGTTCAACCGGACCATACGGAGGCCGCGGGAGTTATTGCTGGCGAGATAGGTCGCCAGGGCGTCAACGGTGTTTCGATTCACTGCCGTGTGACTCAGGGAAAGCTCTTGTAAACGCCAGTTAAATAAAGTTTCGGCGGTGATCAGCGGCTCAGGGCCGGATGTCCTTGAGATGCGCGACAAATCTAGAGTCGTGATGTGCCCAAAATATCCAATGTGCTGTTGCAGCACGTCCGGGCTCAAGCGCCCCTGCACCCCTGATATGTTTATCGATTCCAGGGTGGACTCCTGCGCGGCCATGGTCGATAGGAATAGATCAAGATCATGCACTGACAGTCCACAGTTTCCAACCTCGACAGCTCGGAAGTGACTGCCTCTCTGCGATGCGGCATCTACCATATAATCCAGATCCGTGTCTCCAAGCTTAATTCCGTTAAGAACGACCCAGTCTACACTGGTGAGTTCCCGTCGACAGACCGGAAAGATCGCCTCAGGAATCCCACACCCCGGATCACGACTCCCGCCGTTTAAAGTGGGTGTTCGGGAAAGGCAGTAGGAGAAGTCCAACCGTCTCAGCCATTTGCTTTTCAGGGCCAAGGCTCGTATTTCCTGCGACAAGATGCTGAGGTTTTCCTGTCCTGGAATGGAAATGCGGGACTCGGCGCGGCTGAGATTTGCGTCAATATCCGATCCGTAGCTGTCGTGCAGGCCTTCGAGAGCATCTAGATTTACTCTACTAAACGAGATTCCCCGGAAAGACTCATTGTACCGCAGTGAACGAAAGACTGCAATCAATTCCAAGGCGGTGTATCGTTGTCGTCTCTTGGATGCCGGCGGCAGAAGTTTGAAGCAGGGTGCATCTTCGCACTGCATATCGATGGTGTAACGTATGTTGGATGTGTCGATTTCATAGCTCGCAGAATAGGCGACTAGAGTCCGGTCAAAGCAGCCGTAATCTTCATCGAGCTCTACCGGAAGGAAGTTGTTCTCGTTGTCCAACCCGCGAGGAACAATGAAATCGTACGGTTGTCGAATCCACAAGGGACGGAGATACTCGGTATGTTGTCGTAACCAAAATGCAACCTCTGCCGAATGGACCGATGCAATGAAGATAGAAAATGGCTTGCGAAGTGGAAGTCTTTTTTTGAGATTTGAGAGCAATCGTCAACGCCCGTACGCAAGATGTATTTTTGAAACAATTTGACTGACAAAAGACTTACCGGAACGTAAGATGGAGGCTGTCATCGCCCCATTCCATTGATAGACTCGTCAAAGTCATCAAGCCAAATGAGGTTCCCATCTCTAGATCATTCAATGACGCGATCGACGCGCGATTAGCAACCTTTTGCATAGGCAGGAGATGAACTTTATGCATCCCCACTGCCAGATAGAAGCCCGTTGGGGAGAGCTTGGTCAAATCGTCAGACGAGGAACGAGCCATAGACTTGCTGGAAGCCATCTGGATCACACGGAACATGCGGAATGTATCTGGATCGTAGTCTCTCTCGTACTCAAGCATACGGGCGACATACTCGACGGACCTTGGGTCAAAGGGCAGCGGATCTACCGAGCGCGCCATCTCGGCTGCAGAGCGGATTCCGACCATCCAGAGGTTCAAGTCCTGCAGATCTGACGTCTGCATCTGGATCAAGGCAGCCTTTTGCATGCGCTCATCCAAATAAGCCACCTCCACCGTGGACGAGAGGCGGCCATCGTCAAGCATGTAGACGGCAATGATACTGTTCAGAGGGATACCGGAGAGCGAATCGCTGTAGGCCGAGAGTTGTGGATCGTGCGAGGAGACGACAGAGGCGATTGACTGGCGGCTTCCCGGCTGGTTACGGCCGTACGACGCAGCGATGAAGGGGAAAGTTTCGGCGGCCTTGCTGTAGTTCTTGAATCTCACGAGATGGGTATCTGTGAGAACGAGATACTGGCTCTTCTTCCTCCACATGCCTCCGGTTGTCTGAACCTCCCCGTAGTGCAGAATGAAGGAGCCGATCCCCGCGCGGTGGTCATCATCATCGCCGGACGAACCTCTGGAGCGGCCGAGCGACTTCTCGTCGTCTTCCAACGAATGTAGCGATCGAAAAGAGCCAAACATCGACCCCCGTTTCTTCTGGACTGATTTCCGGCGCGGGCGGGTGCCAATGCCATCGGGAACAGCGAAAGAACCCGAGGCCAGAGACGGCGATGAAATCGCGTCGTTGACGGCGGCGGAAGAGGTGGCAGCAGAGGTGGCAGAGGAGGAAGTCGCGCCGGTGACTGCGGGGTTGCTGTTGGGGGCAGATGACTGATGATGAGGCGGCGCTGCTCGAACGGGGCTGGGATTGCGACTGCCAAAGAAGCCCGAGTTGCGGCGGCCCTTCTTCTTCAGCACTTGGTAGTCATCCGAAGGGGAGCGGCTGTGGACGGCGGCAGGGTGAACGGCAGGGCGGGCGGGAACGGAGGTCGTCGACGCGCCAAACACGCTCAAGCTTTTTCTGCGCTCTTTCCTGGTGGGCTTTTCGGCCATGACGGTTGGAGCAGAAAGGTTCACAGAAGGCTGTCACACAGAGAGGGCAAGAATCAAAGGAAGGGATAGGTCACATCGACGACCTCGACGTCGGTTCTCATGGATTCCGTCAAGGCGCCATGAGCAAGGATCGAGCAAGAGGCGTTCAATCCTAGTCCCCAAGTACAAACGCCGAGAGACATACGACGACGGCGACGGCGACCGACGACGACAACGACGATGATGATCGATGACCAGCAGTGCGAACGGTTCACCCTATGCTCGACTGGCTGCTAGGAGGTTGGCGCGGGTCGGGCAAAAAGTTGGTCGGAAATAAAGATAGATTCGGGTAGATTAAGAGGGCTGCGGGATGGGGTGATCTGCGGCCAACTGGTTTCGGAAAGGGAGGAATGCACTGCTCGAGGCACCAAGAGGGAACACGAGCGATCAACACACACCACCACCCAAGAAACCAAGCTTGATGTACGCTGTACCTGGGCCAGGAACACAGGGGCGGAGCAAGCGACACGAAAACAGCCCCTGCGGGAAGAGGAGGGAGTGGTTGGGGAGCAACAAACGCGGTGGGCTGCGTGTGGGGGATGATGTCAGAACCAGAACAGACTGGCCAGCGTCTGCAAACGGAGAGAAAAGGGTAACGAGGAAGGGTGCGAAGGGGTAGGGCGAAATTAAACAGCGAGCGTACGTAGGAACGAGCCGGTTGCAGAGACGTTCAGGGCCCGGTTCGGTTTCGCAGGGGAGGCTTGAGATACGAGGGTCTGTCAGTCAGGAGAGTGGAGAGAGGGAAAAAGAAGCAAAGAGAGGAAAGAAGGTAGAGCATCCTCACCACCACAAGCTTACTACTAACTAACTAACTAATTAGTTAGTTACTTGTTTCCAGGGACAGTCAATCACTCCGCGAAGCGAGCAAAAGGACCCTTTTGTTGCCTTGTTTCCTTGATTTGTCCGTACTACGACTGCCTAGTCTCTCACTAAAAAGAGCTAACGAAGCCTGGTCTCCTCCAGCTCCTCTTCATCCGCATCTTCCTGCCAGTCTCCGCTCATCCATGCACCTTACACTGGACCAAACACAATGGAGGATTCCAACCAAGCTTTATCTCTCGATCGATCGGCCTATCCGCGGCGTCGTTGGTGACCACGATTGCCTCCCAAGCGCTGGATTCGCGTACGCAGTCCCTACTCCGTTTGTGTCCCGAGAGAGCCACGCTCTCTCTGTTGTCAACACCCCCCAAGACAAGCCCGGTTTCTAATTTTACTGCTCAGGATGTTTTTTTAAACGGCCGCTTTTAATTCGACCAGAATAAAGGGGCGTAGGGGAAGCAATCGGATGGCCAGCTGCTCAGATCTGCTGCTCTGGATGGATCCTCCTCATTGGCGACCCTAAGCCACGTAACGGATCTCCACTTGTCGCGCATTTGCCGCCAGCTACATCATCTTCCTTAATCCATCTCGAAGAAGCTGACGGCTCCAGTACTACATAAGTAGTAAGTGCTTGTGCTGACTCCTTGGGGGGGGGGATTGCACCAGTGGTGTGTGCATCACGCAAGGAATACAGGACTACGGAGTAGCCTTCAAAGAAATACACTCGTTAGGTGACTAGTTACCTAATAGCTACCTAGGTAACTGGCAATGGAGTCTCCAGTATGGGAGAGTCATTACTGCTTAATACAGAGTACAGCGATTACTGTGTCTCGACCTCAAGCTGTCTCACCTGCGCATTACGGAATATAGGACTGTCGATCTGTAAATCATCCCTCTGTTTAAATTTGCAGTGGCGTACTCCGTAGGTTTCACGGCGTTAGCCGAGCATCTGTCAGGTCAGAGATCAACCAGCAAAAAAAGACGGCGAACAGAAGACACGGGCTTGTGGAAAAGCCGCGTCTTATATATTTGAGCTACCCTCGACCGCAAAAATGTTCGAGTCAGCATGTTTGGAGCGATCGAGTCAGCACAAGGTAAGACTACTCAGTTAATGAGGTAGTTACTCTGTGTGCTGTTGTAAATCCCTGGGACCCCTTACTCCCCTCCCCCTTCCCTGGCTTTTTCCATCTCCACCATGCGATGGGGTTGCTCCGCCCGGCGTCTCTCCGCTCGTTTCACGCGGCGCATGATCTCGATGTATTGGTTGACCCGGTGTTCCGCCCACAAGCACCCGCCCAGGGTCATCGCCGCGATCTGAAGGAACACCTTGAACTGCGGGGTCAGCCCACGGTACACACGCGATGTGGGCGACAGCCATTCCGAGAACCCCTCCAGGGGACGATAGAACAGCCGCGACTGGAGCGAGGCCCGCGATAGAGGCGAGGGCTGCGGAGCGGGGTGTGTCGCAGACGTCGGCGGGGAGGCCGGCTTCGAGAAGACAAACGGATGAGGTAATGAGAGGATCATGTGGGCGAGAATCGAGACGGAGCCGAACTGATGGAGAGAGCAGCTTCATTAGCAGTCCTCAAGTCACTCGTTTTTGGAGCGGTTTCAATGCTCAATCAAACGTTCAAACACACTTTCAATGCACCTGCGAGGAAGCCTGTGACAGCCTCGGTCATCAACTCTGGGGGCGGTTCAATGTCCCCCTTCTGACTCGATGGCGGGGGCATGTTGAAGGAAATGGATGTGGATGTCTGTCTAGTCAATTGAGCGTTCAATAGGAACGATAGTCCAGTGGGAGTACCTGGTAACTAACAGGTAGTTACCAGTTACTCCGTCACGTCAGTATGACACAACTGTGTTGTCTATTAACAGATAAGGTAGGAAGAACAGAAACAGAAGGGAAAAAATGATATACAATTATACACCTGCGTAGATGATGAGGATACCTGAAGTTGAACTCTTGAAGCTTTACCTATACCTAGAATTAAGTAGAGCTACTAATAGCTGGATCATGTTTGATCCGTGCCGACAAATGACAAGCAATAGAATTCAACCCATTTACACTATTAAGTTGGCGAATCCTTGTGGAATTCGTACGGTTTTTTTTTATATAAAAACCCATCAATTGAGACTGCAAAAAAAAATACCTTCAACAATCATGTCGGCCCGCACCGCGACGCTCTCGCGCGTCACCAACGAGACCAAAATCCAAGTCTCCCTCTCGCTGGACGGCGGCGTCCTCCCCGCCTACGAACCCAGCGAGCACTTCCCCCCTCCCTCCGACCCAAAAGCTGCAGAGGCCGAAAGGCACGGCATCGTGCCCTCGGCCGAGGCCAAGCATGCGACCCAGTTCACCGCCACGCAGCAGATCACCATCAATACGGGAATCGGGTTTCTCGACCACATGTTGCATGCGCTGGCGAAGCATGCGGGGTGGAGTTTGGCCATCCGCGCCAAGGGAGATTTATACAGTAACCCCCCTAGACTTATTGATCTTTTACCTTTTATCTCTTACCTTTGATCTTTCATACTAACGTTTTTTTTTCTTCAGTTGACGACCATCATACAACAGAAGATACCTTCCTAGCCCTCGGCAGCGCATTCTCAGACGCACTCGGCAAGCGCGCCTCGATCGCCCGGTTCGGCCGCGGCGACGCCCCCCTCGACGAAGCCCTCTCATGGGCAGTCATCGACATCTCCAGCCGGCCGTGGGCGGTGATCAACCTGGGCTTCAAGCGGGAGAAGATCGGCGACCTCAGCACAGAGATGATCACGCACGGCCTGCAGAGTTTCGCGCAGGCGGCGGGCGTCACGCTGCATGTGGGCTGCTCGTACGGCGACAACGACCACCACCGTGCGGAGAGTGCGTTCAAGGCCCTTGCTGTTGCGTGTCGGGCGGCGTGTGCGAGGAGGAGCGCCGGAGAAGTCGGCGCGGGGGATATCGTGAGTACGAAGGGAGTTTTATAAAATACTGATAGAAAGAAAATATCATATAATTCAAATAATTTTTCTTCTCTATCTATTGTCGCAAAAGTTCAGGATGCGCTACTGCTCACTCCCAAAACACTGACAGCCCGATCCCAGTACGCCTTCCGCGCATCTGTCACCGTCGTCCCCACACAACTAGAGATATACTCCTCCCAACCCGCCTGCGAGCCTGTAGCCAGCTGAGTCCGCTGCTCCGCCGAGCACTGCGTCGTCAGGAACCATGCCCCAGAGCCGAAATCATAGTTCTCGTCCGCGAGGAGCAGGTTCAGCACCGCCACGGGATCAGACGAGACGCTGCTCAGATTACCTGCCAGCGCGGGGATGCTGGCTGCGTACTTGGAGTTGAATGCCGGTGATTGCATATTGCGTGCTAACAAGTCAATCCCTTTTATAGAAAGGAAAGTAAAAAAAAAAAAAAAAAGAAAGAAAGAAAAACTTACTGCCCTGTCCTGGAACACCAGGGAAATGGTTCTTACTATACTTGAAATCAAGCGTCTCAAAGGCTATCAAGCTGAGGACAGCGGCCTGCTCCGCCGGCGAGGTGACGTTGTACTGTTCAAAGGCGGCGTTGATGTACGGCGCGGCCTGGTCGGCGGTTGCACACTCGCCTGCCGCCGGGGGATTGTCGCAGGTGTTGGAGGTTGGGGCGATGGTCTCCAGCTGGGAGGCAGTAATGCTGGCTGCTGCCGTCGCAGCCAGAGCGAGGGGCCCGCTGAGCAGGAGGGCAGTTACGGAGAAGTGCATTTCGGGGGTTTAAAGATGGAGATGGAGATGGAGATGGAGAGAGGAGAGAGGATAGATGAGAGAGGAGAGAGGATAGATGAGAGAGGAGAGAGGATAGATGAGAGTAGATAGAGAATAAGTGTAAACAGAAAGTTGTTCCAGAAGAAAAGAGAAGTTGCAGAGTGGGTAGTATTTACTGATTGCATAGCTCCCTGGTGGCAGGGCAGTTGGATGGAATGTAAGAACTATCATTCTTGTCCCACCCATGCGTGCACTTTATTTGGAGTAGATGGATACGTTTGAAGGCTTTTGATTCATGCAAGCAAGTTGCTCACAACTACTTTAAAGTATAAGGCATGACCTCAATTGCATAAGTTCGACTCAATTTCTTGGTTGAAGACTAGGTTGGTTGCACATTAAATAGCTACTGCTGCATTGACCTATAGCTACTCGAACAGTCTATAAGTCTAATATTATACTGACAAGAAAGGATTGAGGCGTAGATAACAAGATCAGAAGATGGAGCACTGCCCAGCGCTGGATCACGCATGCAAAGTAGGGGGGCGCCATGTTGTCAAAAAAGAACATGTACAAGCAAAGGGCTGTAGCTCTATAAAGCCAAGTTGGGAGGTCCTGGACCCGGAGAAAAGAAAAATTCCACTTATGTGCGCCAAACGCTGCAAGAGGTAGACAGCAAGATGAAAGTATACAAGGGGGGGAAACGCTGAATGAAGATACGACCGTACATTGAGTCACCGAGGATATGTCGGGTCACGAAGATGTGTTCGGTCACAAGGGATGCGTTTAATCACGTCGGCTGTAAAGTTCGTAGGAGGCTTCGTTGATAGGGCCGACTTCCTCGTCCTTCTTGAAGCTGACGCGACGAAGCAGTGTTGGCATGACGAATCGCGACCTGCGGCTTGGCGACGAGGGAGACATGAACGAAGGGAGCTTAGAGTATCGGTAGCGATACTTGGATCCCAAGAGTAGGAGTCGGCCATAAGCCCACCAGAGACAAATTCCCACTAGCCCGCCAAGGATGAAGCCGAGGACGGTTAGGAACACCCAGTGTTGACCCATCTAAATCTGTTAGCCTGGCTGTTCCGATAAACAAACAAAACATCCCACCACTTACCCAGAAAATCAACCTGGCATCACTGCCGTGCCAGCTGTTACCCACATGGTGGGTGAAGAAACTCCACGAATGCTTGTTGTACTCTTCCTGCATCAGAATGCGCACCCGTCCGGCTTCGTTGGGTCCATCCTGCATGTACTCCTTCCAGATAACAGAGAGAAAGAGAGGCCCCGTCGAGTACATGACCGTGATGTACGGGAGAAGCCAGCTGCGGTCATATGATTGCAGCACCTCGATCACTCGGAGGAAGAAGGGATGTTGCGGGACAGAGCCCATGGCGTCGTTGGAGATACCGGTGGGGACGGTTCGGCGAACCCATGCAGGATAAGCCAGTAAAGGATCTAAACGACGGTTGCAGCCCTGCATTTCCAGTCAGATCAGAAAAAAAACACTTTTTTTCTTTTATGAGATGAAAGGATTCAAAAAAAAGTCGTACATCGTCAAGATCAATGTAGGTTCCTCCATAATGCGCCAAAACAAAGTAACGAATGGAATCCGCGCGCTGAATCGGATACTTGTAATTATCAAATGTCTCGAGGAACCAAGGATATTCCGCGGCAATGAACTCGCGCGATTTCTCGTTCGTCCATAGCTATCAAAGGCAAGAATATTAACATGGGCTGGATATCGGGTGCGCGAAAGAGGGGAATAAACACCTACAATATATTCGTAGTCAGGGTGCAAGTCAATGCAACTCTGCTGAGCCTCCTGCCACACCTCAGGAATTGACTCGTTCTTGTATGTCTGGTGAATGATCTTGGGGATGATCTGTGGCCTTTGCTCGATCAAGCTCGAATTCGGCGACGGGAGTTCTGAACGGTGGATCGCGTCGGCCGAGGCATCTTCCACAAGAAGCGATAGCAGAGTCGACACGCTGCGAACTAGAAAGGATATTATGACTAGGTTGACAATTAAAAAGATCAATAAGCCGCGTCGCATGGTGAAGCCGTAGTGTTTTGCGGTGCCGCGCAGTCGGAAAGAGCTGAAATGGTACAATTAGAAAAAAAGGGATGAAGAAGAAGATTGAATTGAGATCGAAGAATAAAGATTTCAGCAAGGCTAATTGAGTCGATTCCAAGTCGTAACTTCGTGGTTCAAGTAAAGGAGGTTTGGGACTCGGGAGACCGCGACGGTCAACCCTGGAAGTGTTGCGGCGTAGCACTTGCACGAATAAGAGACCAGATGCATTAAATATTTAAGATTATAGACTGTTGGCGTGCCCTCGAAGAGAGAAGAGAGAAAGGGGGGGAATGCGAGGCTCTAGATACGTCACGGCGTTAGTCGTCAACAAGGAAGGAGTTTCGTAGCGGGTGGAAAGGACAAGGAAGCCAAGGCGCTTTCTCACCGAAGAAAACCCAGGAGGGGGAGAGAGTGGGAGGGTAGATAGATTAGGGTAGGCAATTAACTAACTATTTGATTAGTTTAGGTGGGCGAGGCAGGTAACTTGTAAGAGAGAGAAAGTCTCAGCCCCGTGGCTTCAAAACTAATAATAATAAAGGAACGACACGACAGGGGGGCGACAGCAGGACTAGTGAAAGAATGAGGTGTGGGAGGACGTTAGTGGCGACAGATCATACCGTTAAGGAGAAGGTCTGTGTCAAGAGTCCATGGTTACAGGAAGGGGAGGATTTGGGGGTTGAACTGTGGATTGTTTGGGGAAGTTTAGGTGGGAGCCAAGGCTGAGTCGAGCAGTTTTCTCATTGGGGACCGCTGGGCGTGTAAGGGGCGCAGTGTGATATGGCTTCAAGCTTGTTCGTTGCAGTGGGTCAGCATTACCGAAGAATTGTGAGGTAGTCTTGTCTTATATACAAAATATAGTTGGCTATTATTTAGATAACTGCTAGGTATCTTTTATCATTAATTATCTAATAATCTGTTCTATAGCTAGTAACTATGTAGTATACCTATAAGGTACTCCATACCTCCTAGTAGGATAGGTAAATATTAGGTCTCTAATCTTCTACTAGTGGTATTATTAGTTAATTAGCCTACTATCTCAAGTCAGCAGCTAAGATGCACATCATTAGTACTCCATAAGTTTAACCAGGTACCTATTTTCATGGTTTTATAAGTATCTCTGTGTAGAGTACTCTGTGCATGAATTTTGTTGCCTACTCATGTACTCTGTACCTACCTAGTAGTACCAGACACCCGCTATATGTATGTAGTACTGTATTTTTACAATTGTATCAAAGTCAACTTAGGTATTTAGGTACAGAGTAGATAAAAGAGTAGAGCCGCAGATATAAATTATCTTTAAAAAATGATATTGAATAAATACTCAATTTCTTAAACCATATGTAGTACTCCTTACTCTCAATCGCGAGACTCGAGCATGATACAGTCATATGACACAACAACAACAACAACAACAACAACAAGACGAACATAAGTAAACTATGGCAACGCGTGTAATCCGGAAACGCCGTTGTTGTTGGTGCTGCAGATGGACAGCCACTAGAACACTTACTACATACAACAAGCCATGCGAGGTAGATACCTCTCTAGGTACTTCGTACTTCGTACTTCTTCGTAGCACATAGCCTGTGGTAGTTGACCATACTCCGTACGAGCACAATCCAAAAGGTCCACCGACGTGCCTCGTTAGTAATAATCGTGCATTATTTTATTTTTACTTCGTACTCGTATAAAATACTCGGCAGTTCCGAAAGGGGGCCCGGGAATCTCTCTTGTCGGGGATCGGAGTAAACTTTCTCCGCAACCGAGGCCCAACAAAACCCAGGGTCACCGAGGAGAAAAGGAAGAAGCCCATTCGCCCTCTGGCAAAGTGCTGAATTAAGGAAACGCGTCGTTCCAGGTTTTCCTTTAGAGAGAGAAAAAAAAAGTTACTTTGGCTAAGCCACTTAGTACTATGTTCCACTAAACTTTATGTAGTAGACCTTGGTTATTCCTGCCGTGGACCCTGGGTAACAAGCCCCACGGCGATCGAGGACAGAAAATTCCTGTTCCTCTCTCATTCTGGTCCTGACGGCATACATGGCGGTCGAGATTGGAGAATGCTTGCCATTAGGGATGCGATGGTAATGCTCATGATGACTAGTGATCTATTAACCTCACTTATTCCTTAGGCCTGCAGAGTATATGTAGTTAGTATATACCTAGGTAGATTACTAGAGTTACCAGTTAGTTCCTAAGATAATTACCTAGGTATTCTGTATTAACTACCTAATACTCTGTACTCTGTACCACTCTTAAAACTTAACCTAAGGTACCTAGGTAAAGTCCACACATGGCACCCCACCCGGTACAATGATAGCCAATCATATCTAAAGAAAGGGTATTAGAGCATAAGACCAACTCTCAGCTTACCGCTTTAAGGAAAAGTGTCCCACTTGGCGCCATGGGTATAGTAACCAGGTAGGTACGTAAGATACCTTGGTTACCAAGGTAGGTTGGAGCCTTAAGGTAATGATTTTGATGTTTATTACCATCACCAGAGCTAGAGTATTCAAGTTATATAAGTTATTACAGATGTCTAGTTATCTAATACTATTATATATTATATAGCTGTAATACTTTACATAGTACTTTATGTAGTTGTAGGTTTATATTATCTAGACTATCTCTGTATGTACTACAGTTTCTTTTACAAAGTACCTAGATACCTACTAAATTTATCCCGAATTGACTCTACATCTGCAAGATGAGATCAATTAGGTATACTCTACGTAAGCCAAACTACTGCACCTACTACCCAATAATAACCATCACATCTCGCAACAACCACTAGTTAATCTGTATAATCTATTACTCTAGCAGTAGTTAGTTAATAACTACCAAGCTACCTAGTTGCCTAATTATCTAGTAACTATAACTAGTACCCACCCGCAGGTATGACGCGCAGACAGGCCTAATCGTCATCGTGGGCGCCGCTTCTGTCATGATATGTACATGTAGTAATGTATATAGGCAGGTAGATTACTCCGTGTAGTAACCAGCTAGTTCACCAAGAAGGTACCTCTTCGTCATAGGTAGGATTCCGTACGCGATGCACCGAAACCTGTGATATCATGGAGATCTTGGTATCCCAATATCCCAACTATATCGTGTACGGCTCCGTCAGTTGGCAAGTGGCTTGCTGTCGTGGTTTTTGGTGGCTGTATTATCGGTAAATAGAAGACAGTAGATTTCTGTGCCTTTAGGCTCCAGGATTTCAGAGGATCGGACCGAATACGGGGTACGACGAGAGCTTGCATGCATGCATTGCAATGAAAGTGGGAGAGTTCGCATACTCCACCATCTCTAGTATATCTTAGTTTCAAGATATGTTAGGATGACTTGATTTCTCAATCATAAGATAGAATTATAGATCTAAGTATAAGACCATAACAAGATATATGCTAAACGCCGATTATGCACTACTCCTTTACTGTTACTAGTCGCCCTCCGTTTGATAGCCTTCTGGCGCCATGATATTGAAAGGCCAAGAGAATACGCTTCATCTTTACTAGGGTTTGTTCCTCTAGCTGTCTTCCGTGCAGTTGAGCTGTTGAAAAAAAATCATTTGTCTCACATCGATTGCCTTTAGCCAGGTTTTCCGTACCAGACGGTTCATTGAGGCAAGATGACCATTTTAAAAAGCAGGCCTTCATTCCGAGTCCCAGCGCAGAAAGCGTAGCCCCGCTACATAGTCTCGTTGGTCTAGCGGTAAAGAAATCGAAGGTCCCTTGAAGAACAGAAGCCGAGTTCAAATCTGTGCAGAAATAAAAGGCCAGAATCGAAGGGCGGTTGTTCATCGAACTTCAGGTGCGGCAGCGGCAGCAAACTCTCCATTAACATTGGCAGCGTTCGTCCCATGCGCGCTGCCAGCTTCATCGAACATGCGTCTCCACCATGCGGGCGGATCCAGAGGTCTATGTCCTCCATGGAGAGACGGGTAGACGTCATTGAAGAAATACCAAATATGACCAACCACAATGCCACATATTTCATCCTTGGGAACGACTTTGCGGACGATAATGCTAAATGCCATCAAAACCCACGGAAGGTATGGAGCATTGAAAACTAAGAGGCCCAGGAAGCTGAGGCGGGTGTCCGGGTTCCGGCGACTCCAGACGTAGACCAGGCTGGACGAGAGCGCGGTGCCCAGGAATGGAAGCGACAGGAAAGGAGAAATTACCAAGAGCGACGCCATCGCATAGAAGAGCATCCATGAAAAACGGGCAGGCGAACGGCCTGACGATTCTTCAAGTAGCCGCGAGTATCGCTGCATGAAGAAGACATGAAAGAGTAAATCGAGGTTCAAGGGGCCGAAATACAGAAACGTCGACACCAGACGCCAGTACTACAAAGCCTTGTCAACACTCCCTCCAGACAGTCCAGAAAAAAAGAATATCACGTACCTGTGACTTGGCGTACACTGCTCGAAAGCTGTAGAACAGCTGGTACGGCGTTAGAACATTGCACTGGACAAGCACCGACGTGGCGACAGTCGCAGCAGTCCACCATCGAGTCACAGGTGGCATTTCATAGAACCATTGCTCGAGGGGAAACTGGCCTGCCTGCCCACCATTCCCCCACAGAGCAGCCATCGAGCCGAGCCGGTAGCGTGACGTTGAACCTTTTGGATATCGATATCAAGTGCGTTCGTGCGCAGGGGCGTCGCAGGAAGAAGATCCACACAGTCACAACGAAAAGCGCCTGAAAACAGGTAATAGGTTCACGCAGAAATCATCCAATCCTGCTGGGTCATAGACAGGTAGTCTTGAAGAAGCTTCGTTTCTTGTGCTGGAGCTCCAGGTGGCCTCTTCCGTTATCGTAAGTTGACGTTAGCGGGGACTGGGACAGGCGAACCCGCGGAACTGCTCGCTATCATCACGTGCTCCGCGCGAGACACGACTACACGCGTCGAAAAAATACAGAAGGCTAAGGGAGGTTCAACATAGTTGTAATCGCCCATCTGGTGGGGAAAGGAGAAGTACGTAAGTAGCAGCACTGATTATTGCGTTACCACCCCCCCCCTTTAGTAAAGGACTGATTGTCAAGTAGCTTGTTGACGCCTGAGGTGTCATCCGAGTTTCCTGGTCTCCCAGCAACAAAGAGAATCCCATCGAGCCTACTCGCGCGTGCGCATCGCCGCATATACACTGTCGCCGGGCTTGAATTTATAAGGCCCGTCAAACACTGTGCAGGCTCAATTGAGCGCTAACGGCTTGATAAAGACCGAGACAAACAAATCAAAAGAAGAAGAAGGAGAAGAAGGAGAAGAAGAACCAACATGCCGCCTAAGACGGGGCGAGGCCGCAAGATGCTTGCGGCGCAAGCGCGCCCACGGCCTGCAACAGGCGACGGCGGCGCTGACGGTGATGGGGCTGCTGCCGCGGGTCCGTCGTCGCGCAACGATGGCGCAACGAAACCCGGTCGAGGAGGTCGCAAGTCGGGAGGAACGAGGGGAGGGAAACGTCCCCCTGGGACGAGCGGGCAATCGAACATCCAACGTACGTGTTTTTTTAATACCCACACTCGATTAGGGTAGACAAATTGTCTGGACAGAGAGAGTGAATGAGTGAGTGAGAGAGAGGCCCTGACAACAAGCAGCGGGCGATCCCACCCCGAAAGGCCGTCGTCACCGATACAAGCCAGGCACCGTCGCCCTGAAGGAAATCCGAAAGTACCAGCGCTCATATGACCTACTGTTGCGCAAGCTGCCCTTTGCACGGCTTGTCCGCGAGGTCGCCCTGGAGCTATTACCGGCCAACGTGGGCGCCGAATTGCGCTGGCAGTCGCACGCGATCCAGGCTCTGCAGGAAGCCGCCGAGGCCTTCCTGGTCCATCTCTTCGAAGACACCAATCTGTGCGCCCTGCACGCCAAGCGCGTTACCATAATGCAAAAGGATATCCAGCTAGCGCGGAGAATACGTGGTGTATGGGGCGGCCTGGGTTGATTCTTTTTTTTTTCGGCTGCTACAAGTGACTAACTACCAGTGTTCTGGAGAGAGGAGAACACGGAGATATATGAATTAAAACCACAGCTTGTTATTTTCCTGGTTTTCTTTTTCTTACCTCTTTCCTTTTTTTTTTCTGAAGTGATATCTTTCCCCCTTTTTCTACAGTGTTTCCAATCTTACTGTTTATTTCTCATGCCGAACGTCTGTTGTTTCGGCTCTGCTTCTTTCCGGCTGAACTTGGACAGCTCCTGCTATGGCGTATCTGAGTATGGGTGTCTGATTTATCAAATGATGGGTCTTGTCTTCTGTGTGGCCTGGGGTTGGTTGATCAAAGGCCCAGGCGTCCACTGTACACTAGGTGATTGAATCAAAGGTTTTCCAACAGATATTTCGAGTGGGTTGAACTTCATTACTAACTATATACTGATACCGTACACCCGTATCGATGCTATTATTCCCGGTCATTACTGATTTGAATATTGCACCCCAGATCCAGATCCTATATCACAATGCTGAAGTGTCATGGTATCATAAAAACGGAGAAAGATAAAGAACATAAGAAAGAGAAAGAGAAAGAACTTGGGCGACCGACATGGAAACTCCCTACCCCGATCTCTTCAAAGTTGGAGGCAATCCCATGATAATTCGCTGTCCCTCCTCTCTCACTGCCCTTGCTTCATCATTCTTCCCTTGTATCTCTAGGGTCTCAGCAAGCATCTCATCCGTGACGCTCACCCACAATCGATCATTAGCTCGTTTGGCCATCGCTCGGCCAGCTCGAGCACTCTTTTCGGCTTGCTCGCCGACCACGCCGCGAAAGTATTTCCAGCTCATAAACGTCAACGTGATACAGGTGATCTGGCTGTTACTGATGGCAGTTGCGGACTGAAGAGCTTGCTGAAGAAACTGTTTCGTCTGAATGGTGGATTCAGTGTGGACTGTGGCACAGACGAGATAGTAAGCCGCCTCAAGATATTTGTTGGGACTGCTCTTGCAAAAAGGTTCGATGCTGTTAAGAAGAATAGCGAGGCGATGGTGTTCTGGATGTTCTGGGTCGCGGACAATAGTAATGGCATTGAGAGCGGCAAGGATGGCCAGGTCACGTCGAGGATCATTCCGTGCCGTTTTGCTAGCACCTGATGACAGGGAGAGCAGTGGGGATTGGAAAAAAGTAAGAGCTGCCTTCAAGTCGCCAGTGCCTTGCGCAATGATGCCAGCAGCGTACTCTATCAAACATTCGATGGTTGCTGTATCGACAGTGTTAAGCTCTTCAGTCACTTCCCGAACGTCTGCCAACGAATGGCGAGCAAGGTCCCAATCGGTACGAGCACACGAAAGGAACACCTGCTGGAGGAGAATATTGCAGTAAAGCATTCGGCGCCATTCAACCCTTCTGGTCGCATTCGATATTGACTCTGTAATTTCTTGGGGGGTCTGAAAATTACCTAAGGACAAGTCAGTGGATTTAAGCAGGGACAGGAAGAAACCAGGAAGAACAGACTTTTGATCATACGGGACCCTTCCTGGAGGAACTTCTCCGCTTTTCGACCATCATAAGAATTCTTGGCACTGAGTGTGACAGCACTCAAGAAATAGCACAGGGCATAGAGATCGTGCTGGGGTAGCCAGTTGAAAGTCAAGACTAGAGTGCCATTCTGTACATGCAGAATATCTCCAGTGTCGATCGAGGAAGGACCGACCGATTTCCCGTTTAGTGGGACGGAGAATGATCCATCAGCAGACCAGCTGTCGTCGTTCAGTTTCTCGTCCATCAAGTCCTGCAATATTTTGAGTTTCTGAGCAGATTGATTAATATCATAGTCAAGAAGACTGCAACATATATCAATCATTTGAATAAGAGTGTTGAGTTGAGGTATGCGGCGAATTTCATCGTTTAATTGATGGCTCCGTGCAATAGCCACAGCACGTCGGGCCTGCTCGATTGAGTCGGAGCTTGAGGAGTGCTGCAGGTGCGCGAGTGCCTCGATCACCGCCGACATTACAGAGACAGCCCTGTCGCCATTCCGGTTGGCTAGATTGCTGATTTTGTGCAGGTGGTGTGTTGCCGAGACAAAATCTTGATGGGAGGGACTGGATAGTGAAAGCGATGTGCGAAGGAGGCGAAAAGCATACTCCCAAGCCGTGTGACGATATCTGATTGAAATTAGTAATACAACTGCAAGTCCGCGCCAGGAGGGTAACGAACGCTTCTACATCCTCGATCATACCATCAACCGCTTTCAAGGACGCCTTCGGGTTTGTTTTGTGAAGCATACGCGCTAAGAGCTGCTGCATACTGTATTTCAAATCAAGCATACGATTCTGCCATGAAGTCAGTCTCTGATCCTGGGATAAATGTAACAAACCACCTACTCTCTCGCATAAGTCAATCTGGAGGAGAGAATGAGTTAACTTTTCATCTGAATAGCCCAGACAAGGACGGGGGGGAAATGAATTAAAACATACCCCTTTACTAAGGGCGGTTTCAGCCTCTAGATCATTATCTGTCTCTTCGAACAAGACGCGGGCATAGCGCAAGCGCACCAGTGCTTCAACTCGGGGCTGCAGTCTCCAATTCTGTGATACGTCAGTCCTATCATTCATCATTGGGGGGTAAATCCCCTTGTCTTATCCAACACACCTTCAACACAGCTTCCAAGCAGCCTAATCCAGTCGCAACCAGCTTATGATATTCTTCGATACGCTGTTCGTGGTTTGACAGGGCGACTATGGTCCCTTGACTATGTGCAGTACTAAGATACTCGTCTGCCAAAGACAATAGCAGCACTTGATAATCCACAGGAGGCTTTCCTGGCTTTTCCGCCACCTGTTGTTGACTTTGTGGTTTCTGTACCCTTTTCTTCTGTGGTGACTGCTGCATCTTTTGTCGTACTTCGGGGGACAGCGCTGGAACCAACACCTGTGGGACAGGGCGGGAGGGCGGGTTGGGCGTTGGACGGGTAGCAGGGGTCGCAATAGGCCGTTGCTGAGGTTGGCCTGTTGGTTTTGGAACGGGGGTTCGTGGGAGAGACGTAGTTTGCGGGAGGGGTTTAGGAGTGCTCTGGTTTACAGGGACAGAGCCGTTTGAAGCGAGGGTGCTGTAGTAGGCAGACGGGGTCGAAGCACCCGTCGTGGGAACCGCAGTCCCTGCCATCGAAACCGCTGGCTGTCTGCCATATTGGGTATGAATGGGTGCGGGAGTGGGAGACCCATGGATGAACTGGGACGACGGGGAAGTATGGACGGGTGACTGCTGGAACACTGCTGGATTCACAAACTGCTGTGGAGGCGGATGAGGTGGTCGCTGTGCGTTATACGCCTGCGCATACGCGTTGTAGGTCGGGACCATGACCTGCGGGTACATGACGGGCTTTCCATAGTGAAATGGCGGGATGTTGGGCGCGCCATTATACGGTAACTGCTGCTGCGGCGGCGGCGGCGGCTGCAGTGGTGGTGGTGGTAATTGCTGCTGTTGCGTGGGTTGCTGCAGGTACTGCGGTGGATAGTGGCCGTTATGAGGCGGTGGGTAGCTCATCGCCCCGAGATCGAGATAGTCTCTGTGCTTGACAGCTGGATTCGCTGCCCGCTCATAGAGTGCTGGGGTTGCTCCTTCTATTATCGCGGTATGCTTACGGGATGCGATGCGCGCGCGCTTTCCCCAAAGGATTGATTAGGTAGGCAAATCCCCGTCCCGCTTCGGCCCCGGATAAACCGCGTTCCAGGCCCCCGATTGCCTGAACTGCTCATGTTTGTCAGGTTGTCTCATCCAAGACGGCAGCTACCTACCTTGATGTAACTATTAGATTAACGGTCATCGATTCATCACGGCTACAGAGAGTTTGTGCGGCTAAGATGGTGTCTGTTTTAGGCTTCTTGATTGGTTTGAAAAACATAAACTATTGAACTCCACTAAAAACAGTGCGACCAGGGTATCCAACATGCGAAACCAAAAACAACAGATCGGTAACTATCATAATGACGGCAATACTGTCGGAGTATAATTAAATATAAGGTCCAATCCTATATCATTCGGATTGAGGAATAGAGTTGACTCATAGATCGATCGTTGATGGCTGGCTCCAGGATGTCCATGTCAAGAGCCGGAGGCCATGACGGGGGAGGGTGTTCTCTGATCGTCCAGGGACAGAGTTCGTTGCAATTTTCTAGGTTGACCGAGGGTTCTGCCGGATGAATGCGTTGAGCTGCCCAATCCTTGTCTGGCACCAGTGATGCACCGCCGAGAGACCGCTCTGTCCAGAAGGTATAGGTTTCCCGGCCGCCGTCTTCGTGGATGTATGGCTGTTTTTTGGGGCACTTCAAAACGGTGTTGCAGCTGCTACAGCTAGATATTCGTTTGCATGAAGTGCACGTGGAGTCGTCTATATGGCAGAAATTGGACTGGCAGACGCTCGACAGCCACAAATCCATCGAACGGTGGGCACACCCGAATCTTGGGGTGATGTTTTCTTCCTTGCCCAGTTGGCCTCCCTGCGTGGAAAGCTGGTATTCGGTTCGGACGATGAGGTGATCATTCGGATCCAATTCTGGGTAGATCTTGACATTCAATTCTGTAGACCCATACATTTCAGAGCATGAGTGCCAACACAAACGTTCTGCCTTTCCACCGCTGAACTGGTTTTCCAAAACCTCGACCGTGCTTCTTCTCACTTTGAGCATTTCAACCATGTCCGTTTTGTCCTTGAATGTCAATTTCTTGCACGGGCACAGATCGACGATACCAGCCCTCTCTCCGAGATTGCATGTTCGCGTATCAGTCTTTCTTCTGAGGTCTTTTGCAGAGAAGGCAGTCTTGGGATGAAGCTTGAGACAACTCGAGCAGGCACGCCACTTGCTGTCTTCCAACAGTGTGATAAACTGCCATCGGGGTGTGGCGAAGTTATGCCCGTTCCGGTAGTGGTGAAACAGAGGCGCAAAGTCTCGAGTAAAGTGGAGTGATTTGGAGTCCAGGATCTCCCCGGAGATGGCAAAGAATCTCTTGCAGGTCAAGGCCAAACACGCCTCCGGCACTATGGAGAGATGCGAGATAATCTCCAGAAGGAGCTCAGTCGGCAATTCGAGAAGATAACACCGCTCGTTCTTGTTCTCCTTCTGCGTTCGAGTCCGAGACCGCAACAACATCTCCATTTGTTTCCAAACTTTCAGCTTTTCCGCGATGCGGAGGGAGTAGAATGGCATTTCGCTGGAGAAGTCTGTCCCCTGACCAATGTTGTTGAAAGGAGATCGTAGTGTGGATTTCTCCCACGGAGAAGAAAGCGTCGCCGTTGTTCTCAGGTAGGTAGATAAATGTTTATCAAAACTGATGACTGCTCCCAGACACCAGAATTCTTGCTTCCAAGGCAGTGGCCATAAATAAGCAGAAGCATAGGCGTAGATTAGGAGGCAACGGTGTTGTTCTTGCTGAGAGAGCGCGTGACAGAGGTCTAGTAAAGGAAGAGGAAGTTTTCCGCAGGGTTTCCTGGTCATGAAGTGGTTTTATTGTGTTGATAGACGCCTATGCAAACGGCACCACCTGATTTGGTCACAGTGGGTGTCCATAAACAGCCATTTTGGGCCACAGTCCTCAGGGACCATCTGCCGTTCCTGTCCACATGAAATGCCCTAGGTTCAAGAAGCAGCGACCATGCTTTCCGTATAAAGGTCTATTCTTTGCTGGCATGCTCAGATAGACTGGGAGCTCTGATGCAACCGGTCCCGCTAGTTCTGTTCCGCATGCGGAAATCAAGGATGCCGCATCAGGCACGACCAACCGCCCACGTCATGGAGGCTGTAGCCGCCCACCGCGGGGCAGTCGACTGCCGATATTCTAGAGATAAGTTCATCTTGGCAGTTATTGCAAATGTCAGCAAGCCGCAGGTTCTGATACCCATGACTGGTGTCAGCTGAGAGACTGGGACTTCATGGGATCTCATGACATGGGGGCATGTCGGAGAGAGATAAGGCCGATAAGCCCAGATAAGGATATTATGTCAGCTTTTTTTTTCTAAGCCACTCACTCCCCATGCCGAGGCACGTTGCAAGCAAGCCTGTTGGATAGTGATAAATTGTTGTACAGAAGTCGCGTTCATTATTATTCTTCTTCTTCTTAGGGAGACATCCCTTTAGGTGGACACTGCCTGTGCTTTGCCACTGTGTTACTTACTCTGCTACTTATTCTGGCGACCTGGCTGTTGTTGACTGCTCTGCTGTCCATTTTTTTTTCTCTTTTTAATCGTGGTTTTATCCAGGGATCTTTTTTTGTACAAAGGATACGATTATCGCATTAATCAGCGCTCATGATTGATACATCGACTGGTCTTTTCGACTCTCTGACTATTTCTATTGTCATCTCCGGGCTTCTGGCGGCGATGGGTCTTCTCTCCTGGGCTCGTCCGACTGGTCGCATTTCGTTTTTTCATTCGAAAGAGAACAAACTGCTTCTTACGAAGTTTACCGACAAGGCGGGGTCGAAGGAACATGTCTCACTGTTAGAGATCTGTAGGGCCGCGACGCCGGAAAAATGCCATCTCAACCCGATGCTTTTCAACGGGCATCTGCAAACCGCGTGGACGGTGATGAAAACCCTCGATCCCCCGGTATACTACAAGCGGAAAATATTCGAGGCCGATAGCCCCGACTTTGCCGGGCAGTTTGCGGTAGATTTTACAGTCCCTCCCTTCCAGGCACCCATCGACGACGAGGAAGTGACAGACAAGGCCGGGAGGTATACCCTGCCCGGCGGTTTGCCCCCACGGACTGTGTTTTTCACGCAAGAGGAATTTGCATCCCTGCCGTCCGATGATACCAAGCCGATGCTGGTCGTCCTTCATGGGTTGAGTGGTGGCTCCTACGAGCTGTACTTGCGACATGTTGTGGCTCCCCTCATCGCCGATGGAAGCTGGGAAGCCTGCGTGGTGAACTCGCGCGGCTGTGCGCAAACCAAGATCTCCACTGGCGTGCTCTACAACGCCCGTGCCACATGGGATGTCCGCCAGGCTGTAAAATGGTTACGTGAGACGTTCCCAAATCGTCCACTCTTTGGAATCGGCTTCTCGCTCGGGGCAAACATTCTGGCCAACGTAAGTTTGTTCTCCGAGTAATCTTATAACATTATGTGCTGAAACGTCCAAGTATCTTGGTGAAGAGGGCGAAGCTTGCCAATTAAAAGCAGCAGTTCTCTGTGCCAGCCCGTGGAATCTGGAGGTCGGGTCTATGAATCTTCAAAGGTCCTGGCTTGGGCTTGAGGTGTATAGCAAAACCATGGGCACTAACATGAAGCGCCTATTTGATCAGTATGTACCGTTGTAAATGTTTCTTTGGTTCACTCTCTAACTTTTGCTTCCAGGCATGCGGAGGAAGTCTCTCGAAACCCGAGGGTTGATGTGGAGGCAGTGAGGAAGACTACTTATTTGCATGAGTTTGATCGAGCATTACAATGTACTACATGGGGCTATCCTACAGAAGGAGCATACTACCGCGATGCGTCTTCGGTTGATTCGATGCTTGCTATCAGGATTCCCTTTTTCACCGTGCAGGCAGAGGATGATCCGGTCAGTTTCTAACTCGCAATTCAGAAGTTCCAAGGCTGACTTCCTAGATTGCTACATTCGATGCTATCCCTTTCCAGGAGTTTACACAAACACCGTACGGAGTTCTTCTAACGACTTCTTGGGGTGGCCATCTCGGTTGGTTTGAGTTTGGAGGTGAGAGATGGTTTGTAAAACCGGTATGTGCTGAACAAATATCCTACTTCTTGTATAAGAGTTGGGCTTGCTAACTTGTCGACAAAGATCACCAATTTCCTCAACAAGATGGCCAAAGAAATCGACCTGACGTCTTCCTTCGTCGTTGAGGACCCGGACAAGCTACCAGGCAAAATCGCCAGCCACCCTGGTCCAGGCAAGGACGCAGACATCTCGCCGAAGCCGGATTTCAACCCGATGAGGCGGAAACTGGCCATGCCGATGGTGCAGTGAAGTATTAGACATGACCTTTCCCACTGGTATATATTACATGATCCAAAGCTTATTTCGGTTTTCCCCTTGTTTTTTTTTTTTCATCGTTCATGAGCGAGCATAGAACCATGTTGTGTGAAATAGAGACATAAACCACATTAACGCCCGGAACCCCGCCCATCTAGACACAAAGAATTGGTATATACAGGCGCTCGATAGATACTCAAGCAAAAGAAACACTTTTCCTCTTTCCCTTTGACTTGGACCCGGTAGAGGTGGGTTCAGGTTCGGCGGAATCATGGCCATCGCTCCTACGTTTCCGCTTCTGGCGGATTGAAGCCTTTGCATCTTCCTATTTATAGTGCGTTAGTATCCGGTATAGTGCTGTCGTAGACACCATCACATAGTGGCTGACGTACCAGCTTCGACTTCTTCTGCGCCTGTCTCGCCTCGGCCTCTTTTCTCTTTGCTTCTCGGATCTCCTCCAGCTGCCGAGCACGCATCATCTTCGACTCAATCTGGCCTTCCTGCTCGGCATTGACCATTGCAAGGATCGTCATCATACCCTCCTATGAAATAGATTAGACTGTGTACGGCTGCACGGCATTCAAGTAACTTCGGGGTCTCCTATACCTGATCATCGACGAATGTCTTTCCCTTCTTTTTCCCCTTGGGCTTTACAACCCCGACGGGTGTAATCGTATTGAGTTTCGGCAGGTCAAGCTCTTCCTCCGTGTAGACGCGCTTCTTCTTTTTCTTCAGCTGCTCCGGCGCCGTGCGTGCCTTGCCTTTCACCTCCTTTGGCGGGGGACGCTTGACATTCTTCTTGTTCTTGGAGACCTTGGTTGCGGAGGATAACGGGGCCGATTTGCCTTTTGCGCTGCCTCCCTTGCCTTTAGAGGACGGCTTACTGGGAGCCATCCTGTCAATTTTGAAATTGTAGAAGAAAAACAAGAAGAAACAAACACTTCTCACGAGCACAAACGTAACTTTATTTCGTAGAATATCAAGGCCGGGAAGATTTTTTTTTGAAAGGGCAGGCGGTGACGGCTTCTCGGGGAACGGCTGCCGCACCCATCGATCTCGACCATCGCCAACCGCCAAAGCTCTGAACGTTGCCTGTTTGTTCCGGCGACGAGCTGTATCCCCCAACCCGGTCGGTTTTGTTGCTTTCCTCCAGCGGTACTTTATCACGATGACGATCAATCCCACCTATCTTGCGCAACGGACGCGCTCCTGTACGTTCCTTTTTTTTTTCTCCCTGGATCATATGTCCCCCGCGCACTCTGACAAATGGAGTCGCTGTTAATGGACGGAAAGCAAATGCTAACTCTGCGCCTTCAATTGCAGCTGCGAACTGGAAAGATGCGAAAAGCCGTGTGCTCAAGTCGTACAGAGAATGGCTCCGGGCGGTTAGTCGCACATACATGCCTCCTCTTCCTGCCTTTACTTGCACCTGCTATCGGTCGAGTCGAATCGAATCGATCAAATGAATACCTTACAAATCAATTGGATCAAACTGACCAAAACCAGTCCCCCGAGATCCAAACCATGTACTCGCTGAACCTCCCTGTGTCCGTCATCCGCACGAAGATCCGTCAGGAGTTCGAGAAGCACCGCTACGTCAGCCAACTGAAGGTCGTTGATGTGCTTTTGTTCCAGAGCCACTCAGAGTTCCAGGTATATTCCGCTTGTGGACATTTGCAGAGCTTCCCTTTTCCTTTTTTTTTAACTCGTCTCTAGGAAACCCTCAATTACTGGAAACAACTGTCGCATGTGATGAAGTATTTCCGTCCAGAGGAAGACCCCGGCGCACGCTTACCGCCCAACTTTATCTCTGGGTTCCTCGAGGGCCGCAATTGAATTGTAACATCTGAATTCTATTCCATTCCATTTCGTTTCGTTCCATTCCATCCTATTGCCAGTTCATACTCGATCGGATAGATCATGTATATAGTAGTCCAGACTGATCAAACGAGTCGAAGTTTTCTTGAAAGGAATTCTCTATACTCAAGCTCAAGTATGCTATTTTATACCTAAAGACCGACTCCAAACCATGCCAAATATACACGAAGAACAGGAATAAAAGAGGAAGAAGAAGAACTAATTCGTCATCTGATCCGCTGCGGAAGCATTATACCCATCGCGCGCCGTGGTGAACTTATCCGTCACAACATCGCACAGATCCATGAGCGAGTCAAGGCCCTTTTCCAGCGCCTCGACTGCAGTGGTAGTATCTAACAACACTTAGCATATATATATATATATATATATATATATATATATATATTTCATCAGGTCTTGGTACTCACCATATGTCTGGATGCGGAGGTTCATCTTCGATTCAGACGGGTGGGGGATGGTGTACCCGCAGAACTCGACATCAGGGCTATTCAAGATTTAGAAAAAACTGTGGCGTAGAGTATATTTTCCGAACAAAGGGAGGCATTGCTCACTTCTTCATGATGGCGTATCGCAGCGCGTTACCTAGTGTATGCCCCTCTCCTTCAAATTGGAATGAAGCGGCCGTCTCGGTGGCGCCGGGGAGCTAGAACCGGTGACAGTTAGTTGATTGCTCTATTTTTCCAGATTCTTGTCGTATGTTCAGCGTCGGCTTACCACTAGGATTCGCTTCTCTTCCAGCTCTGGGTAATCGGGCTGTGCGGTCTCTTGCTGAGCGTCCACCATGGACTGGTCGTGGTCGGGGTCTTGGACGGACGAAGGCATTGCACAGGGTTCTGAGGAGGTAGGATTGTAGGTAACGACTATTGGATTCGGAAGATATCTAGGTATTTGGGTGGTGGTGCTGCGCGCAATGAATTAATATTGTACCAATACGACAGTCTTGATCAGAAAAAATGGTGGTTATCGATAGAGGTACGTACCGCCTTTGTGTGGGGGGTATGATTGGCGGGCTGATTTGCACATCCTCATGTTCCTTTAGGTACCTCCTCTACCTCAATGATAAGTACTAGGGTAGTAGTAGATACCTGTAATCCATTTCTAAGGCTGTCTGGTTGTCTAACCACTTCTTGAGATTATGAGAGGTGTACCTCTTGAGTGGGTACTTGGGAGATTTTTATACATTTGATCGAGTATGCATATACTTGTACAGGATACTATATAACTACCTGGGTAAGTGTCATAGCCTGCGACATCCATTCAGTCCTGGTAGCTTACTACCTAATGCAGTACATTAAAAAGGAACTAATACACACTATACAGTCACAATCTGGCGGAGTAATGTGGCGAATCCAGATGATTTGGAAGCGATACCACTTGGCAGCACTAGGTAGTTCGTTACTCCGTACTCCATCCACGGGAAGTTACCTCCCAGAGAGTTGACTCTCGAGTCTCTTGCCTGATCCTAATTAATATCTCTGAAATAGGTACTCTGCTTCCATGATTCACAAGTATAACCAGTACTAACTAGCTGTTTTTACTCTCCTAGATAGTGATATGAATTCCTCGCACAGGACAGAAGATGGAGACCCGCCAACACTGTGTGGATCGTTGGATCATCAACGTTAGGAGACCGAGCTCACCAAACACGTGGCTCTGCTGGATTGACTTCAATAATTCATTACTATGCGACAGAAACCCCTGCCAGATGATTTCCCGAGTGGGTGCAGGATTGTGCTAGTGAGCAGACATTACAGCGCAGAGTACTTTCATACTGAGTAGTGTCTACGTAGTTACCTAGCAGGTACTACAGTAGGTAATAAGTAGTTACTATATAACTAGCGAGTACTTGACTGGGTTTATAGTCAAAGTCATCCATTAATTAATCATAACCCTATCCTCTGTAGTCTGCACAGGCAGTGCACGGTACATACTTTAGAGTACGTGATGTGGAGTCAAGGATGAGGTGGAACACGAGTGAAACAGTCTCGGTCGGAGTCTCATCCTACCCTGTTCATCTCTAGAAAATAGGTATAGTTATCTTATTATTCTATCAGTTCTATCGAGTTTAATCCAGATGAAACAACTATGAATCATAATAATCAAATCTTGTACAAGTACCACATACTTCCTGTGTCTCTACCTAGTAACTACATATTAGGTAGGTAGGTAGGTAACAGGTAGTCAACTACCTAAGTATCTAGAGTAAGTATAAGTTACGGAGTACTACAGTACTACATAGAATACTACTAGAAGAATGGCAATCCTACGTGCCTGACAGAGAATGACGATCGATGTCACTGTCCCGGCATGTCACGATGCGACGACGATCATGATGACTACTCCAAGCTCCATAGTGGAACTAGTAGTTAGTTAACAGCTAGTTAGTTAGTTGTATACAATTAGTTACTCCGTACAGAGTACATCTTACTATTGTAGTCTTTCATAAAATAGCCCCTTGTGGGTCTATCCTCCCAAGCTCCGTCGACTATCGATTCTTCAAACCAGCAGGTGCATCCTGGCGATCAGGGCGGCCATCGATTCGACCGGCAATGGTCTGGGACTCTGGGCAAGCGTCAACAACAATAATAATGAATGGCATCTGATTGATTTCCATACTGCCTACCATGATTATTATTGCCCATCCAACGCACCGGTCGGTTCCACTGGGTGCCACGCCAAACGAGCCATGTCTCAGACCAGCGCCTGAGGACGCCGGATCTCCCCACCACCTCTAGGCTTCGTATTTTGGCCCTGCTTCAGCCTTCAGGAGATCCGATCGTGGGATTGTTTCTCATTCTTGCTTCGTTCTGGCCATGTAATCTGCTCCATGTGAATTAATTTCAATGCCACTCACCATGTCAAAGTAATTGTTCCTCCTGGGTGCCCGCACTCAAAAGAAAAGAAAACCAGACTATGCTTCCCCCCTGGTCCCTCGCCGCTCCTTCGACTTAATTACTTACTACTATCGACTTGCTTTTTTACCCAGTCTGCTTCTTTTTCTCTCTTTTCTCTTTTCTCCCTTCGACGACCTCTTTGTTTCCTCTTCTTCCTCCTCCTCCTCCTCCTCCTTCTTCTCTTTCTTATTGCTTGTCACCTCCCCCTTCTTTTTTTTGGTTTTTTTTTCTCTCCTTCTTGATTCATTCTGCTGCGCCGGCCAAGACTGTTGCAACTCCCCCCCCGGTCCGTTCCTTTGCCTTTCCCACCGTGTCGTTCGTTCGTTCGTTCTGGACCTTTAGCTTCGTCGGACAGACCTCTGAGCGCTGTCACACTGCCGCCAGCTCTGTCTAACCGCCGCCAGCCTGTTGTCTGGGCCCTTTTCTCGTCTCGTCCTCTCTGCGCTCGCTCCAGAATCCTCAGGAGTTTCCGACACTGCGTGCGTCTAACCATTACTCCGGTTGGGGGTCACCCAAGGCGCCGCTCGTTCATAACACCAGGCGTTTGACATTGGTCTGATTGGTTTATTATATTTTATATATTTTTTTTTCTATTTTTCTATATCCCATTGTTTTTTTCGTCGATAAACCAGCTAGGTCGTGGTCAAGGCTGTGTATATCGAAAAACTGCCTTGTGCCTGATCGACAGTTGACGCCACACACAGTATCGGCTGTACTTGGACAAGAAAGATTTCGGATATTGTTCATATATATCACCACCTATTCTTACGAATCTCAAGTTTGTCTGGCACTTCGAGGGAACTGCGGAAGACCACAAAAAACAGTTTTTGACTTTTCCGCATCGCTTGCTGTGACGCCTGAAGCTTCGGGAGTCTGGGAACAGCCCCCGGAGAGTCTAGACACAACGTTTCCCTTGACAAACCACCACCACCATCGCCAACGACAACCATCACTATTATACATCCAACTAACCATCGTGGGATATCGTCAACAATGTCGACCGCTGTTGCGCCTGCCACTGCAGCGCCGTTGGCTTCTCCGCATATGAATCGCGACCACAGCCCCAAAAACTGCCCAACATTGGTCCCGTCGTCGACGTCCACCCCGACAAGGATGTCTACTGCCTCCCAGGATGGATCGGCAACACGACGCTCGCCTACCGACAGGAAGCGCTCCCCAATGTAAGCAGTTTCCTCGCTTTTCTCTCTCTCTCTCTCTCTCTCTCTCTCTTTCCGGAAGTGACTAACAAGCCACAGAACGCAGAGCGGAAATGGTCCTTCCAAGGTCGTCGTCAAAAAAGAACCTCCCTCCCCTCCCGGCATGCAGTCTCGTCCACGACCCCGCAAACTCGACCTGTCGATCACATCGGACCGGCTGTCCGCGCGGGCCCCTGGCGGGCCCATGACGGCCCGCGAGGGAGTACGGATGCAAGACGTCGGGCTGGCCTGTCTATCGCCGGGTTTCCAGACCCATGATCCGGTCATGCGAGAACAGCTGCAGCGCAGCCTCAGCGTCCGGGACCAACAACGCTCCATTATCGAGGCCCGACTACACAAAACTCCCAAGGACGACGGCTCGGGGGAAGTCGGCAAGCCGTCCGACTCGTCTCTCTTCACGCCCGCCCGGTCAGGCTCTAAACGACGTCCCCCGCCGGGCCTGTCCATCGTGCCTCCGTCCGCGTCGCATTTTGCCAACGAACGAGTCATCCAGTCGGCACCGCTCAACCAGACATTCACAGGCCGCCACGACCCGCCGCCCATGACCCGCCATCTGGTCAACAACACACCGCATCTAGGTTCCTCATCGCATATCCACCATCTCCCCGCCACTCAAACCAACAACCGCTTGCCCCCGCTGTCCGACGTCTTTGGCTCGGATGCGCTGGGTGCGCGGGATCGTGACAGCCGCCCAGGCTACTACCAAGGCGGCACCGCCTCCGGTTCTAGCTCATCTCAATCTAACAACCTTCCCCCGGTCCCTTCGCCCGGTCTGCCCCCCAGCACTATCTTGTCTCGCCCGCGTGAATATCGCTCCGCTGAGGAAGCCGTGCACGAACTGTCCGGTGGACGTGAGGACCTGCTACCGCGCATCGTACATTATGGAGGGCACCAACCACCCACTCCGCCATCTCCGCATCTTCTCGGTGGCGGGACCGTCCATAAGACTTCTACTGCTAGTGGTGGGGGCAGTTATCCGAGCGCCGACGCCACCACCTCCGCCGCGGCCGCCAGCCTTGGTGGCCCACCATCTTCATATCTACACCCCGCCGATGGCACCGCCCGCCGCCGGCCAAGGAGCGAGTATGAACAGGACAATGGCAGCCCGCCATTAGGCTACGGGCCGGAAACACAGCACCGGTCGAACCCTGCGCTGGCCTCATCCTCCGGCGCCAGCAGTGCCGGCTATGGCCCATTTGGGGCCGGGCGTGACTCGCCCGAGACTCAACGACGAAAGAAGGAAGAATTTCTAAGTCTCTGCGCAAGAGCTTGGGATTTATTCCATTCGTGATTTGGAGAACCAGCCTCCTATCTATCCTATCCTATTTGTTTTTCTTTTCTCTAACCTACGCCCCCCCTTTTTTTTCTTTCCTTTTCTTCTCTCTCTCTACTTATATTTATCTTCATTTCTCTGGACCCAGGGTGACTGCCAGTTTCAGACACCCTGTGCCTTTCTTTTTTTTTTCCACAAAATACGTTGGGTATGATGCACATGCAAAATAATCATGACCAATATGAATTATATGATTGCGGCCCTAGTGGTCTTCACTTCAACCCATTGTTCTGCTTGAGGTCATGCCTGACCGAGGGTGATTTAAGTTAATTAATTCAGCAGATACTGCACATTCTTGTTTGGCGTTGGCGATGGGTTATGGTAGATAATCACCTATTTATATAAATACAGACGTATAGTCAGTCAATATTTGGTTTCTTTAAAAGTTGTAATTAAAGCTGTCAAACACCAGACTCCGTCCTTCTGGCCATCGGCATCTCCTTGCGCTCCTTGGATGCCGTCTTCTTACGACGCCGCTCGAGCGCCTTGGCTCTCTCCTTGGAGCCCATCTCCTCGTATTTCTTCACCAGGACCTGTTTCTTGAGATCCGACTTCTTGAGGAAGTACGGGGTACTCTTCTTCCCCTCGCGCAGCAGCTGCTTCTCCTTCTGCCGGTGCGAAGCGAGCACCTCGCGCTCACGCCGGCGGTTCTGCAACGTGCGCATCCGATCCATTGCCGAGCGGACCTCGCGCTTCAGGTTCTCCTTCTCCGTGGCGTTCTTGGTCCGCGCCATCTTTTCCTTCAGCTCCTTTAGCTCTGCGGCGCGGTAATCGTCTAGAAATGCGTAGGCATTGTTCGCCTGTTCGGAGTCGTTCTGTTTCCGACGTCCTCCCCCGCCGTGAGCTAGAACTGCAGGGTCGAAGCGCGGGTCTCGTGATTTGGCGACGGCAGGGAGCTCGACCGCATTCCGTTTGCGCGAGACTGCATACTTGGACGAGAGGACCATCGGGGCATGTTTCGACGATCTCGAAGGCGGCTTCTCTCTTCTCTTGTTGTTATTGTTGTTGCTGCTGTTCTTGTCGTGTGCGGCCTTTTGCTCCCGGGCGTCGCGGAGGCGTGCTCGGATCTCGTCCAACGGCGACGCAGTCGCGCCCGTTTCTTCCTCGGCTTTTTCGTTTTCTTTCCGCTTCTTTTTCGATCCCATCGATGCTTGTGCCTTGGCGAGAGCCCCGAACGAGATATTGCTTAGAGATGCCTGGATATCGTCTCCTTCTTCTTCCTCTGACTCTTCCTCTGACTCTTCCCCCGCCTCCTCGCTAACGTAATCATCTCCCATCTCTATATCATCAGAGCCATCATCTGACTGTAGAATCATCAATTAGTCCTTGTTGACGATCCTGTCGGAACGGTCATGACATACGCCGGAATCTGTAAAGCCATCTCCTTGGTCTTCCGATGCCGAGTTTTCGGAATAGACCTCTGCGTCTTCTTCGGGCACGGCCCGAATACGGCGATTCAGCTTTTCGCTAATAGCCATCTTTCTCTCTTTTTTTTCTTCTATCGTTTATAAAACAAAATTCGAAGAGAGAGAAAAATCCGGCCATACTAAATTCTGCCGGCACAGAAGGCGGTAAAACCCATACTCGGCCCCCGTCATTGGCCGCGTTGGGAATCGCAAGGTGTTGCTGATAGCCAGTATCGATAGAGGGAAAAATACTCGACGGACCCATTCAGCAGAAAGCCAGCACGGTGTGCCATTACGCTTCTTATCTCTTCATTGTTCCCGATGGTCAATTATGCGGTTTTGATTTCCCAGTTCCTTTTCGGCTCGATAGAACCCAGATTCCCCGTCTTCCAAAGCGCTTGTGTGGCTCTACACACAAGTCTCCAGCGCATGTTTCCAGGCGGGGCTCCCAATCGGGTAAGTTGAGTTGGCTGCGAATGAGGTGGTTCAGTGGTTCATTCTGGCGTAACTAGGAGGTAGTAGGTACCTGAAATTCAAGGGGCCTGTGATTGCTAATCGTCCTTGTTTTTACCTGCTGCAGGCTTCCTCCTCGTACCCTCCATCAAAACGACAGAAACGCGGGGTCGACATGTATCACCAGAACTCCTCGCAAGAAGAGGTGATTTACAACTCGAACGGGTCATGGAGGTCATATAACGATCGCTGGAGTGTGAAACAGTCTTCCGCTTCTTCGAGAGAAGATACCACCGCGGGGGGTCAGGCAGTGGCAGGGAATGGGCTACGGGGCCCTCCTGAGCAGCACCAGCACCAGCCGCGGGATCTGCCCTCTTCTCTCCCGTTGCGTGAGGTTGCATCGATTCAAGCGAATGTGGATGTCAACCAGTCTCAATACCAGGACGGCTATTCGCAGCAATATCATCAGAACCAGCATCAGAATCCATGGCCCATGCAGATGCAGATGCCATTTGTACCGAACCCGTTCATGTCTCTTCCTCTGCAGATGATGCCGATGTCTATGCCCATGTGGAATAACGCCAACGGCCAGCTGCCCTTTGACAATCCGCAATTTGCGTCCGCCTTTTTAAATCAAAATTTCGCAGGTATGCCGAGTTATAATAACAACTACAATAATAATGACGATAATAATCGCACTTCAATGGGGACCCCAAGTGCACGACGAGAACGAGTCTCACGGCCCCTCGCTGCCCCAAAACCAACGAAGGAATATCTTGCGCAGTCATCTCTGCCACCGCAGCCGTCTGCGTCTCCTCAGCCACTGCTCGTCATCCTTGACCTGAACGGCACTCTCATCTACCGTGCACACCGCCGTCTACCTCCCGTGTTTGTGAAACGACCGGGTCTCGACGAATTCCTCGACACTCTAATGCAGAGGTACACTGTGATGATCTGGTCCAGTTCACAGCCGCCAACGGTGCAAGCCATCTGTGCGCAGCTGTTTCCTGGTGAAAAACGCAAAGCGCTTGCTGCCGAATGGGGCCGGGACAAGTTCGGGTTGACCAAGTCACAGTACCATGGGAAGATCCAGGTCTACAAGCAGCTGAAGACCGTATGGGCGGATCCATCCATCCAGGCGCGGTTTCCCTCCGACCGGTCTCATTCTGGAGCAGACCGCCGATGGGACCAGTCTAACACAGTCCTGATAGACGACAGCAAGCTCAAGGCGGCTAGCGAACCGCTCAACATCCTCGAGGTTCCCGAATTCACCAACTTGCGCGGCGTTGACGAATCGGGCGTCTTCCCTAACGTCCTGAGAAAATTGGAGAAACTCGCCCTCTCAGATGATGTCAGCAAGACAATCCAGTCATGGAATAGTCACGAGCGAGTCATCTCGCGAGACGCCAATGGTAATCTAGAGAACAGCGGTATCGGGACCGGCCCTGCCGCTATCGAGGCTCTTCCTTCTTCTGAAACAAAGCGTCAAAAACGCCAGGCCCGCAAAAAGGAAAAGCTGGCAGCCTGTCAGGCAGCAAAGGAGACACTCACCACAACCGACAACTCGACGGAACCAGCAATTAAACAACAACAGAGTGAACCACCAGTGTCAGCCTCTACTCTCGGCACCGGCACACCAAGCGAAGCTGCCGAGGCACGTATACAACGACGAAAGGCGAAGAAACAAGAGAAAAAAGCCGCACGGCGCGCAGCAGCAGCAGCAACAGCAGTTTCTGGTGAGACTAAAAGTGCCGAGAACATCAAGGACAGTACTACTCACCAGAACGCCAACGCCAACGCCAACAAGACCACCAACAAGGGCAAGAATAAAGGCAATGGCAAGGGTAACGGGACCGTCAGCACCACCAGCAAGAGCAGACCAAAACGCACCGCCGCCATCGCAGCAGCAGTCGCCATCGCGGCGGAGATCAGCCAGCTGAATTCCGCACAGGCAGCCGCCGCACCTGTGGTATCTTCCTCGCTGCAGATGGAGCGCTCCGTTTCCCCTGTGTCGACTGCGTCGGAGAATCATCTTCTCGATCGATTAGAGGAATCACTGGGGTTGTAGTTGATAGATACTAGCTTACACATTACATAGCTAGATAGTGCATACAAATGATAGAATTACGAATAATTATTATGGACTCGACTACCATCAGACTGTGAAAGATTGTATAAATGATATATACTTTGTCATGATCTTCATTGCTAGATCTAACTACAGCTTCATCAACATCGCGGCGTATCATAAACGTGGCTGGGGTTTTTTTTCAAGCATAAAAAAAATTAAAAGGGCGTCAAGGAATAAAGACATCGTCTATTTGAAGACGTGGCCGTCAACCCAGGGGAGCTCCTTGCCGTCAACAGAGGCAGGGACGTCCCAGGCCCACATGTCGTCAACGAGCTTGCGGTGGGCCTCGTTGGCGGGGTCGAGCTTCTCGAACTCGTAGCTCTCCCAGTCGGGGGCGACATCGAAGGCGGGAACGTGGTCCTGGCCGCGGATCATGAACACACCCTTGATGACGCACTTGTAGTTCTCGCCGAAGACGGACTGGGCACCGAAGAGGAACTTGCGGGAACCCTCAAGACGAGCGTGGAAGCCACCTGGGCAGATTAGCTTCATCATTTCACTTTTATATAAGCATATTTTAAGATAGAATAGAGCTCACCAATGAGGTTGTTGGCCATGAAGGTGAGCTTGAGCTCATCGTTGTACTTGTAGTCCACACGCCAGAGGGAGTACTCATCGGCCTTGAAGTTCTGCCAGAACCAAGGGAGGGCAGTGGGGCGGGTGTCCTCGTTGGAGTACATGCGCTTCCAGTCATCGAGGATCAGGGTGGGCTTGCCGAGGGCCTCAAGGGGGTGCTTGGGCTTGGGGGCGGGCTTGTCCTCCTCAGCGGCGGCGGCAACAGGGGCCTCCTTCTGAGCGACGGCCTCCTTCTTGGGCTTCTCCTCCTTCTTGGGGAGGACGGGCTTGATGACCTCCTCAATGAAGACGGGGTTCTCAACAACAGCCTTGAAGGCGGGCTGGTTGACAAGGGTCTCGTACCATCTGGCGGTGGCAGGGTTGGCGGTGCGGAAGGCCTTGTCCAGGACGGTGGCGAAGGGGCGGGTAAGGAGGGCGGCAGCGAAGGTATCGGCAAGGGTGATACGCTCACCAACCAGGTAGGTGTTGGCAGTGAGGTGGGTCTCCAGGACGGAGAGGACCTTCAGGGCCTGCTTGCTAGCCTCATCGACGGTCTTCTTGTTGTACTGGTCGAAGCCAAGGAGGGGGCGGTACCAAGCAGCCAGACGGGGAAGGAGCTCGGCGTTGGCGAAGGACAGCCAGCGAAGGATGGAAGCATAGTCCTGCTTGGTCTTGCCCAAGAGGGTGGTCTTCTCATTCTGGGAGGTCACTTTTTTTTTCAAGCTGTTAGCCAAACGATAATCCAAGAAATGAAAATGTGACTAGTGTCGAGAAAATTTTCTGGTGGGGTAAAAACGCTTGATGTTGGGTAGCCATATCAGAGGTGTAAAATTCTCAACATTATGTTTGTTTTTATTTTTCTGCCAGGGATAACTAGAAAAATAGCTCATCATATAAAGCAGGCTGGACAAGTGTTTTGAAAAGAAAGGAAAAAAAAATAGGGGGGGAACAAAATTATAAACTTCGATTGAACTCACCATAGACAGCAATGGCAATGGCCTCAGAGAGCTTGTAGCCGTTGGCACCAACGAAGGCGGGGATCTTGCCCAGAGGCTGGATCTCGCGGTACTCAGCAGACGAGTTGAACTCGGCAGAGGAGTTGGCAACGGTGTTGACCAGCTCGAGCTCAACATCGTTCGCCTTGGCAGCAACCAGGGCGGCGATGGTGCGAGGGTTGTCCTAAGCAGTCAGTAAGATAAACAAGAACTCATTAATAGAGATGAGAAGATATTAATGAGGATAATAAACGTACAGGGAGACCGTAGAGCTTTCCGAAGGCCATTGTGTGTGTGTGTGGTTGATGGGATGAGGGTGGGGGAAAAGGAGAAGCTGCAAGAGGGGTGAAGAAGTTGTTGCGTCGACGAAAATTTGTGCGAATCAGACGGAGCCGGAGACGGAGGAACGTTTTTGCCGGTGCAATGTCACCTGACGGCTAGCTCTTGTCTCAAAAAACCTCCTACGGGCAGTTTGGCGGAGCGGCGACGGCCAGCAACCAGCGAGCAATTCATTTTGGCCTTGCCTTGGTCTTTCTTTTCCCCTTTGTATTTTTTTGCATTGATATTGGCTCTTTGAGAGCCTACAGGGTCAGAATGGCTTTTTCTAGGCCTAATTGCATCGTTCACACGATGCAATCGATCCGCCGTGCTGGACAGCAGTCTTCGTTCGTCTCCGCGTCTCCGATTCCTACACAGCTGCTGCAGCGACAACAACGACATCTACTGTCGACCACGTCGCGGGAAAGCGCCTCCGAGGTGCAGGCGGCGCCCGAAATCGATTTTGCGCAGTTTCTACAGACTCCCGCGCGGATAATTCCTGCCTCGCCGGCGTACTTCTCCGGCAGCCCCAAGTTCATCGACTACCTCCTGGACCTTGAGCGGATCCAGGCCAAATATGCGCCACTGCCGCTTGTGGCCGCCAACAAGGCACCACGCATGGCATGGTTCAAGCTGCCGCAATTCCGCGACTTTGTCGGCGAGCAGGTGCCTGTGAAGAAGTACCGGGGCCTGATCAAAATCCTGCAGCGACTCAACCGGATCAAACCCAACGTGGCTCCGGAGGAGGTGCGACAGACATTGAGCAGGTTCCTGCGGCCAGGGAACCCATACGGAAACAAACCCGCGCCGGCGACGGTGGATGAGATGGGCCGAGGTCGGGGCTACGGGAAACGCAAGGCTTCGTCGGCCGTGGTTCACCTGGTCGAGGGGGATGGAGACGTGCTGGTCAACGGGAAGAGCCTTGCGGAAGTGTTCCCGCGTCTCCACGACCGGGAGAGCGCAACATGGCCACTGAGATGTACCCAGCGCTTGGACAAGTACAACGTGTGGGCGATCGTGCGTGGCGGCGGCGTCACAGGTCAGGCGGAAGCGATCACACTGGCGCTGGCGCGAGCGCTCTTGGTTCACGAACCGGCTCTCAAGCCCGCTCTGCGAAAGGGTACGTTTCTTTTCTTTTCTTTTTTCTTTTTTTTTTCTCTCTTCCTTCAAGTATTCTTCTTGTCACCGATACAATGGCTTATTTGAAATTACTTTACTAACCGGTTTAGCTGGCGTGATCACCGTGGATGCCCGTCGCGTGGAGAGGAAAAAGCCCGGCCATGTCAAGGCTCGCAAGATGCCTACCTGGGTCAAGCGATAGGTTTTCTTTTGTCTATTCAGCCTCGTGGACATTATGTATTATTGCATCGGCGTATTCTCTCTCTCTCTCTTTTTTTTCAACTGTTATTCTTCTCCTTCTCCCTCATATCTATACTGCCATAGAATCGAGAGTGTATCACTATTGTATCTTTTGGTCCGGGAGAGTACGGAGTATCCGTACAGAGTAACACAAATCCTAACTATCCCATTGTCCAAGGCAGCAATGTCCTACCCCGTCTGTATCCTCGACTGGTTCGATTCGGTTCCCTCGGAATGCGCGTCATAGGACACTAGCTGACCCCTGCTCATGCGGTGATTAAATAGCATCCAAGTTTGCTGGTGGGTATTCAATAATAATAAATAGATCAGATGTATCGGGGGGCTTTTCCGACGATAGATTTGATTCTAGTAATGCAGAGGACTTTTCTATGTTCTATAATAATCAATTCTGCATTGATGATAGATATGTAGTACTACATATAATATATAGGATATCACATTAGAATATAGGAATAGGTATGAATCAGAGTTTTACCAACTGGCTGGATGATCGACAACATACAGGAGGCAACTAAAGTACCGCACAGGATCCTAAAGAGTTCTTGTCCAACATTACATGGATTGCTGTCAATTGCAGCCGATCGGGTGATCCGCCATAGCTAGTGCCTGTCTCTAGTGCCGAGGAAGCAAACAGGGTTAAACCAATAACAACACCACTGAAGGTTTCCTGTAAAATAATACAAATCTTTCTGTAGAAGGATTGCTGTAGTATGGACCTAGGTAGTATTTGTACCAGGTATTTGTAATATCGACATGACATGCGTCGTTCCTCCGATCTGGACCGACCGCACGTCACAGTAGCGACGAAGAGGGGGATCGCCGATCACGCCCTGTCGAGGCTGTCACTCGGTTAAACCTGATGAATATGTGAGAGGGACCATGATGCCACTAGTGATCATCCCCGGCAGTAATGCTCTTCAACTCTCCCGATTCATTGGATAGGCTCTGTTTTAGTACCTGTGATCAGCCCAATCTAAGATCCTGACCCAAGGATACGGCACCAAGATGTGGCTGAAGGAGTACATGGCCCAATGCAGAGTGCGCCGTCGCGAGGCACACGAATAGTCGAGCAGCGTCGGCGGAGTAGGGGTCGATTTTTCCCTGGTCTAGCAGCGGCTAAAGGCTCGCTCACCATGGAGTAAACAACTCGAATAGGTAGGCAGGTGTGGATAGAAGCTCCATCTGATGAGGTACGGAGTAGAAGAAAGAAGTCTTGTCTTTGTTGCTTTTTTGGCTCTTTTCCCCCTTTGGGCTTCTCCCTAAGGAATAGTCCCTTCCCTTCCCTTCCCCCCCCC